GGGGGGGGGGGGGGGGGGGGGGCAGGAATCTGGGAGGAGCAAGGACAGAATAGGAGTCCGGAAGTGAAAGGTGACGTGAGCTGAGCTGTGAAAAAAAAAAAGAAAATCCCACGAAAAATACAAAGCGTGCCAAGGAAACAAGATGGGGGCATGAATGGCATTAATGGGTTCGAATTATTACAGCTTGCACTTTATACTTGAAGAAAACATCTCGTCTATTGCTGATTATCCATGCCGAGACCAATTGCAAGTCACCACCAGCTACTGCTTCCACTGAGACAGCAACGCTTCCAGCTGCTCGTGTCTATGCAGAGCCGTACGGAAGGACGGGACGCCATCCTTGTCATCGTCGAGGCCCTGGGCGTGCTTGTCGTAGAGCGTGCCGATGCTACGCGCCATCAGCGGCAGGTCCCTCGCCCAGCCGCTCCAGTCCCAGTCGACCGTTTCGACCTGGTCAGTCTCGAAGTCGTGCACCTCGAGCGTCACCGCCTCCTTTTCCGCGCCGGCCTGGAATGTCGGCCCGTTGGCGGCGGTCAGGCGGAGCTCGCCCGTTTCGCCGTGGATGGTCCAGACGAAGCCGGGATCGCCCTTGAACGGCGGGCCGCCGCGGAAGCGCAGCGACACGGTGGCGCCCTGCTTGACGGAGGCGGTCGCGTCGAGGGTCCCGTTGACGAGGATGAGGTCTGGCGTGTTGGCGGTGACGGTGTCGACGACCTTGTTGGACGAGTCGACGACCTTGAGGTCTGGCCGCTGCAACTGGAAGTGGCCGGTAGCCTCCTGCAGGTCTCCCAGCACGTGTTGCAGGCTGTCAAAGACTAAACACTCCGTTAGTAAAATCGGAAACGAGACACCCAGGTTCCATCGCCACCTACAATGTCCAAACATGATGGTGACAAAGGTTCCCCCGACGGCGCGGTCCACGAAGAACTCCATGCCGGCGCCGATGACGTCGCGACCGCCGGCACCGCTAAACGCCCGGGCATCGCTCGAGAGCACCTTGCCGATGCGGCCGCTCTCCAGGACCTCCTTGACCCGGACCATGACCGGCGCGAACCGGCCCTGGTGGCCGACCAGGGTGCGCGTCCCGTGCTCCGCCGCGGCCCGGGCCAGCTCCCGCGCGTGCGCCGCGTCCTGGGCCAGCGGCCACTCGACGTAGGCGCGCTTGCCGGCGCGGACGCTCGGCAGCGCCGACTTGTAGTGCGAGTCGACTCGGGTCGCGCAGACGACGAGCTCGACGTCGGCGTCGCGGGCGAGGTCCTCCGGGTCGCCGTAGGCGCGCGTCTCGGGCGGCAGCGAGTAGAGCTCGATGGAGGCCCGGGCCGACTCGACGGTGGTGTTGAGGAGCGCGACAATCTGGTACTGGGACTTGCCGCGCTCGGAGAGGAGGTAGGGCAGGTGGGCGTTGCTGGCCCAGGAGGAGACGACGGACTTGCCGGAGAGGCCGATGATGGCGATGCGAATGGGTGCCATGGTTGTGGTGGTTGTGCTAGTTGTTGTGAATGTTGTATTGCTCAAGATGAGTGTAGTTTACTGTCCGAGATGTATTTCTACGGAAACGATGGACACTCTTATAGATGGCAGGCATCCTGGATGAAGTCGAGGTCCTGGATGCGGACTTTTGTGTTGTAGAAGTCACCCTGAATTTCTAATCAGGCAAACTAGAGGGGGTAGATACTTGATAGATGAGGCATAAAATCGTATTGTATTGCTTTTGATGCATTTTAGTTTTTGATACTTTAGAAACAGAGACGAGCCTCCTATGCTCAGGAACGAGCCTTGTCGATGCGGAGATGAGCCGCGACATGAAGAAGCGGCGGACTTTGATCTGGGAATCTTCTGCCGGGCGGAATTAACTGCCGGGCGATGAATGTTGCAGATGGATAATTGGCAAAATGGATAACTGGATATTTATTAGATGGGATGATGATGCGGCAATCCTATCAAGTCCCCCGCGTCCGCGCAACCCGCGCACAGGAATGCGTATTACCAATCCTCCTCGGGCGAGGCTCTGGGTAGGCTGAATTGTTTGAGCTCTAAAATTACTAATAAGGGAATGTGCTACTCTAGGGATATTTAACAGCGTCTTCCCCATCTTTTTTTCTTTTAAACCACCACAAGGCCGGCCGACGATGACATTGCGGCTTATCATGACGCCATCCGAGACGGCTCGTCCCGATTCGGTAATCCTCGGTTGGACGCGTCGCCGTCCATCAAATAGGAGTTCGTCCAGTTAGATGGTGCAATATTTGTAGCAGGAATGGTCATGGAGATTATGCGCGAACGGGATGGTGTTTCAGGCGCACAACATGCTGCACAGTCAGTATCTGTATAATATAACACTGGCTACATCCGTGCATGACCGGCCACCTATTTTACCGTCAGGTCCTGGCAAGTCTTGTTTGCTGGTCAAGACGATAAAGACACGTTTGAAACACAGAATCGATAGAAATGACGGCGAAAACTAGCGATGAGCGGCGGCCGCTGCTCCCCGACGCCTCGGAGCGCCGCGCCCCGTACACGGCCGGCAACGACACCGAAGATGCCCTCATCCCACACAAGGACGCCTCCTTACCCTCCCGCTCCGTCGACGACGACGTCCTCCCCGAGACCTCCACCCTCGGCCGGACGCTCGGCCGCCGCAGCGCCTACATCCTCGTCATGTCGCGCATCATCGGCAGCGGCATCTTCGCCACCCCCGGCGCCGTCCTCGCCGGCGTCGGCAGCCCCGGCCTCGCCTTGCTGCTCTGGTTCGTCGGCGCCGCGCTCTCCGCCGCGGGACTGGCCGTCGCGCTCGAATACGGGTGCGCGCTGCCGCGGTCCGGCGGGCACAAGGTCTACCTCGAGTACACGTTTCGCCGGCCGCGCTTCCTGGCGTCGACGCTGGTGGCGGCCAACGCGGTGCTGCTGGGGTTCACGGCGAGCAACTGCGTCGTCTTTAGCGAGTACGTGCTGTACGCGGCGGGCCGTCGCGGGGAGCGCGAGGAGGTGCTGAGGAAGGGCGTGGCGGTGGGCATGCTGACGCTGGTGACGGCGATTCACCTGCTGACGCCGAGGTTTGGGGTCCGGCTGCAGGACGGCCTGGGATGGGTCAAGATGGGCATCGTCGTCTTCATGATCCTCTGCGGGCTGTACGTGGTCGCGTTCCGGCCGGACACGGCGGCGGGGGGCCTCCCGGTGAGCGGCGAGTCGTGGGAGCGGCTCTGGCGGGACAGCAACTGGAACTGGGGAATCCTGTGCACGGCACTCTTCAAGGTCCTCTACTCGTACTCGGGCCTCGACAACGTCACCAACGTCCTCAACGAGGTCAAGGACCCGGTCCGTACGCTGCGCGTCGTGTCCCGGGCCGCCCTGCTCACCGCCTGCGTCATGTACCTCCTCATCAACGTCGCCTACCTAGTCGTCGTCCCCGTCGACGAGATCAAGGGCAGCGGCGAGCTGATCGCCGCGCTCTTCTTCCAGCGCATCTTCGGCGCTCGCCTCGGCGGCCAGGTCCTGCCTCTCCTCGTCGCGCTGTCCGCCTTTGGCAACGTCTTGGTGGTGGTGTTTGCCCTGGTAAGTTTGTCCTCCTTCTTCCGGCTTATACACACTAACACCCCGCAAAGTCACGATTAAAGCACGAGATTGCGAGACAGGGATTCCTCCCCTTTTCCGACTTTCTCTCCTCGACCAAGCCTTTCAACTCTCCCTTTGGCGGACTCCTCGTAAACTACATCCCGTCCGTCCTCATCATCGTCCTGCCGCCCTCGGGCAAGATCTACTCCTTCATCCTCGAGGTCGAAGGCTACGGGGGGCAAATCACCGGCCTGGGCATCGCCATCGGGTTGTTGTGGCTACGGCACAAGCAGCCGGATCTGAGACGTCCTTACAAGGCGTCGAGCCTCGCAGTGGGCGCCAAGCTTGTGCTGAGCGTCGCATTGCTTGTTGCGCCTTTCGTGCCGCCAAAGGATAGATACCCTGGCGGCCTGTTCTACGCCACATATGCCATCGCTGGGATTTCGACGTAAGTTTTGCATTCACAGAAATTGTTGTTTTATTATACTGACAGGCAGCGTAAAGATTCGTCATCAGCGTGGTGTATTGGTACGTCTGGACTGTTCTCCTTCCAAAGTGGCGGGGATACAGTCTGGAGGAGGAAGAGGCTACGCTTGCGGATGGAACGACGATAACAAAGCTGGTTCACAAGCCTCTGCAGTGAGTCAAGATTGCGTATGAGAATTAGGATATTAACATGATGAATATACTTTTACGGCCGTATTTCCCCTCTTGCTACTGAGAAGTACAAACTCCTGGCAATGCTGATTCGGCCAACCACCTGGATGAGACGACAGTTTTTATTTATTTATTTATTTTAATTTTCCAATGACCTGTAGTGATGAAGATGAAAATAGCTCAGCATCAGTAGATATTCTTGACAGCATCAACGCAAGGCGCAGAGCCATCACAAACGGCGCCGGAGAATTTGCTAATCACCTGCCACGGATCCGAGGCCAAGCCAAGTACACCTCTAGCAAGCAGACAAGACGGACTGATTATCTCAAGTCTCCGAACCAACCAATCTAGTGCCAGTATTTGGCCCGCGGGGCTGTCTGATCGCTGGCAGTCCGTCCTGCCGATCGCCTGACGCCGATTTCATTGACGTGCGATGGCGCGATCGAGCTACCATAACATGGGCGCAACTCCGCACGGATTTCAAATCAACCAGCAAAGAGTGCCATTCTATTGGCTGCCTGCTTCTTACATGTCACAGTCCGTTTGCGTGGTAGCGAAGGCTCACCTGATATGCAGCTCGCTGTGGTGTGTGACTGCGGCATGCATGATTATCAATCCAGGCATTGCCATGGTCACTGCCAATGACGTGCTGGGGGAAGCCATAGCTACCTAGTTAGTCGGGTATACAAGTATATAAACTACTTGCTTCTTCAACGGATGCAGCATCAGTTGCACTACATAGCAAAAGCCCAGCAATACCTCAAGACCACTCATTCATATACATACACACCACTTACAATGGCCGCAGCAGCCGTCCAGAGCGCGCCCATCATCAACGCCGGCCAGCCCCGGGTTGACATCCAGCAGCGGCCGGAGGAAGAACCCCGCGTGCCCAAGCACGACGTCACCGCGACCCTCAACTTCTACCTGCCCAACGCCGACGGCTCCCCCCCGCCGCCCGCCTACGTCGGCGCGCCCGAGTCCTACCGCCAGACGCCCGACCCCCACCCGGTCCTCATCCGGGACATTGCCGGCTCCGAGGACCAGTACAGCCTCGACGTGCAGGGCTTCGAGGTGCGCCGGCGGCCCGCCACCGAGCGCGACTTTGTCGACGACGCGCAGATCAAGGCCAGCTACTACCCCGAGACGGAGCAGCTGCTCAAGGATGTGTGAGTCCTATCCAACACACCAAGTCTTTTTTTTTTTTGCTTTTTTTTTTTTTTTTCCCTTCCTTTGTTCCTTTTTCGTGAAGAAAAGCCCAAGTCTAACAAAGCACGCGCAGAACCGGTGCCGACCGCGTCTTCATCTTTGACCACACCATCCGGCGCGTCCCCGCCGGCACCCCCCTGGACGCCGTCTCCCGCCCGCCCGTGCAGCAAGTCCACGTCGACCAGACCTACTCCGCCGCCCTGTCCCGCGTCACCCACCACTTCCCCGAGGCCGCCGAGGCCGCCGCGCTTCTCCGCGGCCGCGTGCAAATCATCAACGTGTGGCGGCCCATCCGCACCGTCCGGCGAGACCCGCTCGCCGTCGCGGACGCGCGCTCCGTGCCGGAGGCGGACCTGGTCTCGCGGGCGCTCATCTACCCGAACCGCGAGGGCGCCACGTTTAGCGTGCGCCGGAGCGAGGGGCAGAGATGGTACTACAGGTCCGGGTTGGGGCCCGGGGAGGCGCTGCTGATCAAGTGCTTTGATAGCAAGGAGGATGGGAGGGCGCGGAGGGCGCCGCACACGGCGTTTGTGGACCCGGAGGCGCCGGAGGATGCGCCGACGAGGGAGAGCATAGAGGTTCGCGCCCTGGTGTTTCACACGACGGACAGGGATTGATGGGATGGGATGGGATGGGATGTGTGACGCACTTTTGTATCGAGCTTGTATCCGAAATGTCCATGACTCAATAGCGCCAAGGTGACCCACGTGGCGAAGGCACAATGATGATGGTCTTTGTGTGTAAACATCATTACAAACATGGTTCTCTGCTACTGAAGCGTCGATGTAGCTGATTGGTGATTTTTATCGTCTTCTTTGGCCTCGCCCGCCAACGTGCCCATCCTCCTACCCCATCGCACTTCTTGGCAGCCTAGCTCGCTGCAAGCCAAGAAGCTAAATACTCCGACCCGTCGGCCTATTCCCTCGAATAGTTAAACATCTGAGGAGAACATACACGATCCCTGTATATATAGCGCGTCCAAGTCTGGCGGTAGTTCTGCCCTACCGCCCACGGTCGCGCGGCATCGACACTGAGTGGACGAAAAAGGAAGAGAGCATTGTACGCTACATTACATAGCGCCGGTGTAGCGGATGAATGACGGTGTTGATAGTACGCTGAAGGCCGCTAATTTAAGTACTTTTTAAGCTTAAATTGGTCCTCGGTGAAGGATGCCGCCGGTAGCCATCATGCCGATCACCACCTTACTAACAAGCAAGCAAGCAAGTATATATGCACATGCGGCACCAAAGTACATGTACACGAAAAATAGTAGTCCCCCTCATCTTCACTTGCGCTACACAATCATTTGCAATCAACAGTAGTGGCATTCATCATGCAGCAAGCCTCTCTCCTGGCGCTCGTCCTGGCCGCCGGTGTCTACGGCGCCGCCGACAACACCAAGCTCAGCCCTCTGCGTTTCCGAGAAGACGGCACCTTTCACATCTCCGTCTTTTCCGATCTTCACCTGGGCATGTGTAAGTCTCACCATCACCCCGCCTCCCACTCATCCAACCCAATCTAAACCCCTTCACCATCTAACCTCCCTCCAGATGCCAGTACCCCGCGCGGGCCGAAGCAGGATGCCAAGTCCGTCTCCGTCCTGGCCTCCGTCTTGGACATTGAAAAGCCCGACTTTGCCGTCATCAACGGCGACCTCATCAACGGTGATGATACACGCGTCGACAACAGCACCCGCTACATCGACCAGATCGTCAAACCCCTCGTCGACCGCAACCTCACCTGGGGCTCCACGTACGGCAACCACGACCACCAGCCGAACCTCTCCGGCGAGCTGCTCCTCACGCGCGAGCAGACCTTCCCCGGCGCCCGCACCCGCAGCATGGTTCCCGGCGTCGCCGCCGGCAGCACCAACTACTACCTCCCGGTGTACTCGGCTGCCTGCAAAAACGTGACGTGCTGCACGCCAAAGCTGCTGCTCTGGTTCTTCGACAGCCGCGGCGGGTACTACTACCAGCAGCGGGACCGACTCGGGCGCGCCGTGCACCACCCCAACTGGATCGACGAGAGCGTCGTGCGGTGGTTCGAGGAGACCAACGCCGCGCTGCGGACAAAGCATGGCCGCGCCATCCCCTCGCTCGGCTTCGTCCACATCCCCGTGTACGCCTCGGTCGCCCTGCAGAACCGCGGCGTGCATCCAAACCGCCAGCCGGGCATCAACGACGAGACGGCGAGCCCGCAGGCGCAGGGTTGGTGCGCCGGTGGCGTGCGCGACGGCTGCGCATACGGCGGCCAGGACGCCGCCTTCATGAAGGCTCTCGCCGGTACCGAGGGCCTGATGGCGCTCTTCTCTGGCCACGACCACGCCAACTCGTGGTGCTACAAGTGGGACGGCGAGCTGCCCGGCATCGAGGCCAAAGGTAGAGGCGTCAACTTGTGCTACGGCCAGCACACGGGCTACGGTGGCTACGGCGACTGGATCCGCGGCTCGCGCGAGCTCATTGTGTCTCTGGACAAGCTTAAGGATCTGGTCATTGACTCGCACATCCGCACCGAGCGTGGTGAGGTCATCGGCAAGGTGTCGCTGAATGCTACGTATGGTCAGGACATGTACCCGGCGTCGCCCAACGATAAGACGTACCTGTAGTGGCCGGTCCAGCCTCTGTTGTATAGATAGAGTCGCTGGCGTACAAGAGGGACGCAAAAATCACGTTTATTGATCCAAGGAATTGCCTAGCACCAGTGACTGCTGATTAAACCATTGCGACTCCCAGTCTTCCACAATTGTGTCAAAGTTGCCCCAGTCCTGTATCGTGTCTGGCTGCAGCGGCAGGTTCAGCGTCTGCTCCGCCGTTGTCACAAATGCTTGGTGATCCATGGCGCTCTGCTCGTCGCAGCTGCGGCTGCTACCGTTCTGCAGAGGCTGTCGCGACTCGATGAAGGCATTGGCGATGCGGTACAAGGCAGCGCACAACGTCTTTTGGCGGTGCACGAGCTCATAACCAGCACCGATGTCGTCGAGGGTGTCGAGCACGCTCTTGAGCAGCTGCACATCGTTGGTGTCTGTGTTGGCGATACTGTGCAGGAAGGTGACTATGTAAGGCGTAAAGGAAGAGTACATGAAAATCCTAATAGCATCAGAACAAGTATGGGAAAATTACCAATGGTTAAACTCACCAAACGCCGTAGTACGATACTGTTCCGGGTCCTTGGGCCAGTACGGCGGGAAAGATGCGCAGATGAGACTCGAGGCCCTGTCGGGCGGCCGCGAAGCACTCGGGCGAAATTTCAGACGGTGAGTTGGAGTCGGTGCTACCGCGATGCAGTAGCGTCAGCACCGAGTAGTAGATGACCTCGACGGCCATAAACGTATGCTGGTGCACCATGGGGTAGTACGCTTCGGCACTGTTAATGCACCTCCACTCAGCGTACCACTGGTCGAGCTCGGCGGCGAACCGGGCAACACGGGCCTGTCGTTTGCTCGGCGTGGCGGTCAGCGTGGCGACGGCACCCGGTGAGTATATCTTCCGGTATATGTTGCTCTGGATTCGGGAGAACTTCGTAAACGAGCGCAGAGACGCATCCCAGACAGCTTGGCGCGGGTCGGCCGAGATGTTTAGCTGCGGCGCGTCCACATCAAACTCCTGTATGACGGCTGCACGTCCGAGGCGCAGTGTCAGGCCCAGCTCTGAGATATAGACGTGCCAGAAGAGCAGCCGGCGCTGGTGCGACTCTTCGGGCGGCAGCTGGCCCTTGTCGTTGCGGTGGTATCCGAGCTGGATGCAGTGACGCGCGGCGGCCGACACGACAGCTTGGTGGCGGACAATGTCGCCAATCGTGTGAGCGTAATAGGCCTATGGTTGAGAGTTAGTCTTACAAGTTGCGTGCGGTGAAGCATGGCTGAAGACGTACAGCAAGACACAGCGTCAGGGCATTCTCATAGCTTGCAATGGCAATTATTTCAGCATCCTCGACACCTTGGTTAAAGTTTGCGTCGGTTATTCGCCGATATTTAGCCAGGTCCTCTGCGTCAATCTCGCTATCGCCACGAGACTGCACTTCCCAAATGGCAAAGTAGAGCAGGGCGTTGAACAATGTCAGCTCGCCCGTCATGATCGGATCGAGGGGAAAATAAATATGCTGGCACAGATTCTTGAGCAAGTCTAGGCTTGGTATTGGATGAACAATCAGCAGCAGAGGTTTGGTACCTGGGTATTCGTCAGTAGTCAGGCTCCGTCCACCAGGCTATTCATTCTCAGGATACCATTCTTCACCCTGCTTTCGAGGTAGCGTATGATCTTTAGAACAAAGCTGGAAGGAACCTTCTCTCTTATTAGTAAATTCTCAGCGCTTGATCCCGCCAATGCCGCGCCCCGACTCGTGTTGGTGGATGCCGTGGCGCGGCTGACGGCGCTCAGCGTCTTGAGCTGGTCGGCAACCTCGCGTGACTCGGAACTGCTTGGGTGCGCGAGCTCGGCGATTTGGCTAGCGAGGTACGACTGGCGCTCAAAGGACGGGTCGCGCTCGACGAAGCCCGTCGACTCGGTCCAGGTCTTTTGGGAGGCGGACACCGGGGCCACGGCGGAGGCGTCACGGCGGCCGTCTCGACTAGTGGCGCTCAGGTCGATGGCGCAGCCGGGCGACGGCGAGGTGGACAGCTTCTCGAGGGCTTGTTCAAGACGAGATATGCGATCCTGCAGATCTTTGAAGGGGCTTGCATTACTGTAAAAATATCCACGCCACCCGGAGAAGGGATTGGTGGTGGCCACCTCCCCGGTTGGTGTTCCACGATTAGCCTGGATTGCTTCATCACGGGTAGGGAAGGGCCAAGTGCGTGTGGTGAAACAGAATGGACCAATCGTAGCCGGGAATTAATCCATATCTCTACACATGGGCAGCTGAACCCGCGAAGATAGCAGAGTCTGATACGGCTGCCATCCGTTCCACAACTCGACTGGAGGCGCTTGACTTACGCGGATGCCGGTGCCACGGCCGCGGGACGCCCAGCGCGCGATCCGGGCTGACATTGTATATGAGAGGTCAGGCAGTTGGAGCAGGGATATTCTCGATTGCATCTAATCTGCGATTGGTAGTCTGCATTAACACGGCTGCATCAATTGCGTTTGCACATCAGGCAGAGACTTCCGCCTCGATTTCCCGGTCAAAGGAGTCTCACGAGCTGGGCTCTAGGGGATGACAGATATCATGGAGGGTGACTCTAACCTTGCGGACTCTGCAATTATTGCACTAGCAGCCGTTAGCGAATGTCGCATGTCAGTTTTCGTGATGGTGAGTCGGTGGCACGATGATGGCGTTTCGACGTACCGCTCGAGGCACAACACTAGGCGACTCCATCATGATCATCCCAATTCTTTGATTCTTTGCTTCTTGCAAGCAAGCACCTTCCAAAAAGAGGCTCTTGGGACAGAATTCCGTGCCTGGTCGGGAGAAGCGAGATGCAGGATGCAAGGCAACGGTGCCGCGGAGGGCGCGGAAAGCGCGGGCCTTTTCTGGAGATCAAGGGCGTGCGGACTTGTTGGGCTTGGCACTAAACCCGAGTAGATCACCCGTACGAAGAAATCCATTTTGTTACCTGCAGTTTTCTCTCCTTTTTCTGTCTTGGGTTTCTTTTTTGGTCTTTTTAAAAAATCGATGAATTAGAATGAAATATAAACTCAGATGCAAATAGCATAAGGTGCCCGTCGCTACCACATCCACAACCTGAACAGTTGAGCCCCAGATCCTCTGTGGAGAGCCCTTGTAAGGCAGCATCTGTGACAAGTCGGCGGAGGACAACAAGCACGGTGACACTTCCACTGCTTTGCAAATTTTAGTGAGGCAGTGCAACTTGTAAAATGACTCGAGATTAGCCGCGGCATGTATCACTTGTATTGCTAAATCAACCAGACAAGTGACTCAGGACATCTCTATGAAATAGACGGGCTGGCGTCAAGCAACAAGCTTATCGAGTTGACGTGATAACTAGTATCCTTGCGGCCGGACCCTGATACCCCGTATAACAGATCGAACCTACGTACTCCCATGGTACAAGTCGCCTTTGTCCTGATGGATCTGGCCAGGTACCAAGCTACATCGTTTGATGTGCCCGTACAGCGTCCCCATCGCCGCTCCGTTCCTTCCCGCTCATGTCATTCCAAGCCACTTCTGTCCATGCCCTTTCTAGCCATCTCTTGATGGTCTTCTTCAATCATCACTTCAAATTTTCGGCCAATTATGCAGCTACAGTGCGGCACGATGCCGCTGTCCCGCCTGTGTCAACGCCCCCTCCTCATCAGTCTTGTGGTCTTTGTCCCCCTCGCCATCTACCTACTACTGATTGTCGGAGGTGCCGGATCAGCCATCGTACGGGCCTCTACCGAGACAACCAGAATGCATCTGTACCGTATATTGGCCGCTGCAGCCCCGGGAGCGATCTGCCTGGGCGAGATCGTGGAACCTGACATTGAGGAATCATCGCGAACTTCTCGACGACCGCTTCACGTAAGCTGTGTTGAAATTTGCCATTATGTCGCTGACATCATAAGACAGACTTGCGCTGTCCACGTTCCATAAACCCAAGGAGCTCCAGCACACCCTTGACATTCTCCTCGGCAACAAGATCCCCTCGCTGCTGGAAATCGTCGTCATCTGGAACGACCGCGATGAGGAAATGCCCACCGGCTATGTCAACCCGCATGGTGTTGAGGTGCGCTACCGGAAACCGCCTCGCGATAGCCTGAACGAGAAGCTCTGGAACGCCGTCTTACCGTACCCGCGCCGTTCTTCTCTCTGACGACGACGTCTTTTACCGCCCCGCTGACTTGATTTTGTCTTTGAAATGTGGCGCCGCTTCGGCCGTGACTGTGTGACCGGTGCCCTGGCCCGTTGTGCACATGTCAACCCGACCGGATTTTGGGAGTACAGGCTGTGTCGCCCCGGCGCCAAGTACGCGCTGGTGCTCACCAACTTGGCATTTGTGGACGTTTCGATGCTGGACGCGTAGAACTCCGATTTTGGGCCGGTGCAAGAGATGAGAGAGTTTGTGGACAAGGCGTCCAAATGTGAAGACATTGCGCTAAACTTCGTCGCGGCGGCAAGGCTGACGATGCCGGATTCAAGAGCGGCGAGCGTGGGCGGGCCGCTCCTGGTGCGTGGCTCGGAACAATATACCAACCTAAAAAGTGTCTTAATCACTTCGCCAGGGCATTCGGGTGTATGCCGCTGGTGGATGAAGTGGCGCGGATCGAATATGGCGTCAAGGATAATGTGTGGTACAAGACGCTGGCAGATAGGCTGCGGCAGTAAGTGAAGAATGATTCGGCTCAAACGCATTGGTGTATAAACTATACAGGTACATACGCATAGCATTCATTGGTAATGCTGCCATAGCCACGGCGAGGGTCAGAGCACTCGTATTGTAGCGTTATTTATATAGTATTGCTCGATTCAATATGTCGCTATTATTATTAATTTTCTCTCCAAAAAGTTGCTCTCCGAGCTTATCGTCTTGTTCACGCTAGACCACCACCGGCAAGGATCTTGGCCGCGCCGGTCTTGACGGCGTTCATGGCAGCCAGGTACAGCGAGGGGCCGATGCTGATCCGGGCCACGCCAATCTTTGCCAGCTCGGCAGTCGAGTGCGCGCCCTCCCTCCTCGACAGCAGAACGGCTACGCGCCCGTCGAGCTCCGCCACCAGCGTCTTGACCTCTGCGGTGCTGAGCCCGCGCGCGCCGCCCCAGAAGAAGACGGTCGTCGCACCCGCCGCCAGGTACGCCCTGCCGCGGTCCAGCGCCTCGCGCATGCGCGTCGCGTCGTCCAGGCCCGGCGTCTCCGCGTCCAGCTTGAACACGTCGCAGCGGGCGTTGATCACAAAGTCCGGCACGCCGGCCTCCGCCGCGGCCTTGAGCGCCGCGCCGATGCGCTCCACGGCCTCGGCCTTGGGGTACAACGAGCCGGCGATGCCGCGGCCGAAGCCGGCGGAGGGGATGCTGTCCTCGAGGTTGGCGCCGGCGACGCCGGAGCGGGCGGCGGCGGCGAAGACCTCGGCGATGCGTGCGCCGTAGCCGTCCTGCAGGTCGGCGGACAGCGGCAGGCCGGCGGCGGCGGCGAGCGGGGAGAGCTCGGCGACGGCGGCGAGGTTCTGCTCGGCGGTCAGGTCCTCATCGGCGGCGCCGCGGGCATGGGCGAGCGCCCAGGAGGCGGTGGCGATGGCGGCGACGGGCTTCTGGCCGTCGGCGGAGTCGGCGTTGAGGCAGGAAAGGGCGTAGAGGGAGGGCGCGTCCCAGACGTTGGGGACGATGAGCGGCTGGCCGGGCTTGTGCAGGGCCTTGAGCGTCTTGGCGAAGTCGTTGGTAGAGGGCATGACGGCGGCGGTGGTGAGGGTGGCGGTGGTTGTTTGAGAGTGTGGTGCTGGCGGGTTGGTGTGACGGATGCGGTGTATGGAGTAGCTGCGGTAGATGAAGCGGTACGATTGATGATGATGAATGGCGGGGAGAATGGCGGATGGGAGCGACAGAGGACGGTTCTTTATAACGTGCGTCCGTGGCGTGGTCGACACAAGGGCGCGCGAAGCCATTTTCTGTTTTTGTCAGCCACGAAGTATCAAGGGACAACTGGCGTCACGATTCAGCCTCCCGCAGCTTCACGCATTGCAGCACTGAGAAGCGTGGTTGGCCGTGCAAAGGACAAATTGGGTTGGTGCTGGCGTGGGGCGAGCGAAGACAAATCGTGGATACGAGTTACGGTGGAGGAGGGGTAGATTGGCAACATCAGAAGCAACAGACGAAATGAGTCGATATGGGTCATGGGAATCCAATTATATAATCCGGGAACAGGGTCGTTGTTGGATTTGTCGTCTCGATGAGTTTGGAAGGATGGGAAATCTGAATTTGGCTGCTCGTTTGCGAGTTGGGGCAGACGCCCTCTGGAATAGCTGGCCGGCGAGCTGAAACGGGGAAAGGCCAGAGACGCGGGGCAAACGACCATCTACACGCACAAGGCTGTTTGTTTGTTGATAAAGATGCCAGAGAAGCCGTCCAATATTCTACGATTGATTTTGTTGATTCTCCTTTTGTCTTCAACAAATCGAGGAGTAAACATGTACCAATTACGATTCAACTGACCTGGTAGTATCACAACGACATGGTACCTAACGAGATGGCACGGCAACAGCTATCATGCGGCGCAACAATGCGGCGCGCCACCACAGCCGACATCCCCAGCATTGTCGACGTCTACATGGACTCCTTCAGCGAGGAAATATTTAGCCGGCAAGTGTATCCCCGAGGCGTGCCGTCGTCGACCGCGTACTGGACGCAAGCCGTCCGGGAAGAAATGGAAGAACCGGACGCCGTGTGGTTCGTCGTGACCGAGCCTGCCGACACCGCTATCCCTGATGATGACGGCAACGAGACAGTCCAGGGCTTCCTCAAATGGACCCGGCCCGGGTCGCCGCTCCCGGAGCCCGCCGACTCCGCCACCGCCGGTCTGTATCCGCCCGAGGGCGAGCCGGCGGTCGCGGTCGCGTACTATGAGCGCATCATGGCCGCACACCGGGAGCGCATGGCCGGCACGCCGCACTGGTACCTGGACATGATGGGCGTGCGGCGCGCGTGCCGGCGCCGGGGGTACGCGCGCGCCATGGTGGCCTGGGGCGTCGGGCGGGCGGCGCAAGATGGATGCCCAGTGTACGTGGACGCGACGGGGGACGCGAGGGGGTTCTACGTGCGAATGGGGTTCGCGACGCTGGGGGAGTTGCGGGTAGTGACGCCGCAGGGAGATGCCAAGATTTATCTGATGTTGCTGAAGTCGTGAGCATGATGGGTGGTGGTGATGTGGGATGAGACAGATTGAATTGGCTGGGATCACTGCGGCCCAGCATTGGAGGTGGAGGATGTGACGGAATTGACGGACGCAAATCTTTCCAAGCTCCCAGATCGGCAGTCAGGTTTCCGTCATCATGGTTCAAGGGTGGCGTGTCTAAAAGAGCCGCTCTCAGTGTGATATCTAGCTAGATTCATGGGATAAACTTGTATAGCACTAGTCCCGTCAAAAAATACAATAAGGTGCAAAATACTTCTTTTCAATATATCCACAACCCTTTTGTCTCCCTCTGCTTCTGTTTCGCAGTCAAATCAAAGCGACGGCATGTCCGGGCCATCACTTGTTCTGCCCTATTCGTAAACTCCGGTCGCCCCTGGTTGGTCAGGCTAAGCCACGTCAGCCCCACACCTGACCTCGGTGAAGAAAGATGGTTTAGCCTCGCCAGTCAAACTAGCTTAGCATAAATCAGACTTTTTTAAACTTGGGGCAATGGTCAACGCACCAGGAAACTTGTCGCGTGACGAATCTGGAGTAGAGCTGGGTCCCGATTGGAAATTTTCTCTTGCGATGCGGTCTGACGGTACGTGTCCTCGTGCTTGTTGTTCTGTCGATACCTAAGCTTCAATTGTGGCTTGTTTCGTTGTAAGTAAAATGGTTTGGTCCGGTTGCAGCCCAGGTACGCAGCGAGGAACAGGCACCGCCTCACCCAAGGTATTTTATTTTTAGGCTCTGACGTGCACTGCAAAAGCCGGTCGTGAGCTCCCTGAAACTCGTACAGTTAACGTAAATACAGGGGAAGGAGCGCTGCGCCTTGGGAGGTTAGCGCCCAGGTCGTGGGTCGGTACTTGTCAGCTCAGTGGCTCCCCGCCTAAAGCATTGCGTCACTGCTTGTCACTCCCCTGTTCAAGTACTCCGTTGGAGTTCCCCGTTTGCTGTCCGTTTCTCCCGTGGCGCCCTCGATCCAATGGAATGCATTTCTCGGGTGCAACCTTTTCACTTGGCTTCCCTTTTTATTATCACCACACACCCCTATCCCCCGTTCTTTTCTTCTCATTCTCCCATTTCCAGCCTTTTGTCCATTCCTTCATTTCTCTGTCCATCTATTTCTTATTATCCTTTTTATTCATTAGACGAAGCCGCCGCTTTATAGCAATAGATCGAGTTGTCACACTTTGAACCTGTCAACTTGCCAACACGTCATCACAATTAGGAGCCACCATCACCACCGCCAACCAACAGAAACACCAAACATCCCCGTTACCGTCGTCGCTGTCGCCATGGCTGACGCCAACCACTCGTCCAATACCAGTAGGCTGGCCGCCTACCTCGCCAAGCTCAACCCCGTACCTGCCTTTCCCGAGTACACCGGCCCCTACAAGGTTGGCACCATGGACGTCGAGATCCCAGTTGGCGACCTGCCATCGCCCAGCCCGGCGCCGGCCAACGCTACCGCCGCCGGCATCGAGACGGTTCAATACCGCGTCTTCTACCCCGCTGTCCCCGAGTCCGCCGAGAAGCGCATCAGCTGGCTGCCTGCGCCCCAGCGCAATCACGTCTCCGCCTACACCCAGTTTGTCGGCATCAGCCAGATGCTAGCCGGCGTCCTCTCGTGAGTTGTGCCAAACCTTGGCATTTCGTAATGCGGAATCGCATTTGTAGCAGCTCTTTTCTAACATGCCTCCCCGCCTCTTTTACAGCTTCATCCCCCGACATCTCCATTACACCACCATCCCCGTACACAAAAACGCCAAGCTCCTACCCGCCACCACCGACAACCAGCGCTGGCCGACTATGATCTTCTCCCACGGCCTCGGCGGCAACCGCACCTCGTATTCGTACATTGCCGGCTCCCTCGCCTCCCATGGTGTTGTCGTGTTCTGCCCCGAGCACCGCGACGGCAGCGCCGTCGTCACATACGTCCGCCTCAAGGACCAGATGAACCGCTTCTTCACCGCAAACACCCGCCGGGAGATCCCCTACAACCGCATTTCCCACGACGTCACCCCCGAGGTCTACGAAGCCCGCGAGGACCAGCTGCGCATCCGCCTCTGGGAGATGGGTCTGGTCCATGAGGCCGTCCAGGCTATGGATTCGGGCGAAACCTTTACCAATCTCAACCTTTCCACACCCAGCCTCGATCAGTTCGTCGACGCGCTCGATGTCAAGCGCCCCGGCAGTATCATCTTTGCCGGCCACTCCTTTGGCGCCGCTACCGTCCACCAGCTCCTTAAGTGCACGTACTACGCCGATGTCCCCGAGGTCGCCGCCATAGAGAAGTCGCTGTTCACCCCGGCTAGGGATAGCAGGCTCCGCAAGCAAATCACCGAGAAGAATGTCACCATGCTGCTCGACATGTGGTGTCTGCCGCTCCTCGCCCCCAACTCGGCACCGCTCTACAACCTCCCCCTTCCCGTTTATGCCGACACCTCCTCCGCCCCCGGTGGCACCGGCCTACTCGCCGTCGAGTCCGAGGTATTCTTCAAGTGGAAGGAGCACCTCAACGTCAAGGCACGTCTGCTGTCCCCCGACCCCACCACCAAGGTCGTTGGCCCGCAGACGTTTGAGACGGAGAGCGGCATGAAGCACGTGGAGCCCAACTTCTTCTACGTCGTCAACTCGGCACACCTCAGCCAGTCCGACTTTGGCATCCTTTTTCCCTTCCTTACCAAGAAGATCTTCGACGCCGAGCAGCCCGAGCGCGCGCTGCGCCTCAACCTGCGCGCCCAGCTGCAGCTCTTCCGCGCCAACGGCATCCCCGTCGCGCGCACCTACACCGGCGACCTGGTCGACGGCTCCCACATGGGCAAGCTCGACGTCAAGCAGCAGCAGAAGCAGGGCGGCAAGGACGGCGACGAGGTCCCGGTCGACCGCCGCGCGCAGCAGCATCCAGTCGACGGCATCATGGACGACAAGGCCATCTTTGACCGCAGTGGCAGCGACGTGGTCGACAACTGGGCCTGGATCGACGTCATCGGCCTGGGCGAGGACGCGGACGCTGGAAAGTCGGCCGCAGAGCAGGTCGAGGACGGCGAGGAGGTCATCAAGGGCGAGCTCGACCCCAGTGAGCAGCCTCTGCCCGTCGGAGTCACGCCCATTGCAATCGTCAACGCCGCTGCGTAAACGAAGGAATTCCACGAGGGAAAGTAAATAATGGCGGCGGCGTGGCAAGCGAGATTTAAACTCGCACTATATACCCACTGTACTATGATAGCGATTTCTTTTTTGTTACTGGGCGGCGCATCTTGCATAGACTTTTTAGCATGGGAAATGGGAAACACTCTACGGGGTCGAAAAATCGGATATCATCTTTTGTTCGTTTAAAATTCATGTGATTAACTAAACGCCATTTCTGTTCTCTCTGTGCAGTGTGTAAAAGCAAAAATGTCAATGTCTTGTTTCTCAAATCAGTCTCCGGCGTCAAATTTCCCGTTTCCTCTGTGCATCATTCCGTGTAAAAAACAGTATATCCGTACATGTCCAAGTCTACCCGAAATCATCGCCGATTTTTTTGCGTCGGCATCTAATTTCCTACGCATCATCTCCAAACATATCCATTCAGCACAACACATTTCCCATCGACCAAAATTCTCCACATCGCAATCTTCTTTTCCAGGTTTTTTTTTTGTTTCTCCCTCTCATTTTCCCCCTTTCTCTCACGCCTCAAAGTCCGCCTCGGTCAAAAACTCACCCCCGAGGATACGACCCCAATGCGTCTTGCCGATATCCCGACCGTCGCGTCGCAGCGTCGTCAGTAGCAACCTGATGCCCTGCACCGGACTTCTCTCAAACGCAGCCCCCTCGCCGCCGACGATGAAGCCGTCCGTCTCAACCGTGACGCCGTCGGTGCGTGGCTGCCACGCGAGCCCCAGCAGGTCGCACGTGTCGGCGTAGTCGCGGAACGAGGCAAAGTAGAGCTGGCCGGCGAACAGGTTCAGCAGCAAGCGCAGGCGGTCTGATACCGCCGGCGTCTCCGGGACGACCGTCTCCGGGACCGTGTAGAGGCGAAGCGCGTCCAGCGGCTCCAGGCCGAGCGTCGTCCGCGGCGCGTACAGCTGGAGGCGCACGCGCGACGATACCGACGGCCGTGTCAGCAGCGGCAGGAGCTCTTGCGCCTCGTGCGGGCTGATGACGATTGCTCTGCTAGCGTCGCAGCCGGTGAGAATGTATTGGACAGGCCGCTGAAAAGAGTCTGCGAGTCCGCCGCGCGTGGGCAGCAGGACCGTCCGCGCATAGTCGGCCGTGACGAGCAAGTCATCCGGGAACTGGTGCAAGTCGATCCATTCCGCCACTGTTGTGCTCATGAGGGCTAAGAATGCTGGGTGTAACGCGGCGGTCTTCGATGGGATATTTCCTGTCGCCACAAAGCTTTTCAGGTCCGGATGCAGCTCGTGCTTAGCGGGAGACATAGGCGGTGGCCGCTCGATCTGGCGCTCCTGCTCAACCTCGGGTGCAAGTTCCTTCTCCTGCTCCTCCTGCAGCGCTTCCGAATGGAAGCGCGACACGCCAAAGTCGTCACAGCGTTGTTGAATCGCATGCAACGATTCAGTTTGGTCTTCTCCGAGCCCGAGTCGCGCAAACGAGGACAGCATTTCATCGGTATCGTTGATTTGCGGCTTTGGTCGGTAGCGGTATTCTATAGTCTGCGCCTCTTCTTCGAGAAAATTATCCGCGAGCTCCTGCGTCAGTGTGATCCCATTTTCCGTGGTAGTACTGTCCCAGGTAGTTTTCTGGCTGTAGAACCGGGCTCCCTGAATCGCCCAGAGCGGCATCAGTCTTTGTAAATCGGCGTGAGTCTCGGAGATAGCCCACATTAGGACATCAGCTACCGCAACTTCGCTGTCTGATGGTTTGTTCGTGGCCAGATGAATGCGAGCCTTCATCTCGCTTGAGATGCAGAATACGACTGACTGCCCATGACCGAGTTTCCGCATCCGCATACATGCTGTGTTGCATGGTTAGCTTTCTCATCTTTACCAATGTTTGTGTATCCAAACGTACCTTGCACGAGTCTGTCCTTTGTGAGATCTGGTCCCAAAGTCACCGCAGCTCTGTAACCTTCTGGAAGTTTCAAATCCGTTCCTCGAGTGTGTGCCTGGTCCAGGAACACAAGGCAACGATCCAGCTGCTCGGCGTACGGCGACGTCTGCAGTCTCTCAACAACTCCTTTGCGATCAATGACACAGGTCTCGTCATCATCATCGAAAAATACGACAGCTTCATGTTTCTGCTCCACAGGAAGAAGTTCCAGCCATCTCTTGGCCACTTGAATGTTCGTGAGCTCCAGTACTTGAGCGCCAACATCCAAAATAACATGAACTTCGTTTTCAATGGCCGCAGCGAATGCAAGCAGGCGGTCTGTCTCGGAGCCCTGAATGCCCTTGGAAGAACGCAGCAGTTGCACCGTGTTTTCTGGCCGGAGAAGATTTTCGAGGACCAAGGCATTGGTGTGCAGCTGGTCTTGGATGTCGAGTTGCTTCACGTCAAGGGGTAAAACGTGGCGCGAGTCGTTTGTACCGCTGAACCCGGTCGTCGCGTGGGATTTCTGAGCGCCAAGGTCCCAACCTGAAGACGAGAGCTTATGCGAAAACTCTTTCATTTCTTTTGGAAAGATCATTTGGGACAAGTAATAGTCAACCACACTCTTTGCCTGTCGGAGGTGAGGAAACACTTCTCTAGTGACCTGGTCCACGTCTTTTAGGTTGACTCCGTTCAAGCTATGGAACGAGCTCGGTAGCTCAGGTGCATTTGCGACCCATTGCTGGTACTCAATCTCTGCCTGGTCGGATCGTACCACATGATTGAAGGCTATAAACAGTTCCTCGTCGGTTAAGCCTGCATAATAGGAGCTCAAGCAAGTCAACAGAATAACCACGTCCGGGTGGCTAAACTCTGCTCTCGTTGATGGGCTGTCCTTTGCCCTGTACGGCACCGCCAGTCTTGTAGTCGGTGTTCGGTTTGGATCCAAGCCGTAGTTTACTCTCCATCTTTTCTGTCGGAGCGCAAAAAGCAGCACTCTGCCTGCCATGAGGCCACGCAGCAAGAGCAACGGCTCCTTGATTGAATCAGTAAAGAAGCCGTCATTCGTTTCCACCAGTGCAACTTGGTCTGCGGAGACATTTTCCTCGATAATATAGTCGAAAATTGCCGCTCTCATCTTGTCGCTCTGTCGGCCGATAGGCAAACCTGGAAGGCCTGTGCAGCAAATCCTCCTCGCAATTTCGCGGAGGAGCTGCGCGCCGGCTTCAGCACGAAGAATGCGTGTGCGAGGGAATCGGCCATAGCTACGATGCGTAATCTCAATGCCCTCAGGCATGTTTTGCTGCACTGATGGGGTGACATCAAGAACGACATCCAAAAGGCGTTGCAGTATAATCCAACGCTCTGGGCTGAGCTCTATCGGGCGCTGCTCTCCCATGGTGTAGATGAGCTCAAACTTCGGGCTGAAGTTCTCGTCACTCTCGTCCACGATATCGCGAGAATTGGACTGGAAGAAGTGGTGGAGATCAACAAGAGCTTCAGTCGCGCTGTTTCCGTCCGGCAACGAATGGTACTCGATAGTCATAAGCTTGAATGATAAAATGTGCTCGGGCTGCACGAGTAGAATGCCACCCTGTTCAACACATCGTCGGTAGAGCCGATTGAGTCTCTTGACATCGCTTGCAGTGAGTCGCAATGAGCGGTTGAAAGGCATGTAAAAGATCTGACGACTGAGAAGACCGCCCAGCTTGGAGATGAGCGTTCGTCGCAGTTCCTTGGACTGTGGCTTTCCAACAACAGCGCGCACGAGTTTGCAGCCATCCGCGAGATATGCAGCGACAATAGGAACAATGACGGACGACTTTCCTTCACCCATGTTGAGCTGCATCACAGAATTATTTCCTCCCTCTGGGCTCCTCATCTCGGATGCGATGTCTTCCTGTACTTCGCGGATCAAGATACCGCTCTCAATCTCCAACAGGAGGTTTTCTGGTTGGTTCATCGGGTCCCAATTCGTATGACCAACATTTGCATGCTCTTTCACAATATCCGAGGAAGATTTTGCTCTAAATAGCCTCTCTGCGCGCTGCAGTTTAGTCAGGGCGGTTCCATACATCACCAGGGCCTCTTTCCACTCCCGGCATAGCGAATCCCAGCGAGTTTGGACAAGATTACCCAGCAAAATGGAAGACGACATGCGCGGGGCCATGAACATAATTGCCACTCGCCATTCATTATCTGGAACATCAAGAGGTCTGTCACAGAGACCTGACTGGAGACTTTCGAAGATTGCAGCCTGTAAGACGGTATATATCCTGCTCACGTTGTCGCGGCAGTTGCGCAGATGAACCAGAAGCATGTAATGAAGCTCTTGCCCCTCTAGCATCAAGCTTTGGGGCGGCTGAAGGCTTTCTAGAGCTTCAAGACTCCGCTGCAACTCCTCAACATACCTCCTCTGGCTTGGATGCTTAGACGTCGCAGCTTGGCTTAATTTTTCCAGTAATAGTGCCAAACGCGGAGAAGCTGAGGTCGACGGCGCCTCGCGTTGACCAAGATTCAACTCTCTTTGATCTAGTCTGCGCACCGAAGGGGTAGATAACATGAACATTGATTGAGATGTGATCAATGACTTCCGATTTTGGGGCTGCAAACCGGGTCTGCTGGCCGTCATGTCCACCAAGGACCGAGCCGCCGTAACTGGCAGTGAGTTCAGCTTCGCCGCAACTTCAAGAAGATATTGGTGGAAACAGTGGTTTTTGTACCAGCTCTCCCACATTTCCGAAATTCTTCTCATCGCATCTGCGGAGTTCAGGTAAACCGCGCGACGCGAAGGTGCACTTGGCGTGCTGCAAATCCACTGCTCATAAACGCCCGCAACAAAAGTTTCGATGGCGGAGTTCTGGTTGTTCTCAAACTTAATTCGTCGTCGTTCAAGATAGTTGTGCTCATCCTCCCCGGTTAGTTGAGGCAAACAATACTCCGGGCTGGCATTGAATGCGGTAAGATCTGCTTGGGCAGCTGCCTCTATCTCTGACCACTTCGCATCGCGGCCATCAGAGAGCTGGTAGTAGCCGGCGCTTGGTATTTCAACATCGAAAGTTCCTTGAGCTCTGGTAAAAATTGCAAGACATTGCAGTGCTTGAAGGCTTGCGTCTGTCGAGAACGCTATTGTGCAGAGGCACATCATGACTTGGAATCTGTTGCATGAGGAGGACGGCGTGACGAGCAAACGATGCAACTGGCACCAAAACTTTTTCAAAACAAGGGCTTGATCCTCCATCCACTGGGAGCCATACCGTATTTCTGCTTCCGACAGTTGCCCAGTTGCGCCTTGGGCGCTATTGGAAAGCGTCTTCCACATATTATCCACGAAGCCACGAGGGACTGAGCAAGCCAGGCTCACCTGGGCGCGCGTCAACATTTCAGCAACCTGGAAGGCTCTTTTGGATGCTGCAGTGTGATTTATCCTGTCGCGGCTTTGATAGACGGCATCGTGGTTAGTGGTGTGATTCTCTCCGCCGAACCCGTCCACTTGAAAGCTGGCGGCCCTGATGGAATAGCGTTTTCCAAGAGCAGTATCGACGTGGTTGGGAGCTTCTAGTTCGCCAAATTCATCAGGGTAAAACACATTGGTATCGTTGGCCTGGGAAAACAGATCTTCGACGAGAAAATAGAAGGCGTTGTCCTGAGACAAGTAGCTCAGCTGATCGTCCCATTCTACGGTCTCCATACATTGCAGGTGTTTGGGGTAATGCTGCCTGGCAGGAGATAGATGCGCAATCCTGTTCAACTTCTTCACGTCTTCTTCCTTCAAATACTCGAAGGAACGAAGAGAGGCCGACCGGAGAATGGACAGGGCCTGCTCTGATCCCGTCTTCCCAGTGAGCTTGTCCGGCAGACAATATGAGGTGAGCCCATGGAGATGGCAAATGACGAGCTTGCTCTGTATGCTGCCGTTGTCCACCAACCTTTGCAGAAGTGTGTCGACTTCATAAGGGTGGACTCTCTGCGAGGCGCCATGAGGGATGCACACGCGGACGTGCTTCACGGAGCGATCCCATGACCAGTTTGGCTCGCCGTTTGGGATTAAAACTTTTCGGTGGCTGCCCTCATCCCTCAAGACCAATTTGCTCTCCAGTCCCACAAGAGTACCGATGCCTTGATCTGCGTCAACATACATTCCTCGAAATTGGCGGGAGTAAAGCCTGGAGCAGCCAGCAGCCGTAAAAAAGTCCAGTTGGAGTCTTGGCAGCTCGACTTTGAGACATTTCGTATTTTTCTCAAGCACGACATGAAGATATGCCTTTTCCTCGATGGGTTTCAATAACTCGGCAAAGTGCTTGACGCTGTCAGTCTCCAAACTTAGCAAAACATGCTGGCTCTGTCGTTCAAGAACCCATCCCTGGTCCTGTCTCTTCATAATCCAAGTTTTATCCGGCGACGACTTCCAAGGATTTTTCTTATCACGAAACTCCACGACCTGAGATTCTCTGCCGTACCAATGGACATAGTTGTTGACAAACTTCTGTGGTAAACTTTGTGCGAAAACTCTGGAGGGGACCAGGTCGTACACCTGCGTAGCTGACCTGGCCACGAGAAGTAAATCACCGGGTACACGCTTACTCATTCCAAAAAATAAGGTCTGTCCGTGAAACGACTTTTTGGACGAAAGGCTCATTCCAGGAAAATCCGTTGGCAGAACTTCGATTGCCACTTTGCCAAAGAGATCCGCGTAGGCTGGATGTTGCTCATACTCTGCTGGCAGCCGCGACAAGGGATTTCCGTTTACAAGGAGCTCTCCTGTCAATATATTGAAGTGTACAGTAAGCTCTAGATCTGTTCCTGCGGCCTGAATGGCAGTGGTCATCCAGTGTGTGTGTGGATGTGAGGCCGCTGCCCAGGTCGCCCCTCCAGGATATGCCGACCAGGCTTTTTGAATCGCCATGTCAAGACATGGACATTCACTTCTCAAGATCTTATCATTCAAAAAATTGAAAGCTTTGAACAGAGTTCTTTCGCATCGCAGCTGGGCGATCGATCGGCCCCCAACGCCACCCGACGCGTCATGTGCAGCAATAGACGCCTCAAGTAGCATGGCTGCATTGTCTGTGGACTGCAACATCGTTCGTAGATGGTCCTCGTCGATGTCAAACGACGTGACCCATATGTGAGCCACGTGGAGACTGTTTTCAAGAAACTCGGCGCGAGTGCCCTCGGTCTCCGCCTGCCTCACTTTCTCCTGTAAAAGAGCCATCCAGCGCCGAAGAACTGTGCGGCATTTGTCCAGGAACTCGAAACATCGGCGTAAAGCTTTCTCTTCTTTTGATAGAGATATCAGCCTAGCAGCCAGGGCAATGAATCCGCCGACAGCATGGTATGACTCCCAGTTCTCCTTCATCTTGTCAAGAGCGGCCTCGAGTCCTTCCACACATGCGATGGCGAAGTTTTCGCGACTGGGAAACTGATGCCCGGCTCTGTATACACTGTCTTCCGGAGGTCCAACTTGTCTGCTAACCTGCAAAAGAATCTGAAGAACGTCCTTGTTGGTAAAGTTGAGCACGGGCATGCGAAGCTGCGTGAGTATGTTCAACCACTGCACTCTGTAGCCGCAAGGCAAAGCCGCCATGGCCCTGAACTCTTCCAATGACAGGTGCTCTGGGCATTCTGACTGCTGCGAGATGATGTGGTTCGCTGATTTGCCATTTGGAGACTCGGGCGGGCGGAACATAAATGGTCGCAGGCTGCTGCATGGGCCTGAAAGCCGGTAGGTGCAATGGGTTGTGATTTTGTCGGTTCTCTGGAAGCAAGCCGCCCATTTACACAAGACGTTGTCATAATAGCGGAATTTCAACCCAGACTTGAGAAGGACTTCGCCCTCCGACGCGGTTCCGAGCGTTTTGAGTTTTCGATGCGTCCGGCGATGAGACTTGGTTGTCGAAACCAGCCCAAAACGCTTCGACTTCTGACAGTAATAGTACTGTGCTAGGTAGTCGGACAGAGCATCTTCTTTGCCCATCTCATAGGAATGTCTGCTGGTAGACTTCAAAACAGACGAGATCATGTACGCAGCGGCGTCTCGCCAACGCTCGATAGCCGTGGGTACTTTCAACTCGAAGACCACATTTTGTGCTGCGAGATCATCGGATGGAAGCGGCCATTCATGCACCTCGATGGTGAGATTTTTGGCCTCTTTTTTATGATAGCAGCGCTGGCAGTATCGAGAGTGAACTTGGTACTCATGCCCTGTTTTATAGTTGACTCTTGCAAAGTACTCATGCTGTCGTCCTGCGGCCTTGGCTGTGTGGGACTCGTAGGCTTGAAGCTTGGTTCGGAACTCTTCACGCTTTCTCTTTCTTTCAGCCTCTGCCCAAGTTTCGATATCTTTTTTCAGATTTCCATGTTCAGCTGAGTTTTGAAAGAACTGAACGGCGAACGAGTTACTCTCGCCAAAGCTTGAGAAGATAGACGGGTTTCGCTCCGACGCCATGAGCTTGCGCTCCTCCAAATAGTTTTCGATGCACCGAAGGCGCTCCATGTCTCTCTTGAAAGGTAATATGAGAGATTGGAGCACTTCGCCGGGGATTTCATGAGCATACTTTTGTAGCAGTCCGTGTACCTTACACGCCGACTTATCGCACGCAACCCAGAGCTCCATAATGGTCAAAAGCATCAAAGAGGTGGCTTCGGGGTTTCGAGCATAACTTGCTGCTGCTTTCTGGTGGTAAATTTTGATCACATCCAGCAGCCTGCCTGGAGTTTCGTTGGCATCGATGTTCATTTCGAGCCAATGATCCAAGCATGTAGAAACCCATCTCTCAAATGCTAATAGCTGAAAAGCAGCCTCTTGATCTTTCCCAGAAAAAAGGGCCTTGGGGAGTTCTGATTCCTGATGCCTTGGCACAGACCAAGAGGGCTTGAAGTCCAAGCTAGCTGCATCAGTGTCGCGTGAATCAATGGAGTTTATAAAGGCTTCCATGTTCGGGTATGAGCCGTATTGATCTTTGCGCCAGAACTGCGAAGTTTCGCGCATCGACAAGGTCGCATCCAAGACTTGGGATGCCTTCTTCCAGGATGCTTCGATGCGCTGGGCGGCGGTCGACATTGCCGTTCCCACACGGCCGCGCAAACAATCCCGCGCATCGTTTCCAAGCTTCTTCAGCCTTCCGGATATCTTTGCCACCATGCAGTAGAGAGTCTCGCATGGCATTTCCAAGGACACTGCGACGTCCAATAGCGAGGACATAAAGAAGACCATGAACTGCTTGTAGACGTGCGTCTCACCCGCGCGAGAACAAATGGTGTGGATGGTGATGCGAGCAAGCAACCACAGGGGCGATCGTCTCCAGGGCATACGGGCGTTTCTCCAGCTCACTTGTTCCCGCGTGTTTTTTTCGAGGACCGGGACCTGGACGCGCTCCCCGAGTGCGCAGAGGATAGTGGTCAAGAAATCGGTGACAATAGCCGGATTGGTAGTGTCTCGTTCTTCAATATGCATTTGGCTAGCTTTTTTCACCATGGGCTTCATGTCTCTGACTTCTTCGATGCCCATCCTGGCAAGTGCATCTGCCAAGGAGAAATGAAGGTCGGGGTCGTTGAACACGGCCAATGGAATCGACACGGCGGAGCCCGGGAAGTGTCGCTTGAGTCGACCTTGCGTGCTCATTATATCCTGATTCTTGGGTACAAGCTCAGAGGCCTCGAAAATAATCGAGTCGTTGTCGCGACTGACAATGACGGCCGCATTTTGGACTTAAACATGGACGGGAGCAAAGCCACCTGAAACAAAATTAGCATCCGTCATTCCAGAACTGATAATGAGGGCGGTAAACACCATCTTTTAAAAGTCTCTCAAAAAATTCTCCCACTTTTTGCGCATCAAGATCACCGAATTGGTTCTTCGAATCACGAAGAAACTTGAGGGCTTCAAGCGCTCGAGGCACAGCGCCGCAGGCTTGGAAGGTGTCGAGAGAGCCAAAATTGCGCAAAGCGCGACAGAGGTAGTCCAAGAGAGCCTCTTCGCTGGTTCTAGTGATATCGGTATCATCTCCCTTCTGGGGATCCCCAGGCGTGAGGAAAACGTGGTGGATGATGAGCTTGAGTTGGGCCACAGACACGCCTGTTGCAGACGGCATCCTGTCGAACCAAGGGGCCCTGAGAGGGCAAACCCGTCGCTCAAACCTTCCGCAGTCAACTTAGTAGTGTTTCAGCCGTTTTGGGGGGGTTGTAGGAAGAAATATCCTCACTGTGAGACTGGGTAGCGAGTCTTAAGCAGTGTTTGATGTTGTGCGCATGCAAGGTGATACAGTTCAGAGCAACTCGAGTAGAATCGAAAAGCAATAGAAAGGTCAGGTTTCTGCTGAGCGAGGTTTGGGGAGAAATTTGGAAGGGGAGAGAATTTCTAGGAGTGCAGAAATTCAAAAGAGCCCTTTTAAGGTACTGTTTGCCAATTCACTCGTTTGCAGTTTGCAACAGCAGCTCCGTTTGCGTCGTCGGATGGGTTTCGCCGGCCCAATTGCCGCTTCTGCCTCAAAGCTCGGGTGCTTTCACGCTCTCAGTTAACTTCGCAAGCTCTGTAATAAAGTAGCGGTAAGCCTTTGAGTCGCGTGGAAGGAATAAAAGCTATGTATGCAAGTATGCGGTAGGAAGTGGCTGTTGGCTGCACCGTAGATGTTTGCTCATGGGAATGTCAAGTTGTCGCGTCTGTACTAAATGCCCAAGCAACATATCGTTTTCATTGGATTCATAGTCTGTCTCTCCATAAGCAAGCAAAGTAACTTTTTTCTGATTCATTAGCACAAGCAAGTTCCGTTAACTCCCCTCAACTCCCGTCATCCTCGCAGCGTCCCCCTCCAGTCCTCCCATCTTGCCTCAGCGTCGCGCCGGCGCCGGTGCCGCCGCCTGCATCAGCCTTTCCCCCTTGGCCTGCAGCACAAACGGCAAGAAGACGTCCATCGTCTCCTGCACCCTCATCCGGTCCCAGCGAATCATGCTGTGCACGCGCTCCGCATCGTACCAGCACCCTGCGCGGCTCGCCTCCGGCGGGTCGCCGCGCAGCTCTATGAACAGGCGGCTGACCAGACGAAAGTGCGCATGCGCCAGCTCGTCCGTGGCCGGCACCTCGTCCCACCGGGCATCGTACAGCGGCCGGCCGGTGTCGCGGTCCTGCACCGGCAGGTACGGGTTCGGCACGCCGTAGCCGCGGTAGTGGTCGTCGCTGTAGTAGCAGTCGGTCAGCCAGCGCCCGAGGTAGGTCGCGTCCTCCTCCGACGGCGGCGTGTCCGGCGGGCCCTGGATGGCCAGGAACCACCGCATGTACGAGGCGCTCGCCGCCAGCGGGTCGAAGCAGAACAGGTGCGCGACGGTCGTCCGCGCCGGCGGCTCGGCCGGGTTGTAGGAGAAGGCGGGCGGGCACGGCTGATGCGGACACGGCTCGACCACGGCCTCGGGGGCGACGATGTGTTGCGGTATGAAGCAGCCGCATGTGCGCCAGTGGTGTTGGCGAGGTTTGGACGGGTTCGGGCACCAGCAGCCCGTCGTCATGAGACGTTCTGGTGGGTGGAGGTGGACGAGGCGGACGTTGGGCATCGGTGCCGGCGTCGGGGTGGTCGCGGCAGCGACTTGCGGCTGCTGAACAGGCGATTTCGAGTCTTTCGATGCTGGCGCACCCGAGTACGCGGGGCCAAGGGCCTTGCACAGGATGCTAGCAACATACGCGCAAAAGCCGTTGTGAATGTCGAGGAGGATAGGTTCAACCGGCTGCGGGCCGGCCCGGCCACGTCTAGCGCGCCGCTGGATGCGGAAGAGAAGGGTGGGGTCCATGTCTTTATGTCTTGACGGATTGGTAAAGAAAGCACGTCAAAGATCTACAATGACATGTGTGACATGTATGTGGTTGACTTCAAACTCCCCGCAATAACCTGATAATGAAAGCGATGCTATCAGACAGTTTCGAGTCTAGCATGCAGCAGTCACATGGCTATATATCAAGTGACATCTACTCACATGGTTGAAACTCGACCAGCATCCCGTCTTGTGCGCTTTCATCCGAATCGAGCGTTGCTCCCGAAATACCACTCCTCCACACTTCCTAAGCGACCCTTCTTGAACCAACGAGTGGCCGAGACCGCCTTCGACTCAGAAAGCCAAGAACGGAAGCGAGAGACATATTATCATTGCAGGCGAATTTCGCAAACGAAAAGTCTGCCGATACCTGCTACACAAACGGTACGGGCCACCAAGACATTGGCAATGTAGCCGTCGTCCTCGTTCGCTGTACTGCTCCGGGGAAACTTAAGCGGATGATTCATTGGTGTGGACCACGCGAAGATGCATTAGCCCGTGTGATTGAAGCACGATGTTACAGAAGACCCTGTAGTTGCCTTTGTCAACGGCTAGTTTCTTACGATGGCGGCGGGAATGAGGGTGGCCCGCAGAATTGATGTCTTAGGATGGTGGAGGAGGCTTGCGTGTCGATGGTGCAGAAATCGGTTGTAATCTACAGAGAAAAGAAATGAGTGCTTCCGTCGATGTTCTGAAGCAGTCAGAGAGACAGCTGTGTTGCGCCGGGAAGCAACTGGTTCTCAATAGATAGGGTCATACACCATCACTTACCCACGCACTATAAAGCTCAAAAGCTATTCTACTGTAGCAATTTGACTTTTCATCGCATAGTCCTAGATTTGAGTGCAATCAAGCATCTTGCCACTTTCATAGCGGGAGGCAAGGGTTGACAGGCTGTTCCCGCGTGTTTTCCGCAGCCCTTGCCCCAGCGCAAAATCGAGTCTTCGCCTTGCCCCATGTCATTTAAACCAGACAATTTTTCATTGGATTTCGCCAAGACCAGTAGTACGGAAATGACATGAACCGGCAAAAGCACGCATGACGGGTCAGGGTCAGCGCATGCCGGGGGGCGGTTGGCGTTGTAGGTTGACCTGTAACGCACACTGAAAAGGAGTTGCGTTTTTGTCTTTGACTGCAGCTCTTTGGTAGCATTAATTATTACATAGACGCACATTAGTATGAGTCTGTATTCGACCGCGTCACGTTGCATATCGTTACACCACATGGCCTTGTTTTCTCTCGACGGAAAGCCAACACTATGAGGGTCGTGCCAGTTTAGCAGACAACAATTAAATAGACTTGTTCTTCCGCGGGCATCTCACAATCGTGAATATTGCTTGATTCTCCTGGCAAGTATCCATAAGAGCTTCGGGCGCTGTGCGTTACACATGGCAAGGCCAACGAGCGTTGCACAGTTTGTCTTAAAAAGCGACAGTGGCTGTGACCCGAAAAATCGGTTGTAAAGGCCGACGGGATTAAAAATGGTGGATCATGTCTTGATCCGATATGCTGATCCATGACGAGTGGTGGAACAGAGGCATGTGTCTGCTTGGGAATTAACAGCCTCAAAGACTTACGACAGAATTTAGAGAGGCTCGGAGCGATGGCCGCGGACCGTTTCCAGTGGGCTTCCCTTATGCGACGGGCATATCTAATTATACAACGTGAGAGTGTGTCGACAAAGGCGCTTCTTGTCTGGCTTCACTTGTAGGAAAGAGAATTGGGAAGTAACATTTTCGAGGAGGAAAACTTGCGACAGGTTGATAGGCTCGCAGACTTCGGTCCGATGTTGAATCAACACCAGACCAGAGGCATTGCATCAGGAACTTGTTGCTCCGCTAAGGAGGTGGCTCTGGTAGCATGATGCCAGGAGGCATGAGTCGTTCGTTTTGAACAATACTTGTGTTCTAACGAAGCTTGTTTTTTATCGTTCTCCTCTTATTCACAAAATGATTATGCCATCAAAGTTGCTTATAGTTGGATGCCGTGGCCGACTTTGTGAGCGCATGGAGAGGCAGGCCAGCGCAGCCAGCGCAGCCAGTAGAATATGCGAACGCCCTATACTCGATGCCTTCAAAAGGTTTCCTTTGTCGCCGCCGCCATGTGCTCCAGAGCAAACGATGATGTAGCCTACAGCAGGGTAGCTACTTGACGAGGTTGCGTCTTGCCGCGCTGGATTTCGGCTGCAGGTGGATTTTTGCTAAATTTAGAGGTGTGACTTGTACCAGCAGGTCTGACGTGGCGCACAGCCAGCGGCTGGCTTCTCGTTGCATACATTTTGGGTGCTCATTGTTGTTAGGTAGCTTGGCGGCGCTTACAGCAGCTCTTGGCGGTTTTTATTTATTTATTTTTTTTTTTTTTTTTTTTTTTTTTTTTCGCAAGTTGGTGCAGTTCGTAGATTTGCTGCTTAGTGACGTCGGCTGGTTTCAAGGTATCCATACACTAGTACGAAGTAGCGGTGGTGAAGTGAAAATGGCTAGAGGGGAACGGCGTTGGCGAGATCGGGTACACGGCAGTCGCAGAAATTCTGAAGAAGGTAGGGGAAAGATCAAACACGTTTTGCTTAGTCGGTCGCGGATCTTAAGAGGGCGTTGGCGGACGAGGGTGAGGAACCGGGGGGGTTGCGAGACGTCGAACGAAACGTTGCGGCAAATTGGAGCCGCACACGGCGTGCAGAGGACAAAACGGACGAATCGTAGGCCGACCAATTACCAGTTGCCAATCTGCCAGTGTATTGGCGCTGGTGATTTTGTGAATTTGAAGCTGGTAACGGTGTCAAGAGGAGCCGTGCGCAGCAGCCTTCTGGGGCGTTGGATGCCAAGCCTGAGATTAGCTGTGGGGTAAAACTAATGACAGACTGCTCAGTGATTCCAGAGGAGGGAGCAGAGTGTGGTTGTTCAGGTTGTTTATTAACATATTGGTGTCGTGGGTATATTGCGGCCTAGCGGGTGACGAACTAGGCATGTTCCATTGCATGATCAGTGAGCATGACGGCCTGCCGGGGGATCATGACGTTTTAGACAGCGCAGGGCAGCGGCGGGACAAAGGTAAATTAGGTTGAGATGGTGACTGGCCGTTGTGCAGGGACCGATAGCACAATCACAACCGACGGCGTCGGCGCCGAACACCGGCCGTGCAAAGTGTTTCTCCTTGCGTAATGCTCCTCCCCACAATTCGAGTGTGCATGTACATATTTGGCCCCTGTTAGAGAGTCATCCGGTGCAGGCTGGGGCTTTTCCGTTGTGACAGGACGGATGGGCCAGCATCGACGTGGTTTGGGAACGCGAGGGGAGCTGCGGAGACGAACTGATTAGACTGGGAGCTTCAAGTTTTCTTATTGACGAGAGCGAGCGAGCGATGGTCTTGACGCTATTCGCGAATGTCTCTGGTGCGGTCAAACGAGGCTTGACTTGCGCCATGCGATGCGGTCTCCTGCGGGAGGCATGCATGAGACAAACGAATTCGCCATGGCCTATGCAAACTCGGGAAATTAGCAACATGACACAGGAAACAAAAGGAATGGGATGATAGGAGATGGAGAGTCTGTTCCGCCGAATGGTCGCGCCAGCTCATTTGGAGGCCAGTTCGTACCTGTGCGAACCAAAGTTAAAAATCACAAGTTGCAAAGTGTCAGCAGAGGAAGCATTTGGTTGGCCCGTTGGGATGTTTTGCCCCAGCGAGGAAGAGCTGTGACGCTCCTGCAGGGCCCCCTGGCGGCGCTGGGCTTATCCCCTGGTAGTCTCTCAGGGGCTCCACTAGACAAGGCCTTGGCTTGTACCTCCCGAATTCGTAGACGCGCAGGAGCGGGCTGCGGCGCGGCTGGAGGCTGGGCTTTTAGATACCAAAAGACTGCTGTGCAGTACAGTACGACGCGGTGCAATTTCGAAGTCACAAAAAGTGATAATGAAATATATTGCTTAACAAAGAAGTAGAGTAATACGTGTACTTATATCACCTTTCAATGTTACCTCGTCACCCAGCCCTGTAACCTTCAGAGTGACGCTAAATGTAATGCCCAGACAGAAATCGCCAAGCCACAAGGAAACGGGCTCCGCCCCCACTCACACCAACGGCGCCCTGGACCGCCGATCAAATGCTACTCGTATCCTTTTTCCTTGGTTCCCTCTTCCCGTTTCCCGTTTCCCTGCAGCCTTGCCGTACAAACTGTACCTCAGGTTACTGAGCCACAACAGCACGTACTCCGTACTGCAAAATAAGCGTGTGACTCGTTAACCGCTTGGCTCCGTTTGCTGGCCGGGCTGCTGCCCATCTCATTACCTAAGGTATGCTGGTAGGCATGTACATCCGCAGCTGCCTTGGAACACCCGGCCTCGTCCTATGTCTCTGCTTATTATTTAACTTGCCCTCCCCCCTCGCCCCTCGGTTTGCGTCCCCTTTCCTTATCCCGTCAGTTTAACATTTCCATCGTTTTACGAATATTCCATTGTTTCGTCGCGCGCAAAACCTGTATCCTTTCTTGTCATATCCCTTCGCTGCTTACACTCGCTCTGTGCCGTTGTCTGCAACGCGCCCCCGTTTGTACCGCAAATACTTGACGCCAGCATACTCCGTAACCCACGTCAACCTGCAATACAAACGCGCAATGTATACCAAGACGATCCTCGCCATCGCCTCGGCTGCCTTGATCGGCAACGTTGCCGCCTACGAGGACACCCCGGTCATCAACAACAACCCCCACGGCGTCACCTACTCTGGCACCCTGCCCGACAAGCCTTTCTTCAAGCAGGCTGACCTCGTCGGCAACGTTGTCGGATCCATCTCTGCCACTGCTCCCGAGGACGGTGTTGGTACAAAGTTCACCGTCAAGTTCTCCAACTTTCCCAAGTCTGGTGGTCCCTTCAGTATGTTTTCTTGTCGCCTTGTGGCACTCTACTCTTATCACTCATTCTAACCGCCGGTGAAACTAGTCTACCACCTCCACGTCAAGCCCGCTGTCGGCGGTAACTGCACCGCCACTCTCGGTCACCTCGATCCCACCAAGCGCGGCGATTTGCCCGCCTGCGACGACTCCAAGCCCTCATCTTGTCAGGTCGGCGATCTCAGCGGCAAGCATGGAAAGATCACCACTGATCCTTTCATCGCCGAATTCGTCGATCCTTTCGTGTCGCTCGAGCCTGGCAGCCCTGCCTTCTTCGGAAACGCTTCCTTTGTCGTTCATTATGCCAACACCACCCGCCTGACCTGTGCCGACTTTCACCTGGTAGATACTCTCCCGTCTCCGTCTCCTGACTGCGGCCAGGCTCACCCTACCGGTGGTTACGCCTCCCCTTCGGCTTCGCGCGGCGTCGGCAGTCCTACCATCGGCAACCCCGTTCCTACGGTTCCCATTACTGCTGGGGCCGCCAAGATGGCTGTCGCCGCTCCTCTCTTTGCCATTGCTGCCGCTGCTATGATGCTCTGATTGCTAGTCTTGAATTGTTGGAATTAATTGGGTTAAAAAGAATGGCGTTTGGGATACCTTGTACAGCCGCCTGCGATGAACGTTTCGAACTGGGGGTTTCGAGTTACATACATGACTGTTTAGTACATTAATACAAGAATACGATCAACGGAGTACGTTTGCCAACTGACATACAACCGATGATGGCAGACCACTATATACTTGATGCTACTAGAAAGCCCTAGTAGCAATGTTTCGTCGCCAAGTGCGCTTGCTACATACAATCCTGCTGCTTCATGACCCCGAGGCCGAATGAGCTGGACCGGCCCACACAGCTCACAGTAAGCCGACCTCCTATCCCATGTCCGTCACCCGAGACCAGTGAGACACGCAGGATTTATATGTGGAAATGATGGCATCTTTTTCTGAAGAAGAGAAGTTTTTTGTTTGGTTGCATCGCAGTTGAATCGTGTTCGCCTTTGTCTTTCGCCCGGGGGCCACGCGCTGCGACCCAACCAAACCAACTTGCAGCCCAAGCAGGATGCCATCAGCCATCGCCCGCCCCCCCTTCATTTCCAAAGATAAAGGGTTTCCCCGGGGGAAGGGGGGGGGGTTTCCCCTTTAAATTCCGGGGACGTTCATTCTAAATCGGAGCTAATGACATGGTGCTGGCTCGTTCACGCCTGGGCATACCAAAGAAGTTGTATCGGCCGAGTTGGGCCAAGCGACATCTCCGGGCAGCAGCAGGGTAGACAGACGGGCATACTTTTGGATGCGGGTGGGCGGCTTTCTCCTCACTTAGTGAAGAAAAAGTGAGGGGTCACTTCAGAAGAGCAAAGTCTTAGACATGATGGTTCAGCTTCTGTCTCTCTGCTGATACAAGAGGATTTTCTTGCGATTCATGGAGTGACTTGCCAACGCTGCCATAGAGCATCGCAGAATAACAGCTCCTGCGTGAGTAGGAGGAGGGTGGCGGGCGTCTTGCTTGTTTGGCTGTGATGTATAAAGCCTCTCGCGTCTCGGTGGGACAAAGTTTCTACAATGGTCTGCTGAGATGGAAAAGCGCTGCGTGAAGCTCTTAAGAAGCCGCTCTCCCCCTCCCCAATCCTCCGAGAGAGACGGTAGAATCGAAGAGCTCAGTGTCCCTCCGGCAAACTCTCTTTCTCCTCTTCATTTCCCCAAAGCTTACCCAGTTCTACTTTACACAAGCCCACCATGAAGGCCCCCGTCATCTCCCTCCCCTCCCCCTCGCTCGCCGCCTGCGTCTGCGCCATCGTCGACGTCGCCATCGCCGGCGGCGTCGTCGTCCTCCGCGCCGCCATGCCCGTCTCCTACGCCGCCCACCTCGACGCCGCCATCGCCGCCGGCGTCGGCTCCTTCAAGGTCGAGATTGGCTGCGGCGGCCCGGCCACTCCGCCGCCACCCCAGCCGCCCCGGGAGAAGCGCGACTGCGCGGACATTGAGGGAGCCATCACCACGGCGGAGGCGATGCTCAGGAAGGGGCTGCGCGCGCTGCCGGGGTTCTCGGACTCGGGCGTGTGCCAGACCGGCATCAAGAACGGCATCAAGGCGTTCAAGGACGTTCTGGGCTGCGAGCAGGTGAAGGCTAGCGAGTGAAGGATTCTGGGACCCTGGCCCGAGGGGTGTGCATACTTTCAATGTTGACACGGCAGGTATAAGTTTGGAAGAGGTAGCTTGCCAGCTACAATCCGTTCCGTGAGAGACCGCAGGAATGGCGATAATAGCCATAGTGGTGATGATGGCAGTGATAAATTGGTCTTAAGCGCTGATGAAATATATTCCTAAACTGTACAGATTACGCTAGTTAAGTACAAATTGCTGGAAAAGAAGAGTGCCGACGAATCTTGCCAAGGTTGCCTCCATCACGCGACTACTGGCTACCACTGCCTTGTTCTGGCGCTGCCCAGCCCGGTGGCGTTGCTGAGTTTATTCAGCTGGCACTGGCACCAGCGCAGTCCTCTTCTTCTTCACTTTCTTTACCCCCTGAATGACAGGCTTCTCTTGAAGCCAATGATGTATGGCGCGTGCGGTCCAGCTAGCTGAAGCGCCGAAAGAGCGGTCCTCATTTTGACAATCCTTACCAGGCAGCTTGTGGCCGGGGGCAATACCCTGGGAGGACCTCCGCTTGCAAAGTTCGGGCCACCGAAGTGAAAGTGGAAGCAGCCCGGTGCTTGACTCTGGTTGAAGAGTAAGATACCGCCAGATGTCTGAGTAGCACTTGTTTTGGGCATCATCCAACTCTGCTTCGAACAGCGGAAAGCCATCGATAAGGCTTGTGAGGCGTGCAACCATGTAGGCGTGTCGCTGAATAACCTTTGGGGATGTCTGTATCAGGCAGTGGCATATAAGCAGCCCGTGTAGAGCTTCAACGAGGTATGGATGATACGTGACGAACTCACATCCCGGCTCTTTTTGTCTGCTCGCGGTGTCGGTTCCTGAACTGGCCGGATTGCTGAATGTTTCCGTAGATACACTCTCTCTCCTTGTCCCCGGAGCTACAGCAAGTCCATACGGTGGCGGCGGTGGCGGCGGCGTAGAGTACTCTAGTGGCTCCGATGGTAGGAAGTCTGAAGGCGCTGATGGCTGGTACTCTGGTGGCGAGGGTGGCAGGAAATCTGGAAGGTCATCGGGGGGGCGAGCTTCGAAAAGACGCGACACTGGGTACACACTGTACTCGACGGATGGGCAAACTCGAGTCCGTCGAATCTGGGCCTTTGGCCATCTCGCATTCGGTACCTGCATAATCATCTGATGCATCTCCAGAGAAACCTCGACAGGCCAGTTGGGAGAGTATTGGAGAGTCCCGAGAAAGTCCTTTAAATCGCGGAGGGCATGTTTTGCCTGGCTCCAGGCGAGCTTTTGTGACTCGGCACGCTTCTCTGCCGGAGACTCATTGGCAGTGCTAAAGCTGATCATGGCCTCAGCGCAAGCCATGAACAGATATTGCAACCCTCGCTGAACCAGGAGCTTACTGCGAAGACCCTCGGGCATCTCGATTTCCTCCAGTTGTTTTCCTTTTCCTGGAGTTGGACCTTGTTGCGCGTGGCCTATTGTCTTTTTGTGAATCTCTAATGCGGCTGTCAGATCCATCATCATCTTCTCCCCAACATGCAGGAGGCCGAGGAATGTTGCCCGCGTCTTGTAAGCCGCAGCCGTACCGGAAGCGCAGCCGCCGATGACGTCTTGAAGCTCATTTAGAGCCTCCCCTGACCTATCATGCAAAGCGTAAACTTTTTCGGAAAAGAAGTGCACATACTTTGCGTCGAGATTGTCAGGCTCCTTCTTCAGAACCCTCGCGGCCGCGTCGTCTAGAATGCCTTTGTTCTCCACTGCAATGGTGCAAGCGTACTCGTCTATCTTGTATGCTTCGCTTAATTTCGAACAAGCCTTCTTGAGCTTCGAGAGCTGCACCGCTGACGAGTGGCGCCGTTGATCAAATGGCGAGTTCACCGCATCGCGGATATAGACAGCGGCCTCTTCGGTTCGACGTCGAACCCTGAGCAGGTCAAACAGGCATCCCAGGTGAATAGCATGAGGCGGGGGGGTATAGTAAATGATGTGGCAAATGGCTTCGAATTCGTCAAGCGAGAGCTTCTGCCAATGACCGACGTAGCTAAAAAGCCCAGGCCAGAAGCTGATCCGCAGCGGCGACAGCAGCGGTTAGCATTGCGATTCAGGCTACATACTGGTAGGCTGTAGATGCAAGCAGCGTCAAACATACGTGCGGCGCCAGGTTTGCTTCGGCTCTTTGGCTACCGGGGTAGAAGCTTCGGCGCCTTGGGCTATTGGTGTGTCGTTTGGCATGGTGGCTGGGTCGAGCACTCCGAGAAGGAAGAGAGCTGGGTAAATAATACAAGATGTTAACGATACCAAAGTTTATTCTGGTCGTGATTGTGCAAGATGACAGAGTAGGCGGCCGTAGTTTTGTCATGGAGAACCACTTCCTTCCCTGCCCCTTCACTTCCTTCCTTCTCCACGGGATGAGACGGGCCAGGAACCTGCCGTCGGGCAAAGAACCTTCCACTATCAACACGAGCGCCACTTGCACAACACAGCAGAGCAACTCTTGCATCTCAGCATCATTTATCATAGCCCTAACAGATGTTACCTAGCTATAGGACATATCTCCAAGACTCTAGAAAGGGCTGGGATTATCGTGCTTAGAAAGCGGCGTGTAGCCGTAACACGACTCGTAGCCAGTCGATATAATTCGCAGCCTTGACATAATTCGTAGAGAGAAGAGGTTAAACACGGCAGCCAGCCAGCCTCAACCCAGTCATGGCAAGCGTCAAACAGGCCCTTTAAAATAACAATGAAAAGCTTGAAAAAAGAGACTCCGTCCTGTCCATTCCAGGATTGGTATCGTCAACCACTCAAGTACACGATCCGAAACAGCGGTAAAATAAAATAAAAAGAGAGAGGCCTCATGGCTCAAGAACAAGATCTACTTCTTTGTCTTGCGTTTAGTACCAACTCGCATCGACGGAAATATTATTTGCCGAGTTGAGCATGGCATCCAGCTCGCTCACACCCTCCCGCTCAAAGACTGTCATGAGCTCCATCTGCTGCGACTGGGACAGGCTTCCCTGGCGGCCGGGCATGTAACCGTAGGGCGAGAGGTTGTCGATAGGGGACGCCATTGTGGGCATGGCCCCCATTCCAGCGGCAGCGGCGGCCGCGTTGTGTTGACCGGCGGCGCTAAAGGCAACACTGTTGGGCTCCATTCCCATCGTCTCGTCGAGGAAGCTACTACCGCTGCCGCTTCCCAAGTGGTCAAGGGTGTAGGGGGAGACGAATTGGGGCATCGGCGCGTACCAGTCGCTGCCGGGCGCCATGGTGGTGGTGGGTAGAGGCTTCTGGTCCGACAGGCCGAGGCCGGCGCGGGGCATAGCGGCGGGGTTGCCCGCCGGGCCCATATCTTTTTGCGGCGGCGTCATGTGCGGCGCGCCGCTGCCCGTGGTCATGGTCATGGAGGCCAGGGAGGCTTCCACCATGCTGGGCGTGGTCAGGTTCATGCCGGGGGGTGTAAAGGTCGAGTTAGGCGTCGTGGCGGATAGGTTGGTCGCGGGCCCAAGGGACTCGGGAGGTGTGGGCATGTGATTGCTCATTTGATCAGAGTGGCTGGGCGTAGGATGCTGTGACGGAGGTTGCTGCTGCTGCTGCTGCTGCTGCTGCTGCTGTATTTGTTGATGTTGCTGCTGCTGCTGTTGTTGTTGTATTTGTTGTATTTGTTGGTGTTGGTGTTGTTGGTGCTGGTGTTGATGAGATAGTTGATGCTGCTGCTGCTGCTGCTGCTGCTGCTGCTGTTGCTGTTGCTGTTGTTGATGTAGATGCTGCTGCTGTGGTGGCATGAAGGCTGCGGCTTGCTCCATGATTCCCTCGCCTGGCTGGCTAATATCTGGCGGAAAATACGAGAACCGACGGCCGCTAGAGTCAGTTGCCGGGTTGCAAAAGATTGAGTTGGATCGGAAGGCCGGCTGGGGAGGGGGAAAGTTGGGATCGAAAGTGTACGCATTCATTGATTCGGGGGGTGAGTCAAAAGCCCAGCCAAACTGAGGTGGGTTCAAAAATCGCACCTGTGGCTGACCATCGACCCCTTGGCTCACCATGGGCGGTGAGGCCATCTCTGTGCCGTTCGAGGGGCTGGCAAAGGAAAACAGAGGGTTGAACTGGCCGTCCTCGTAGCTTTGCAGGCAGGCCTTAGATAAAACAGTGTAGAGCTGGGCAGTGGCAGCCGCACCTGGCCAGCGCGCTGAACAGCTGTCGAGCGAGTCTAACGCAGAGTTGATCAATTCGTCAGCTTCTTCCCTGCTGTGTGCTTGTCGGACATCGGGATACGAAATGGACCACAGTAGCGTGTTGAGAGCGGTAGAGAGGTTTAGAAGAAACATCCAGGTCGAGTCCATCGCAGACGTATCGATCTGCTTCTTCGATAGTGAGAGGACAAATGCGGCGCTATCAAAGCAGATTTGTGCTGCCCCTGCAGACGGTTTTGGCACCTGAGGGGAGGGGCGATACAGGAACATGCGAGACTGATGATACGCTCCAAAGTACCTGCAATGGTTAGCAACCTTCTGCAAGCCAGGTTTTGGTAACCTACCAAGCTTTTGTCCAGGCAATCTCTTCCGTCCGGGACTTAACCCATTCATCAAGTCTTTTATCTACGCTTTGATACCATGGGTGCGTATCGTTGACTGGTTCGGGGCGCTTTCTTTCGTATAACGTCCTTCTGATTTCGCACTCAATGGCTCGAAGCTTGTACATATGTATCGTGTTCGTTTTTCTGAAGTCGGTCGGTCCAGCTGATATACCGTTGGCAGTGATGTTTTCGTCCTTGACCGTTGCAAACCAATCCACGTCTAAACGGTCGCCGCCCTTGGCGAAACATGACGGACGACCCATGTAATGCGAAAGGGCGAATTCAAATGCAGCAACAGTCCAGACAAGTCGTCGTCTCATGTCAATTGTTTTGGCGTCCAGGTTGTAGCCGGCTGTGATTGTCTTCTCCTCGGTAAGTCCTTCTTGCTGGCAGATACGCACGGCAAGACCAATAACGGCATATATTGGGTTTCGCGCTGGAGTGTGCAGGGAGTACGCGGCAACCAATATGAGACACTGTAGTGTTTTCAAATCCTTTGGACGGACAACATCCTTGAAGTATTGCATGGCCGCCATGTAGTAACTGTCAGCGAGTCCTGCATACTGCTCCATCCTTTGCAGGGAGACGCCAAAGACCATTCGAACGACAAAGTTGCGATAAGGGTCCGTGTCTCCGTTGTAGACGGCATCGACGTCTTGCTCGAAATCCTTCTCGTGCAAAACCGGCCAAAATAGTTGTGCTGGAAGCGGTTAGTTTACAGGCAGAATGCGAATGGGCCGAATCTTACTTTTCTGGTAAAAGGCATCAATGAGCTTGTCGGCGACGACACGTTTCGGCAGACTCTCTGCAGGAACCTCGGATACCATGGGATAGCTCTTCTTATGACCAGTCAGGGTCCCAGTTCCGGACATTTGAATCGACTGCATGCGCGCCTGGCGTCTGGCGCGGACTTCAGGTATCAGTTCGCCTATACTCTTGGAGTCGGTGAATCGTTTCGCTTCCTCCATCAAGAGACGAGTCAAGGCAATCCCACTACTTGGTCCAAGATAGCGAGGTATCTCGTCACTGACGCTGAGGCGAATCATGCCGCCTGGACGAACAATGTCTTCGCTGCTTCTAGGATAGTCGGCGGCTTCATCGGTATAGTTGTCGAGCTCCGCTTCTAGCGCGCGGACTTTATCCTGAAGTTTGATGACATAGTAACGATTTATTTTTCGGCCCTTGGCAGCATCTAGATACTCGCATATAGAACCGGATCGTTCACACGGGAGACAACGGGGCAGGGTAGGATCGCATCGAGTTTTACGCTGTGCCAAGGTTAGTCTGAGCAGATGTCAAGTTGGGCCTGGGAGAAACAAACTTGTCGGCAGCGGCAGCATGCTGTCAAAGTGTGGGCGACGCGATGTTCGGATCCTTCACCTTCCGAGAGATCGTCGACGTCTGCTGAGTGACCTGCAAGCGGGTTGAAGGTGGTATTGGCTCTGGGCGGGACAGTCCCGAGCCCTTGGCGGAAGATGTGCGCCGCATTCATTTCGATAGCGTGATTGAGCGCCGTTTCTACCGGTGGCGCAGTCCGGTATAGAAACAGGCGGTCGGCTAAATGGGCGAGAAGCGCTGGTCTCAAGCCGTCGCTTGGCTAGCGATGAGACGAGCGGACTCAGGTGGCAGGCGCGGTGTGTCGGGGAATCGTGATGGAGATGACAAACGGCGATGAGGTGAATGAGCAGCTAGTGCCTCTCGTTGCTGGAAAAATGTCGAGGCGTGGGTGGCAAGTAGAGTCTCGACTCTGATCAGCTGGCAGGAGAGTGGTGGCGGAGGGGCAGCGAGGACAACGGTGCACCGTTGGCACAGGGGTATCAAGGCGGGGGTTAAAGAGCAGGGTTCTGCTATAAACAGACAAGTAATTCGTATCGAGCGTGGTTTGCGACTGCGTCGGCAATTTCGGGGGCGGCGCGAATGAATACTCGTGATAACTAGAGAGGTTGCGCGAGGACCGTGTGCGAAGAGCGAGATGGAGAAGGAGGGTTGTGAACGGACATGTGCTTGGGCAAGCCAAGCCAAACCAAGCCTGAGTCTTTCCGGGAGCGGGCAGTCGCAGATAGTTCACAGATTTGCATACAGGCACTTCAGGCTGGCTGTAGGCGGACAGGTACCGCGTTGTGGTGGAGAGTCTCCTTTCAGCGCCTAGAACAGCGCGGAACAGCGCAGGGATGGCGTGTTTTAGCGCTGGAGCTAGTGGATGGCAGCAGAAGCCACAGAGGGTTCAGTGGAGATGCGCAGTGTCATTCGTGCTGAAGATTGAGTGATCGAGCGAGTCGTGCTGTGACAAGTAACTTTACCTAAAACATCTCGAGATAAGTGGGAGTAATGGATAGCATATTGAAAAATACGTTGTTTATGCAGACTAATACCGGCATATAAAATCTAAGTTACTGTAGTTATGTGTAGGTACCTCTCTCAACTTACAACTACTGTGGATGCATCCCTACCAGCATAATCTGTGCCAGTATCCAGCGAAGCAATATCCGCGCACTGATTTCGTTACTGTAATAATCGCCATTGGATTCATCCCATCTACAGTACTAGGTAGTAAGTTGCACCACAACCTCGCCGTTCGTTTTGGTCTCGACGCTGGCCATGCTGCAAATCAAAATCAAAGCGACCTATGGCAGACTTTCTTCCATGGCCACCAATGCTCCGATTAACAAATCGCTCCCTCTCCCAGATAATGAAGCATCACGCCCTTGGCCGCAGGATATCTCCTCACTGCCCAAATCCGCTACCAGATAACCCGGTGGAGAAGCAAATCCTGGCTTGCAGGTTGTGTCGCGCACGGAACCGAGGATCATCTTCAGACTTCAGGCTGTTTCCAAGAGAAGTGGGGGCGACGACCGTAAAGAGAAGATTGAGCATTCGTTCGTCTTACTAACAACAATCAACCACACATCTGTCCCGTCCCAATACACTACCGAAGGCGCAAGTCTGTTTGCCAGTTTATTTTCCGGCCTCTGTTGACTGCGATGATGCTGACACTTGTCCATTGCGCCGACCACGATGCGACAGGTTGGTGGGTTGTTTGTCTGCTGGATCTAGGCCAGAATTAGCCCCAAACGCAGGGCCGAAGCCGAAAGCACCGATCAGCCATACGACGCGGACCGCGCCCTGGCCGGAGGAGCTTTCATTCACACAAGACTGGCAAGGTGCACCGTGTTTGGCAGCGGGATGGAAGGATGTCACGCCTCCTGTTTCAACAGCCCCTGGCGACGGGCACGGCCGTTGAACAACGATGCGCTTCCTGATCTCAGTGTGTATTCCCGTTTGGGAGTGGAAGATTCGGCGTGATACGGAAACACTTGCCGCACTGCATTTTACGGATCAGATCTGTGCGGAATGACTAGAGAAGCGAATCGGCTGCATCAACTCGAGTTGGCGTCGGCACAGAAGCGAAGGCACAGCCACAGGAACAGGAACATTCAGCTCGATGATGAGCTGCGATCGGGCTGACTAAGCAGACGACAGCTTTTTTTGCCTGCCTATGTACTGAGTACTGGGCACCGTATGCATACAGGCAGGTAGGAAGCTGTCATGGTGAGACGATGAAGGGCGACGAATCATTAGACAGTATTTCGGCGCCGGGATAATAAAGACGGCCATTGAGGTGGTTGCAAGCACCAAATGGGCCGCCTGCAGTGTTGTTGGGCAAATTAGTTGACTGGTCATGAGTGTATGGGTCACTGGCGTTTCGCGCAAACCCTATTATTTTGAGCAGTCATTATTACGTCGCATTGGGAGAAAAGGCGCACCACCCGGGAAGGTCGTGAGATTGATCAGACGAGGTGCATGATGGCATCATGACTGTACCAAACAGGTCGTCGTGTGTCGACTAGAAGTTTGTGATATGGTGATGCTTGTGTGGGAATAGCGCCTTGGGGGCGGGGACTTGGGCATTGCTGTAATATGGGATTGTCTACGGATAGATGGGGGCAGCATAACTGGCGCCACTAGGACGCTATTACCATCATCATGGCTGGCTGAAAGGGTTTGCAGGCGCAGCGACGGAGACTGTGCTGCACGCGGCGACCAGATGTCCTTGACTCCCCTGTCGATGTGGGAGAGCGAGACGTGTCATGGAGTTGCGGCACTGGCGGGTCGGCCGATGTACCTTTCTACCAGAATATGGTGGTGAGGAACTTTAATGCAGCTGGGCCGTTCTCCATCAAGCAAGCCCAAGTGTCCATCCTCGGCGGGTACGGCAGCTGTCCGTCCTGTCCTGCCTAGCCCAAGCCAAGGCCCAAGGTGCTGTGCTGCCGTTCAAATTGCATGTCAGCTGCCGCAGCGAAATGCCTTCCTGACTCTGAGCTTCCACTTCTCGGAAACCATCCATTTATCCATCCACATCCCATTCGTCCCTTGGTTTATCCATACATCCATTCATCACCCCGCGCATTAATTTATTGCGTTGACCCCCATTTTGCTCTCCAAACCATCATCGCCATCGCCCACCAAGGTCCTCCGTTTGCACCATCAGGTCCGCTTACCACAGCCCGTTGGCGCCTTTACCGCTACCCTGCCAGCCGTATAGGAGGTAGCTTCCGTCCCACGTCCACCACCACCACATCACATCAGCTTCACCAAGTCCTCTCTGCCCACCGCTTTGCTCGACGACCAGCTCAGCTTATCCGCCAGCGTCAACGTCAACGTCGTCCACGCGCACACGACCTGTAACCTGCCACTAGCCCGAGACTCTGCATCGGATCATTCTTCCACTTAAAATCGACGCGCCGACAGCACCCCGCCGCTGTATTACCATTCCAACCATCACGCCGGCAGCGCCGGGCTTATTGCCCCCTCCGCATCCCAAGCGGCAGTTCTACGTGCCCCTATGTCGCACTGGAAGCTCCGTATCAAATCTTTTCTTCTACACCTAGCTTTGTCTGCGCGATAGACTGTTCCTCATCGGGGTCGTTGCAGTGCGCCCACCATAGCCTTGCTCTGCATTCGGCAGCTTCCAGCCATGCCCCGCAGTAGCTTCTCTCGCAACCCCCTCTTGAGGGTCTCTCGCCCTGTGTCGGCCTGTTCGCGATGTGAGCTTCCGCCGCCCACCCATCTATCTTTTATCTCTTGCTAACCGTTCCCAGGTCGTTCAGCCAAAGTCAAGGTCCGTAGCGAAGGCAACCCCGGCCCCCGGCGCAGCTAATATGACATAGTGTGACGGAAAGCTCCCGGCCTGTACAGCCTGTGAAAAGGCTGGTAGAGAAAGCGAATGCTCTGCCGCCAACGACCAGTTCGCCAGAGGCAAGGAGAGAAGGTAAGTAGCTGGCCTTAAATATTGTCCACGCATAGACGCTGACCCTGCCCAGCTATGTCGCCGCTCTCGAGCTGCGCATCGAGAAACTCGAGCGCCGCCTCCAATTCGCCAAGTCGCGCAAAGCTTCTGTCGCTAACCATGAACACGATGTGCCTTTCATGCATGATATGAATCGCAAAGACTCTTTGGCACTCATCAAAGCCGCCATTCACCGCAAAGCCGCCAGGAATCGCGAAAACTCAGATGTCAACTCGCTTGTGTCTGATTTTGGCTACATGTAGGAAGTCCCAAACCTGGACTGTGCTCACACTGCTAACGTTCCTAGGTCTGTCAATGCCGTTGCTCGCGACTTTGAACCCGATGCCTTCAACGTGACGTTTGCCGGCCTCGTTCTCACTGCCACCATGAACAATGCGCTCCCTGCCTCGACAGAACCTGACCTACCCCCGAAACAGGTCACTCACTCGATCGTGCAATACTTCATGGCGCACATCTACACACTATTTCCGTGCTTCTCCGAGACGGCACTATTGAACGTCATCAACGATCTCTACCAAGAGGACCACCGCGTGATACGAGACTCTGACTATTGGCTCATGTACATGGTTCTCGCCATCGGATACACAGCCCAAAGCCAGAAGATAAACGACACCAACTATGAGTGTGGTGTTGAATACATTGTCAAGGCATTGAAATACGCAGATCAGGCTCTCGCCCCCGGCAGCGGCACACAAATTCAGTCACTGCTGCTTCTAACGATATACTCCCTCCTCGACCCAGCTCATTTTGACAGCTGGCATCTTCTTGGCTTTACTGCCAGGGCATGCGTTGACCTAGGTTTCCATCAAGATCCACCTACGTCTTCTTCGTCTGACCGCACGGCACTTGATATTCGCCGCCGAATCTTTTACTCTGTGTACGCTCTGGACCGTGCCATTAGCATGGTACACGCACGAACCTTCTCATTTACCGACGACTCCATCAATGTCGCTTTCCCTGCCAGCCTATCACAGTCGCGCAAGCAGTCCCTTTCATCAGGTCCCATTACGACTTCTCAGTCAACAGATCCAGCGTTGCTGCTATTCCAGCTTCGCCGCGCCCAGTCATTCTGGTACCAGGAACTATACCAGTCAGATCCAACGCCTCTTGCAGACCCAACCACGTTCTTGTGGCAAATGTGTCTTGACATGCGTGAATGGGGCGAGAGCCTACCTGATACGTTACCCCTTGGGATCCGCCGCATGTTTGAGCAGGAGCTGCGATATAGCTATGTGTACTGCATAGCCCCGTCAGTCCGCTCACCGCAGATTACAGATTATTCTCGCACCCTTATCTTTGAGTACTCGCTGGAATATCTCAACATTATGCTGGAGATTTCTCGGACAGGGCTCAACAGCGCGTTTTACACATATCACGATGCCTTGAAGGTGTATTTTATGGGAAATCAGCTTCTGGCTGTGCTACGTGATGCTGAGGAGGTGCTTCTTTCTGGACGGCCCGTGCCCCCGCCTCCTCTTCGGCCAGGCTGCCCGCCCGCGCCGCCGATCCCGCGCCGCACCGGCCTTCCTGCCAACAATGCCCACGATGCGCTGGAGCGCAGTGTGTGGTGCCTCGAGAGGGTGCACGAGACGCTTTCCAAGTACAGTGAGCGATGGGAAGATGCGATGATGCTCAAGGACAGCTTCCAGCAAATTTCCGCCGACACTCTGCGACGCTTGCGCGAGCTCCATGCTTTGCGCGGTGTCGCGCCTCAGCCTCACCACTCACCGCACCAGCACCAGCACCAGCACCAGCAGCATCACCCCCAACACCAGCCGCAGCATCAACAGCACCCGCATCAACATCAACAGCATCAACAGCTTCGCCACTCACCGCATCAGCAACAACAGCACCAACAGCAACAACAGCACCAACAGCACCAACAGCACCAACAGCAACAACAGCAACAACAGCAACAACAGCAACAACAGCAACAACAGCTTCGCCACTCGCCGCATCAGCAGCAACAGCAGCATCACTCCCAACAACAGCAGCAGCTCCCACAGCACCAACAGCAACAGCAACAACATCAGCAGCACCAAATCCAGCACCGCCCGCAGCAACTACCGCTACTCCAGCAGCATGGCCAGTACCCTAACGGTGTATCTGTCGGTCAGCCCGCCCCTGTGCCAATGGCCGCCGTGCAGCAGCAGCAGCCACCGCAGCAGCAGCATCAGCATCAGCCATGGGTGGGCGTCAACGTCTCGCAGATGATGCACGGGGGACCGCCTCCGCCGCGGTAAATGCGCGGCGCTTACGAACTTTGACGGCCTTAAGAGTATGTAATAGGATATTTCCCTTTAAAGGGTGACAGTCAAGAATACGACGTTAGCTTAGTTCCAATTAGGACCATACAATACATCTCTATCTAGCCCAATATTTCTCAGTTTTGACTAGTTGTACAACTTGCCCCTGTGACTGCTTTGGTCCTGCTAGACTTTTCAGAGTAACAAGAATCATGAAAGAAGAACATTTTATAAGCTACATGTGGTTTGCGAAAGAAAGACCCAAAAATATGATGGGGAAAAAAAGAGGACCATACAACTTTGCAAAAATAGAAGAGGTCAAAAGACAACCATACATACTCTGTTTCCTCTCCCCCTGCCGTCGCAATTTGCCCAACCCGTTTGTTTAGACGCCACCGTGAAGAAACTTGTGCCGCCTATTCGCAAGAATATTGCCGCAAGTTCTTTCAAAAGTAAATAAAAAAGGAGAACCGAAAAAGGACGATGGAAAAAAACCACACGCACAGTTAGACACACTCTCTACATCATTTTACAAGAGCCAAGAGCCCCCCCCAATCTGTTCTCACCCCAACGAACCCCCCTCGTCATTCAAAAGCGAAGCATGTCTTTTGTCATTACGAGCACAACAAGTTTGTGTTGGCTTTGATGGGGTCTTCTTTTTTACCCCGCGCGCACATCTTGTAAATGTAAATTCTTGGTCTGGCGAGGGAGTTTGCGATCGCGTTCGTACAAGACGCCGCAGTTGGCGCAGAGCGTCTAAAGCAAACACAAAGTTAGCAACAAATCAGGGTGACTGAAAAGGGCGGGGGGATATAGATGGGATGGGACGTACCCTAGGACCTGCCGGGCCATCGCGGACCGCCCACACGCAGGAGCCCCAGATGCGACAATGCAGACACCGCCAGTTAGAGCGCTCCAGGTCCGTGAGGGCGCCGCCTCCGCCATAGCCGCCCGCGTCAGGCGTTCCGCGCCCGCCGGGTGTGCCGCCGCGACCCAGAGGACTGAGGCTGCGGAAGCGACGCTTCTTCTTGGATCGCTCGCCGCGGCCCATGCGCTCCTCCTCGGGCTCAAACGGCGTGGAGACGGATGCGCCGACCCCAGCGAGCGGCGTCCCCGTGAGCATGCCCGTCGTCGAGCTGAATCGCGCCGTCTCTCGTCGCAGGCGGCGCACCTGGCGCTCGCGGTCGCCCTCGCGCTTCTCCATCTCCTCCTTGCTGAGTATCTCAATCCTGGGCTCCCAGTCCTGGGCCAGGTGCTCCGGATCGTAGCGCCAGCCGGCTTCCGTGCCGAGAGCGGCGTCGTTGGGCAGCTCCTGTTGGAGGCCGCCCCAGCCGGTGACGAGTCCGCCAACCTCGCAGGCCTCCTTCTTTAGCCGCAAAACGGCTTCATAGATAGCGTGCGTCATGGCTGGAACCCACTCACCGCTCAGGCCCAGGTCGGCACACGTTGTCTTGGCGAATACCTCTGCCGTACCGGGCGGGTGAAGCAGCGACCACTCGAATTTGTCAGTATACAGTTGGGAAGACATGTTGAGGTTGAGGTTTATGATGCATCGGTACGTGTCATCGGGGTTGAAGTCGTCCGAGTCGGGCGTAATGGCTGTAGCTTCGGCCGTGACAGCAGGCACACCAGGAGTCTGGCCTGGTGCTGGTGTTACTGGCGCAGCAATTGGTACAGTAACCGGCGCCTGCGATGGCGTGTCTGCCCTTGACAGATAACGCGCGGCGGAGTATGGCGAGATGTCTCTGGTCAAAGGTCTATCTCTCGTTGTGGTTGCGTTTGCTACCGGTTGCGGCTGCTGCGGCGGGACAGGCTGATCGGTGTGGAAAATAGGATGCAGAGCGACACCCGCGTACTCTTCGAGCTGTGTGCGAATCTGCTTGCTGATGTCCGCGGCAGCGTGTTGGCGGTTTGGAAGGTCCAGGTCCTGGGCTAGCGTCTGCGCGAACTGGTCGGTGGTGATGAGGGTTTCGTGCAGGTTCCAGCAGAAGATATCGCGCAGCTTGTAGGGCACCGTCACCTCCTGCTGTCGGTACTGGGGCAGCGAAAGGTCGACGCCGGGCGTGTTGGGCGGGGGAAAGGGCGGGTGAGGGACAAAGGAGGGCACGTCGAGGTCGATGCGGATCGGTATCAGCACCAGCGGCAGGTTGGACTGAGCCGCGTTCTGCTGATCGCTCCGGATTGCTCTCGTCTTGCCCATCCAGTCGCGCCATATCGGCTGGAGCTGTACAGGCTCGTAGGTTTCCTTGCCCGCCTTGCCAGACCAGTCCTGGCCCTTGGACAAATCCTGCATGCGCAGGCTGCGCAGACCGGTGGGCCGCCTTCGGGGGTCATCGCTGTCGTCCTCGAGGTCGTCGTAGCCGTCCTCGGCGTAGTTGATTATCGTGGTGCCGCGCTTCGTCGTCCGGGATAGGGGGTTGACGGTGGGCGCGCTGGGCAGCACGGGGGTGAGCAGCGAGTTTTTGTATGTCCGCAGGCGCGGCGCATAGCTGGATTGAAACGCCTGGGGTTTTGATCGTTCCATCATGGGCGCGAGGGTGCCTCGATGGGCATCGCCGAGCTGGGATGGATCGGAGCTTTCAAGGGCAGCGGGCGCGCTGGCCGTTGTTGGCAGTGACTCGGTTGTCGCGCTGCCTTGGCGTTATGACGCACGCGCGCCTGTTCAGTGGTTGTATTGGTAGTGCGCCGTGCAATTGGCAGGTGAATGTGTGATGGACGATCAAGGATACAAGGACACAGGATGAAAAAGACGTGGGTGGTATGGAGAAGGTCGCGACGAGCTAGCTAGCAAGTTGAGGTCCATTTCTCGTCGCGCGCGTTTGTCTGCTAAAATTTCGGCATGTCCCGAGTTACGTAAGCAGGCAGTCTCAAGAAAACGCAATTGAGAGTTGTGACTGAATCTTGAATTCTTTGTCTCTTTTGACAAATTTGATATCATTTTCCTCAGTTCTTCCTTCAACGCTAAATTTCCTCAAATTTTGGACAGCAATCGATATACATGTAGACATTGATCAGAAGCTTCTTCGACATTTGACCCAACCAGACCCTTGTTAGAACGGCCGTTGCCCAAATCTAGATCCAAAATTTGTTAGTGGCGAGCTGCCTGTCAAGCTTCTTACTTAGTCAACTTACACGTTGCCTTCGGGGCTGAACCGACAAACGACATAGATCTTGTATGCATCCGAGATGCTGTAGGCGCGCCCGCATCCAATCTCCGTCGACCCCGACCACATGCATTGCGCTGCATGAAGCACGCTCGTTAGCCAGCTCTTTTTCTTTTCTCGCCGAGTTCCCGCCATCCATGACCTACACCAGTGAAGCCACGGCTCGTGTCCCGTCGTGATGGCCTTGCCGTCATACAGCGGCGCCTGGCCGAGCCAAGCACTCATGGCCGACTGGTACGGCGCGTCGTAGGCTGGATGGCACCCGGAAGCCGTCTGCACGTAGAGCACCTCGCCCTGCGACGGGCGATAGGCTCCGCCGGCGTGCTGGAAAGGCACCTGGACGCTGGCCATGAGGTTGGCCCAGAGCTGCGCGTAGGCGGCCAAGTCGGGGCTCCAGGAGAGCGGCTTGACGCGGCGCTCGCCCCGGGCCTGGTTGACCATGTTGAATGCCGCAATGAGGTCGTCAGTCTGCACAGCGAGGGCGGAGGCGGCGCTGGCGAGGACAACCGTGATCTTGCCGAGACGCATCTCGAATGGTGCTGCTGCTAAGGGACGAGATGCTAATTCGGCGAATTGGCGATCCGACAGGTGGCGATGTAAGCTTGACGAGAAGTCGCTTAATCAAAATCAAAGAGGCTGCAACATCAAATCATCTAGCGATGTTTTAATCTGAATTTCATCTCACACTCCTGCGTTTGCTCGCTTCTGCGGATGTGATTGCCAGCTGCTGCCAGCTGGCATGCCTCTTTCACCAGCCACAGCAAGGCAAGTGCAAACATCAAGATACCATCAGACCTATTAAAAAGTATCATAATATTTAAATAATAATTTTGCAGCATTTTCTTCTATCGAACTGCACTTTGCCTTTGTTTACCCCCCCCCCCCCCCAGGTATGACGCCAAAACTCCAAAAATATTTCTGGACCTCGCCGCCGCTAACCTCAACTTTTTCCTTGCGCCAGACCTCCTGAGTCCAACCAGCATCCATCCATCATCAACTTTCCCTGCGCATTACCACAACCACACCGCGCGCGCTCAATGGCTTCACGTACAGCGTCCTCTCTCCTGCGCCAGCTGCGTCCCAGCGCCCTGCGCCAGCCCTGCCGGCTCCTGCGACCACAGCCTGCCATCGCCGCCCGACCACCTCCAGCGCTCCTCTTCCGCGCCGCGCACACCATCCCCCGACCGCCACTCCCCTCCGAACACGCGGCGGCGGCCGAACCCTCGACGAGCAGCACGCCGGCGTGGCAACCCGAGGACGCGCCGGCAACCGAGGGCGCGCGCCCCGAGCCCAAGAACCCGGCCTACTACCAGCTCTCCTTCACCTGCGTGCCGTGCGGCCACCGCTCGCACCACAACGTCTCCAAGCAGGGCTACCATGCCGGCTCCGTGCTCATCACCTGCCCGGACTGCCGCAACCGCCACGTCATCAGCGACCACCTCAACATCTTCGGCGACCGCAAGGTGACGGTGGAGGACCTGATGCGCGAGAAGGGCCGCCTGGTCAAGCGCGGCAGCCTCGGCGAGGACGGCGACATTGAGTTTTGGCCTGATGAGGAGCAGGCTGCCGATACGAAAACGGGCAGCTCATGATATTAAGAGGAAATGAATGGACAATAGCGATGGATACTTGGCTGCGAGTAGCATCTTGTACAACATCTACATAGCATAAAAGCACATACGGCGTTGTTGGTTAGAATACCCTCCACTTCAGGACAAGATCTGGAAAAAGGCATAACCTCCTCAAAAGGTTTATAATGCAATGTACATTGAGATATTCATCTAAAAATTGATATAAATGTCTTGGACATGACAAACCAACTCCCAAACTCCACGAATGCATAATGCAAGATGCCCAGAAATCTACCACGTCTTGTACGTCTGCCGCATCGTCTTCTGCTCCTTGGACCGCACCTTTCTCCGCTCTTTGTTGCGGTCCAGCTTCTTCCTCTTGTCGCGGCCGTACTTCTCCGGCTGCGCGATGGCCTCGATCTTGCGCTTGCTCGACCGCTGCTGGCGGCGGCGGCGGACCTGCTCGCGCACCGCCAGCAGCAGCCGCGTGTACTCGGCTGTGCCGAACTTCTTCTGGAGCGCGTCCATCATGATGTGCGCCCGCGCCTTGACGCCCTCGAGCGCCGTGCGGAACTCGTCGTCGGCGCTGAACGGCACGGGGATCGACGGGTCCGTCAGGTGGTGCAGCGGCTCCAGCACCTTGCGCAGCGAGGGGCGCAGGCGCTCGGCTGGTATGCGCCGCGCGATGGTCTCGAGGGCCTCCATAGCGTGCACCTTGGGCACGATGGCGGGGGCGCGCGGGCGGATCTCCTTGCGCAGGATATGAGACAGGCGCCAGAAGAGGTAGCCAATGTCCCGGGGGCGCTGGGCGACCTCTTCGTCGTCTTGGTCCGCCGCCTCCTCCTCTTCGTCCTCTTCTTCTTCTCCTTCGGCTTGTTTCTCCTCTTCGTCGACATCTTTTTCAACAACCTTCTTCTCGGGAACATCGGCAAGTCGGGGTCCGAGGAAAATGATGACCTGTGTGACCTCCTTGGCCAGAGCTTCGTCGACCTGGGCGCCACCAAGGACGTTTAAGCTCAGACGCACGTAATCTTGCAGCTTCTCCACGGGTAACGTGAGACCGTGAGAGCCCTTGAGGGCTTGTCCCGGAGGTGTGCCGCCACTCTGCTTGGCGAAGTCACCGAGATACAAGGCGATCAAGCGAATCGTTACGAGGCGCACATTAGCGTCCTCGTGCTGCAAGCAAAGAGCAACATTGATCCACAATTGCTCGTTTTCAGGTGTGAGAATACGCTCAGGGTATTGCACAGTGAATAGTTGCACTATGCTGATGATGGTGTTGACGAGATCAGCGTCCAGCTCGGTGACATCCTGGGCCAGTAGCTCTCCGATAGTAGACAACACCAGCTTGTAGTCCTTTTTATTTCTAGCAGCCTCCTCGTTTGCTTCGAAGTAGTACCCGAAGACCGCCAGGCCAAGCCGAAGCACCGGCAGGTTGTCCTTCTTGTCGAGCCAGGACCGCAGCAGGGTGAGGAACTGCTGCATGCGCTCCTTGTCGGCCTTTTGGAAAATCTCCTTGATCAGCTCGGCCGCCGCCAGCTGACACTTTTCACTTTCGTCGTTGGCGAGCACAAAGAAGAGCGGCAGGAAGCAAGTCGACGCCACCTGCTGCACAAACTCGTCAGACGCCTTCATGAGAAGGAGGTGCAGGATCTCCAAAACGGACAGACGACCGCCTTCGCGATCGTACTTGAGGTTGGCGACGATGAAATCCAGCTGCTTGGCCCAACGGGCCTTCTTCTGGGGATACTCGCGAATAAACTGAAAGAAGGCGCCGCGGGCGAGGTCGCGCGTGTCCTTGTCATCGTTGGTGATCATGACCGTGCCGACGTGATCGAGGGTATCGTAGACGGCGGCTGTCTCGATGCGACGATCGAGGACGGATCGCAAAAAGTTGAAGGTGACGTGGCGGTACAAGGGCTCCGTAAAGTCATCCTTGAGCTTTCCGAGGAGCATGTCAACCGCCGCGTCCTTGACAATCACGTCACGTCGGTCGCGCAGCAGCACAGACAGCAGCTTCAGTGCAGCCTGTGCCAGGTCGGTAGTGGTAGACGTCGACATGGAGATGCTCTTGGTGGCCTCTCTGACGGTGACTTTGAAAAGGTTGGCTCCATCCTCGCCCATGGGCACCTTGACAATGGCTGCCAACAAACGGAAAGTGGAAATCTTGATCTCATCCTCGCCGGCGACGATGGCATCACCCATGATGGGCAAGAAGCCCGCGATATTCTCGGGTGTTCGCAGACTATCGTGCTTCTTCAGCATAGCGCGCAGAATGTCAAAGGCGAAGCGCATCAGCTTGTATGTGTGCTTCGCCCCCTTGCCTCGGTCACTCTTCTTGGCACCTTTTTGAATGAGATACTTTCGCACTCTCGGGTCCATCTTTTGCTCTTGCTGGGGCTTCTGGCTGTTGTAGACTTCCTGGATGACTTCGTAGCAGAACACAAGAGTGTCGCGGCTCTCAGCGGCCGGGTTCTGCATCAGGCCAACGGTAATGCGGGACATGAGGGCATCAATCTTGCGCACCATCTTGAGGTCAACCTTTTCCATGAGAAGTGCCTGCAGCGGCTTGACTAGGTGGATGAGGTGCGTTACGGTGGCGGTCTTGGCAACTAGCTCCATCGAGTCCTGGCTCTTGCTGCCCTTGATTTCCTTGGTCTGCGTGGTGTATCCCTCAGCGTCCTTTTCTTGGCCAACGACGCCGAAGATGTCATCCATAATGACGGTGACGATGGAGGGCAGACAGTGGTCGAGATCACCAGGACCGAACGAGGGCACTGAAGCGACCAGAATGGAGTGCATGGTATATGACAGCACGTGCAGCTGGTAGCCACGTGTCAGGGCGCTTCGGAGCTCCTTGAGAAGGAAGCCAAAGTATCCCGGGCCAAGAACAACGGCAATCTGGACCAGTGTGTCTCGGGTCAAGTCTCGCGATTCCTCGTTCTTGCTGCGCAGAATATGGCAAATGTCAGTCAAGACTCCAGCAAGCTTCTGGGTCATTTGCTGTTCAGGGAGGAGCCTGAGTAGCTTGACAATGATGACACCAACCGGCACACGGTAACTGACTTCGGACTCGTCTTTTTCGTGAAGGTACTTGGTGAGTGGCGGCAGGAAGTATTCCGAGATGTCAACGGGAAGCTGGGTTTTGGAGATGCTCGTGGCAAGGCGCTGCTTCTGAGCAGATGCACCCTCGCCATCTACTTCCATGTCATCCTCCTCCTTACTCTCTAGCGAGGCGCTGAGACTGTCGGCAAATCGACCTGCCAAGCGGATAGTTTGCTTCTGCAGCTCCGGCTTGGACCCGACGTAGCTAATGTATCGCTGCAGAGTCGTGCGGTAGTGGTTCCAGTGGAGAGACATGGCCAGGGTTCCGATGGTAGCTGTGGCCTGCGCACCTAGACCATGGTCATCCGCGCCGTCCTCACGCCCAAAGATGAAATGCTCCAGCAGAGGAATGAAGAATTGTGACAGGTTCTGGCTGCTCATCTCCTGCGATAGGTTCGCAGCCTCGAGGGTCTTTAGAGCCTCAAGCTGGCGCGCTACGGCGGGGCTCAGCAGGTTGAAGAAGAATGCGGGATCAGTCGACTCCTCGTTGTGTTCCACCAACAAGCCCTTGAGGTCGGCAACGGGTGTCCAATCAGGCATTGTCGAAAGCAGGAAGCCAAGCACGCGGAGTGTCTGGCGGCGTACCGTCTCTGAGGGGTCCCGGGCGCACGTATACACTGCAGGCATGAGCACAGATCTGAGCATCTCTTCAAAGACAGCCTTGACGTCAGCGGGCTGCGAGTCAGCGACATCTTGAACAAATCGTCTCAGACCATCAGCGGAGTTGGTTGACAAGACTCCGAATTCCTGGTCGTCACGGATGAAATAAATGAGGTTATGCAGCACGGGCAGCCACTGCTTCGGCGTCCAAGCAACCTCTCGTGCGGCTGCAATAGTAGTAAACGAGCCGAGGCGTTGATCGTAATCTGGCTCGTCCAGGCGGCCCTCCTTGTATGAGTTAAGGTCTCTGCAAAGACTAGCAACAACAGCAACTTCGGGGTCTTGCTTTGAGAGAGCAAGCAGAGCGCGTGCTAGCGATTGTCTGTTTTCGCGATCCTTGAAGTAGCCAAAGAGTGAGGAGAGTGTATCGTAGACTTGCTGTAGCAGCTGAGCGTCTTGTCCAGCATGCTCCATGGACACGAAGCTCTCGACAATAAGAAGGATGCGTCCCTTGGTTTTGGGGCTGACACGTCGAGGGGGTTGGTTCAGCAAGTAGCTGGAAATACGGATGACGGACTGGATGTTCTCAATGTCCTGAACAACGACTGCGAATGCCAAGATAGTTTCGACACAGGCTTCGAGGAGCGCGTGGCTGACGGTTTGCTCTTCTAGAACCTTGGTTATGCCGGCCAAAATCTTCTTCACATTGGCATCCAGCAATTCCACCTTAATCAGCTCATTAAACTCGGATTCGCTGGCAGGCGCAACGGCCAGCTTTACCAGATTGCGCAGAATCTCGAGCGAGTGAATCTTGACATCGTCCTTGGTCTTTTCCGCCGTGATGCAGTCGATGACGCTGGGCAAGACGCCAACGGGCAGTGATGTGTCGCGCGGTGCGAGGAAGAGGGCCGACTTGGGCAGGACGGACCAGGTAGAAAATAGCTGCATCAGACCGGACACGCCTTGAGTCATCTCACCTGCAAAGTTTTCCATTCTCGGTGCTACGACCTCCTCGATGATGAGGTCATGGTATGGCTCCCACTGGAAATCTTGAGCATTCTGGAACAGTGAGATGAGACACTTGATGCTCGTCACGCGATTGACGCGGAGCAGTGATGCACTGCTTGCTTTGTCGCTCTCCTCGCCCTCCACTGAGGCGTCCCGCAGATTTCGACAGGCATAGATGAGGCAGTATAACACTGGACTTAGGACCTTTTCCATGTACTGTGATATACTGCTGCCCATTTCCGTGATCAAGGACGACACCATATTCACAAAACCAACTTGCTGGCGAGGCGTGATGATAGGCACGTTAAACGACGGCTTGCTCTGTACAGCTGACTGGCCGAGGACTTGTACGCCTCGAAGCTTACCCATGACGATGTCGAGAAAGTCACCCATGTCTTGGAGGGAAAGGTTTCGGATGACAGCCAGACGCGTGGCAAGCTGCCCTTGGCGGCCGCTTGCGACGCCCTTCTTGGAGATGGTGCGGCCGTACAGCAGGCGCAGGAGAACAGGCATCAGCTGGGGCTTGTGAGCGGGCTTGATGAGCTCGTCGTCCTGCAAGAAGACGGCAATCTCGTTCTTGAAGCGTGCCTCGTCCAAGAGGAACTCGAGGTTCTCCTGATATGTCTTGACGCCCTCCTGCTTCCAGGCGAGGATACCCTTGAGCGCGAGCTTCTGCACCTCGATGTCACCATGCTCGAGCAGTCGCAGCAGCGCATCGTAGACCTTGTCGTGCTGATAAAGGACCTTGGGGTTGACAAATTGTGAGAAAACGCCGATGATGCTCTTTCTGTCGGCCAGCGACCAGTTCTTATCCTCATCATCTCCGACATCCTCATCAGTCCCGTCGTCCACCGCGTCTTCTGACTCGCCGGCCCAGCAGAGAAGATGAGGTACCAGCTGGCGGGACCTCTTCTCGGCGATAGCGGGGAGCGCGTTGAAAACCTTGAGCGCACGATTTCGCGCAAACTCGGCAAGGTTCTCGACAAGCTGCTGCTCTTGGTCGAATGTTTCGAGCATCCTAGTTGCCGCGCCAACCGCATCGTCTCGTGCCTTCTTCCCAGCTTCTGTGAGTGCCATGTATGCTGTGCAGTCAAAGTCTGACAGGACGGGCTTTTGTGTAGCTGATGCGTCGCCTATCGGGCCCTTCCACCGCGGCGAGGGCACTTCCATCCATCGGAACGCAATCTTGGCAATGGCCTCCTCACCGGCCTTGGATTGCGCAACATGTTTTAAAGTTTCAATGGCATCGTCCCAAACGGGTGAGAGCTTTACCGTGAGCAAACCAAATAGAAAAGAGGGTACAGCATTGCTAAGCCAGCTGGAGCTGTCCACGTGCATATAATCTTGGCCAAGCTTCCGCATGAGCATACCAATACTTCTCGTATTCTGCAGCTGAAGGGGGGTTTCTTCGATCTGTAGCATGACGTCGAGTACCGTAGCCGACTTGTCCATGTATTGTAGTAACTGTAAGGAGGTGAGGCGGATATCGTGTGAAGGGGAGCCAAGATTTTCAATAAGGGACGCAATGGCAGGGTCAGTTTCTGTTACGTTTTCTTCAGAGGTCGCCTGTGCATCTGGTGATTCGCTGCCAGACACGGACGATACGTAGGTGAGATAGGACCGCAGGAACCCAACGGAGCGCGCAAAGCGAGGAAGAGCAGCGCGCAGCAGTCGGCTAAGGGTCGGATCGATGACGCCCGCGGCCTTGCTCATGCCCAGGTAGGCGTGGAACCCGGGCCCGACGATGAACCGCACCTCGTCAGAATCGAGCGTCGACGAGGGTCGCAGAGCCAGCTTCAGCTTCTTTAGCAGCAGCTCGGCGATGCGGGCGTTTGTAGAAGGGTGGACCGCCGTCAGCTCGAGGACCTGGAGCAGCGCGGCGTATTTCGGTAGGCAGCGGTCCCGCCACACCTGGGGGTCCTTGTTGTACGGGCCGCGCTCGGGGAACGGCGAGATCTCGAGGTGCTCAAACTTGGACACGATCTGGTCCTGCCAGCTCTGCGGCAACCGTAAGGCGTCCTTTTCCGTGGGTGGGGGAAATGCGCGGCGCTCCATCATCTGGGGCAGCAGCGTGCAGAGCATCTCCTCGTTGGAGGCACCGTCACTGTGCGTGCCGTGTGACCAGTGGGCGGCGATGAACTTTTGAAAGTCACCACGCAGAAGGCTGCCGAAGCGGCGTGGGTCCAGCTCGCAGAAGAGGGAGCAGAAGGGGATGAACCAGCGCATAAGCGGCTCGCGGGTCAGCGAGCGGGTTAGGGACGCGAGCCGCAGGAGAAGGGCATCGACGGGCGCGTGGTGCCAGGTGACGGCCACGCTGACAAGCACGCGCGACCACAGGCCGTCGCTGTCGTCGCGGCTCAGCTCGTCATCGGTCGCGGCTGGGCACGGGACCATCTTGGCGAGCAGGTCGGCGAGCAGCCCGATCAATCTGTTCCAGTTACTGATGCGTGAGCCTTTGCGCACGCCCGCCAGCGTTCCCAGCACGCGGATGTATGGGATTGCGGTCCATGCCGGTGGGGGCACCTTGGGCGCCACGCCCTGCCGCTCCACGGCGTCGTAGATGGCCTCGGCGAACTCGTCAAAGTGCTCCGCGCGGACGTGGTGTATCGTGCTCGTGAGGACGCCGCACACGACGTCGGTCCAGACCTGCGAGGCGCCCGGCGCGGCCTTTTCCTCGTCGGGGATGGCGTCCATGAGAGTCGTGAGGACGGCCGCGCCGGTCGAGTGGACGGTGCCGTCGGTGTGCTTCACGGCCTCGGCGAACATGGTCATGATGCCGTCGTTGTAGAGGGTGAACTGCTTGTCGCCGGCTGCGGCCATGGCGGCGAGGTCCTCGCGTACGTGCGCAACGAGCCCAGCCAGCGCCGTCTCGCGGTATGATGGTGCGGCCGCCTTGCGGACCAGAAAGCTGAGCGCCTCGGCGGCGAAGCGGGCGACGTGGCCCGGCTGGCGGGTCTTTCCGAGCAGCACGGCCATGACTTGGTACGTCGGCCGCACGTCCGGCACCAGCAGCTTGGCCAGGTACTTGAAGAGGAACGCAAGCGCGCCAAACGTCCACTCAAGCACCTCGGCCGGCTGCGGGCGTCCCGCGACGGCGATAATGAGGGCCAGGCTCCGCTCGTAGTACTTTTCGAAGCGCGCGCCGAGGTCGTGGGCAAAGGCTGTCAGCAGGTCCAGCAGCGGCTCCAAGCCATCCTTGTCCTGCTCGGCAATGTGCTCCTCGAGTAGATCCATGATGCGGGCCTCAAAGTGCAGGATCTGCGGCAGCGTCTCGCTGATGGGCAGCACCTTTTGCTTGAAGGAGACGAAGCATCGCCCGATGTTGAGCTCGTTCCATTTCTGGATACCGGTGCGGAAGTAGGAGGTCGCGGCGGAGAGGTCTTCCTCGTCGAGGTCGTGGCGGCGGACGCGGCGGAGGGGTTGCAGCGAGTTGAACTGGGCAATCTTGTCGGAGAAGGACTGCCATCGGTGATTCTTCTGATGGGGTGTCGAGTATTTATTCTTGCGCACCTTGGCGATGCGCCCTGATGATTTTGACGGCATAGTGACGGGTGTGTACTTTGTCACAAGAATACGAAATTCTTGCAAACAGAAAAAGTACGTAACCCCCGTCTGTGGATTATGGTGATTGACAACGACTCGAAGAAAAAAAAGTCCAATTGTAGCTATAAAAAGACAAAGTCCCCGCCAAAAAGTTTCCAAAATTTTTGGCTGGTTGATGGTCGGCAGAACTGATAAGGCGTATGTGGGGCGATCTTTGCACGCCCCTAGCCAATGACGTGGCAGGCGCATCTGCTTATCGAGGGCGTGCATCGCTAAAGCTCAGCTTTCAACTTCATCTCTACACCACAGTACGCTCGGCCCCCATTTCCACAAGCCGCAGCCCAGAGTTCTTCACAATGGCTGCACCAAAGATGTACGCCAGCTTATCCCTCCCAATTTTACTACCGCAATGCATACTAACTCTCTTCTTTTTTTCTAGAATCGTGCTGGGCAGCCTCAACGGCAACCTGGAACCCGCGTTCAAGAAGCTCGCCGCGCTGCACGCCAAGAACTCGTTCGCGCTCGCCCTCTTGACCGGCGACGTCTTCGGGCCCGAGACCGACGACGACGAGACCCGCTCCGCTGCCATCGACGCGCTCCTCGCCGGCACCTTGACCGTCCCGCTGCCGACCTACTTCACCGTCGGCTCCCGCCCGCTTCCCGCCCGCGTCGTCGCCCGCATCGAAGAGGCCGCCGCAGACGGAGGCGACGTCTGCCCCAACCTGCACTTTCTCGGGCGGCGCAGCGTGACCAAGACCTCCGACGGCCTGCGCATCGTGAGCTTCGGTGGCGCGCTGATGACGACCGCTGACGGGGCGGGAGGGAAAGAGCAGCACCTGCCGTTCCACACCGAAGAGGACGCGCGCAGCCTCAAGGGCGCGCACGGCGCGGATGTCCTCCTCACGTCGACGTGGCCTGCGAGTATATGGGGCGGCGGGTCCAAGGTCGCGCTCGACGCGGCGCACCGGGAGCATGTGGCCGCGAGCCGGTGCGTCGCGGAGCTGTGCGCCGCGCTGCGCCCGCGGTACCACCTGACCGCATCCCCGGGGCCGTTCTTCTACGAGCGCGAGCCGTTCGTCCAGGCCGCCGACGCGGCCAACCCGGACGTCGTGTCCGTGACGCGCTTCATCTCCATGGCACCGTTCGGCAACGCGGCCAAGCAAAAGTCGCTGTACGCGTTCGCGCTTAACAAGTCCGACGACGTCGTGCCGGCCGGCGCCACAGCCTCGCCACTACTACCGCGTGACAGGAAGCGCCAGCGTGGCGGCGACGACAACGCCCCATCCTCGTACAGCCGGTTCGGCCACCACCACCACCACGACGGCCACCACAAGCGCCGCCGGCAGGCGCAGCCCCCACCGGGCCCGGACCAGTGCTTCTTCTGCCTCTCCAACCCGCGCACCGCCACGCACATGATCTGCAGCATCGGCGAGGACGCCTACGTCACCACCGCCAAGGGCCCCCTCCCGCCATCCTCCTCCCCCGACAGTGCCCTCGGCTTTCCGGGCCACCTCATCGTCATCCCCCTCGCGCACACTCCCACCCTCTCCACCTCCTCCGAGGAAGCCGCCCGCACGCGCCGCGAGATGACCCGCTTCCGCGAATCCATCCAAGCCTCCGTCTCCGCGCGCTCTCGCCGCTCCCTCGGCGTCGTCACGTGGGAGGTGAGCCGCGCGCGCAACGTGCACCTCATCTGGCAGCTCGTCGCCGTGCCCGCCACTCTCATCGCCGAGGGACTCGCCGAGGCGGCGCTGCGCGTCGAGGCCGACCGCGCCGGCTACCCCGCCTTCTCCAAGACGGATCTGGCGGAGGAGGAGAGTGGTGATTTTGTGAGGGTGTGGCTGTGGGGCGACGGCGAGGACGAGGTGCTTCGTGGGACGACGCTGGTGATGAGGCTGGAGCCGGAGGCCCGCTTCGACTTGCAGTTTGTGCGCCGCGCGCTGGCGAAGCTGCTCGGGCTGGAGGAGCGTGCCGTCTGGCAGGAGTGTCAGCAGACGGAGGAGGAGGAGACCAAGGACGCCGAGGCGTTTCGGGACGGGTTCAAGGAGTGGGATTTTACCTTGGAGTAGATTTTTCGGGCGTTGGTTTGTCTTTGAGAATTTGCATTTAGCATTTGCTTTTTTACCTTTGCATCATGGGCGTTGGATCGGGGCAGGTGGTCAATCTTGGAGACGGAAAACGATATCTACTTTGATCTTTAGATTAGCTTCTTCACTCGGAGAAAAGCGATCAGTCACAATCAGAAGAAACAGATAATGTTCAATATTTTCTTTGGGTCTTCTTATCTATCCCGTCCCCTTCGCTTGCTACTTGATGGGATTGATTGCTCTTCGGCATCCAATAGTAGACTTTATAAAAACAAAATGTTATCCTTCAACAAGGGATGGCTGTGTAGAGAAAAAACAAGCAATGATACATCCAGCAAACTCCAGTGATGTTTCTCTTTCCCACTCGGCGCCCGCAATAAAAAACAAATGCAAAGAAACCTGCAATAGCTCTATAGAACCATGTTTGTTTATCAACAAGACAAAAGGAATAAAGGAATTTGGCTGACGAAAAGCGGAATCAAGTCCAGTGCAGGTGAGCCGACACATCTAGTGCCAGGTACCGCCAGGAAGAGCAAAACAATGACAAGAAGAGAGTGTTTTCGTCGTGAGGAAAGGGGGTATAGACAGGGCAAAAAACAAAAGACATTCAAATGCATGTCAAGTTGCGAGTCGCCGGGTATGCGTAAGAAATACAATGCGCAGCAGATGCACCCTGGCGCAGCTCTCGGAAGGTGGTTTGTTCGTGACCGTCAGGTCGTGTGGATGATGTGTTGATGAAGGAGTGGCTGCTTGCGATCCACGACGGAGGCTCTGTGGCAGAAAGCATATGCTGATATTGTTTTACAAGTAGTTGATGGTGAACCAAGTAGTTGGTGCTGGCTCACTGTGAGTAATCCGGGCAACAGCCGCGCCGTTTGCTGGCAGAAGAACAAGACAGGAAACTTTGCGCACAGATTTGTTGTTCAAATCAGTCGCAAGACAGATGCGAGATAGCTATGCCGCAAAGAATAGTAGCATGGCAGAAAGCACAGATGTGACGGCGCGTCGGGTTGATGATTAGTTGTTAAAGCAAGAAGAGCTTGTCCGCGGCTCACGGCGGCTGTGACCGTTATGATATGGGTAGGAACAGCCGCTTGAAAGATTAGTTGTTTCATGTACAACGTGAGCCGGGGATGAATAAGGAAACGGTTGCACCAGTCGCCGAGGTGCGGCGTGGTGACACTTGCAGATGCAAGGCAATGTGCGGTAGATGAGATATGTGACAGGCGCAAAAGCGAGGTCGAGATATTAGTAGGAAGCCATGCGCCGAGTATGTGATCGCTCGGGAATGGGGGAAAAGCTGCCCATGATGGGGAATTGCCGTGATGGCGGTCGACCAGGTGCAGTGGGGGAGTCATTAACACCCGCATCCCTCTGGCCAAACGCAAAAGTCTGCGCGCGGCTGAGACCGCCCTTTCGGGCCCTAAGTCTGCCCATCTCGCGCTCACAGGTGCGTTGGTGCTTCTCGTCCGACATTTCCACGTATTCCGGGGGGAAGCATCTGCCACGGAAGTTGGCAAAAAAGCCACTGTACCCTCCGTCGAGAATGTACACCTCAGGATAAGTCAAGCGAGGGTAGAATTCAGCATTCACGGTACGGTCCTCAGCACGAACATGTCTAGCCATTAGAGGAGCACGGTGAGCAGAGTATTCACAGTGAAAGATGAGCAAGGATCTCCCGCCAATGGGAGTCTTGAAGAGTTGCGAGGTGAGAAGCTCCTTGTCGTTGTGGTTGACGGCACCCTCAATGTGGCCACCGTCATACTCATACTCGAAGCGGCAGTCAATGACCATTTTGTGATCAAACTTATCATTGTACTTGCCGTCGAGAATCTCCAGCATGGTGTCTTGGGTGATGCGTGGGATGGTATCGGTGGGGTCATCTGAGAGGAAGTGAGGCACGACGGCTTCGTGAGCTTCCTCAATGTCCATGACAGACTTGAGTGGCGTTGAGATCAACTCGTGGGTCTGCGGCTTGGCATTCATGACCTCGCCGGGATGCTCAAACATACTCAGGGAGCGACGAACCTGCTTGCGGGCTCGCAAGAACGGGTTGGAAGACCGTCTGCAGTGAGCGATGGGTGACCCGAGGCGAGGGCTGCTGCTGTTGGAAGTGACGAGTTGTGTGCGGGAACGGAGGCCAATAGGGATGGGAGCACAGGGGCTATTGGACGAAGACGGTCTCGAATCTTGAGTAGGCGACTCGGACTGGAAGCACTCTCCGAGAGAGAGGTTGGAGCTCGTTCGAGAGGCCGAATCGCCACCAAAACGAAATGGCGGAAGTTGACCATCAGCGTCAGCCTTGAAACTGCTGCCGGTGCCGGACGACGAGGAGTTGTGACCTCTCATTCGGCTTAAGGATGGACGGCGTGGAGCAGCGATTCTACGGCTATAGAAAGTTAGCAGGTTCTGTAGCGGCCGGCACAAGTAGATACGTACTCCGCAAATGACGGTAGCTTGGGAAAGTCCAGCGGCGGGCGCGATATGGGAGCCGGGGAGTCGAGCATCATAGCCTCGTCACCAGGCAAGGTATTGGGCGTGGGAGAAGCTGCCTCAGATTGCAGAAAGAAGGGTGTCTTGTGCGGAAGCGGCGAGAGCTCCATGTATTCGGTCAACTGAGCCGGCGAGGACGAGGGAAGCGGAGGGGTGGTGACATAGTCTAGTAGAAGAGTCAGTAAGCTGGCCAACTGTGTAGCAGCATAGCAAGAGACATTACCTCTGTTTTCGAAGCCACCCATGACATTGGCGGTGAAGAGTGCACGGCGAGGAGTTGGAAAGTGAGGGCTGTAAATCAGTCAGTATCGAGATCGATCTGTACGCCTCGGAAGGAAGGTGCCGTACCTAGCTTCGCTGTCGAGACGAAAGTTCTGGGAGAGGTCGGCGGCCAAGCTGGCGGCGGGCGAGGATCCGCGAGGCTCGTTGGAGCTAAAGTAGTCGGAGGTGCCTCTCTGCAGCTGCTCGCGCAGGCTCAAGGCGGCCGAGGCCACCGGTCCTACGAAGGAGTGGTGGTGGTGACTGCGGAAGATGTCCCTGCCGCCCCAGCTCGGGGCAGGCATAGGGCGGTGCAGCGCCGCGAGTGGTGAGGAAGCCTCCATTTGTGGCGAGGAGGAGAGAAGAGGAAGGGCCCCGGGGTTGGTGAACAGAACTCGCAAAGGGCTGCGAGAACTGAGCAACCTCGGTGGTGGGTTGGAGGAAGGAAGAAGGAAGCCAAAAGGGCCAAAAGGCAAAAAGGTGCAAGTCGAAGTAACTAATAAGTAAACGGTCGTGAAAAAAAAGAGCTCCACTGGCCTAGCAACGGGGCAACAGCGTGGAGGCGGACGGTATTCAGAGTAGCAGGGTGGGTGACGTCGTGGAACATGTAATCGTGCAACGGACAGTTATAGGTTGAAGGGCATTGGCGAGTGCGTGCGCAGGTGCATTGATCGTTTTGGTATTTGTAGAGACGGGAGGCGGGAGAGAGGATTAATTCGCTGTCGTGGAAATTCGTGTTTGGTTCCGTTGCTTGTCGGCTGGCGGCGGTGGTCAAACGGGTGCCGACGTCAAGGTGGTGAAGGGCCAGTTTCAGGAACAATGAGGCAGGCAGGCAGCAGAGAGAAGGGCGGAAGAGGAGGCCAAGAGGAAATTCTTTTCGAGGCTGTTTCCTTCTATTCGGCGGAGCGATGCATAAGAAGCAGAAGAAGAACCAATTCGGAGAGTGGGTTTTCTAATTCGCTTTTGGCGTGCAAGGCGGGTGACGATGGATGGGCTTTGCGTCGTTGACTGACTCTACACCTGGTCGATGGTGATGGGGGCCGTATCCGCAGCACCTACAGGGCAGGGCAGGTATGGTATGCAGACCAGTGACAGCAGCAACAAAAGCAGCAATCCGAGGCCGGCTTTGTTCTCTTTTTCTCTCTCCTTCCCGTGTGGCCGAGGCGCAAGGGAAAAAAGAGATAGAAGGGAAATAAGAAGTTGTCGCTGAGGAACAAAGCCTTACCTTGGCCGCTGCGCTGCTGTAGTTCGTCGTTTGCCTCGGGGAGGGCGGGCGGACGGGCGTCTCTTACAAGAGAGGGAGGGGGGGTGAGGAGGGCAGGTCGAGGAGGGATGGTGTGCGGGAGCAACGGCTTTTGAATGGCGTCGGCGCAAGGTGGGCAGGCCAAGCAAGGGCAGCGAAGCACATAAAAAAGAGAGCCCAGCTAGTGAGTTTGGATAACTGTAACTGGTTCGGTAGGGAGCTCCTAGTGGTGGAGGATCAAGCAGAGTTGGACGGCTGGAGTTTGTGACGTTGTTAGGGGTGATGTGGGCGGATGCGACGCAGCCAGCCTTGCCTTGCCTTACTTACCTTGCTTGGGATGGATGGGACAGCGTCCCGTCGGTGGTTTGGTTTGGCTCGGTTTGGTTGTCTGGTTATCCGGAGGAGAGGAGACGCAGACGAGGCACAAGATGAGGGGCCGACGAGGGACTGAGGGCTGAATATGGCGTATAAGGTACTGCAGTCAGTACCAGGAAGCTGCAGGTAAACTGCACTACAACCCTTGTACCTAGGGGAGGTGGCCTGGAGAGGTACTAATAACGTAGGCGCCTGTCTTGCAGCTTAAGTTCGGGATCCTGGCCAGTGAGAGTGACCGGTGACGACAAGAGAGTCAGACTCTGTTCCCCTCCCTTGCCCTGGCGTATTAGTTGGTTAGCTGTATTAGTATGGTACATACATACATACATATGTAGGTTGGTCACTGGTGGCGCGAATCCAAGGGAACCAAGCTTTTGGCAAGGTCAGTCTTCAGCTGGACGCGAACCCCACTAGCAGGGGTTCAATGATGCGGGCGACGACGTGGGTTAGTTGTTGGTGGGTTGATGGGCATCTCCAGGGCAGCCCAGCCAAGCCAAGCAGAGCAACAGGTGCACCTAATCCTGCACTATCATACTCTTCTTTCTTTTTTTTTTTTTTTTTTTTTTTTTTTGCTTGTACCATACCAATATCAAAAAGTAAGCTAATTTAGCAACTGTAGAGAAGAGCCAGCCCGTCGCCTCTCCACCTGCATCATCTTGCTCGCTCGCTCGCTCTCTCGGTATGTGGGTTTTGGTTGCTGTGGAGCAGTGGCGCTGGGAGGAGTCTCTAGCAGCGCAGACATTCAGTGCCTGTATCCCGTACCTGGGCCAACTGCGTCTAACCGGGCAACTTGTGCCTGGACTGGGCTGGGGCAGTTTATCTCGTTCCTGGTACCACCGAGAGCGACTCCGGCCGGGCAAGGTAAGGGAAAAAATCCACTGAACCCGGCCCCAGCAACCCACTGCCATCGACAAGGCCATCATGCTGTTGCGAAAACCGCGGAAGCTCGCCGTTGCTAGGCCCCCGCCCCCCCCCCCCCGGTACAGGCCGCCTACAGCGCACTGTGCCGTCAGTCAGCCAGGTTCCCCCCCAGTAACACCATCACCTGAATCAACCACTAAGATAAATCGTAAATATCATTGTCAACTGCCTGCTTTTTTCTTCTCCTCTCATTGTCATTACACAGCCATTTCTCCGTTCCCTGTAGACAGGCTCCAGGTTTGCTTCATCGCCCGGCATTGACAATTATGACCCTGCAAACCCCCTCTCTTCCCCCCAGCGTGAAACACTGACAGCTGCCAGCCCTGTCACTGCTGTCCTGGCGACCAAGTGCCACAGCGTCAAAACCAGTCTCGGTTATCATGGCAACTGCATAATACGGCGGATACATACATTCACGAATTATCCGTAGGTAGTTCATGTATTCCATACTTATATCAATCGTGAGTTATTACCTGGACCAAACTAGTATTACAGTATTGGTTAGAGTATCCGTACGTAATTCGTACCTACCTCAGTTATACACAGTGTTGCATACATAAACCACCACATACTCCCGTTTTATTGCCCGTTTGACTGGACAATCTTGTTATACGTTGCACAACGTACGATATCTTGTACAGCCAACCAACCTCCCTTCAAATCCACCAAACTCATCCCTCGTCTCCCACAAACTTGATATCAGCCCGGTCTGGACCACCAACCAACTCCCACCTACCGATTACGGCCGCACCAATACTGCTCCCTTCCCTTCTTTTTCCACGGACTTTCGTCTCCCATTCTGATATGAGCAGCTGTTACCCGCCCGCCGCCTTCGCCGACACCAAAAAAAAAAAAGTCTCGGCTGCCGCCCGCAATCTCGCCCGATGGAGCCAGTCACGGCATCCCCATACCTGTCCCAGCGTGCCGGGCTCGCTCCAACAAGCCTTCCGACCTCGAGGCACGCGATTACCCGCAAAAAGAAGGAAAGAAAAGACGAACAAGCGCCCGCCGTCTCCAATCTTTTCTTGTCTTGTCGTGATTTCGCTCCCTTCGCTTGTTACTGCCCACTAACTAACTAATCTACGACAGGTGTGTGAAATGCCGGGACATGGTACTGGTGAAACCCCCCGGGTCACCTTAAACATTCATCCAGATCCGTCAGTCTCTACCTAATAACCCATCGTACTAGCACAGTTTGTAGTTGCCTTCTGTGCAACATTCCCGATTGTGCTGCTCCAGACTTTTCGGTGCATGTTCCTCCCCTACCCGACTTGGTCGCACCAACAATAAACTTTATAGCTATCCGAAACGTCCTTTGACTTTCACATTCCCTCCTCCAGACGGGCCGCCCAATCAAACCATTCACTTACTCGGCTCTTATCGTGCGGTGTAGACTTTGCTGCAGCTAACCTCCATCACCGCCGGCAACAAGCGCCGCTGTCGTATCCGTGCGTGCTCTGCATGTCTCTCAATTGCCGTCGGCGGAAATTTCTAGACTGCATGCCAGTCGCTTATTTTTTTTAGCATGACGATGCTTGTCGATCCGAGTCTTGCAGAATGCCGCCGTCCAATTACGGGGTCGTAGTCTTGACACTGGAGATATCGTCAGCATGCAGCAATATCCGTATCCCCTAAAAATAATCCAGGGCATTCCTGACCTGCATCTTCTCCAGAATCTGTGATTAGTTGCGGGATTTTGTTCAATATGACTCGCGCATAATTGTCATGGCGATTTTTTCTGGCTTCTTCGGCATGGCCCTGGACTGCACTAGCTGGGATATGCTGTCCATAGGGTAGCATCACCAATTACACAGCATACTTGATACGTTGCGCGCCTTGGCCTGGCAGCGTTTACAAATTTTAAAATTCATTTGAAGTTGCACAATCGCGTTGTTCTTGCGGTAACTGTATCCGATGCAGAGGAGGTTATCAGGCAAAATCCCAGGTTGTTGCATGGTATCCCGCAGCACTCGTAAAACCCCCAAATCGCAACCAACCACCACCAAATAACCACCAAGTAATCACTGATAATACTAACAACAACAGCTTCACATCGCGTCTCGGCCACGACGCTGAAACTTCTGCATCACCATTCCTCTGCCGTTCGTCCCTTTCGTCTGGTACGACCTCCGGAACCAATTCCCCTCCATTCTGTGTGGGCTCGCCTGACGGCTGAGCCGACTGAACACGCACATTATTATCAGATTCTAGCCAAGATGACGCGCAGTAAGAATCGTATTATCGGAAAAAGTCTCGCTCCTCGGGATATTTTACCCCATCCACCGTTGCTTTTCCCACCGAGAAGTCCACGATGGATGGAGAACCCACCTCGAGACCTTTTCCTTTTTGTACCAGTAAACTAACTCGCCGTCTTGTCTCTCTTCCCCAACTTGGAGGCTCTGCTCAGCCTGGTGAGACGACGCGATCAGCCTCCCCTCCTCCGCCCAAAACAAAGTCAACACCGAGCTAGTTACCGATAGCTGAGACGCTAATCCACACGGTGTGCCGATCACCTGTGTTATCCGCATTGTTGTGCCGGTATAGTTTGTGGCCCGTCATCACCACACTGCACTAATAATGCTGTGCCATTCTTGGTTGCATTATTATTACAGTGGACTCGCGACTCGGCTGCGTTGGGGTGATTGGCAGCGCAGCCTGTTGTTATCTTCTTGTTGTCTGGCTTCGTCTTCCTGCAAGGCTGGATGGGTGGCTGACTTGCTGACCGGCTGAACTACCAAGGAGATAATGCAGGGTAGTTAGTTTGGCGCCGTCGTGCTTGTTGCATGATGATAGCCAACTGCTACGCTGTAATATTGGTTCACTGGCTGGCATCTTCCTTCACCTTTCTTTCACACAAGGCCCAAGCGCCGCAGCATCACGAACCACGGAAAAAGAAAACTTGTCCCGCATCCCTTCCCGTGTATCTCATGTGTCCCAAGTTTCTTCTGGCGATCTGGCTACACCGAGACATAATTAATGTACGCATAAGTTGTGGTTTTCTGTTCAAGCCTCCCTTCACTCATCAACCTGGGTCCGGCTCCAGTCCTCCGGCGTCCGCATTCAACGAGCCCGAGCCTTCCTGTGCCATAAATTGCTGCAGGACATCCATCGTACATGTCAAAAAGGCACGCACCTCTTCTCGCCCTTGCATTTCGGAAAGCCCGCCCCGTCCTGTGCCACGACGCATGCCGTGCCGTCAGTTGCCCAGACTCCTCCCCTTCCTCTCCCGACAACGGACCCTGTGAAGGGGGCAGCGAGGAAGAATAAGACCCGTTTGGGTAACACATGGTAGCTTCACGAGGGGCGGGGTCTATCCTGGTCAAATCTGACTGGCTTGCGACAGCATTGTTGTCCTCCTCCGCCCAGGGCATGGAAAGCTTTTGCAAAGTACCTCGTGCGCTTGCGGAACAAAGGTTCGGATGACACAAGCCCTCTCGGATTGTCAAACGGGCCCATGGCCTCGTACAAGCCCTTTCAAGTATTACACATCAAAAACCCTCGCTCGGTATTTTGCATTGTCTGGTTCCCACACGTAAAACAAGCAACCACCAAAGAAGCAAAAAGAGGACCGAGAAAAAAGCAAATCGCTCGCTCCAGTTTGTTCAGTCTCCTGGGCGATGTGCCAGGCCATGGATACGATCCCGCATGGCGCAGACCCTCCTCTCCCCCCCTCCCCTGTTCGCGAGAAAGCGATTGGTTCAGTCCATGCGCCTCATGACTTACCCGGCCTCCCTGTCGCATTGGTGTGTAAGAATATCGTCATCCATGGAGTTGTACCGGTACATTGTGTATGTACGTACATGCACAATGCACGCCGAGGAACCAAACATGATTGCTCTGTTTTTTTTCTCCGCGTTATCGTTGTCAATGCATCTGCAGACGTCTAGTGTTTCACGACACGTGTGGTGGAACACCGGTTCCGAGGACCGACTGCGCGTCTTGATCAACTACTGGTACATGTAAGTAAGGGAGAGAGATAAAAGCAAAAAGAAGAGATGAAAAAGAAAGCAAAACAAGGCAAGTGTCGCAGCCGTATGTGGCGTTCTTTGTTGATGTCCAGAGAGACTCAGAGAGGCAGCTTCTGCATCAATTTGATGCATGAGTAGTGCATGTATCGAGACATACCGGTACATACATACATGCGCATACATACTGGCATGCAGGAATTCATACTGTATGCACATGAGTACATGAAGAAGTCTTGTGCAACAGCGGACATTTCCGTCGCCAACCTCATCCCGGCCTACTCCCGCATCCAGCAACACTCACTGCCAAAGTGTTTCTTTTTCTCGTTCTCACTCACGATCCCCATCCCACCTGTCATCGACCTAAAAATCCCCGGCTTGCATAGTCAGTTTCACACTTGTTCGGGGTCTGTCTTGTTGACATCCAGAAGCGCGTCCCATCCATGCCCATCTCAATGCTCTAGTTACATCGACGGATGACAGGACGGACCAGCTCGCAAGAACCTTTCGTACCCCCCTGGTCGTCGTGCTGCGTCATAGACGTTTCTTATCCTGCTCCCAATCGTCGATGTAAGGGCTTGGAATATGATCCAACGTGCCAACGCATACCAAGGCTCTCAGACTTTTATTACCCAGTTAAGTCCTTCAACCTAGTTATAAACCAACGGCTAATATCAAATGCCATAGATATAGCGACGGGGTGTTGAGAAAATTCCGTCCTCTTCAACTATAGTTTCTAAGTAGTAACTGGATCGTCATGCCCACCAACTACTGCGCTGGGGGAAAAAAAAGCCACCGCTGATTACGGCGCCAAGCCAGGTGCTCGGATGATTGTGTCGCAGCTCTACTGGACACCGAAACGATAGGGTAACCACGCGGGCCCATTCTCGCAAGCTTCCCCAAGCAGAGCATAATATATCCCGTCAAGTTCTAGTCCTTCTTCTTTCTGGGGCAACGTCAAAAAAAGTCTGTAAAAAAAAAAAAAAAAAAAAAAAGGGAAAAGAGGCGAAGCCCGTGGGGGCAGAGCAAAAAGCCTCTTCTCCACGTACCCAAGTTTAGCCTTTCTTTGTCCCTCCAACGAGAAGCTCGTGAAGCCTTGCTGAGACTCTGTGAGGCTTTCTTTCTTCCATCCCTGCGCGGCCCCCCTCTTCCAGGCCATTGTATTGTTTACTTTGCCGCCAGACCCCTCTTCAGATAGATGGCTTTTCCAAGGTTCGAACGTCTAGCCCGTCGGAGAACATGCACATGACTACGCACATCACGCTTGCATCTACCCAATCACGTATGCCACCCGCTGAGTTGAAGGCTTTCCGTCTCGGTCACTGGGCACACCGCATGTCTGCTTTCAGCCGTCTTCAAAGTCTCCATCCGGCGCCCTGAAACCTTTGCCCTTCCTTCTCTGATCCCATTGCCCCACCAGCAAAGAGTGACTGGTAAGCTTTCTGACCGGGCACTGGCGGCCGCCACCAGGGTAGGGCCAGCAAATATTGCCTCCTGGTCTTCTCGAGGGAGAGCCATTGATACCCCGTGAGACCGGTAGTGGCTTCATCTTCCCTTTTTTAACCCTTTACTTTCGCATGATATCGGATTTCATATCGTTCGAGAGCCCTCCCTTTTGTCAATGCGGCCTGCAACGGTGACCGACGTCGTCGATCCCAGAAAGTAAACAGCACCACAGTCGCGCTATCTAAGTAAACAATGCAGGACGCGTTACCTCTGCCCCGCCCGGCAACGGACACTGTCACGCTTTCACGTGACTTGTCCATTTTGAGCAAGGTGGGATGATCCAGATTAGGCAAGCGGGGGATGGTGGCAGAATATAATTTCTTGGGACGGCATCTGATAGCGAGATTGCTTGTAGGCCAAGAACGAATGTGCGATACTTTGCCGCCGTAATTCATTTCACAAATCATGGCAGGCAAGAGAAAGCGCGGAGCCAAGGAGAATGGCGCCGCCGCCGCCAATGGCCATAAAAAGGCCAAGAATGACTCTAATTCAACCGCCAAGTCGACCACGGCCGTCTTCGAAAAGCGTCCGTTTGTCGAGAGCCCGGCCGGCGAGGAACGACGACGAGAGGCGACCCTGTACGACCTTTTGGCCAACGAGGATGAGAACGAGAGAATTTTCGCGGCCGACTGCATCATATCCAGCCTCATAGGCGAGGAAAAGGTCCCCGAGGCCGTGCTGGAGCGCCACCTCGAGCGCCGCCTGTTCCGCGGACTGGCCAGCGGCCGCAACGCCGCCCGGCTGGGCTTCAGCCTCGTCATCACCGAACTGGTCACCCAGCTCTTCGGCGAGCAGGCCCTCGCCGCCGCGCACTACCCGGGGCTCACCTTTCAAAAGGCCGTCCGCATCCTGATGGACAAGACGCAGGCCGTCGGCAACATCCCCGGCCAGGAGGAGCGCGACCACTACCTGGGCCAGCTCTTCGGCATCGAGTGCTTCGTGAGCTCCGGCGTCATCTTCGCCGAGCCGACGCGCTGGAACATGGTGCTGGACCTGCTGCTCAAGATCGCGCAGAAGAAGGTCTGGCTGCGCTCGCAGTGCGGCTGGGTCGTCGTGCAGGCGCTGCGGCAGATGGACCAGGCGTCGGCCGAGGCGACGCTCAAGCAGATCGCGGACGCCAACCTGGCTAAGACGGCTGACGGCGTCGCGCTCTGGATTACGGCGATGAGTCGGTACCCCGATATCAAGGTCAAGCCGTGGCGGCACCCGCTCGCGACCAAGACCCTGGGCGATCTCGCCTCGGTGCTCAAGGAGAGCCTCAACGAATCTGGCAAGGATGCTAGTGAAAAGAAGGGAAATGCACCCAAGCAAGCCAACTGGACGGCGCAGCTGCACTTCGTGTGGGATATGCTTCTGGCGTACTATGCGGGGGAGGACGTGAAGGCTGACGAGCTCGATCAATTCTGGCAGCGAGTCGTCGATGACGGCTTTTTCTCAAAAAATGCCACTGATGGTCAAAAGTTCAAGGGCTTCATGGTCTTTCAGAAGATGCTTGAGGGACTGGCGGATCAAAAGTCGAAGCTCGGCAAGCTCTTTTCCAAGAACCTCCTAAACTGCCTGATGAATCAAGCCGCAAAGGAAGACCGCTATCTCCACAGAGCCGCCGTCAAGGCACTCAAAGCTATTGAGAACACCGTGGCAGCGCACCCTAAGAGCCTTACAACAGTCCTTCGCAATCTGCTCACAGGCAATGGTGTCTACAACTTCGACCAGCGCACAGCGTCCAAGACTATCGACCGTCTGCTGCAAAATTCCGGCACCATTAGCGAGAAGAGAATCCTCGAAGTCCTGCAATTACCCATCCCGTCTTTAGCAAGCCAAGAAGAGGCTCAAGCTAAATCAACCCTAAGATCATATGTCGAGCACTTGTCAAAGGTTCTAAATGCGTCCGCCTCAACTAGCTCAGAGAAGAGCAACAACAGAGACTCATTCGGCCTGTATCTACAAGAACTGTCCCGATTGGCCTACTCGCAGCCTGAAGATATTCCCTCTTTGCTGCTGACAGAACAAATCCGCGAGCTCTGCCGATCAAGGCTGGAGTCATCTCTATCTAAACTGACGCGCAACGCTGACGACTTTTCTGGACTGTGCAATGCCATCGGTGCCATCGATCCTAGTTCGGTCGATATGGAGGATGACATCAAGACGGCAGTTGACGATGCTCTCAAGCGCATGCGCAGCCTACTGAAGCGCAAGACCAAAACTGAAGCCGGCAAGAGCGTAAACGAGGCGCTGGCCACTCTTCACGCCATCTCGATATTCCAACTATACAACGAAGACCCTGACGCTATGGAGTCACTCAAGGATCTGGCGCAATATGACGACAAGCTGAGGAAGGGCGACAAGACGGAAGGAAGCTCCGAGCTCCTTGTGGAGATTCTGCTGTCCATGGTTGCGCGCCCCTCGTCTTTGATGCGTCAGGTCTCGCAGCAAGTGTTTGAAGCTTTTAGCAGCCACATTACCGCCGGTGGCTTGCAGCTATTGACAGACCCCTTGGCGTCCAACGAGAGCACAAAGGGCCAAAAGGAACTCTTCAACACCGATGACGATGCAATGCTTATCGACGAGGACGTCTCAGAAGACGGCGATGATGACAATGTCGTCGATCTGGATGACGCCTCTGACGTCGAGCTTGGCTCTGACGTGGAGTTTGTCAACCTAGCCGACCAGGAAGACGCCAGCGACGATGACAGTGACGACAGCGACAGCGACGACGAGGACGAGAACGGCGATGAGCAAGAAGGCCCCATCGACCTTGACGAGTTGTGCGCCACGATCCTCAAGAGCCACCGGCTCGACAAGGACGCCGACGCCGCGTCGTCCGACTCGGACGGGGACATGTCCGACGGCGCCATGATGGAGCTCGACGGCAAGCTCGCCGAGGTCTTCAAGCAGCGCGCGCGCGCCCGGCCCGACTCCAAGAAGGACCGCCGCGACGCGCGCCAGTCTGTCGTGCAGTTCAAGCACCGCATCCTCGACCTCGTCGACGTCTACGCGCGCGTCGAGGGCGGCGCCCGCCGCAACCCGCTCGCCTTCGCCCTGCTCCCCCCGCTACTGAATCTCGTCCGCACCACCGCCACCAAGCCCCTCGCCGTCCGCGCCTGCGACGTCATCCTCAACTACCAAAAGGCCCTGCGAAAGGCCCGGAGCGGCAGCGGCAAGGCGGCACCCGTCCCCGCCTCCGCGGCGGAGCAGGAGGAGGACCTCCTCCCGCTGCTGACGGAGATTCATGAGGAGGCAGGCAAGGACAACGCCCACGCGTATAGCAAGGCGGCCAGCGCGGCGAGCCTCATCATCGCGGGGTCGATGCTGACGGCGGACCGCGACAGCATACGGAGGATCGCGGCCGTGTACGCGCAGACGCAGAGCCGCTGGGTGCTGGGCGAGGCCCGCCTGCAGACGTCCTTCTTCGTGGACTGGAACAACTGGTGCCAGAACCACGCGGCGCAGGCCCGGGACAAGAAGGCAGGAGAAGAAGAAGAAGAAGAAGAAGAAGAAGAAGAGTGATTGGAAGACGTGGTAGTGAGTTAGTGTACATATAAAAAAGCATGCAACGGAATAGAACTCATTTGGGAACAAACCACCTTCACATATAAGCTCCAAGTCACATGAACTCATTGGAAACTACTTGCACAAGTTGTCAGTCGTAACAATATTTCTATGGACCCTGCCATTATTTATGATATTACATGGTTATTTCTTGTGTTTCTTTGACCGGCCCGAGGCCGTTAGCTTTGTGTAGTCATTTATTCCTCCATCTTATCATCGTCCTTCTTCTCAGCCTCGTCGTCCTCGTCATCCGACTCGTCCTCGGCCTTTGCTAACCTCTCGGCCTCCTCGCGGAGCTCCTTGGGCACCTCGACGTGGCGGCCCTTGGTAGGTCCGTCGGCGGTGCTGATCCAGGTCATCTCGAGCTCAAAGTCCTTGTCCTTGTTGTCTTTTTGGGCGACGTAGATGATGCGCGCGGCCTCAATGACCGCCTGGCGCAGCGTCATGCCGCCGGCCTGGAGGTCGAGCTTCTCGAGCTCCGCCTTGGCAGCCTGGCGGCCTTTGCCCGTGGCCGCGCCGTAGTAGCCCCAGTACTGCCCGCTGGGCTCGACCATGTATAGGAACGGGCCGCCGTGCTTCTTGCCGGCCACCTTGCCGCCGGCGCCGCACGCGGGGCCCGACCCGACCTCGCCGTCGACGGGCGTGTCCTCGGACGTGTCGACGCCGCCGATGATGCCCGTGATGCCAAAGGGCCGCACCGAGCCGTACATGGTGTACGCCTGCAGGTAGCTGCCCATGCGCGAGGCCAGGTCGGCTGTGGGGATGGGCGCCTTGAAGTTTTGCCGCCACGAGTGCGACTCGTCGCGGGCTCGGTCGATGAAGTGGCGGCCATCCGGGATCATGCCAGAGTAGACCTGCGGCCCCGTGTTAGCCTGGCCGTGGCAGAGGAGGAGAGACGGGGCGGGAGCTGAGGCGCTGGCTCGATAAGGATACGTACCACTCCAATGTGACTATCAACAGTGCCGATGCGCTTGTTGGCGCCCGCCTTGGCCAGCTTCGACGCAACCACCTTCTCGACGGCTAGGACGACCCCCTCGTCACAGCGGATGCCGATGGACGTGCCGCCATTCTCGACCGCCTTGACGGCGTATTCGACCTGAAAGTTGCGTCCGTCGGGCGAGAAGATGGAGTTGAGCAGATCGTACCCAGTTCCTATCGAAGTCTGGCACGGGCGCAGGGCGGTGGTTAGCTAAAGTGAGGTCGGGCGGGCGAAGGGGATCAAGGGAGAGGGGGTCGTTTCCTGGCGAAATGCAAGGCGCTTACCATTTTTGCGTGGATTGAAGAAAACGCGGTTTCGATGAGTGGGTGCGGTGTTGATGCAGTGTTCTCGTGGCGGTTGATGAAGAGCGGCTTCTTGGCTGGAGGTTGACGAGGAAAGCTGACGAGGGAGCTTCTGCCTGAGGCGACGTGGGGACCGATTGGTGGCCACAGCACCACAACAAGAAAGCTACTAAGCTGTAACCTACAGATGTACTATACAGCGTGGAAATAGCAGCAAACAATTTGATTAAAAACTAGGGACGCGACGAGCAGAGGAACTCCACAAGCCGAAAATGCCTAAAATGTTTTCTCTATTCAGTTATAGGTCTGAGTTCGCTTTTCGACCATGAAATGGCTGCGGGTGCATGCCTGGGGTCGATTGCGAATTCGAGCTGCCTACACAGAAGCGTAGAGCTTGCTTCTAACTTACCTGAGCTGAAGTGTGGCTGACAATCGTGGCTAAGCAACACCGCCACACTTGTTATAATTATAGTGGTCGACCTTGTCGTCGCAGAACTTGATAACGACAAAAAGTCTATCACAAAGTATGTACATAGGTGCTTGTAAAATAATTGCTAGTGCGGAAATTCACGAATAGCTTGTATTTTTATTTATTACTAACGCAGTGATACTTTTGACATCGGAGCGTAGTCCAGTTCGTCAGTCTATATTCGCTATCTAACCTACATGATATTGATAAGTCGAAGTCAATTCGAATTCACAGGAAGAAGATTCAAGCGTGATAATACTTCGTGTAACTAAAGTTCTGTATTGCTCCCGCCATCAAGGCTCTGTAGCGACCCGGAAGCTGTGTGGCTAGATGGTGGCTGATGCGTAAATGAATGAGACGACGCAAAGGATGGCGCTCAAAAGTAATCAAAGACACTGGTTTCGTGACTTTTCAAAAATCTCCAACAAAACCAAAAACAGCTGATTGGGCGACGATGAACGTGACATCTACTGCATTGTGTTCCCCGTCGGCTCGGCGGCAAGCCACCCAAGTAGCTGGTAAAATTTGCTGCGGTTTTCCAGCGACGTCAGAAAAGTAGAAAAGTCCAGGACAGGCTCGATGGTAACGTATAGTCTGCGAGAAATCAAATTAAAATAGCCTTGAACAATGCGGACTTCTCTGTTTGATATGGTGAATAGAGTGATCTAGATAGACTAGTCAGTGGCTCTGAATTAGAAGTTGCGTGGTTACCAATCACTTACTGGAATGATTGTGTGTTGATGAAACTTGGGGTCGACCACGATATCACTTGCAAGGGCGACTAAAGCTGCAATCTCAGGCGTCGAGATTTTGTTCGGGGCCGCCGGAGTCATGGTGGCGATGACGGCGAGGGTGTGAGGTACAGAGGCGTCTCTGGGATCCTTGCCGTGCCGGAACTCCGTCTTAGAAATCGGCTTTGGTAGGTAGGTGAGGATTTCTAGGGTACGCTAAATAAACTTCTTTACCTTTCCGTAGTATTGCAGATCGTCGTCGATTCCAAATCGAATCATTAGCCTATGTGCCCATCAGTAGGTCGGGGGTAGAAGCAACTCGCCCTGCAGAATGCCAGCGGGTAAACGATCCCCAAAGACCGAACTTTTCCGCTGATGCAGAGCCTATGAGATATGCGGATATGAAAGCCCACATATCCGTGCCGTTGTTAAACCGGTTGTCCTTCAGGACTTCATCTGCGAGGGTGAATGGGAGGTCTTTGGCCGTATTGAAGTCATCCAGCCATGGTTGTGTAGCATTGAGCCACTGCTCAACTTGACTCTGGGGGCGCGGCTCTAGAAAACACTGGCCATCGGAAGCTTGACCAGTCTCAAGGTCAAGTGTCTGAAACTCGAGGTCCCAGCCTCTCTTTTGGAAACGCCGAGCAAGGTTGCGAGCACTCCATTGTAACCTCCCCGTGGTGCCGAGGGGGACAACAGCTAAGAGGACGAAATCATCCCAGCGGCTTGTTCGTGAAACTTGGCTCATCATTGGGAGTACTGGATCGATGTTTTCCGGGCGGAGTGGTGGGAAGGGTCGTGATGGTGCATTTCGGAGGGTAGGGGCCATGAGGCGCGCAAGCCTGGGATATATGCGAAGCAGGGCGGGCTGTGCCCAACCGGACGAGTCACCCAACCGAGAACGTGAAGCTGTCACACTACCTATGGGAGGCGACTTGAGGAGTGGTGTCGTTGTGGTTGGCCGTGGCTGGCCGTGGTTGACTGTGAGTGTTGTTCCTGTTGGACAAGGACGCGCCGTGGCCAGAGTGGATTGCCCATTATCCACCCACAAAGGATGAAAAAGTCCATTACTACAAGTCAGTCCACTCATTCCTCCTAACATGATAACTAAAACTGGCTGACAAAAATCGCAGGCGACTCTTGGTTTCACAGGATTACAACGAAATCTACTTCACCATTGCAATGTTTTCTTGGGAATATGTTGAATGCATCACAAACAAAGGGTGCCCAGATATGTCGAATTGTTTCCTCAGACTGCAAGAGTATGGGCCATTTACTCTTAACGATCCCGGACACATGAAACTTCTTGGGCGAGTTTTGTTAGGTGTCTTGCTGGCGGTATCACGGACATCCTTCATCCAGATTCACCGGAACCACCAGGACCGCCAGGACCGCCAGGACAGCAAGGACAGCAAGGAAAGCAAGGACAGCAAGGACAGAAAGGGCAGCCGGGACAGCCGGGACAACCGGGACAGCAGCAACAGCCGGGACAGCCGGAGCGGCAGCAAGTTCAAAAGCAATCGGCTCAGCAGAGGCTTGCTCATAGGCCGGCTCAGCCAGCGCAGGCCCAGCAACAGCAGACCAGGCCGACTCAGGACTAGAAGGGACGGAAGGGACATAAGGGCAAGTAAAACTGCAGCTGTGTGTGGAAAATCTGGGGTCTCCTGAAGCTGCTGCCTGAGCATGGAGAGGGACGGCTTGACTTGGGAATACGTTGCAGTCTAGATTTGGTCATATGGGAATGTTATAGTGCGGATAATACATGAAATGCGTGATGTTTTTCTTCTTCTAGTTTTCTCCTACTTTTTTTGGGCTGTACGGGGCCGATAAGCTGGCGCGGAGCTGCCTGTTACCGGGCCGGAGTCCGGTGACCCACACACGGGCAATGGGCAAGATGCTCCGGCGCGGGCGAAGTGCTTGAAAGACTGAAATAAATCGGACCACGGGATTGTTAAGATGAACTTGGTGCAAGTAGTGTCACACTGTTGCATGTGAATGCGGGTGTTGGCATTGAATATGCCCGTGACAATATAGCTACCCAGTAATATATCTGCGACAATAGCAGGCAGCTTTGTAACCTTTGATGCAGCAATAAGTCTCCAATGCTATGTAGTAATTTTATTTTCCAAGCAAAGCGCGGCGCGCGCACCTGCTTACTTGGTCTGAGTCTGCACGCAATTATAAAACGAGCTGTATGTATATTGAAGTGCTGCATTTTATCTGAGATGGCCTCGCCGGGTTGCAGGCTGAGGATGCCCTTATTTACGCGCGGCACAGTTCCGCCATTGCGGTTCCGCCGCGCCGCGCATCCATCCATCGCCCCGGTGGCTTCTGGCTTCCCGCTCTGCTCCCCGCTGGTTCCGCCGGGTCGTCCGCTGGTCCCAGGTGCCTTGGCAGTTCTCTGTTCCTTACATGGGTTGGGCTGGGCTCTCCCTCGAGTAAATTTGACAAGTACCTCGGGCACCTTTTTTCATTAACGAGGTACCTCGGTGGCTCATTCCCCCTCCCAGCATGACACTCGCCCCCAACAAATATCGTCACCGACTTCCCCCCCCCATGACATAACATATATACTGTACCTAACGCATCCCGTCCGTGTCATCTTTTCGCCACGTCGTCTGTTAATCCAACCCCCTGACAATAACCGCAAAACAAACAAAAATCGCTGATCGCCTTCTCTTCGCCTTCCCTGGCTCGACTTCTTTTAACCGTCTTACGCTTTTTCTCGTCATACTGACCGCAACTACAGCCTCCGTCGCTGCCTCACCGTTCCCCTCCTGTGCCCCGCCAATCCAATCCGCTTGTGACCACACTTGGTGCCCAACGCACGCCAAACCCGTGATTCAAAGACGCTGCGTCTCGCTGATTTTTCTCCCCCTTCATCTTCTCGTGCCGTTTCTCACGAACGATTCTTCTCTACAACGCTGGTTTCGCCTTTCTTTCCCCTCATCCCGTACCGCCCAGTCCAGTCCTTTGCTCCCTCGTAGACTCTTGCCCTCGGCCACATCGTTTGCCCACCACCACGCGCCGCCCTACCCGCCCGTGGTTGAATCAGAAATTATTCATTCTCGACCACTCCATCATCACGGCGCCGGAACCGGACCGTTTGCTTCCTTGCCCGATATTTTGTGAAATAAGAAGAAAAGAAACAACAAACAAAAAAACATTTACCATGGAGGTAGCTTGCCACTGCGTGCTCCTGCAATGATCAGCGGCTAACCACCAGTAACCAGACCATGATGCCTGCCCAGGCTCACATGCAGAGCAACATGCAAGTTCCCGACGAGCTTCTCGCCCTCTTCTCGCGTAACCTCACCTTCAACCCCGAGCTCCAGGCCGCCATGGCCAACGAGCAAGCTCAGCAGCAGGCGCAGCAGGCCCCTCCCGCTCCGTCGCAGCAGCCCATCTACTCGGCCTCGCAACACTACACGCACTCGTACCACGTCTCCAAGCCTCGCAGCCAAGACGTCGAGACCGACGCCCACCAGGCGTTCCAGCGACCTTCCTCGGCCCCGCTCGAGAACGAGGCTTCCCAGGCGGAGGCCCTCCTCCGCAGCCACGGCGTCGAGCCCTCGCTCCTGACCCCCTCCCAGCTCCAGCTCTTCAAGACCGCCGACGACGGCCAGAAGCTCCGGCTGCTGGAGCTCTGGAGCATCTGCCCGCCGAGCGGAGCCCAGAACATCCCCGCCCTCGCGTGGAGCAGCACCTCCCTCGAGCAGGAGGAGCACCTCGCCCGCGTCCGCTACACCCGCGAGCAGCAGCAGATGAATGCCGCCGCCATGGAGGAGCCGCCTATTGAGCAGATCGCCAGCGGGCACTGGACCCAACCCGCCGAGTCGGAGCCCTACATGACCTCTGGCTACGAGGAGCTCATGCGCCGCGAACACGAACGCAACAGCAGGTCGGCCAACAACAGCAACGCCTACTGCCACTTTGGATCGGCGGCCGCGTACAACAAGGCGACGGATCCCATCTACCTCGGACCGGACTTTGTCCGCGAACAGCAGCAGATGGAAATGGCCTCGCAATACGGCGCCTTTGAGCAGTTCCGCTGCGCCGACGCCATGGACGTCATCATATAAACGAAAGCGCAGCACGCCTTGTTTCTTTGGTTCTTTTCCTTCTCCTACGTCCCCCCTTTCTAACGACTTTTATAACAATGACACGCATCGGCTTTTGCAACGACAAAGATACGGAAAGCCACAGATACCCAGACTAGAAGCAAAAACACTTTGCTTTCCTTGGCACGATGGAGGATGATACTGGTAGCAGGGAAAATAAGATGACACTGTTGGACCTTTTCGCGTGTTCGTGTGTTTGTGTGTTTTAGTTTCTGAAGGATGAGATTGAACCTGGCACTCCCCCCGACAAGATACCCTTCCCTTGCTCCATTTACTGTCGTCTTCGCTTTTTTCTTGTTCTTTTTTTTTTCTAGGCTGCTTTGTTCTCGCACCGGTGATTTTTAGTTTATAGGGCTAACTGGCTTATAGAGGTTGTGGTTTGCCTACATAGCAGATAGAGGTACGTTCTCCATACACCATCCCTCGTATTCCGTGGTCTTGCGTTTAGGTCGCAGTCAAAGTGTATGTCAGTCTTCTTGTAGCCGCAGGTCATCATCAATCATGATTGTAATTTTCAAGCGCTGGTGTATAGTCTATATAAAAGCCCGAAAAAAGAGTCTTGCTATTGCATGCATTAAATGCCCGTCTTCTCCAACTTCTTGGCAAGCTCGTCCACGTTCTTATCCTCCAGCTGCACGGTAGGCTCCTCCTGCGCCTCCTCGGCTTCCTTGATGAGCTTCTCGGCACGCGCCTCGGGAGAGACGCCCTCCTCCTCCTCCTCTTCCTCCTCCTCTTCCTCCTCGTCGCTGTCGATGCCTTCGAGCTCGTCAAGCTCATCCACGCCCCACTCGTCCTCGGCGACCACGTCGCCGCCGTGGGCCTCCTTGCGCTCCTCGAGGAGCTCCTGCAGGGCGCTGACACTTTCGTCCTCCTCCTCAAACTTGTTGCCGTTGAGCTCGATACGCTTGAGCGTGGGTAGATTCTTGGCGGCCTCGGCGAAGCCTTTGAGGCCAGCGGGCGTCATGTCGTTGAACTGCAGGCGCAGCGTCTCCAGCTTGGCGTTGGAGCCGCCGGCGAGCGCGGCGGCGACCAGCACGCTGCCCTTGGCGCCAAGCAGGCAGTCACCGACGGCGAGCTCTCGCAGCGCTGCCCAGCGGGGGGCCACGTACGCCAGGGCGCGGGAGCCGCGCAGCGTAAAGGTGTTGTCCTGGAGGTCGAGCACCTGCAGGTCAGCCGCGTTCTTGAGGCCTTCGCCAATGAGGTGGCTGATACCCTCCTGGCGAATACCGTTCTGAACCATCTTGACGACGCGAATCTTGTTGTGCAGCGAGTACGCTCGGGCCCAGGCCGTCATGCTGCCGTTCTCGAGGCGGTTGCGGCCGCAGATGACGGTCTCGAGGTCCGGCACCACGCGGCCCTCGGCGCGGGCCGCCTGCTTCTTGGCGTGCAGCTCCGAGAGCGCGTCGGCGATGAGGATACCAGCATGGGGACCGAGGCCATTGTTGTTGAGGTACAGGTGCTGCAGGGGAACGTGGGCGGCGAGGAAGGCCACGAGCGGCGCCTGCGTGTTGAGGCCAAAGGCGTTGTCGTTGACGTTGATGGTGTGTAGCTGGGGTAGGTTCAGGATCGACGTGAGGAGGTGCGAGAGCGCGTCGGGAATCTCGGAGAGGAGGCGAGCGGTGAAGATGTCGGCCAGGTTGGCGACCTAGCAAGTTTTTGTTAGCTGTGGTGTGTCATGGGTTGCGCTGCCAGCTTCTCGTACCTTGAGATTCTTCTTGGTGGCAAGGACTTCGCCGAGCACCTTGCAGGCCTCGATGCCCAAGCTGTTACCGAGCAGGTGCACCTCCTCGACGTCGTTGGCGCGGAGGTCCGCGATGTGCGGCTCGACGTCCGCGGCGGTGGTCAGTTTCAGACCCTTGCCCTCGAGGGAAAATATTTTGTTGGAGCTGACCATTTTGACGATATTTTATGATGACAGACTGGTACGAACTGCACAATGTGGGAGAGGGAAGTATGTTGCTGAAGTGTAGCTCAAGACCGTTTACGGCTTGTGGTTGTGGTTTTGGCGGGGGAGGGGCAAGTCAGAACGGTCAAAGAAAGAGCTTGCAGGCTTTGATGGCATCAGCCACACACTCTAGATGAACGAACCATCTCCAGGGCAGCGCGAAATGACGGCGGGTCAATCGCTGTGGCTGGTGCATGCAGCGGGGAGCAATTTGGCTCAGGCGGTCAGGCAGCCGGCGGCGAGCAACACCTGGTTGGTGGTTGGTGGGAGATAAGAGTTTATCGCTGTGCCGGATAAGCTCTTATCTAGAGTTAGGCAGGTCGTGGCACAGTACGGATACCTCCGCTTAATAGCTAAATTCTGCGAATTGAGACGTACATACATACATACATACCAGGGTTTTCGAGTTCATCTATGCCTTCTTGGACATCATCCCTGCCAGTGACCTTCTTGCCCAAAGGGATGTCCAGTGAGAAGTAACAGACTTTATTCAAAAACATAGAATTCCAGACGAATTTTATGTATACTGACTCCCTACTTCTTCTTCTCAGTCGATCATTTCCCTGTTTTACTATATTTTTTGTTTCCTCTCTCCTCCACGACGCATCTCTTACCCGCCACACATGGCCGTCTCTGCCTTTCCCCAGCTGTGCGATGGTGCCTGATTTGATTTGCGCCACCCGCCAGCCGCAAGGTCTGTTTGGGCAGAGCAGCAGCAACAAGGCCAGCTAGAGTAGCACCGAGGGGAGGGGGATGAGGTGTCGCGTGTCACAGTGAGTAATACGTGTGTGTGTGAACGCAATCCATGCTGAGAAGGAGGAGGGGGCACGGATTTCCCTCCTGTCGGAGCAGCCATTCGCGGTTACCCGTCTGAAGAATGTTACGTGTATCCATAGCGGGGCTTGGCGCCAGAACAAGGGTTTCTAGATGTTCTATTCTAGAACAATGTAGGAGGGCAGGCCGGGGAGGACGGGCGGGCCGCGGCATGACAATGCTCAAGGTGGTAATTTCAGGCACCAGATCGGTACCTTTTCTTTTTTTTTAAGGGGATGGTCTGCCCATGGGGTGGATGGGCCGGTGTCTCGGAAGCGGAAAGGAACTTTTTCTTCGTTTCTCTTCTTCCCCTTCTTGTTTTCCCCATGTACGTAACCAAAAGTCTATTTGTGGCAGGCTTGGGCTGAAATCACTGATACACGGCACCGAGCATCTGCACAAGAGGGCTGGCTGGACATGCAGGCTGCCTCTCGCTCTCTCTTTCATCGTCGTACGGATAACACCGATAACTTGTTTTATTCGAAATGTTTGCTGCTGGTAAGCTGAAAGCCAGTGCGCTATTCGTACATTTTTTTTCCGCATGGGGAAGGATACGTGGCCAGGGCTGAGAGCGAGTTTGTTGGGGCTTGGGGTTGTGGTACCATCCATGGAGGATGGGGAGGATGGGATGGCAAACGGTGATCTTGGTTGGCCCTTTTATTTTTGTTTTCTACTTAATAATCTTAAGAAAGTTCTAGTAAATTTCGGTAATTCTATTAGTTTTAGCTTCCCTTCATCCCTCGGCAAGAAACGTCAACAGGCCACGTCTCTTGATTGCCTGACAAGCACGCGCTGAGCAAATTGAGCTCCCTTGGCTAACTAGCGTAGAGTACCAAGCTTGTTTCGGCCTTTATTTTCACATTTTTTTTTCTTGTCCCAGGCGAGTGGAAATCCGAGGACGCCGGGAAAATAGGTCGAGAGAAAGGAAATGAGGGCGTGGTCGGGGCGTTGATGCTATCGAGCTGGGAATGGGGTGGGATGATGCTATTCGTTAGTACTAGGTAGGCGGTTACTGACTTTACCGATACGTGCCTTATTTATAGCGGTTTCAGTACCGAATACAGTGCATGTCTGAGCGAGTCGTGGGTACTTACATACCTACTGAGGTAGCTTACAGCGGTTCCACGGCTGACACTTCATACATGAACTCATGATACCGCCTGGCGGCTGACTGGTACAGCGGTTACAGTGCTGTGTCAAACGGCCAGAGAGCGCTGAAGAGCGCTGAGGCCAAGCTGTTTCAGGTGCTGTCTTGGTGGCTGAGCCCACTGGAACCTTCCCCAGACAGTAGAACCCAGACGTGGTCTTTGCTTGCCCAGACTGCTTCAAGACCTTTGGATATTAATAAAGTTAAAAGGTAAATTTAGGCATTTACGTGTCATGGTGTATGAGGGCAGGCAAACGCAATCAATAATGCTCAAGCAAGCAAAGCAATGCAAAGCAAAGTAAAGCAAAGCACAGCAAAGCACAGCAAAGCACAGCAAAGCACAAACTGTGCTGGTACTATACGCTACTGCCTACGGATACTACCTATGCCACACATTTCCGTCTCAGACATTGATACGCTTGTTTTACTCGTAGGGCCTCTTTCCGCAACTCAGATGCAACTGGCTAACTACCAGCTACATAGTTGATACCGAATAACTACCTAAGTTAGAGCCTAACCAACTCGCGACCCGGATTGCCGGCCAGGACTGTCCGCGCCTCTCTCCACATCAACCCCAGACAATGTCATGTACCTTGCCGCCGTCTTTCACAGAAAAGCTGCCTAAAACGAGGAGGGCCCGTCCGAGTACTCAGTACTGGTAGAGCTACCTTTTTCTTTGCCTTTGCCTTTGTACCAGTCCAAACTGTTTGTGCCAGTATGCCATCGGTGCCTGTTTTGTGTTGCCTTGAGTCGTGTCTTGTCCACACACATATACGTACATACATACTGCACACGCACACACACAAGCTTGATGCGTTGGCTGTGCTGGGACCGCAGCCCAGCGGGGTCTGTTCCTGTTGCCCAATGCCCTCTGTCTCTTCGCCGCCCTTGGTTGGCCCGTGTAAAATTGGAGGGTTGTTCCTTGTACCTCTCACAAGTTCTGTTGGCTCTGCGCTTGGTAGAGACAGGTAACGACCTGGCTGTGCGCCTGCCCAAGACCTGGGGGAGCCTGGGGATGCCTCGGATTGGGTGGTGAGACCGGGATGGAGTATTGACTGGGCTGGGGATTCACAACTCAACAAACAATTACGGAGAGCCTAAATAAAATTCACGAAAATAAATAAATAAAATAAAATAGAGAAGCGCATGCATTGAATGATGCAGGCCCCTCTTCTCCCCCAAGCCACCCATGCTCGTAGAACCCGGCTTTACGGGTGTGAATGCCAGCAAGAGTCGCTGTAAGGTACCTATTTTTCAAGCACTAAAGTACCTTGCTAGTACTTGGCACTGGCCATCTGTAGCTACCTCCTTTTGCCTGTCCGTCCTCCTGTACTCCTTCCTCGTTGGATCGACCTGCCGCTCCCGTCCTTGCTCGCTTCCAAGCCGACCCAAAAGGAACATACGACTTTCTTTAATCATTTTATTATTTTCCCCCTTCATATTTATTCCTCCCACATCCTCCGCATTTCTATTCCATTCCTCTTCTTCCTTTCTTCCCTCCATCCCCAAACAAGACACCAACTCTCTCGTCTCTCCCATCTCCCTGAATCAGCCAACCATACAAAGACAGACACACCTAAGTTGCAAAGAAAACGCCAAATCAGGGCAGCCATTAAAGGACGATCAAAGCACGAAAACATAAATACTCCAAACACTCACTCCCTCGGCTCAGTCACATTCCCCAGCTTCCGCCAAATTCCAAACGCTATTCTCCTACTCCGTTGGCTTTGGCGCCTCTTATCTCCTGGCCTACATACATACATACGTTGGGCCCGGGCCGACCGATTGCCCCAGCACTTTCACATACAAAGACACAAAGCTTGCCTCGGACTCAAATCGACAAGTTGTCCCCCAGAAGTACCCCAGATTTACCGACCTATCCAGCTCGGAATCAGCTGCACTTGATCTTGTGTCGTCTTGTGCACACAATATTTGCTATATATACATATCTGACCACCCGTACGTCCGCTCAGCCTGCCACCCTCCCTCATCCTCCCAAGCACATCTACTTCCTTACCTCCTACTACTATCCGACCGAACCTGTTGGTGCCTCTCTCCTCATCTCCTCTGAACCAAACCTACACAGCTTCAAACAATCGCCTAACATGTCTACTATTGTTCAGCCTACTCCCATTCGCTTCATGATGCCTTCAGCTCAGACTTCGGCGCCGTTCATGCATGCCCCTCAGAAGAACGGCTTGCGAGTTCCATCATCGCAAGACCTCTTCTCGGGTATCAGTGCATCTCTATCGTCCAATACCTCGAAGCGACCTGCCACGCCCAACCACCAAATCTTCGAGTATGACTACACCGTGCCCGCGCCTCCACCGCCTAGTCCCGTCAGCTTCCGGCCGGACTGCTGGCCCAAGCCTACTCGCTCATAAGCGAGCAGATGGCTCGCACCGGGTACGATAATTTTCTTCGACTTTCTTTCTTTCTTACTTTTCTTGACAAACGACAAGCGTTGGGAACAACTGAGTCCCATTTACAAACAACTGGCGAGCATTCGGACAGGGATTTTTCTGATTTTGTGGTGTTTGTTCACTGGAGTTATGGGCATATCAAAGCAAAGGGATGGTATTGAAACAGGCCGAGACATGGCAAGTGCATCATCTCGAGGATTCTTTCCGAGGGCGCCGACAGTCAGGGATCACAGATAACTATCATGGAAAATATGATGTACTTGACAAGGCAATCGAGCTGTTTTGGCGCGTATACATGCCGCAAGTTGCTATACTCGTGATGAAAGATGTGTAAAGACTCGGCAAATATCGGCCAGCGGAGTGAACATCCGTCACAGCTGCACTCTGCTAAAGCAGGTGAAAGCTGGCGGGTTATGATACAACTGTGAATCGGAGGCGTCAATCAAGGAAGCTCTCCACTTCCGAGTTGATCCGATGTGCCAACGATGACCGCTGCCCATCGCTATCGCCGATATAAGGTGTTGCTCGGGCTCACCTTCATATGTCAGCTCAGTCAGTGATGGTGGATTGGTCCAAAAGGCAGATCGCCGACGGAGTCGCATTCTACTGGTACGATCGGACCCCCCTTTCCGCTTGGGGTAAAAAGCGTCAGAGGCTGCAGCCTTGCTGGCGGTGATGCGTATGTATGTACGTGATTCTGCAGAATTGGTCCTTTTTTTGCTTTTTCATATGCCACCCGGGCAAATGGAGGATGGGACTAGGTGCAGAAGGTCAGGCAGGTATCGGAAGCATCTGGGGAAGCACGTGCGGGTAAACGGCGCGTACATGGAGGAAGTCGGCAACCAAACACCAGAAATGTCATCACGTGATTTCTGTTGGAAAAGATCAACCTCCATTTGAGTCTTTTAAGTATTCACGAAAAAAGACAAATCAGACTGCCTCTTTGCGTGGTGATGGTCATAGGCTATGTCGGTCTCTGTACGTGTTGTACCTACATACATAGTTATATTTGTACATAGGAATAAGCTACCCACACCACTATACGCGCTGTGTACCACCCGAAAAAGAACGCGCGTTGGTAGCGCGTTGTTTCGCGTCTCCCTTGCAATACCCGTCGCCTCCCAGCCAACCGATGAGACTCCGCTTCCAAATGCCTGTCATAGCTTGCCCGGCTCGTGAGACAATCGACTTTCCACCACTTCTTGTGCAACGTCTGCTCTTTTGTAAATCTCTGTCCTCGATCGATTCTTGTTGTACATCCAAAAATCACCCCCGGCAACGAAGCTTGCCTTGCTCGAATTATACGCTACTGCAACCAGATCACGCTCGCACCTTCTACCGACTAGAGCTTGTCGAAGCTGTCCAACGTTCTTGCTTGACTGCCCTGGCTCGACCCTTCGAAATGGCTCGAACAGCAAGAGCGAGAGCGCCCCTCGCGGCCAAGCAGGGTCCTGCCCCTTCCATCGCCGCCTTCACCCGCGTCTCCAAAAGCCACGTCTTTTCCGACGCGACTGCCAAAAAGGTCATCGTCTCCTCGGCTGACCTGACAACTACTACGCCATCAAAGAAGCGCAAGGCGTCGTCGCCTTCTGGCAGCGATGCCTGTGCGCACTACATGCGCCGCAACATCTCCTTCAGCCCCAGCGATGACGAGGAGGACGAGAACCAGACCACCATCGAGCACCAACATGACGACGTCGCCCAGCGCAATACGAAGCGAGCCTGCAGGCGCCAAGAGCCCGCGTTCACGGCACAGTCAGAAAAGACACCAGTCAAGGCCGTCGTCGCTACACCTACCGCCAAGGGCAGGCCGGGCAAGCCGGTCGCCAAGACGCCCGTATCGAGAAAGCAAGCCGCGCACCGTCCGAGCGCCTCCACCATCATCAGCAAGTCGCGGCAGGTAGCAAAAGCCGGCCAGGCCAGGATTGACGCCTTTTGCACCAAGAAGCAGCAGCAAGCCAAGTCAGCAGCCGACAAAGATATTGATGCCGCCTTTCCGCCGCACCTCGCCGAGCTGGTGCGTCTGCACCGGGCGTTCCTCAGTTCGGTCGTTATGCAGATGGCACACACTCGCAGCGCCGTGCCGCTCGACATCCGTGAATTGGCCCCCAACATTGCGCGCTCGTGGCGCAAGCGTGCTGTCACCGTGGAGGACGTGCGTCGGTGCGTGGCCATCGAGTCTTCCGTGCAAGAGGACGGCATCAAGTCGCCTTTCATCGTCGCCGACTACGGCAAGGGCAAGGTGTGCGTCGAGCTTCGTGCCGGGAATGACGGCACCGCCATCAACGAGGCGCAACTGTGCCGGCAGTTTGAAAATAATCTAAAGATGCTCTGCACGGAAAGGGCTACTGATCAGATGGTGGATGTCGATGTGGCTCTCGAGGCTCTCTCGCTAGCAGAGCTTCCGCAAGCTGACCTGACGGATATGAACACGAGCGTCACGACGGCGGCTCTGCTGGCCAAGGGGCATAAGGCCCTCTCGGACTTGAAGAGCGACATGGCAGCAAAGCAGCAGGAGAGAGAGGCCAAGCAAAAAGCCGCAGCGGCACCGCTGCTCAATGCGGATGGGACTAAGATGAGCCTCCTCGACCGCCTTCGACACAAGCAGCTGGCTGCCGCCAACGCGCCGCTTCCGCCAACGGGACCCGAGCTACAGCGCCGCGCAGCCCTGAACCGCGTCGTCGACGTGGCGTCAACAATTTCCATGCTCAGCCTTTCCAACCCCGCCTCCCTGCCCCGCCAGGCCTTTACCATGGTCGCCATTGTCGAGAAGCTACGGGATTCGCTGCGCGTGCCCATGTCCAAGGAAGAGGGTGTAGATTGCATCCGCCTGATTGCCAAGGAGATTGCGCCCGAGTGGCTACGGATCGTGACTATTGGAGGGAGGGAGAATGTGGTGATTCAGCGAGGCGGGGAGCCCATCAGCCGGGCGATTCAGGAACGAGTACAAAGGCTCTTGTGAGAGTACAATGTGCGGAAGAGAATGTTTGAGATGTGAAATGAGTGGGATATCAGCAGAATGTGGGTTGCAGAAAATGATGATGTATTGGGTGTGTGGTAGCATTTGCATAAAGCACGGCGTCTGGGCATTACTGTTTTTTCCGGGTTTGAATTTGAAAAATACCATGGCATACATACATAGTCTAGTTGTCCAGAATAGAGACTCGAGTGATTCGAATCTATATCCAGGATGTGAAGGTTACAGTAAGCTCTTGTTACACTGGTCGATAGGTAAGGAAGATGTGTACGCCCATGATTTGGAGCGGAACCTAACGGAATGCTAGTAAAAGATGCAAGCCTGTGAAGCGATTTATGTTCTAGACGTCTTGACCGCTTATTATTATTCTCAACCATTGCCAACGTTGCATCACAGCATACCACAAGTGGGAAGCCCTTTTTTCCATGCATGATGCGATGCGACCAACCTCGCTCGGCTTCTTCGAGAACGGTAAATCGGCGATTTAACGGTGCCGCCGCCGCCGCCGTTGTCGCTTCTACCCGCAACCGTTCCTCGCCACCAAGAAAAAAAAAAGAAACTATAGTAATCAGCATTCTTACTATTGGACGGGTAGGACGGACAGCAAAACGTGCTCTGTAATAAATTACTGCCCATCTTGCCTGGCCCCCTCGTCTCGATCGGCACAGTAAGCCCAAATTATGCATCAGAGACGGATGCCGTGCCCATCGGACAGCATCTTATACTCCTGGTGCCCAATCAGGCTGGGGCGCCATCGCTACCCGTCTTCTATTTCATTTAATCATTTTTTTTTTTTACGGCCGGCCGATACCCATGGGATGCCGGCGCCGGCGGCGGTGCCCGACTCGCACGCAGACCCAGCCCAGCGTAGTATTCGGCTACTTGGACAAGTCCAAGCACAACAATGGGGAAACTGGAACAATTCAGTGTAGGGCTAATTGGCCAACAAGAGGGAAGGAGGAAAAATTCAAAAAATTACTGGCCCTTTCTTTCGTCTTTTCTGTGGCTTCGTAAAGCCCTTTTACACAACCTCGGGTCCCTCCGGTGCGAAGTCCGACGGCCGGGCCGTTTAAAACTAGACGACATCCCCGTCTGCACTGACGTTATCCTCATAGAGTTTTATTTTGCTTATTCTCATTGCATCCTCCTTGGACAAAAATCCTCTTTTTGAAGCAAAATTTGTTTTTTTCGTTAGAGCTCAGCAGGCATCAAAGTAATATCGCCTTTCACCGCAACGACACAGCACCGGCTACATCAAGATCCTCGGCTCGATATCTCCTGTTCGCCCCGAAGTGCTTCCTGGCTTATAAGTCGAAGCGCGGAATCGATTTCCGACTTCGCTACCGGATTTGGTCGAAAGTCTCCCGCCTTGGCATCCATTTGGGTTTTCAAACTTGGGCCCGGGGGTTGCATCTCGCTCCCATTAGCATAACCGGAAAGATTTGTCGCCAAAGAATTTCAAGCCTTCAATGGCAAGTCTCGCACGCCACACAAGCAAAATAAAGCGCACACACGCACACACCCTGCTGGGAGTCTGCACAGCATGAGCGTATTACAACCGGTGCCGTCCGTCGTGACGGCCGACAACGCCGCCATGTCGGGCCCGCACCGGACCATCTCCCGGCCCAACGCGGCCGCCGACGGCCACGACAGCAGCGACGATGCCGACGCCGACGACAAGTTCTACGAGGACGGCGAGGAGATCTACAGCAAGTTCTCGCCGGGCCGCAAGCGCATCATCGTCGCCGTGCTCGGCTTTGGCGCCTTCGTGGCCCTCGTCTCCAGCACCAGCGTGCTCCCGGCCGTGCCCGAGATCACGGAGACCTTTGGCAGCACCGACACGGTCGTGGAGATTAGCAACGCCATCTACATTGCGCTGACGGGCGTCGGGTGTGTGGTCTGGGGCCCCATGAGCCAGCTATATGGCCGTCGCGTGGTAAGTTGCAAGAACGCAGCAGCCGGGATGTGGAGGGATTGACTGACTAAATGTTTGTTTAGATCATCCAATGCGCTTGTGCATTTTTTTGCTGCATGAGTCTGGGGACTGCACTATCGCCCAATCTCGAAGCATTCTTCGTCTTTCGCGCCTTGTCTGCCATCGGAGGCTCTGCGCTGACTATTCTTGGCAACGTCATCATCAGGTATGCAGAGGTGGTCGTTGTCGATGTCTGCGCGCTGTGAAACGCAGTATTTCGTTCTTTTCCTTTGATGCACCGTGCCGAGAATGTTCTAACCTGTTTCCGTAGCGATATATATAAGCCAACTGAGAGAGCAACGGCCATCAGCTGGTATCTGTCGTGTACCGTTATTGGGCCGTCTTTTGGTCCCTTCATGAGTGGTCTCATCGTCCAATTTGCCAGCTGGCGCATCATATACTGGGTCCAGCTTGGCTGTGCCGTCGCGACTATGGCCGCCGGCTACTTCATGATTCCCGAGACGACGCACCATAAGCTGAGCGAAGACATGGCCCACCTCCCACGGCGCGATAAGATGGCCGCCGTGGCACGCAAAATCAATCCGCTCCGGTCCGTCAGTCTCCTCCGCTACTTAAACGTCGTGGCCGTCAGTTTTGCCTCTGCCGTCACGTTGTTCGCACTGTACTGCATGCTGGTCCCCATCCGCTTCGTGCTGAATCCGCGCTTCCATCTCGATTCGCCATTGCTGTCCGGCGTTTTCTACCTGGTGCCAGGCGCAGGCTGCCTCTGCTCAACAATGATAGCTGGCAGATATGGTGACTGGACTGTGAAGCGCTGGATCGAGAAGCGCGGTAGGCGTATACCTGAAGATAGACTCCGAGCCGGTATACCTGCTCTTGCCCTCCTCCAGGGTGGCGGAGTCTTGATATACGGGTGGACGGTTGACAAAGCGGTAGGGGGGATGCCTGCGCCGCTCATATTCCTCTTCGTTCAGGCTATAGGTCAAATTATAGCCTCGACCATGTTGAATACGTACTGCCTGGAGAACACGCCATCGCTCAGCGCTGATATTATCGCCATCTGCTGGCTAGTGCGGTACATCGGCGCCTGCATTGCTACAGCGGTCGCGCTTCCCATGATTCGGAGTATCGGTGTTGGCTGGACCATGACGATAAATACTGTCCTACTGGTCGTCAGCTCGTGTGCTTTAATGGCCACGGTAAGATGGGGCGAGAGCTGGAGGTCTGGCATAGTCCCAGAAGAGCAACCTGCCGCGTCGCAACCGGGCGGAGAAAAGGAATCTGCGGAAAAAGTATAGATAAGTCTCTAATTTAAAATCTGGCCTTGTACACCAGCCAGCATGCCATCTCAAATCCTAGCTCCAGTCTGAAAAAAGAAGGCGCTCTGTAGAGGCCGCACGGCAGCTCCCGGCGCTTTGAGTACGCCAAACGAGAAATTGCGTAGGCTCGACTCTCTGCAAGCACATGTGCGAGACGTTCCAGATTGACGGAGGATGTTCTAATTTCGTCGTGGGAAAGAAGGTTAATTATCGAGAGCAATGAGTAAATGCTGAGCCGACGCTCTAACAACAAGTTCTGCCGATGAAACGCACGTCTCATGGCGCAGTCACCTCCTGTTAATTCAGCGTAGATAAAATCGGAGGAGAACTGAGGTCGCACAGCCGGGCTTTGTTTCGAAACAACGAGCGACAGGGAGTACAAAAACTGCAGGAAAACAGAGAAGGGGGGAGGACAATGAGATTCAGCTGCAATAAAGAGGTAAGTATCAGCGTACATGTCTTGATAGATAGACATAATGCCAGTATAGTAATCAGCGTTAAGTGTAGCAGTCGCTTAGGCGGCGACGACTGGAAGGCCGGGGAGCCTATCGTGGAGATGTCTCAGAGTCAGAGGTGAGGCATGCAACAACGTCATTAGCTAGCGACCGCCGCCACTTTTTGGAAGGCTATGTCGATCACCGGGGGAGGATGTGCAGAGGTTCCAGGTCGAACACTCTCGCATAGATACCAAGCAGACGGTTTATGCCACCCTAAAAAGCCCGGCCATGTGAAACTACGGCAGTAGTAATGTCTTCTCTCATCAAGCTTGGAGGTTGAGAATGAGATCCGACTTTGGCTTGGCAATTTTGCTAGCGGCCCACGAATTCGTGATAAAAAGCATCCGATGGTGGATGGCTTGTTTGTTAGCTTTCGGAGAGAAAGAGAGAGTGTGGGCAGGGAGCGGGACGCCGCCACTCTTTGCTGCTCCTGTTTCGAAAAGCCCCTCTCGAGTACCCCAATGTTGGCCTTGTTGGACTCTCCAGGCCGCGCGTATGCGACGCAATATTGGTCCTTGTCTCCAGCGACAGCCATTGGATTTTGCCAGTTTTGGTTGTGGCGGGTGGATAATAATGAGGGGACCTTGAGTCGTTGGCGAAAAGCTTAGCATGGTCGAGCGTGTCGATCTAGCGGACTCCGAGTAACCACAACATCTCTCAACCAGTCGAATGTTCAGGATCCGCGAGGGCGTTTGACATTTTCGAGGTCGACCGAGGGCTTTTGTGCGTGAACCCGCAAGCCACCCTCCTCTGGTGGTGCCCGTTTGCCGTATCTTGAGTGGTCGTCTCGTTTGCTTGGGCTAGGTTTTATATTAGCAAAGGGAAGGAAGGATCGTCGTACAAATTCAACCTATCGTTTGATGATCCATGGCCCAGCAAGCGCCCCCATGATGGTAACATGGAGAACTTGGTCTCTTCGTGTCTCCGGCCCCAATATTTTGTATGTTTCGAGTTTTCATTGCTGCTTGCCGGCTCGGCTGTAGATCCGCAAGGTTGCCAGCTGCCAGCTGCCGGTTCGTCCGTCCATCCATTCAACAGGTAGTACTTCCAAACACCCGCCGCCCAGTTGGCGTCCCCTTCAACTTCACATCTACACTTCTATTTCTTGTTCTTTTTTTCTTTTCTTTTGACAATCTTCTCTATCTCGACGGTTCCTTCTACCTCATTTTTTCTACTGCTTCCGACGGCTTGCCGTCTTTCCATTCCCTACATAGGCGATATCACAGCACTGACGCTTGTCTGGTCACATATTGTCACAATCCGATGCCGATCCATTCCTTACATCGAGCAGGTTTCCTTTGAACTTATTCCTCAGTCTTTTCTTCCACCGAACCTTCATTAATATTTTTACTACCCATTTTTCTTTCCCGTGGCCTATTTCTTTATCCACATCCTTCTCGGCTTTTCGAAACAGCTGTCGGGGTAATGTGCGTGCACATTGGCTGAACGTACCAACCAGCCCATTTACATCAACCACGCAAACGAGGCCAGTAGTCCTCGAATTCAGCACAAATGGAGTCCAAACGCTCCTTTGTCAGCTTCAGCAGCGACTCGATTCCAGTGTCCATGGATCGCAAACGTGAACCACTGCTTCCTTACTCGGAGATAGTCTCTGAGAAGATGGCAGTCAAATTACGCAATCCACTTGGCCACTGTCTCTACAAGCGTATCATCATTTGGACTGCGCTGAGTTTGTTCATGGCTGCGTTTGTTCTGTTTGGCAAACATGACGGCACCGTACAACCTATTGCTTCTGGGCATGGTACTACCAAGACTGACGCTTCATTCCTCGACACCAACGAGCCGACCACCGAAGATTTCTACGAAGACAACGGCGAGGATTGGGCAAACGATGAAGCCCAGCGGATAATCGATGCCGCCAGCAAGGGTCAAGACCAGTTGCAAATTCAGGTGACACCGAGCAAGAACGAGAAGCGCCCCAGCCAGGACGAGAGCCGTGTCGCCGATCAAGAAGAAGACGGCGAGGATGATGAAAAATCCGCGGCAGATGACGTGAGGAGTGCTAATTCTCAGTTGCCACCATCTGAAAAATCTAACGGCAAAGGATCCAAGAGCCATGCAGGCGGTCAGTCCGGCACAGGTAATCTCGTCTCAGATGCCGATGAAGCCGGGCAAGATGATGAGGAATTGGAGGATGAAGACGTCCCTGAATACAACCAAAATGCCGAGGAATCAGAAATGAACCTTCTTTTGGAAGGCGAAAACACGGAGCAACTGAAACAGGAGCTAGAGAATCTGAAGAGAATGCCCTGGCTTCGTTTTCCTCAGTACGTACGCGAAACATTAATACCACCTGCTGCCAACTAACAAATTAGTCTTAATGCCTACTTTCACGGGCTCAAGACACTTGTCAGCAAGACTCTTCACAATCCAGAGTATCCAAATCCCGAGCGCAGCGGCCCCTTCAAAGGCCGAGTTCCACTGAGAAAGGAGGTTCCGAAGCCGGTACCGTACAGCCCATACGAAGAATCCGACAGTATTCAGACGTGCTATTTGGACAAAGAGAACAAAATTCCAGCACCCAACTTATACGCCTACAATGGCGTCCCCAGACACATGCCAGACCCCGCTCTCGGATCTTACAGCCTGTTTGGCATGCGCGACGATATCTGCTTTGACCGATTCGGCCGCTATGGTCCATACGGCCTTGGCTATCGTTTGGCTAAGGGCGGAACAAGCGTTGGTCTGAATACCGAAAGTTCTAACAGCGACACTGTTTGGGAAAAGTCTGGCCAAATAGACTACAGCTCCGTGGACTGGGGGAATGCACAGGAACGGTGCTCTGAGCGCCACTGGAGTCGCTACCGCCAAGTCGACCCCAAGACGGACGAACTTGAGGCTCCAAGTGACTCCAAGAAGAGCCGACAGGCTATCGTTATCCGTCTCTATACTGGTTTTAAATGGACCTATCTCGCTGTCCTCAACTTCCGAGCCCTCATCACGGAAGTCTCTCTCAAGTCTGGAGGCGAATATACAGTGCATTTTTTGATGCATGTGCGAGACGATGAAGCTCCTATCTGGTCGGACGACGTGACGGTTCAAAGAATCTTGGACACAAATGTGCCTCCAGAGTTTCACGACATGGTGTCTATGTGGAGCGAGGCTCAGATGAGATTGTTCTATCCGGGGAAATTCAGCGCGCCAATCCAGAATCCCAGCGGTGCAGACATTCATGGTGTCTATCGCAGTGCACACCTGCCCCTGCAAGTATTTTCTATGCAGCACCAAGAGTACGAGCACATTTGGAACTGGGAGATGGATATGAGATTCCTCGGGAACTACTACGAGCTCTTTGATCGCCTCGGCAAGTGGGCAGATAAGCAGTCACGAGTTCGCCTGTGGGAGCGCAGCGCCCGCTACTACATTCCGGCTCTGCACGGAGATTGGGACAACTTCACGGAGACTGTGGAGCGCCAGACGACCGATGAAGAAAGGCAGCACATCCTTGGGCCACTGCAATTTCACGGCAAGCGCCCCCTACGCCATGAGCAGCGCGGCGAGTCCATCCTCCCCGCAAGCTGTGCCGTTGGCAGGGACGAAAGCGAGTGTGGCGTTGGCGAACCGGCCGATCTCATTACGCTCAATCCTCTCTTCGACGCCGACAATTCCGGCTGGGTCTTCGCGTATGATACCACGGGCTACCCATCGAATCCCCCGCGACGATGCGCCATCATCACGGCTTCACGACTTAGCCGCCGGCTTCTCGCTGCCATGCATGAGGAGGTATGGCGCCACCACCATAGCATGTTCGCCGAGATGTTCCCCCCAAGCGTGGCGCTCCACCACGGCTTCAAGGCCGCCTACGCGCCGCACCCGTTGTACATTGACAGGGCGTGGAACCCACTCGGCGGCGCCGTCGACGAAGCGTTCAACGGCGGCCAGGACCACTCCACCTCCGGACCCGGGAGCCCGTTTGACCTGACCAACGAGCACAACCACAAGGGTGTCAGCTGGTACTACAACAGCGAGTTCTCCGGCCTCCTCTGGCGGCGGTGGCTCGGCTACGCGCAGCTGGACGGCCGCGGCCGGGGCGGCGGCGAGGGCAATCGTGGCACCATGCGCGGAGGGCGGGAGGAGGAGTCCAGGGAGGGGGGCACGGGGCGGATGTGCCTGCGGAGTATGCTGCTGCACCCCATCAAGTTTGAAGACCCGGATGAACGGTAGTGAGGATATCATCCTGGTGTCGTGTTCGGGGTTTGCTTGTACAGCGATTTGTGTAGGGAGGAAGTGAGAGAAACCATTGAGCATATCTTATCCTTTCTTTTTGTTTTATTACCCTTGTCTTGATCCTATTAGCACAATTTAGACTTCTAACACTCTTTGCTTCTACTTGAAGTTATTTTTGACTGACTTAGGCCTAGGGGCTGACTCTATATATCTGTGATTGTTTCTACTGACCAAAAACTGCATTGGTACGTTCTGTTCAAGAGTCGGGTTCGAAGGCGGTGTGCTTGCATTTCAACTCAGTAAAGCGGCTAAAAAGGTTCAACTAAACAACGACGAATCCTCCTCCTGTTCCGGGACCACGGCGAAGTCCAAAGATAAGAACAAAAAGTAGGTGCATGAAGAAGCATCTAAGCTAGGGGGAAGAGGAAGCAATAGCCAGCTCGCTCGCTTGTCGTCGCTTTCCCAACACCTATATTTCCTGTCCGTAACCAGCCCCATTCTTTTCCAGTTATTCCCAAAGTTGTTGCGTTCTCGGCCGCTACCCATCCCAATTCCCACCCGCTCATCCCAGCATCACAATCCCACAAGAAATCGCCAGAGACGTTTATCGCAGACTAGACATGAATACCAAATCAAAACCAAGCAGCAAAGCATAGACATAATCGCTAGACATCCAAACAAGGCAGCAATATCTCATGCTGCACCGGAAAGCACTCGCACCATCCCCACCGGGTAGACAACCTGCATGCGTGGTCCAACAACCAGATTGTAGCGTCAAGCCACCATCATTAATCAACCCGCCTAGCAAAGCTCATTAAACAGATAAACTCAACATGAAAAAGGTATCGAAGAATTAGGCATGAAATAAATGTCGCAGAACAAAGTTTACCTTCCCACGCCAGACGCCATCAGCGCCGTAGAATCACCCCTGGAGTCAGCAGAGAAAGACTGCGCGCCCAGTCCTGCGCGAACACAGATGTTGGCTCGAGAAGTTGTAGAAGCCGAACACTAGCTAGACTTTAGGGCAGAAAATAAACGTCAAAAGACTGTGATGTGTATAAGGATAGCAAAGTCGACTCGTCGAGTATGTGTCCAAAATGATAAAGAGGGGGAGCCGTGTGATTGGTGTGGCTCCAAGGATAGAACTCATCGGAGTCGTGTCAAACAGAGCAAAGGAGAAGAGAAGAAGGCAACAGAAGCTTCGTACATCATCAAGCAAGCTGAGCAAGTGTTCATGAACAGCAAACCGTAAGATAATGCGCAAGGGCATTTCTGAGAAGTAGTTTTCATCTCTCTTCTTTTACTTCTTAAGTGCAGCGTCATAAATAGCGACCAGCCCAGTAATAGCAGTGCCGACCAGAATGCCCTGATAGCCACCGTATACGGCGTTGTTGAGGCGGGCAACGGAGAACTCAGAGAGGAGGCCACAGAAAGTAACACCTTGGGCATAGACGACGTAGGACAGCAGGGCCTTGGCAATGCTGAAGGTAAGTGGATCAACGACGGTCTCGTTCAGAGCGCGGGCGCGGGTGCGGGGGCCAGAATGGCTGTTAGCAGAGATGTTAAAGAAGTAGCCAAAGATGCTTGGGACCAGAATGGCAGTGAAGACCCAGGTGAGGGCGGGAGACCAAAAGCTCGAGGTCAAGAGCAGGAACATATCGGGGAGGTAGACGTTGAAATCGCTAGTACCAATGGCGGAAATGGCGGGGATAGTGAAGGCAAAGCGGTTTGCGAGAATGGCGGGGCGAATATAGTAGAGTTCAAAGGCAGCAACGGAGAAGAGAACACTCGTGACGGTGCTGAGAGTCTCACGAGTAGCGTTAGAGGCTTCAGTGATGCCGCTTTCTTGGTAGATGGAGGCGACGCGCTTGCGCATAGCGACAGTGGAGCGGTCAACAGCAAAGGCAATGTCGGCAGGAGAAGCAGGAAGAGGGACTCGAGAGGCTACCTGGGAAAGACTGCGAGCGGGAGTGCGAAGTACGGCGGTCGAGTTGGCCCTGGTTGAACGTGATGTTGGTGAACTGTTCTCTTTTACGACACGAGTCGCCGGGGAGCAAAACAGTAGTGAGTGCAACTTACTCGGCAGCAATCTCTTCAGCAACTTTGGTCACTCTGCGCTTGGCAACCTTAAGGCCCTTCTCGACCTCCTCCTTGACAGTGTCCTTTTCCTTCTTAATAGGCGAACCGAGAGCCTTGGAGCGGCTGGTGAAGTAGCCAGCGAGATCGGGGTTGGAAGCGAAGCGCGAGGCATGCTGGGCAATGAAGTCGTCGAGGGCGGCTTCGAGATCACTCTTCTTGAGGTCCTTGTAGCTGCAGGCAAGTGGTTAGCTTATTAGCACGGGCGGTTTAACAGTACGAGGCGCAATAAGCGGCGTTGCAGTGGATAAGCTTGAAGGACAGCTGCACATGTCAGGGAAGGCGCAGCCAGGTTGCAGAGCATGTTGAAGGGGAGCGCGACCAAAAAGCGCATCGCCATGGCAAGGCGACGAAGCTGGGAATGTCATGTGGATGCGCGCAACGGGGCCTTGGTGGCGAACGCGACGGGTTTGGTGGCGACAGAAGCTGGAGCCATTTTGGCGCAAGGAGATGCGATGCGATGCGATGCGATGCGATGCGATGCAGGCAGAGCAAACGCGCCGGGGGCGGTGGCGCGACAGAAGGGCCAAGGAGCAGTAACCGCAAGTTGCGCCAACTAAAGCCCGGAGCGCAAGGTGAAAAGGAAAGGAAAAAAATGAAAAGGAAAAACTCACCTCTTGAGACCAATCTTGTCAGCAATCTCAGTGAGCTCGGTCTTTTTCTTGGCCTTGAGCCAGGCGTTTGTGTTGTTTGAGGCGGACATGGCGGCGGCGGAGGTGGGCGGCGAGATGGAGCGCGCGAATTCGTCCAAGTCCTTTGTTTGCCTTTACCGGAGGAAGAAATGCACAGTAAGCTATTTGAAGCTTGCCAAAGAAGATATGTTAGTTTTTGTGTGGGTAAAAGTGTCGCGAGAACAGGTGACGCGAGAGAGCCCCCAAAAAATAGAGACAGATTGAATGACACGATTGTGCTTTTCTGTTTAGATGAGAAGGAAGAAATGGGAGATGGGAGGGGGGGAAAGAAGTAGTACAGGTAAGTAGGCAAGAGAGGACCTTGGATTATGGGCAGGTGGGCGGCGGTGGGCAAGTACCTACCTACCAGCTCCGCAGGTACCTTGTTCGCGACAGCTTCCAGCACAGAGCCAAAAAATGGACGATTGGGTGTGGAATGACGGAAAGCAAATGGGATGCTTGACAAGGCCAAAGAAGCGGAAGAAAATGGGGAGGCTGGGGAACCAATAGACGATACAAGACGACTGATTGACTGGTTGCGATGAGGCCATACTAAAAAGCTCTTGTTGTTTACCTTGATTGTTTTAGGAAATGGGCGTGTCTGCAGCACCGTCTAGCGCTCGTCGGCAGTCGACGTCCACAGCACTAACACCAGCAGAGAAAGCAGCACCAATGGCCGAAAGCAGCGGGTGTGTATGGTCAAGTTATAGCGGGTCGGGGGTGTGTTGTTGCCAGAGGGACTGGGCGGGACAGCTTTTATTACTTCGCAAGATGAAAGACGAAGAGTAATTGATTGGAAGGCTGGCTCAAGTCCGCAGATCTCTCGGTGAGAATGAATGGCCTACTAACTGTTGTCGAAGAGAAAAATGAAGACTAAATTACCCAATCAAAATCTTCCTGGGTGGCAGACATGAGATGACAAGGGTTGAAACGTGCCTCTGCCTGTCTGCGACGCGTGCAAACGCGACCAGCCGGACTGCCAGCTGCCAGTCCACTTGCCAGCTGCCCACTGCCAACCCTCCGCCAGTCAGGATTACCTCTTTTCTTTGCCATCTGTCGGGTCCCTCCGTTTGCTTCCCGCCCCCGCTGGTTTATCGGCTGTCGGCAGCGCCATAATCATGTAAAAACTAGCGTCTATCCGTAAACCAAGATGCCCTCACTCCGATTGAGAAACCTCATCGTCCAGCCGTAATATATCTTGCATCAAGCCATCCTTCATACATGCACATGCAGGCACCAAAGCTAGCAATTCAGTCAATCAATCCATCCACCGCACAAATCTCTCTTCTCCACGTCTCGCAATCCTCAGTCCAATTTGCTGCCCATCCGCCAGTTTCAGTGTCGTCGTCGTTCGTGCCGTCTTGAGAGCCTCCAATGCTACACATCGCGCCTCAAGATACAACGCCCGTTCCGCGCTTCTCTCCCGCACATCCGCCATGTCCTCCACCTCCCCGCCATCGTCCACCGCGAGCTCAATACTATGACCCCGAAATAGGACCGCCAGCGTCGCCATGAGCTCCGTCTGCGCGATCCGTCGTCCAATGCAGCTCCGGGCCCCGTCACTAAACGGCACGTACGCTCCCGCCACCGGCCGGAACAACTTCTCGCTCATCGTGGGGCCCGCAATGTTGTCGTACGAGGCTTCCTCGTCCTTGTCCGCCACGCTGCTTTTCGCTCCGCCTTGGCCTTCCTGCTTGGATTTCCGGAACCAACGCTCTGGCAAGTAGTCCTCAATATCCGTCTTTCCCGTTGCGTACCGGCTCGGTCGCGTTGGCCAGTATCGTGCGTCCCGTGCCGTGTCTAGAATGCCGAGGAAAACCGGCATGCCCGCAGGTATCGTGTACTGCTTCCCGTCCAAGGTCACCGCCTCGTCCTGCGCTGCCATCTTGGGTAGTATCACCGTTGGCGGCAGCAACCGCAAAGTCTCATACATGGCCGCCCCAACATTGCTCGCCAGGAGGGCGGGGACCACTTTCGCATACTCCCACGCACTCGGCTCCGTGTCGCCCAGCACTTCGTCCAAATCTTGTTGCAACCGCCGCTGCGCCTCTGGAAAGCATGCCAGGAAGACGATTGTGAAAAACAACGCGTTAGCCGTCGTTTCGTGCCCAGCCAGTTGCAAGATGAACGAGTTACCAATAATGGCCTCGCGGTCCAGTGCAGTGCCGTCGTTGCCCGTCCGCACCAGGTGGCCTAGAAAGTCCATGCCGAGACTTTTCATCTCCCCTCCGGCTTGCTTATCCTCGAGCAGTCGCTTTTCAAGCAGCTCGTTTGAATATTTCAGGTAATCACGTGCCTCCCGACCAGCTTGTCTTGCGCTCGCGAGCGGCATCCAGCCTGCGTTTCTCGTTAGTGTTTCGTTCCTCCTTACGCTGCTAGCATCCCGCAACACCAAAGTCGCGACGTACCGAGGAGCCATATGGGAAATATCACCACGTAGATGATATGATGCAGCACACCCCCGATAGCATCCAAAAACGCGACCTGATAACCCTCTGGCGCCGTTAACGATGAAAACTTTGTCAACGTCGCATCTGTGTCTTCGGGTTGTGTCTCGCACGGCCAGAGCATTCGCAGTCCAAAGCCAACATAGCTGATGATATGTAGCGTCAGCTTGGTTGCGTCTTCGTGGACAGACAACAGCATTTTGCCGCCCGCGCGCTTTTCTTGCGCCGTCCCCGCCACCCCTTGAGAATCCCCTGTCCATTTTCGCAGCATGCTCAGGCTCTGTCGTACAGACTCTTGGAAAACGAGCGCTGTGTTGGACTCAGTGAACGCACCCGACGCCAGCCGTCGGTGGCGTCGCCATTCGTGACCTTCGGTAACAACGAGATTCGGGCCAAACACAGCAAGCACCTTGTACGCGGGCGTCCACTTGGGGAAGCGCTCCCGTTGGCTCATGATCCAGTGGTTGAGCTCCGCGTTGGATACGTGCATCACCATGAGGCCGGGGCTGACAATAATGAAGGCGTCGCCGAGCCAGTCGCGCCACAGGTGTCGGTTGTAGTACGGCTGGTGAATAATCATGGCCCTGACATTACTATGTAAGTGAGAATCCTGGAAGGTTTTCTGTCCTTGAATCACGAAAACAAGACTGACTCGACGTAAAGAAGCCACCCCTCAGGCAGAGAGACCCAATTCACAATGGTTCTCGCCAATGTGTAGAGGTGATGGCCAATTGGAAATCGTATAATACATGCTATTCGGTTGAAGAAGCACCGCACGTGTCAGCTTTGTGGGTACAGTATCCAAAATCCATCGCGCCATAGGGCCATACATACGGACTACAATGTACCGGAAGCCGCTCCTCCTTGCCTCGGAGATGTTGCGCAGCAGACTCATCACCTGGTTCACCGCCACACACAGGCACAGGAGCACCAGCGCAGAGACAGTGGCGCCCATGATGAATGCAATGTTGAGGGCTGCAAGGTAGGAAACAAAACCTATGGTGAAATGAGAGAGAGAGAGAGTAGGACAATGAGGTGGGGGAATCGGCATTATATACCTGAGGAGCGTCTTCTCGAGAGATGAAGAGGGTGTGGTGCGGTGCGACAAGCACAAACAAATCCGGATACTCGTACAGCATTCCCGCAAATCCTGCAAAAATCCTTAGGTGGCGTCCTTGCATGACATTATGAGAGCTCCCTGGGCCCAGCTGCACACCCTCTTCTGGGAAGGAGAAATCCTCGGGTCAAATCTACGGTAGATACGCGTACATCTAAGTACTGTATACCCCGTAAGATGTAGCGTCAAACGTCGCTCGGTCCGGTTCTCCGTGCCCATCCACGCAAGAGCAGCGCTGCCCTCTGTGTTTTATTAACCCGACAAAGAGGTATCTTTCACTTAAGCACATGCAAAGCTCGCCCAAATACGTTTCTTTCCTCGCCTATCGCCAAGTGTGTATATGCGTTGGCATGCCCTTCCAGGCCTTGTCCCGTGTTGAGCAACCGCGTCAATGAATGCACCCAACCCTGGCTGCCCCCTCCTCTCCTTCCTGTCTCTTCGCGGAGACAGGGCCAGGGTCCTTGCTCGCCTACATGTTGCTCAAGAAAGGGGGAAAAACCCCCGTAATAAGGAAATAGAACAGAAGAGTGAAAAGAAGAGCGGATGAAAGGAATGAATAGCGCGCTCGCGCCCTCTCCATCCCAGGGACGCGGGGGCAAGTAGATTTTGCTCGAGGGGGTTCTCAAAAGATCCGGTATGCTGATCCATGAATGTCTCTGCATCACTGCATGAGCTGAGCCCGCAACACGGGAACTGTTTTGACCGCATATCACGCAACCATCCTCTCCCGGTGGGCAGAGCCAGCCCGGCCTGCAAGTCTCACTTACACGGGATGGGTGCTGTGCCGCGAGACATTTTTGGCATGAATAAGGCAAAAACATTGTAATGAAAAAATTGTATAAAGGAAACTATTCGAAAAAAAAAAATACGAAAACCTGTGCGGGATATTTACGCCATTTGCTGTTGAAGAAATATATATCATGCCCCCCCTTTGGATAAATTTGTTCATTTCATTTACCCCAACCTCTTTTCCCCCTTAAGTCCCGTTCAATTCCCGAAAATGCTAGAAATGATACGTTGAGTGTCTTGCAGACAATGCATATGAACCCCAGTCAAAGTGTTAAAGAACTTGGGTGTTTAAATATTGTTAGTAAAAAATGATGGAGCAGGGCTTCGTCCCTTAAAAGAGGCCATCAATCTCGCCAGTCTCCAAATCAACATCGACGTTGAGGTAGCCGGGAGCAGTCGGAAGGCCGGGGATGGTCTGGATATCAGCAGCCAGGGCGTACAGATAACCAGCACCAGCGGCCATTCGGACATCACGGATGGGGATGGTGAAGCCGGTAGGGGCACCCTTCAGGTCAGGGTCGTGCGACAGCGAGTATTGGGTCTTGGCAATGCAGATGGGAAGGTTGCCGTAGCCTTGTTTGGTGTACGTGTCAACCTTCTTCTGGGCCAGCTCGCTGAACTCGACGGCAGCAGCGCCATACATCTTCTTGCCAATGGCCTCGATGCGCTCCTGCACCGTGCCATCGAGATCGTATGTAAGGGTCAGCTCCTTGGGCTTCTCGCTAGCGGCAATGACACCCTTGGCCAGGTCAACAGCCCCGACACCGCCCTTGGCCCAGTGGTCCGACAGGATAGCATCCTCGGCACCAGCTGCGATGGCCTCCTCACGGACAACTTGGATTTCGGCATCGGTGTCGGTAGCAAACTTGTTGATGGCGACAACGACAGGCACTCCAAACGACTTAGCGTTGGCAATATGCTTCTTGAGGTTAACGCAGCCAGCGCGCAGAATTTCGACATTCTCCTCCTTGTAGACGGCGTTGAGAGGAGCACCGGGGGCGATGGGAGGACCGCCTCCGTGGACCTTGAGAGCACGGACGGTAGCCACGACGACAACAACGTCGGGAACGAGGCCGGAGGCGCGGCACTTGATGTTGAAGAATCTCTCGCCGCCCATGGTAAAATCAAAGCCAGCCTCCGTCACGACGAAACCAGCCTTCTCGTTAACATCTTCATCAGGCTCAGTACCAGCAAGCTTAAGAGCAAGTCTGTCAGCAATGATAGAGCTCTGGCCAATGGAAATGTTGGCGAATGGGCCAGCATGAACGAACACCGGGGTACCCTCAAGCGTCTGCATCAGGTTGGGCTTGATGGCGTCCTTCATGAGAGCAGTCAGGGCACCACCGGCGCCGATATCATCACAAGTGACCGGGTCACCCTTGCGAGAGGTAGCAACGACCATGCGACCGAGACGCTCGCGCATGTCAGCCAGGCTTGTGCTGAGGGCCAAGATTGCCATGCATTCACTGGCAACGGAGATGTCGAATCCAGTCTCGCGGGTCTGGCCCTTCTCGGTAGGGGCGGTACCGACGGTGATGCCGCGGAGGTGGCGATCGTTGACATCGAGAACACGCCTCCAGGTAATGGTCTCGGGATCAATATCAAGACGGGCAAAGCGACCAATTTCCTCCTCGGTGAGGTCGTCGGGGTTCACCTTGTCGATGCCGAGCTTCTTGAGACGGCGGAACATGATGGGAGCAAACTTGCGCACACCGTTCTTGGGTGGGACAAGACGACGGAAGAGCGCGGCATCTTTCTGGGTGTTCTCGTGGAAGATACGGGTCTCGATAGCAGCTGCCAACAAGTTGTTGGCGGCGGTAATGGCGTGGATATCACCAGTCAAGTGCATGTTGAACTCGTCCATGGGGATGACCTGACTATAACCACCACCAGCGGCACCGCCCTTGATACCGAAGGTGGGGCCCTGGCTAGGCTGACGGACGTTGGCGAAAGTCACACGGCCAACATGAGCGCCCAGAGCCTGGGCAATTCCCATTGTGGTGGTAGATTTGCCCTCACCGAGCGGAGTGGGGGTAATGCCGGTGACGACGACGTAGCGGCCATTCTTGCGGTGCTGAAGACGCTCCAAAAGGCCAAGGTCAACCTTGGCCTTGTAAGCGCCGTAGGGCTCGAGCTCATGAGAAGCGATGCCAACCTCCGAGGCAATACGGGTGATCTGCTTCGGCGTCTGGGCACGAGAAATGGCAATGTCGGAAGGCACAGGTTCGAGGAGCTTGAGTGGCAGAGGAACGGTCTTGCGGAGCTTCTCATTCTCAAAAAAGACGTTGGTGGCCTCGACAACATTCTCAAGAAGCATAGCTACAGTCATGGGGCCGACACCACCAGGAACGGGGGTGATGACGGAGGCGACCTGGGAAGCAGACTCAAACTCGACATCACCGACGAGGCGTTGGCCAGACTTCTTGCTAGCGTCAGGAATGAAGTTGGTGCCAACATCAATAACAACTGCGCCTTCCTTGAGCCACTCGCCCTTGACAAAGTGAGGAGAGCCAATGGCAGCGATGACAATATCGGCTGCCTTGATGTGGTTCTCGAGACCAGCGGTCTTGGAGTGGCAAACTGTGACGGTGGCATCGGCGTTGCGCAGCAGATAGCTGACAGGGCTACCGACAATGTTGCTGCGGCCAATGACAACGGCATACTTGCCAGCCAGCTCGACGCCAGCCTCCTTCAAGAGGTGCATGACACCCTTGGGGGTGCATGGTGTGAAAATGGGGGTGCCGCCGCGCTTGGCGAGCTCGCCGATGTTAGTGGTGCCGAAGCCGTCGACGTCCTTTTCGTCGGCGACTGCCGAGGTGACGGCGTAGTCGGAGAGGTGAGCAGGCAGGGGCAATTGGACAAGGATGCCGTTGACGGAGGGGTTGTTGTTAAGGCGGCGGATCAGGTCGAGGATCTCGGGCTCGGAAGTTGACTCGGGGAGGGAAATGAGCTCGCAGTCAATGTTTGCCTGCGGAGGATTAGAAAGCTGAGTCGCGCTAGACGGGGGCGGATGAATAGCAGTGAGCATACCTCTTGTGCAGCCTTGAGCTTCATACGAACATAGGTGCCTGCGGGGATGTGAGTGAGTTTGCGGGTGGGTTGGGTGATTGCGGGAGTTGAGACGAACTGGAATCGGGACGGTCGCCGACTATGGTGAGAGCGAGTTAGCAGCTTTTCAATGAGATGTAAGACTATATTGAGGAGATGTCGAGCTTAAAGGGCATGATTGATGCAGATAAAGGCATGGTTCGTGGCAACATTGATAGCATTCGTACCTTGGACAATCTTGAGGGAGGGGCGGTAGCGGGGGTTCAATTTTTGACACTCGGCAATCTCGCGGCCGATGCGCTCGCGGATGCTCTTGGCAATGGCATTGCCATCGAGTTTGGTGGCTACCATGGCTGCTGGTGTGGTAGAGAAGAAGCGTCCTGTACCTCGGCGACGATGGGAGAAGGGGAGGAGAGGAAGAGCCGACTCGGAGGCGTGAGGACGTCGTCGGGAAGAAAAAGTCGAGCAGTCGGCGGGAGAATGAGGAGGAGGGGCAGATAGCGGGGTGGGATTGAAATTATTAGCGCTAGCTTCAGTGGCCGCTACAGGGCTGCTGAAGCTGGAAAAGGTTCCAGGGTAGCTGCAAACAGCGTCGCCTGCAGCAGCCACAGACAACCACCTTGAGCTCGACGCGGTTGGCGACAACACCACCTTGATGAGGCTGCCGCTACTGCTGCTGCCGCCCATCGATCGGCTGCTGCTGAGCCTCATACCCTGCTGTCCGTATCTCCCGCACGCTCTCGCGGCAGCGCTCGCCTGGTTGCGGCAGAACATGGTCGTTGACTTGTCGTCTAACGTCGATGGTGCGTGTGTGTTTGCCGTTCGTTCGTGGACGAGAGAAGAAAACAAAACCAACAGCCAGGGAAAAAAAAAGGTTCAATGACTATCCAAGCTTTTGGTCTAGTCTCGTAATCCGCCGACCTCGACCAACGATCGCGTGAGGAAAAAAATTGCTTCGCCCAGTCTAGTGTTGAACTGACTCGGCTGCACTGGCTGGCCTCCCGGGCGGAACGGTGGAAAAGAGAAGCCTCAGGGCTCGAAAAAGCTTGTCGCCCTCACCCAATTGGTTCGTCAGTGCCTCCGAATCTGACTCCTTGCCTGTTCTTCGGCTTCGGCAACCCTTGTCGGTCGAGATCCGCTGCGGATACTGTGACAAACAAGTCTCGATGACGGTATCGGCGTTTTTTTCTTCAACGCCTTCGCCTTTTCTTTCGGGTCCCTTTGATAGCTGAGGTTTTTGTTTTTCGGCTCGTCGCTGTTCCACTCGTTTCGGTTCTTCAACGGCAAAGGCTCCGCCCTTTTGATCTGTGGAGGACAGAAGAGGTCACCGAGCCAACCCCCGCCGAACAAGCCCAACCCGGATGACTTCTGTCTTATATATACCACGCGAGTTATGCACAAGAAGCCTGCTAGTTATGCGGGGAAGTCGAGCGACGGCATAACTTCGTAAGCTGCTCACCCCCTGGACGCGGTGACCTACCGTCTAACCTCACAATCTCCGCTGATTCCGTACAACGCTCCGAGCCATATGGCTGACGCCCTCCCACCTCTTTGTCAAAGGCACAATCTTATGACAAACGACAATGCGGCATCCCGGCGCACTGCTCCAGCCGTGTCCCGCCGCGTTCCAGGAGGGTGGCAGCTGCCCTTACCCACCAACGCCACCATGCTGGGGTGCGCTATAATTAGGCTGTGCTAGGAGACCGTGTGAGATGATCAAAGCTGATACCGGAGCCTTTCATGTCAGGTTCCAGAAGCAACGGTACAGTGTCAGATCTGAATTGGCGGTGGTAAGTGGGAAAGTAGCTATCTGGGAACGCAGGACTAACCAAGCATCATCGTCAAACAAGCAGTGCAGCGCTGCCATCTCCCGTCACGGACTTGTCTTCCTTCCTCGAATGAACCGGCTGGTTAGTGGCCGGCGCAGCCGCCCATTGTTACACACAGAATACAGTAAAGCATCGACTAGAGTGCATGCCATTGGCACTTTCTACCAACTAATGCGTCATGCAAAGTCCTCCCAAGTTCTGGGCCAAGGGAGACTAATTTTGAATTAATTACTGCCGAACACATGGCAACGCCACCCCTTCGCTGACTTCCAACGAAGCATTGCTTTACATTGAGACTGGCCAGTCTGTCATCCAACCGCAGCAAATGGAAGGCTATGAATCCCTAGCAAAATGCCTGGCATCTCATCCGTTAGCAAACATCGCAGGTGTTTCAGTACTATGCCCTTGTCAGCGCCTTGGAATTCCACTTGTTGCCGTCCTGGTTCACTTCTGCTGCCGCTGCCGAGCCATGTGATACATGGGAAATATCCTGGCACGGAAAGAATCATGTGTGGGTGTTGCGACACTATGACTTTCTGTTGCCAATTCCTCTGACTAAGTTCGCGCATGTCCAAGACTTACAGAGGCGGCTGCAGCTTGCCGCACTACATACGTGTCGTTGCCGGTGGCTTGCCAGCGCAACGTGATCGGAGCCGGGCCGGGCGGGCTTCGGTGCGGGGAACCTGGTCACATCCCTGGCCCGTTTCTCATTCGCAACAAAGGTTGGACTTTGACACGATTCAACATGTCAAATTTTACAGAATGAATGTCGTAAGGGACAATACTCGCAGACTACGTCCCCGGAACCGAGATGAGCCTTGCCATGTTGTACTAGCTCTCGGGTGACAACCAGCGCGACCAGGTTCAACTATGTGCCGTAAGCTGCCTCGCAAGGCTTCGGTGGCATTTTGCTAGAAGGTGCTTCAAACTGTTCTCAGACAATCCCTACACCTCTAGTGCAAAAAATTCTTTCACCATACTCACCACCCCGCATGAGCGCAGCAGAAACTTTGTTGCACAGGAGACAGCATGTCGTTAAAACAGTCATGTTCATTGTCGTAGACGGACGGGTTTTGCTTTACTTGGCCGAACGTTTTAAACCGCAGAATCACTGGAACAGGGAACCTCTTCCCAGGGCAGTTCGTGTGCAGCTGCGTCCTCATGCCCGCATTTATAGCGCTTCGCCATTAACAGCCTCATCTGCATGGCTCTCCAGCAGCTCCAACGCCTTCGCAAAATTGTTCAACATGGTGACTGGGTCGCACAAGCCTCGATACCTCGACGACATCAGGAGCAGGGCATCCAGCCGGCCCTTTCTCGGATGCGTCACCAGCAGCAGGGGAAACACCGCCCAGTGCGAGAGCATCGGCGTCTCCTTTTTACAGACTATGCCATCGGCGATGACCTCGATATCGCGGTCAAAGTTTTGGTGCAGCACGACAGAGTCCGCCCCTGTCGCCGCGGGCCAGTCGGTGCAGTTGGCCACAATGTCGCGCCAGCCGAGCGCGTCGGCCGGCGACGCCGTCTCGGCGTGCTGGGCCTGGATAGCCTGGAGGGTTTGGCGTCGCGTACGGCCCTGTGATGGTCGGACGCGCACCGGAATCACGTTCATACACGGCCCAACGACGCCTCCACCGTCGTCGTCGTCGGCCCCGGACCACACGTGGAGGAACTGCCCAAAGACGAGGTCTTCCTGCCGCGTCTCGTGCCACAGTGCCTCGTACCAGGCCGCCTTCACCATGCTAGCTGCGGTTACACCGGCGAGCGGGCGGATCTCGGGCAGCTGCAGCGTCGTCAATGAGAGCGTGGCCTCATCATCCGCCGCCGGCGCCTGCGGGAACAGGAGATTCGGCTGAGAGCCTTTCAGGATGCCGCGCCATATGTTGTATGCTTGCGCAGTACGTCTTTGATAGCATTCCTCCACATGCATCCGGAACTCTGGCTTAATTGCTAGAGTTGCGCCTTGGTATGCCGCCCACATGTCCTTGATGAGCGGCCGCAAGCAGAGCGCATCATATTGCCCGTGGCACAATCGCATGACGAGTATATGGCGCGCATCTGCCTCGACAGTGACGAGAGAGAATCCAATGATAGGCTTGCCGATGTCGTATCGCTTCTTCAGCTCTTGTGTCCAGAGCTCCTCCACCCAGTGGACGGCCGCGGTCCAGCTGTCGCACTTGTGCTCCGACCAAGGCGCATGTACCTCTCGAAGGACGACTTGAACTAAGTTTTCCTGTAATAAGTGGAAAACAGTTCTCAGGATTGGGTGCCGTGCGATGAGGGCCTGGCAGGCGCCACGCAGCCGCACTGCATCGACCGACCCGGAAATATGCAGCGGGAAGCAATCGACCACTCGACTTGAAGCATACGCTGCTTGAGTTTGCAATGTGGGCAATACATCTTCAACATCATCTTTACAGAGCGCTTCCGGTAGATTACCCATGAAGTCTTGCCGCAGCGCAGTGAATGCCTCGGGGCTGCTGAGTTGTTGGGGTGCTTCGTGCTCTGTTCTGTCCCGGGTGTTTTGTGTAATCTGAGCCAGCGTTTCAGGTTGAAAGAGCTCTTGTAGTGATATTGATAGCCCCTTTGACTTGGCGCGGGTGATTAGGTGGCGCGCCATGAGAGAGTCTCCTCCGAGATCCACGAACGTGTCGTCCATACCAACTTCGCCTCTGGATAGCTGAAGGACCTGCTCGCAGAGGTCCCGGATGGCAGTCTCTTCTTCTGTACCTGGCTCCCTGTAGGTAGCCCGCGTGGCAGAGAATCCGATGAGATCCCGGCGACTCATTGCCGCCGCCGCCTCGCGCATTCTTCGCCGATCCAGCTTGCCCGTGCTCGTTTTTGGGAGCACGGCCAACTCGACGTATGTCGTCGGTACCATGAACGAAGGCAGGACCTCTTTCAAGAGGCTTTGCAGCATCATTGACTGCTTCTGAAACGTCAATGTTGGCGCAGCCAGCAGATGTGCGCCCTTGCTGTCGCCCGGTCCTGCGCGCATCAGGACAAAGGCAACGAGGATGGGTGACTCCTCAAGCGCATCTTCGGCTGCACAAACAATGTCTACAGCGACGCTTCTAGCACCAGGCAACAATCGTCGGATATGATGCTCAACCTCGCCGAGCTCCACGCGCTGGCCGCGGATCTTGACCCTCGTACCCTTTCTCCCGAGAAGCTGGAAGGAGCCGTCTGCTGCATTGCGCCTTGCCAAATCGCCCGTCTTGAAGATGCAGACACTGTCTTTTCGCCCAATACTCTTCACCCATTTAGGATTTGTGATAAACGATGCTTCAGTCTGGGCAGTGTTATTGATGTATCCCTTGGTAAGGCATGGGCTCTCGATAACCAACTCGCCTTCCGCCCCAATGGGGAGGAGAATATCGTGATCCTCGTGATGCACGATCCAGGCATTGGCATAGAATGGTATCCCGATACCATTCGTGGCATGTCGTCCCGCCTTTGCGCCAATCATGGTTCCCTTGGAATTCTCGGACTGGCCGTAGAGCGAGTACAGATTCAAATGGCTCCATTTGGCCAGGTCTGATGGCGACATCTCCTCTCCGACCATGACAACTGTCTCAAGAGACGGAGCTTCCGCAGGGTCTAGAATACGGGCAGCAGAAGGGGTAATGGCAAGCCAGTTTGCTCCAAGATCTCGAATCGCACCTGCCAGGTCATGTTCAAGCTGGGACTGTGATGGCACGCACAGGCAAGCACCACGAGTGAGAGGCGCCAGTTGGCCTGTGATGCTGACAACGAATGAGTACGAAGCAAATTGAAACACCCTCGATTCAAGTTCGAGGTTTAGGCTTGAACAGTACTCATCAAGACCGCTCATGAAGTTCCCGTGCTGAATGAGAAATCCCTTGGGCTCGCCAGTGCTTCCCGAGGTGAACCCGGCATACAAGGGACTGCCGGCCTGCGGCTGGGTATGTAACATACTGTTCGAGGGCGCCGACATTGAGAAGCTTTCTGTCGAGTGGTAGGCTATCCCAAGCTTCGAGGCTGCTTCTGCGTTCCTTGGTGTGGCCACGATCGTCGCAACGGCGGTTATTGAGCACATGGTCTTCAGTCGTTGGGTTGGCTGCGACGAGTCAAGCAGCACAAATGCATACCCAGCCTTGATGACTCCAAGGATGGCAATCGTTGCCATTGCTGATTTATCCAGTAGCAAGCCTACAAATGCGCCCGGCTGCAACCCGAGTTGCGCGAGCTTGTAGGCAACGGCAGAGACCCGCTGCTCGAGCTCGCCATATGTGATCCGGCCATCCCAAGACTCAATCGCCATTTTGTGAGGATGGTTCTTGCAACATTTTTCGACTGCAGGCCATACAGTCTCCAGGGATGGTCGCCACGGTTGCGCTCGATCCCAGTCCATCAATTGCCTCTGGCTCTCAACGCCGATCTCCTGCAATGCGGAAACTGGCACCGACAATGATTCAGCCATCACGTCCATGGCATGATGAATCTGATGCAATGTAAAATGAATCGTCTCTGAGGACCACACCGAGGCATCGTAGACGGCGCGGAGATGCACCAGTTCCTCCATCATCAAAGCCTCAACGGCCAGATGGTATTGCGCGTACGTCTGGCTCCGAGGTGCTAGTGCTTCTGCTTCGGAGAGAGCTATTAGGGTGTCGGAAGGCTCACCGCCGGTGTAGCTTTCGAGTTGCGACATCTTGTCCATAGCAACCAGTACAGTGTCGTGTCGCGCAAGGCTGACTTTGACCGTGCTGCCGACAGCAGCCTGCCCGGCGATGACGGTCTCGTCGTCAAGTTGAAGAAGGTCAAAGCTGACATTTTTTGAGCCCGTGTAAGCGCCGAGGACAGCATACCACGCCAATTGAAGAGCTTTTGGCAAAGAATATGTAGCTTCGGGACGGATTTTGAGTGACAGTGTCAGCAGCATGCGTCCATCGCCGACGCATTCTGGCGTTGTTGGTCCCAGGTATGCTTCTTTGGTTATGGCCATGATGATGATTACCAGGCAGATTTTACGGGTGTATTCTGACCGCAGATTCAGGTAAATTCCCAGAGGCAGTGATGATGTTGAGGACTTGCGCACACACTAGCCCGCTCCTTTGCAGCAAATGCAGCCGACTGGAGATACAGGTACTCGATTGCATCGGAAAGCAGGATTAGCTGCAGTCCGCTCCTCCATTGCATCAAGATACAGGAGTAGCTGAGTCCACTCCTCCATTGCATCAAGACACAATAGTAGCTGAGTCCACTCCAACACAGCCGCCGCCGACAACGGATAGGCTCGGGACGTCGACGTATCATCTCATTTACCGTCGGTTATTTTATCTCGCCGTATTGATCTCGAGACAAGACCGGGGCGATGAAACTGTGCTGAGAGTACATGGGAGCACGCAACGCACATGGAGCAGGCGGCATGCGGTGCAGCATCAGCCAAGAGTCACAACTCGACTTGCGGTCTACCATCTCCGGGTCATCAGCCTGCCGGGACACTCGTGGCGCAAATAGTTATACGCAATGTCTCAGCAACGGTGGGTTGTTGCTGCATCTCGAGTGCGATTCGAGATCCACTTGAGGCTATAACCTACAATTTACTGTCTCGGCCCAAGACTTGCCGCGCAGAGCTGCATCTATCGCGACCGCTTTCATCTGCAGCCATCGGGCAGCGTCGGGCGGCGCACATGGAGCCAAGTGAAGCTATATTGTATAGCTGTCACCACTATCTGCCGAGACTCTGGCCAACTGACACATGTTTCAACATGATGTGCAATAAACAACGGCCAAGCGTGGTCGTGTTGATAATTGGCGTGACAACATTTGGAAAGCTATAATCGACATTTTATAACGTTACTAGCTAAGGTATGTTTCAATTACGACGCACAATGTATGCAGCAGAAGCAGCCACCGTCGCAACGAGTACGAGCCCCGTGAGAAACTGCCGAATGTTCCGATCGGCCCGCGCAATACGTTCACGGTAGAGCTTTGCATAATTCCTGCCCGCATTCAACGTGGGAAAGGGTCGATCGGGCTCCAGCTCGCCGAGGAACTCGCAGAGCGGCCCCCATCCGTCCTGCACCTCCCACTCCAACAGCTGGTCCGGGGCGACGTGCGTCCTGACCGCTCGGCAGTGCTCCTTCAGGACGGAACGCGCGTTCCTGTCAAAGTCGCCCCTGTAGAAGGCGCTCCAGTTTCCCCGCATGAAGCTCACCTGGACCCAGAACAGCTCGGCGCAGAACCAGCTGCGTACCCAGAAGGCCCAGCTCCGGTGCAGCGGTATGAGCGTCTCGGCGACGCTCCGGTGCCACGCGTCGACGTCCTTGCGCACGTTGAGAATGACCTTGGCGTCCGGGTACGCGGCGATGAGGTCGAGGGCGAAGGCGGCGGCGGCGTGGTCGGTGATGGCGGCGCAGTGCCCGATGACCTGGTCAAAGTCGGCGGCCGTCAGGGAGCCCGGGCCGAGCCTCTCGCGCTTCAGCCGGAGCCGGTGCCAGAGGATGTCGTCCGGGGGATGGAGCACGGTATCGAAGCCGTGGTAGGTGTGGTCGTAGCCGAGCTGGATCAGGGCCTCGCGCAAGGAGCCGGTACCGGAGCGGGAGGGCCCGACGGCAAGGACGCGCATCGGGGTGGTCCGAGTGCGAGGCGTGACGTCGAGATTGTAGAGGCTGTTCTTGATGTGGTCCATTTTGGTGGTCTCGGCGATTGAGGCCTGTGTGTAGCAAAAGGGCCAGAGGCATTGGACGAAACATTTTATGAACAGGAGCTCGAAGTGGTGTGCTCCATGCTGGGCAAAGTATATTAGCTAGCCGCAGGCCGAAGAATTCCGTCGCAAAACAAGGCAGAGATCTTACCCTGCGCGATGCAACCTGGGCTGCATGTCCAGCTGCGGTAGAGTGCATATGTCTAAGACAGGCGGGCCAGCGAGGCCATCTCGGAAGCTCGCCACCGAGAAGCAAGCAGGCAACTACTCTTGCCCTCGCAATTTGATCCTGCTTCTCTTCGCGCCCTCTAGTCCCCATACCCAGAGTGACTTAGGTCTTTGAAAAACTATCTCAGGTCGCCCATGTCTGAACCCACTACGCCGGGGCAAGACAGTACGTACTCTCGTGCCAGAAACACCGTCACCTCCTGCTCACTCACCCATCACTCCAGTAAGCACGGTGCGCGCACGACAGAATTTATCCCGAACTTGCTTTCGTACTGACACACCACTATCCAATTGCTTGACAATGGAGGCGCTGTCCAAGATACTGCAGGCCGCCCGCGGCGCATCCGGGGCTCAGAAGCTCCCCGAGACGGACCAGGTATTCGGGTCGGTTGCACGCTCCGTCCAGGAGCACATGGCCGGGTTCGACGCCTCTCATGACTTCAACCACGTCTTGCGTGTCGTAGCGCTGGCGCAGTCAATCATGGCTGCCGAGAGCAAAGGCGATGATGCACCGCATCCCAGTGTCGACCCAGTCATTGTGATCCTGGCCGCGTACGATTCGCCCAACTGACGTCGCCCCTGTTCATCAAGTACTTTACTCATACCAAATACTGCATATAGGCTGCTTCATGATGTCACGGACAAGAAGTATGCGGAGGGCGCGGCCTGGGACTCGAAGCTGACCCGGATCCTGGGAGACGCTGGCGTCGACGTCCAAGGCCCGCTCGCGACCGCCGTCGTGACTGTCGTCAACAACGTCTCGTACTCGACGGAGGTTCGCGATCCGAGCCACACGCTGTCCATCCTGGCGACGCATCCGGAGCTGGGCATCGTCCAGGACGCCGACCGGCTGGACGCCATCGGGGCGGTCGGCATCGGGCGCGCCTTTACGTTTGGCGGTGCCAAGATGCCGCTGGCGGACATGCAGCTTTCCCGGGACCACATGACGGAGAAGCTGGGGAAGCTGGAGTCGATGATGAAGGTGAGTGAAAGGACGGTGCTTGGACTACGATGGTGAAGGAGGCCATTACTGATGATGGATTTGTCTAGACGAATACGGGAAGGAGACTGGCAAAGGAACGGACGCAGAGGATCCTCACGTTTTCGAAATGGTGGGATGAGGAAATTCAACTTTACTAAGAGGGGTGGCATGAGACTATTGGATGCGAAAATAAATTCAAAACTTTATAAGCAAAATATCCTGCCTAAGGAGAGCGACGAATAAACCTGGCACCTATGGGAAACGCATAAGGCCTAGCACAAACGACGGGAGAAACACAATATGCACCCTCCCCGCCCTGTCTCATCAATCGTCTTCTTCCCAAAACACCTGAGCCGGAAGCCAGTCGTCCGGGTACACCCGGCACCTTCCTTCAATCGAGGTGATCTCGGCATGGTCCTCGGGCGACAGCTCCCAGGCCGCCGCCTCAAAGTTGGCCGTTATCCTGTCCGGGCTGACACTCTTTGGTATCACGCTCGTGCCTCGCTGCAGGCCCCATCGTATCCTTCCCTGCCGTCAGTGACTCGAGTACCTTTATGGTCGTTCCTTGTTGTCGGACTTACAGGACTTGCTGGGTCGTCTTCCCAGTGCGCGCGCAGACATCTTCCAGGACGGGATGGCCGTGGAGGTCCCGGAGACCAAAGGCGAGCGGCGAGTACGCGGTGCAGTGGATGCCTTTTTCTCGGCAGAACGCGACCAGCCCTGTCGACGGGCAGTACGGGTGAAGCTTCGGGAGGGGTTGTCAGCTGCTGGCAGATTGCGAGACACAGAAAAAAAGCAAGGGTTTAGGTCTCACCTCGAGTTGATTCACTGCAGGCACGATGGTGCAGCTAGGGTGAGACAGGAGTCTCTTCATGTTGCGGATGCCAAAGTTGGAGACTCCGATGGCCCGAACGCGGCCGGCGTGGACCTCCTTCTGCATGTCTTGCCTGCCCCAACGTTGCGTTAGTCCACCGGCGTGCCGCTCGGGAGGATGCATGATGTAACTCTGCGGCAGCCTTACCACGTCATGATGAAGTTCCAGTCTGAAAGGGCCCGTTTCGTGTCATCCGGATCGACAGGCGACGGCCAATGCTGCTCCCGGTGGTCAGTACTCCGGTTGTCGCGCTCGTTTGTTGTGGCGGGTTCCTTACCATGAGAACAAGGTCGATGTAGTCCAGGCCCAGCCTGGACAGGGAAATGCGGACGGACTCGGCGACGCGATGATGCCAGGAGTTGTCAATCTTGGTGGTGACCCAGACGGCCTGGCGAGGGAGGCCGGAGTCCCGCACGGCCTGGCCGACTTGCTCCTCGTTGTTGTAGCGAAAGGCGGTGTCGATGTGTCGGTAGCCCGTCTTGAGCGCCTCTCGGACCGCGTCGTAGGTCTCATTTGGTTTCTTGGGCTTCCGGGTCCCGAATCCGAGACCGGGCATCTCGTATCCGTTGTTGAGCAGGAAGGTCTTGGGCGCTGCGTGGTTGGACTCTGTGGCTGACTGGATAGTGAGGCCGCCATCGGTATCGACAGGCTTGAGACTACCATTGCTTTGGGAGGGGGTGGAATTGGGAATTTCGTTGCCCTGAATAGTGGTAACTTTGCCATTGCAGCCATTTAGTTTGCCATTTTGATGGCCGTGGCCGTGGCCGTTCCAATAGCCGTTGTGATGACCATTCAGATGGCCATTCTGACGACCATTCTGATCCTTCTCATGCCCGTTCTGGTACCCGTTCGCATGACCGTTTTGACGGCCAATCACGCGCACTTCGGCCACCTTCTCCAAAGCATGAGAAGCAAAAGACGAATTGATTGCTTCCGTCGTGAGCAAGGTATCCTCCATCTGCGAGATCGAGGTCGAGAATTCCTTCTCCTCGCCAGAGATGTAGTCGCAAAAGTCTCGGCACATGCTTGCAATGACATCCTGCTTACGAGACTGGAAGGCGACTCTGAAGGTCTGGCGACCGCCGAAATCGTAATGGACAATCTCCTGGTCCCTCAGATGCAGTGATCCCAGAGTCCCACGGACAAGTAGACATTCCTCCTTGTCGAGAGCGACTTCGGACACGTACAGGTGGCCGGAAAGCTCGAAATCTTGCCAGGTCATCAGGACATGCGACTCGCGGTCTCGCTCAGAAGGCTGACCGTCGGCCAAGCAATGCGCAAAGACGGTCGACGGACGGCCAAAGAGCCAGACAAGCACATCCAGCATGTGTACTCCTAGATCATCCTAGAAACGACGTTTTTATATGAGAAACAAGGTCAACCAAGTATTGATCAAAGAGAATGTCTTACAAAGGTACCGACGTTGTGCTGGACTCGCCATCCATCCTTCGGCGGATCGTACTTGCCCGCCATCGTCGCCCGCACCGACAGCGGCCTCCCAACCTCGGCGAGCAGTCTCCGGAAGTGCCTGTACCTAGGCTGCCACCTCCGCTGAAACGTCACCCCGATCTTGCCCTTCGACGCCAAGGAGCGCAGCTGCAGGAACTCCTCGACGGTGCCGGCGATGGGCTTCTCCTTGAGGCAGGGCACGCCGGCGGCCGCGAGCTGCTTGATGACGCCCAGGTGGTGGCGGTTCGGGACGCAGACGATGGCAAAGTCGGGCCGGTGATGCTCCAAAAGGCGCTCGAGGCTCGGGTAGGCCGGGCAGCAGCTCCGCGCGGAAAAGGCGGCGAGCACGGCAGCGCTGCTGTCGCAGACGGCGTCGACGGAGATGTCGGGGGAGCAGCGCAGGCTTTCGAACCAGGCCTTTTGGCCGCGGGAGCCGAGGCCGATGATGGCTGCGGAGTAGCGATGCTGAGCAGCCATTGTAGATGGCGGCTGGGTGTAAGTCTGAAAGCGGAAAGCTTGTTGTAGGTAACTAGGAGCAAGACACAAATATGGGCAATGCTCAAGAGGTGTATCGAAATGTCAATACATCGACATGCAGAACGCCGACTGCGCAGATCAGGTGTTAATGAGGATGGACTCGACGCCAGCCACCGCTCATCCGATCTCACTATGCAGATGCAGAGAGACCTCCTTTCCTTGTCCACGAGCATGTCCGTACTCGGCAGATTCCTGGTAACATGGACGTTGTAGACATTTCCAAGACTTTGTCCACATTTCAGCTCCCCGCTTGTCCTATACAGGTCTCACAGGAATATTAACCATCCTTGACCCAATTTCTTTTTTTTTTTTCTTTTTTTTCTAGACATCCGATATCGAATAGCCATGCACTATCCGTACATGCAGAATTGTCGTATCCATTACATCGTGCGTGGCAGAAGCTGCAATAGTGCGGCTTACTATTGGTGGTGGTGGTGGCGGATGAGGTCTCAGTCACGGAGCAGACCGACTACTTCTCCTACCGTACAATCCCATCGGGGCAGAGAAGATGCATGGGCTGGTGTATATGAAATTCAAAAGCCGCGTTTGATTCCTCAGGACGTGATTATTCTTCATTATTCCTCATTTGTTTGTACACACGTACGTGTATGTAACGATGACGCCTTCTCTAATTGACCAACAAAACATCGACTCGTCGTCCAAGGCGACACTACGTACCATCAGCTGCTCTGAGCTGCAGAATGAAGATCCGCGGGCCCTTGAGCATCTCCTTCTCGCTGCTACTGAGGATGGCATCTTTTACCTGGACTTTGACCAAGGCGAACAGGCGAGCTTGGATCAAAGCATCCAGGACGTGGACCGTCTCAGCCATGCCATCTTCGACATGCCCATCCGAGAGAAGCTGGCACTTGACATTGACACCATGGGAAGCCTCAAGTTGAATGGGTTCGTGCTTTCACTCCAATATACATCTGTATATCACCGTCACCAGACTTACACTGCATTTCGCAACAGGTACAAGCCAGTCGGTAGAAACAAAGGCGGCATCAAAGGCCATCGTGACGGCTTTGAAAGCTATGCCGTACGCACCCCCGTCACATCCGTCCAAGTTATCCACTAAGCCGATTCTGCTAGATTTCTCAAGACACCATCCGGGAATCGCCAGACCGAGTCGTCCAGCATCCCCCCGTCGTCGCCGAGTATCGCGAATCTCTCGCGCAGCTGACCTCGCGATGTCTAGACACGACGCACCTCATCTTCAAGGCGCTGTCCCGGGCCTTTGGCCTTTCCCCCGCGGACTCCTTCGAGTCCCACCACGACCCGGCCTCCTCCCCGCTCGACCTCCTCCGGCTGCTCCGGTACCCCGACGCCCTCGGCGCCGCCGCGTTTGGCATCCCGCAGCTGGCGCACGCCGACATGGGCTCCCTCACGTTTCTTTTTACGTCTTCGCCCGGGCTGCAGATCCTGCCCAAGGGTGCCGCGGCCGACCAGTGGCGCGACGTGCTGCCGGTGCCGGGCCGGGCCATCGTCAACTTTGGCGACGCGGTCAAGATCCTCAGTGGCGGCAGGGTCGAGAGCGTAGTGCACCGCGTGATCACCATGCCGGCGGGCGAGCAGCAGCAGCAGCAGGTGGACGTCCGGGACCGGTACAGCTTCGCGTTCCTGGTCCGGCCTGCGCCGTCGGCGCACATCACCGCGCTGCCCGGCCTCCAACAAGACGAGGCCGGCGCGGAGGCCGAGCCGCCAATGACCTGTGAGGAGTGGGTTTCGATGAGGTTTAGTCAGTTGCGGGCGAAATAGAGATTTACATTAGAAATCGTCGTCTTCATTTGACCAATGTGAGGAAAGAACACGCCGTGATACATCGTAGCTGCTGGCAAGCCATCCCACTCAGACGTTAGCCTGCAGCTTCTTGCCAACGAGATACGCGTAATCGGGCATCGCATCCCGCACCCAGCCCTCAATCCTGCTCCCGACAAGCTCGCCAAACTCGGCCTTCCACTTTTCCACCTCTCCCTCAATACTCAGCCCCTCAAAGGTCTTGCCTTCCGCGATGCCCGACGATGCGTTCAACGTGACGCGCGTCTTTGCACCCGCAGCACTCACCCGGCCCTGCTCTGCCTCAGTTACAGGCTCCCACCGAAACCGCACCTTGTCCTTGTCCAACCCGACGAGGTCGCAGAAACGCCGGATCACCTCCGGATCGCGGAGCATGTCGTCGGCGCCTAAGATGACCGGTTCCTTGCCCGACGCGGCTGCGTACCAGTCGTAGAGCTGCCGCGTCCAGCGGAGCGTGCAGCCCAGTGCCGCAAACGGCACCATCTCGCGCTCCAGCCGGGCCGCGTCGCCGTCGCAGAACGAGAGCACCACGCGGTGCCACGATGGGAAAGCGAGCGCAGGGTGGCGGATGAGGAAGGCCGGCACGCAGCGCAGCAGCAGCGCATCTGGCAGGACGGAGGGGTTGCCGCTCAGGCCCGGCGGAGGACACTCGGCGGTGGCCGCCGCAGCTCGCTCCGGCACTTGCACCCTCCACGGCGCGGCGGCGTCTCGGGTCCCGTGGAGGAAGTCGGGCACAAAGGCGGGCGAGGTGATGAACGGCGCGTGCTCCTTAGTCACGGCCATCTTGCCCTGCTCGTCCGCTTCGTCGAGCAGCTGCTGGAGCTCGTCGTAGCACGCCTGATACCTGCGCCGCAGCAAGTCGGCCTCGTCGGCGGTCCAGTCCCGCGGTAGGCGGCGCAGCAGCCCGGCCCGGTTCATGCTCGCGGCGGCAGGGAAGAAGAAGTACCCGCCGCTGTCGCGCGAGGTGACCTGCGGCTGCTCGGGCAGGTTGAGGATCTTGACCAGCAAGTTGGAGGCGGAGCGCGGGTAGGTGATGAGAAGCAGCGGCTGTCTTTTTGCCGGGATGGCTGCCATGATTTCTCGCCTCTGGTGGAAATTCTAGCAATACAATTGAAACTTGCTTTCCGAGCGAGATAGAAGCAGCAGTATAGGTCTATATATGCATAGTTTGGCCGTATGCATGCTGGCTAAGACCGAGTCCACTGCTTTGCACACCGCTCAAGCATTCCCACACAAGCTCTTGTAGATCCTTTGGCTTGTTGCTTTTTCTATGCCATTTCACATATAGTGAGCACACATTTTCAGGTTCGTAACTGGCACTGTTGACGCTCTACTTCAAGCCGGGGTTTGTGTTGTTGACTGCTTGTATCTTGGTGGCAGGAGTATACATCACACAGCTGCAAACAGCAGGGTAATTAGCATCTCAAAAATATGACGCGGATTTGCTCGTCTTTCTTTTTCTCAACAAGACTCGGCAAAGCACGGAAGATCAATGAGCAGTGTGGTCTGGTACAGCTTGTAAGCTCTCGTCCCAATTAGGCAACTATCGGGTGTGAATTTCGAAGTTATCAGAGTGCGGCCAGCTCCTTTTTAAATTTGAACAAATAAAGCAACTTTTTTCGGAGACTTCCTGATCACATAGCTTCACTTGACTGAAAGCAGGATGCAACAGAACTGGCTGATGCAAGGTATCAAGACTCATCTGTTGAGATGTGCAGAAACCAGTTGATTCACACAGTGCCAGACTTCCCTATTTAGGGCATCCTCGTCCTGTCAATTTCTGCCCGCCAAAGAAAGCCCCGCCACAACGTAGCGCCACACGAGGCGCCCCACCAAAACGCACAATCGCCAAAATTTCAAACTCACCCAGTCTAATCCAACCAGAAAGGCCGTGGTCCGTCTCTTGAATATATCACGCCCGCCCCTCCTCTGGCCCCTCCTCGAAAAATCCCACGCCAGCCAGACTCCCCCCAAACGACGAACAAGATACACGGGACCGAATACATACCGACGCCATCATGAGACCTATTCTCCTCTCGGGCCACGAGCGTGCCCTCACCCAGATTAAGTAGGTCCCGCCAAGTGAGGGGCGAACGAGACCTCGAGCACCTTTGGCGATGGTTGCGATATGCTTCCCGCCCGTCGTCTCGTCGCCCATCAGCCCGGCCACCCCGAACTCGCTAATTCCCTCGCCCTTCTCTTTCCACAGGTACAACCTCGATGGCGATCTCCTCTTCTCCGTCTCCAAGGACCAGGCCATCTGCGTCTGGTACGCACACAACGGCGAGCGCCTGGGCACCTACACGGGCCACGTCGGCGCCATCTGGACCGTCGACGTGGACCCGACCTCGACCATGATTGCCTCGGGCTCGGCCGACAACACGATCCGCCTGTGGGAGGTCAAGACGGGCCGCTGCCTCAAGGTGTGGGAGTTCCCCACGGCCGTCAAGCGCGTCGAGTTCAACGAGGACGGCACCAAGCTGCTGGGCGTCACCGAGAAGCGCATGGGCTACCTGTCCAACATCATCACCTTTGACATCAACCCGGACGTCGACGCCGAGCAGACCGACGAGCGCTCCCTGACCATCGTCTGCGACGAGAGCAAGGCCACCGTCGCGGGGTGGAGCGCCCTGACAAAGTACATCGTCGCCGGCCACGAGGACGGCAGCGTCTCCCAGTACGACGCCAAGTCGGGCGACCTCCTCGTCAACTACCCCATCCACGAGCTCAACCAGCCCATCGTCGACCTGCAGTGGGCCCCCGACCGCTCGTACTTTATCACCGCCAGCAAGGACAAGTCCGCCAAGGTATGTCCCCCAAACGACAACACCGAAGCATTCCAACTTTCACGCGAAACTAACCATCCTTTTCTCATCCGCAGCTCATCTCGACCCGCGATCTTGAAGTCCTCAAGACGTACCCCGCCGACACCCCCCTCAACAGCGCCACCATCACCCGCAAGAAGGACTTCGTCATCCTCGGCGGCGGCCAGGCTGCCATGGACGTCACCACCACCTCGGCCCGCCAGGGCAAGTTCGAGGCCCGCTTCTACCACAAGATCTTCGAGGACGAGGTCGGCCGCGTCCGCGGCCACTTCGGCCCCCTCAACACCGTCGCCGCCGACCCGACCGGCAAGAGCTACGCCAGCGGCGGAGAGGACGGCTACGTCCGCATCCACCACTTTGACAAGGGCTACTTTGACTTTACCTACGAGGTCGAAAGAGAGCGTGCCAACAGAATGCAGTAAGCAAAAGCACAGCTAAAGCGATGTGGGGGTTTTTTCTGGTTTCCGGAGCTGTCAACGGCGAAAGCTTTGCCGTTTTTGTCTGCTCTTGTAGCAACCCCTATTCTGCCCTCTTGAATCTCTTGCGCCAAACCTTTTTGGCCGTTCTTTATGAGTTCCCGATGACGAATCTCACGAATCAACCTGCGACACACTTTCTTGGAGTTTTGACGGAGACGCGAGAGACGAAAACGAGGAGCTACCGCTGGACGACAAAAACCGCAAGATGACGACCCATCTATAAAGAGCTTTGCTTTCTTTAGATCCCTGTGGGCTTGCATACCGGTATGGCGTTTTGTTGTTTTTGTAATGCTTCTTTTTTCTTGGTTCTTGTTTTTATGGCGACAAGTTTAAAAAGGGCAAAGGGGCACTGTGATTCTATACTTGTGGTTATTTTTCGTATGTCCCACTGCGTCTTGTCGCGGTAGACTTTGCTTAAGGGATAGCAAGGGGTGGGGAGGTGGAATGGGCAGGGAAGAAAATATGTAGATCGGTGGCGAGCCGGTTCTCCATCACAAGGGGCTGCGGTGGGAAACGTCAGGCGGCGCGCCGCCAAGGACACTTAGATATGAGATATATCCAACAACATGAGGAAATTGAGAAAGAAATTCGCATTCAAATCAGAATCTACATTTGTATCCTAACCTACCGCTTCAGGAGGGCTGGTCATCACATGTCAAAGCAAAGAATGAAGCCTGACAAATATTCAGACTCTCGATTGGTAACATCCCATCCAATTCTGAATCCATGTCCTAATCCTAATAAGCAACGACAATACACATCCATAAGTCAGGAAACTGCAAGTTGACCATGCACAAAAAACCAGATTAACACAGCCAGAGTCACTCACACAACTGTAATGAACAAAACGTTAATCTAATACCCGCCCCTTTGCCAGAAAAAACACACAAAAAGACCCAATTAGAAATTCCTTCAAAGTTTTCCCCTTTTTGCCGACATATTCTCTATTTCTTGGATTTCTTCTTCTTCTTGCCAGCGTTGGAGTTGCTGGACGCCACGCTGGACGCGCGGGATGGCGCGGCAGAGCTGGCCTTGCTGCTGCTGGCCTTGCCCGACTTGGACTTGACATTATCCAGCGCCTTGTTCTGTTCCGCGCATTAGTCCTTTCTGATTGTTTTTTTTACTATTATTTGTCGCTGCGCTCGGGACGGAGCCGTACCTTTACGCCATTCTTGGACTTCTTCTTCGCCGGCATGCCCAGGATGCTGTCCTCATCGTTGTCGTCCTGCTGCTCACGCTTAGCTTTGCTGCTGGTGCCATTGGCGGCGCCGCCTCGCCCGGCAGCACCGTCCTCAAACTCCTTGACGACAGTCGTGATCAGGGTCGTGCAGCGACGGGACAGCTCCACAGGCGTGCGGCTGAGGAAAAACCAATCAAAGCGGAACAGAGGCGAGTCCCGAATGTCATCGCGCATCTTCTCGTACAGGCCGTCAGAATCGATGCCATACTTGTCCAGAAGCACCAGGAGGAAGCGGTCCTCTTCCTCAGTATAGACCTTCTTATTAGTTGTCGACACGGAATAATTGATCTTGAGTTGCTGGAATGGTACGCGGTATTGCTGCATCTTCTTGCGCAGGAGCTTGCGCTGCTGCTCGATGCGCCGCGTGCGTTCCTCGCCGTCCTCAATAACCTTGATATGTTTGTTGTAGTCGGCAATTTCCGTGAATCTTTGCCAAAACACCTTGGCGTATTCCTTAATTTCTGGGGCTGTCTTGCTGCCGATTTCTGTGGCTATTCCGTTGTAGTCGTTGCGACCAAACTTGCCGGAGCCATTGATGAATTGTTGGAAGTCTCGCTTGCTCCAGTTTCCGAAACCTTGCGTTGATAGTTCTTCTTTCTCTTCGCGCTCTTCTTCAGTCAAGGGCGTGGCATTGTCGATTTCCTGCTGGTCCAATGCCCGCTCAGCCTCCCGATCGGAGAGTGTGTCTTCCTCGCCGTCGGGAAGGACGACCTTGTAGCCGATTTCCTTTCTGTAATAGGCTGTTTCGCGCTCTTGCAGTTCTTGGAGTCTGGGAGGATAGAACTGGTAGTCGTGGACAGGAATCTGCTTGGGAGCTCTTGGGGCCTTGGGCTTGCTCTCGGTCTTGGGATTCGGATACATGGCCTGTCGGAAATATTTGTCCATCGAGTACGACTGTTCCTTTCTCTCTCGCTTTGCAGGGTTGATCCATGTCATGCCAATATCCTTCTTGGTGTTGGCAAAGTTTTCACCATTCCATTCGTAGGCAGACTCTGAAGAGAACTTCTGCAGGTCATCGAGACCAAGCTTCTCGTACTTGGCGTTGAGCTGTTTGGTACGAGACTCGCCCTTGTTGAGAATAGCATCAATATCATCTTCCTTCATCTCATCATTGTTGCCAACAGTAGAGCCCTTGGCTTGGAAAACCGTCTCTGCGCCATGTTGAATCATAGACAAGAGTTCATCCTTGTTGGCTGCGGCCTTGGCACCCTGCTGCGCACGGCCTTGCTGAATGACGAGCTGATCAAGGCGGAGTTTCTGTGCAGCTCGCTCCAGGACCTTTTCTTCAATGGCGTTATCTGTGACGAATCGATAAACAACCACTTGCTTTGTCTGACCGATACGATGCGCACGATCCATGGCTTGCAGATCAGCCTGAGGATTCCAATCGCTGTCATATAAAATAACAATATCAGCAGTAGTCAGGTTAATACCAAGACCACCAGCTCTTGTGGTGAGTAAGAAAACGAATTTCTCGGAGCCGGGCTTGTTGTACTCGTCAATGGCGGCGATACGGTCCTCGTGTGCAGTACCACCGTCGATGCGGCAGTATTTATAGTCTCTGAACACACAGTAGTCTTCGAGGATATCCAGCAGTCTGCTCATCTGGGAAAAGATGAGAACTCTGCTTCCTTGGCCCTGAAGGCGCTTCAGAAGTCTGTCCAGAACCTTCATTTTACCGGCGTTGTACACCAAATGTTCGTCCGTGGTGTAGGGAGGGCCGGGTTCGGCACCTTCGAATAGATAGGGATGGTTGCAGCATTTTCGCAGCTGCATGACGATGTTGAGCAGTCTCGTCTTGGATTCACGTTTGCCACCGGCACCGTTGACCGCGTCAATATCCTTCTCGAGAATCTTTTGGTACCACTTGATCTGCATATCAGACATGCCAAGATAGAGATTGACCTCCTTCTTGGGAAGCAGGCTTTTCTCAACGTCACTCTTGACACGTCGGAGCAGGAAGGGTCGAAGAACGCGATGCAGCTGCTGAACGACAGTATCTTGATCGCGGTCTTCGCCAGAGAACCATTGGTCAAAGGCCTCCGAGTCGCCGAATACATCGGGAAGAAGGAAGTTGAGAAGCGCCCACAGCTCATGCAAGTTGTTCTGCAAAGGCGTACCAGTAATGAGGAGTCGGTTTCGCGAGGTGAAGAGTCGAATAACTTGAGACAAGGATGATTCTTCATTTTTGATACGATGGGCCTTCAGGAAACGTCAGCATGGACAGTGAATGTCTACCTTCCATAGGTAACTTACCTCGTCAATAATAATGTACTCCCAGGCAAATTTCTTGAGGTGCGACTTTTCGCGCAGCACCATTTCGTAACTCGTAATACAGACGTCGAATTTTTCATCGACTAGGCGATCGTTGATGAGTTCGTGACGCTCGTCTTTGGCACCCTGGAGAACAAGGACATTGACTTCGGGTGTCCATTTGGCGAACTCTCGCTTCCAATTATCGAGGGTAGACTTTGGGACAATGACCAAGTGCGGGCCAGTGATATCGACAATGTGGCGAAGATAGCCAAGGAAAGAAATGGTTTGCAGCGTCTTGCCAAGGCCCATTTCATCAGCCAGAATACCAGAAATACCATTCTCGTGTAATGAGATGAGCCAGTTCAGGCCTGCAACCTGGTAGTCGCGCATCTGGCCCTGGATGAAGCCAGGGGAATCGCGGAAGACAGTCTCAGCCGAGCCGCCATGCTTCTCGTCTTTGAGAAGTTCAGCATCTTCCTCTGCCTCCGTACGGCGTCTCCTCTCGCTAGTAGCGCCGCCTTGTCTAGGGCCAGACTTCTTCCCGCGTGTGGCCTCCTCATTCTGTCGGTCGATTTCGGCCATGATGTCACGGATTTTTGGGTTGGGATTGGTCTCGATAAAGTGGCGAAAGAGGTCAGTGAGGCCAAGGAGGTATCGGAAACGTCGAATGGTATCGTCTTCCTGTCCTGAGAGTCAGAATGAATGGCCCAGCTAATTGCCTGTCGTGCATGCGAAGCTGGTCGCAAACAGTGTCGTTACCTACCTTTGACTCGCCCAACCGATCGTGTTTTTTGCCGAATATACTGCGGCGCAGGGCTGTAGCCTCTGACCTGCGCTTTCTTCCATCGCCGATAGGCTCGCCAGCCACGCTGCTAGCTGTGGTGTTGGGGTTGGTGTCGGAATCTGTGTAGTCGGGCGTCTCATCGACATCCTGGGGAAGCTGTCAGGTGGGGAAACTAAATTTTTACATGGATTGTGAATACAAACCATTCTCTCGTTATTATGAGGCGCGGGCGCATCCGACATTGACGCGTCGGTGTCGACGGCGTCAGGTTGGAGCATCGGCGCCATGATGGCAAGCGATTTTCGGGCAAACCTCTATACGCGACGGTGCGTCTGTGGACGCGTCCAATGAGGGCCGTTAAACAGCTCTATGGAGAGCCGGGATGGAGCAGAGATGATAAGGATGAGCGAGGTGATGGAAGCGCGACGGCGCGAGAGATAGTTGTGCTGAATCGCGATATGCTTGAGTCCGGCACGGTCAAGGTTGGGTTTTTGCCAGGAGGTCTAAGTGGAATCTTGAGTTGCACTTCCAAAGGAAAGAAGTCGGCGCAGTGGTCAGTGTGGTCTAGCGCGCGCCGCCGCTGGGCGAACGGGGCAAGTGGTGGGGAGGGATGCATGCCAAAAAGGTACGTACCAGTTGTCCAAAAGACATGGATAATAAAAATTCCGATGCTTTGGTTAGGTGCCCCACCGCTTACAGACACATTGAATCACCATACCTACCCTACACGCAGTGTGACTTGTACTGTTTTACTAGGATTTGCGAGAACAGCGAGGACTGTTGGAACGCAGTGCGGCTGACATTCTCACATTCAAGATCTCAGGCCAGGTTTTCACTTAAAAAGTTATCTCCTGCGTTAAAAATAGCCCTCCGTTGAATCCGCCCGCTCTTAACCCGTCACGTGTGAAAGTACGGCTAGCGAGTGCCTCCACCCAGGTTCCAAAGCCTACGACTTTTGCTCGACGTAGCCTAATAATCTCATTAGAGTCAGCAGAACTGACCGAGATTACCGAAACACCAACGAACACTGGTTCATCACCGTATTAAGAGGTCGACGCTGGCTTCGCCTAACTTTACAACGAATAACCTTCAACCTTCAACCTTTCGCACATCTCGCCACCCTCGCCACCCTCGCTTGAAGCTCAAACCAAAGGACGGACGGGCTAAATAGAAGGCGGGGCAGTCGGCTCTTTTGCGTACCTTTCCTTAGTTTTGCACGACCACAACAACATTCCACAGGCTCGCGTGCCACTGACGTGGAAGATCGCATTCACAGTAAATGCTGTGAAACGCTACGACCAAAAAAAGACCCGACAACAGAGGCTCCAAACATGGATTACTCGAGAACGACGGCGGGCAGCAGCAAGCAGGCCATGAAGACCGTGGAGACTCCTGAACAGCTTCTCGACGTCTTCAAGGCTGCCGCGCTTTCCGTCACCAAACTCTACAAGACATCTGCGCTGGCTGAGTCCAGGGCGCGCGCCGATGGCTACCAGGACTGCCTTGAAGATCTGCTGGGTTTCCTCGATAAAGAGAACATGGGACTCTGCGATGGTGAGGGGTGGGGTATACGACGATGGGCCACCGAGAGACTCGACGGCCGCGATAGCGCCCTCCAGAGCACCGAAAGCGAAGACGAGACGGACAAGGCCGCGGAGCGCACCGCATCCCCCGAAGTCACACGAAGGAGCGCCGAACCCCAGCAAATAGCCGCTCAAGGCAGGGCCGAATCGCCGGCTTCGAGCACCCAGTCACGAGCCGACGAGCCAACACACTTTGTCGTCCCCTCGCAGGACAGCTTCACCTTTCAGTCCGCCCACCCCTATCCCAACATTGCCACTCTCGATCTCTCCGACGGCCGACCGCACCATGACACGTCCGCGTTTCCGACACGAGCGACCAAGGCTCGGCTCAATGGGCCCGGGACAGGCCGTACGCTACGCACGTCGGGCCACCTCGGGCGAGGGGCTGGCACAAAGCGTCGCATCAACTTTGACGACTTCTTCGGCGGGTGCTTTGGTGGCAAAGATCCCTCGAACCCGAGCGGCAAACGTGGCCGACACGCCTGAAAGCGCCTCGTGACGAATTCAAAGATCGACATTGACAGCATCATTATCAAACACGCCTGATTCAACCGTATCTCTCGAACATATAGTCTGCAAAGGATCGGATCGGAGGACAACACCGAGATCTGTATATATGGGAAATACCCAACTGTCCGCGGCAAACTGCTTCTTTAGATTACGCCTGGTTCATGTATGGAGCAGTCCATTGGGAGGGGAGGTATATTAGCATCTAGCATATTGTGGAGTTTGTGCTTTATTGGCCACCAATGTTTTTGGGCTTCCGTGTGACGGAGCTGGCCTCTTCTTCTATTTGTGTTTAATGCGGCGGAATGGTCAAAGATGGAATGACGAATATGATTCTCTACTACGACGCACCACAGTTTTGTGGATGGTCACCACATAGAAATGAATTACGCAATGCGTTAAACATCAATTCTGATTCGTAGGCGACTCCGCCTTGTGTACAAGTGTCAAGTGTCTATAAAACACGTTCATTATGTCGTAAAATCAAACAAAAACCTAACATCGGCTCTTCGGAGACCCATCCGAGTACATACAGGACCGTAGAGCCTACGGCGCCTAGAAGGCTCAGTGCAAGGACGGGTTCCGATGCCTCGAGTCGCGGCTCTGGTCGTGGGACTTGGCCACAACGGCGCGGAGGTGCTTGTTCTCAGCCTCGAGGTCGTCGATGTGATGCTCCAGCATCTCCATGCGCTCCGCCGCGCCGAGGACGACCTCCTCCGAGATCTTGGCGAGGCGCCACAGGCGCAGGACCACAAGCAGGGAGCCGATGGACTCCGCCGGGCCACGCAGACCGATGTCGATGAGGAAGCTGAGGATGATGATGGCGGCGTCAAACTGGTGAAACTTGGACGAGAGGTATCTGGGGAGGGCACTTGATCAGTAATTTCCCACAAGAGAAGCAGAAAAGGAAAAAAAAAGGGACAAGCATTGATAACGTACCCCCATCCGAATGCGTAGAGGCAGGCTGCCAACTCGAGCATGAACGCGGTGCTAAACACCAGGCCGATGACCTCGAGCGTCGTCGTCGCCGCCTCGACCCAGGGCTCGTCGGCCTGGTGCATCTCGCAGGCGATGAGCTGCAGGAAGATGTTGGCGAGCAGCGTGGCGACGTCGAGGGCGACGATGGCCATGACGAGGAAGTGCTTGCGGCGCGAGGCCAGAGCGCGGGCGCACGCGCGGCGCCACGGCGAGGTGCTGCCGCTGCCGCCGTCGGCCTCGACGTCGTCGACGTCGGCATCGTAGTTGTCACGGCCGCCGTCGTGGTCGTCGGAGGTGCCGGCGGCGGGGTGGTTTCGCTCGGTGCCGAGTAGAGGGGCCGATGCCGCCGCGGTGGTTTGCGGATCGGCCATTGCTGCGGTTTTACACGGTGTCTTCGCCGGGCGCGGGGTTGTTGATGATGCAAGCAAAACGGTGGGAGAATGCTGGGGGCGAAAAGGAAGGGAGGTCAATCGAATTCAGATGGGGATGTGGAGAGGGATCAGCATGTCCATGGCTTGGCGACGAGGCTAACTTGGAGGCGTCAAACGCAGCAGGAAAACCTTCATGTTGGCGGCCCCCCGGAATCTGTTTGTGGATGGCGGCACTGGCCGCTGGTCCCCTTGAGCTAACTACCTATGTACCTACAAACACAGCGAGGTGTCTGCCGTTTTGCGCGACGGCCAACGCTGGAAAGGAATGAGCTGCAGGCGCCGTTCGTGCTAGACGGCATCATCCCATGATACTACGTGAAATATATTGAACATCGGTTGCAGTCTTTGCTCCCGATGGTTTACCAGGCTTGGACACCGACGAGATCGCTGCGGACAAGAACTTGGAGAATGTTGGCTCAAGAAGTTTTCGCTTCTATTTTCGTTGGAGTTTGTCTTCTTATTATTTTCATTTTTATCCATTTTCTTCTTCGTGAAGATCTCTCATGTCTTTCTCTGGTGGGCTAACTTCGTTTTGGCTGGCAGGCTTGGTGGGCGGATCGCGGATGTTAACGGAGCACTGTGAAATGCACTAATACAGCTATGTATGTATGTATGTAAGTAGGTAAGTCAGCGAGATAGGCTGCATGCTACCTATACTTTGACTGTTTACGGCACGAATAGCAAATTACGGTGTATCTATCTGAATGTTTATCGCTTTTTGGTTTTGTTTGATCTTCTCTGAATTGAACACGGCATAAATGCAAACACAGCGACGCGTGAAGGGCCGGCGCTTCCGCTGTCCAACCTCGCAGCGAATTGCAGGACTTGTGCTACGCCGACTCAATGTAACAAAAAAAGAAACCACCATGTGCTACTCAAACAAAGAATCTCAATATAAAAGTGATGCTAGAATTTTCAAAACGTTCACTCTCCTTCGCATGACCAACCCGTCCTTCCAAGTTGTATTTGCCTTATACACCGGCCAAACTTCGGCTCCCCACAGTCCGTCCGGTTGGTGATGCCGCGGAAGCAGCACCAGTGATTGCGACTCAGATTTTCATCCTTCATCATCTTTTTCTACATTGTCGGGAACGGTGAAGGAGAGCTCATTTCCGAGTTTAAGAGCAGAGGAACCAAGTAAGAACCAAGCCCGTCGTTCTGATTGCTTGTAACAGCCTGTGGCGCGTGGGTCCCCTGTTTGCCACCGCCGCGCTTCCTGAGCGCGTGTCGCATTCTGGACGGCGCATCGCTCCAAGCGCAATCAACCTTGAGAAAGAAAGCTCATTATTTACAGGGACGGCCTTTTTTCGAGTAGAGGAACATTTAGTCCAATCCTGGTCGTCGGCTCAAAAAAACAAACCCCACCCGGTCGCGAACAAAACAAGAGAACCATGTCCGAGGTCATCAAGACAGAGGAGCCGATCCCGGCCGACCAGCACGAACAAGACGGCGAGATGGCTGGAACTGAGGAGGTGAGCTACAGGCCTCTCTGCAGAGACTTCTTGGCGTGACGCAGAAAGAGAAGCAGAGGAAGAAAAGAAAGAGAGGGCGAGCGAGAAAAAGAAGAAAAATAACAGTATTGCTTACGCCACCATTTTTACTCTCGGAATAGGAAGAGATTTCGGCCATGAAGGCTCGCGTGGCTGAGATGGAAGAGGAGGCCAAGAAGCTCCGGGAGATGCAAGCCAGCCTGGAGCAGCAGTCGGCCAGTCTCGCCGATGACAAGGAATCGGTGGATGCGCGCAGCATCTTCGTCGGAAACGTCGACTACTCCGCGTCGCCCGAAGAGATCCAGGCACACTTTCAGAGCTGCGGCTCCATCAACCGCGTGACGATCCTCCTCGACAAGTTTTCCGGACAACCAAAGGGGTACGTGACATATTACATTTTCCCTAGGGCTGCGTATTCCCCTCAGCCTCCCCCTTTCCGTTCTCTTCCCATCGGGACACTCCTCCTTTTTTTCTTGTTGCTAACAGCCTGCTAAACAGATACGCCTACGTCGAATTCACGGAACCGAGTCTTGTCGCGCAGGCGCTTGTCCTCAACGAGAGCGTCTTCAAGGGCCGCAACATCAAGGTGACGCCGAAGCGCACCAACGTTCCGGGCATGGGTCGTGGCCGCGGTCGCGGCGGCTTCCGCGGCGGCAGAGGAGGCTTCGGCCGCGGCGGCTTTCCTCCTCGGGGAGGGTACCGAGGCGGCGGCCGGGGCCGGGGCCGGGGTTTCGCGCCTTACTAGGAGCAAGGAGATGGCTTGCCCAGCTTCTTGGCCCAGTGAAGGCGAGAAAAAGAGGTCGGAGGAGGAATGGGAGGAACAGGTGTAGGCGGTGACGTCGGCTCGCCTGTCGCTAGTGTTTTTGTCCGGAGCTTCTAGACGGCACCATCGATTTTCGCTTGGAATGATTTTATTCGCTTGGTAATGGAAAAAGACGGATTTTTAAAGAGTGCGGGAAAGAAAATTCAGAAAAGCTAATTCGTATATCCCACCCAAGCATTCATGCTGTGGAAGGCAACTGTAGGGGCTGCTACCAGCAGAGTCAAGAGGGTTGTTTACTTCTGGAGTTTAGGCCGGCTTATATCACCAATAGCTTGTAATGCAATTGTTTTTATGTCTTGTTCATATCTCTTGGATAAAGCGGACTTGCTGCCTGCATATAGCTGGCATGCCAGGAGTCCACCTCGGACATCGAGCGGCACAACCCGTCGTTTCATGGGTAGTTGATGGGGGTTTACCCGGACCTCAGGTGAGGCAGGCAAACAGACACAGACACATGTCAGCTGTTAGGTGTGCATAATCCTGGCTTGGCTGCTGCTGTCACTTGTCGTGAGCCTAAAATAGCAGCATGTAGGTTGTGATGCTGAGAGAAGGTATGAGGCCGCCAGGGGGGTCATGGCGGTGGCTCACGGAATGCCAAAAATAGGCACAACACGGGCTCGATTGCGTGTGTTTGTGAACCGAAGCAGTCCAGCAGGGAAGATGAGCAATGCCAGATCTCCGGTTGGAACTACAAACCAGGGGGGAGGCACTGAGAGGGTAATAAAGTGCAAGGCGGGCCTGGGACGCGCGGTGCGACAGCCAGGATGCCTGCGTTACTAGTGTAGGTTGACGTCGTCATCAACGCACAAACTCGCGATTGGACGGCTAACTATGTATGTATGTACATACATACCTAGCTAGCTTCAGAGAAAGTTAGAAAAGGTCGGGGAAGGAGGCCGATACGAACCAAGTTAAACTGGGGCGTGGCGTAGTAGATTAGGATAGGATGTTGCTGGGAGAGACCGGGAAGCACCGTCGAGCTCTGGTTATGTTTTATTATGCGTAACAGGAAAGCAAGGCTTATGAGGGGTGCGAGGCAGAGGGCCACGGGTTCGCTATCCGTGACTTGTGCAGGCGGGTTGGCATGGATGCTCGGCGCAGCCCTGCCGCAGACCAAGCTGAGAGTTGAGTGGTGGCGAGGTGAGTGTTGCATCGCTGGTTACAGAAAGGGCAAGGGTTGGATTTGTGAGCAGAAGGGCTTGTTTACTGGGTGAGAGAAGGACCCAGGAGCGAAGAGTCAAGCTCCTCGAATTCGCGTTGATAGTGGATGGGGTTGTTTTTAGACGAGCTGGCGTGTTTGCTGTATCATGAAGCATCATGTTACTCATAAGAACCCAAGCAGATTAGCAGGTGTGGATGGAAATGCGTCTTTCGCGACCGCTGAAGACAATACTTTCGTATATCAGTATTCATCCCACTAAAAAAATAAAGGCGGAAAGAAAGAAAAAAAGTGACAAGATATTAATTAAGTTTGTAGTCTATTGTTAATAAGTTTCTCAGACATTGTAAGCGCAGAGGTTTGATACGTGACATCCAGTGATTCAGTGGCTGAGGTACTCTACATCACGTGCCCCGCCCCAAACTCTCTCTGCAATAGCGCCAAGGTACCGGCTGCAGCGGTGCTGATGTTCCCCGTTTGGCCCTGTAACGCGCTGTCGAATGCGCTGCCGTCGCCTACCTCTGCCTGAAAATTAGCGCTGTTGCGATGCTGCAGCCTCCCCCACCGCAAACCTTCGGCTGGTAAAGTGAGAGGTACCTTTGCGTCTGTCAGCCCCCTCTGCTGGCCAAAACCTGAAGCGGGGGAAGATGCCTCTTTCGCTGTCCTCGTTCTGCCATCTTGCTGCCAGTCGGGCGTTGCACAGCCTCATCTTCTCTCCAGTTTGTCATCTGCTGAGAGGTCGCCATCATCCCTTTCCTCCTCTTCCCTTGCTGCGTCGGCCGTCTCTTTAAATAAGAGGTCCTTTTTGCTTTGCCCTAGACTCCCTAACCCTTCATTTGCTCTGGCATTGCGGCTTCCTGCTGCCTCAATTTCCGTCACGCTTGGTTCTGCAGTGCCCGGCGCGCTGCCCACTCGCACCATCATGAGTTCGAGCCGAGCCGAGTCTGGCCTGCCCGGGTGAGTTTTTCTAGATTCGAATTCATCGCCGTCGCCATGATTCAAACCTCGAGATGCCTTTTCATACTGACCCCTGCTTCCTCGACACAGCAAGCCGAATCTTCGAGTCACCAGTTAGTTGCCCGCCGCCTTGCTCCGCATTCGCAATACACGCGAGACATATGACGGTCGACACGATACCCAGTTGCTGACAATTCCATAGTCATTGCCGCCGATGGTCTCTACAAGCGTGATGTCTTCCGTACGATCGCGCCCTTCTCTCGTCCTCTACTCTTGCTCGTGTGCTGACCGCTCATAGGCTTTCCCGATCCTTTCGCCGTCGCCACCGTCAATGGCGAGCAGACTAAGACTACCAGCGTCAGTAAGAGGACGCTGAACCCCTACTGGAACGAGAGCTTCGATTTGTATGCAATACCCCTCCGCCCATCTGCATGTCTTACACATTGTTTTTCTTCACCACCTTTATCTCTCACCAACTGGAATGTCCGTGTTACCATTGCCTAACACCTTTGTAGTCGCGCGAACGAGGGCAGCATCCTCGCCGTCCAGGTCTTTGATCAGAAAAAGTTCAAAAAGAAGGACCAGGGATTTCTCGGTGTCATCAACATTCGCGTTGGTGATCTAATGCCAGACATTAGCCCAGAAGCAGATGGTACGCTTTCTTTCCCCTCTCTTACTTGGGCTTTCGCAGCTGACAATGCTCCATCAGACCAGATGATCACGAGAGACCTAAAAAAATCTACCGATAATCTTGTCGTCCACGGAAAGCTCATTATTAACCTTTCCTGCAATTTAAGCACACCAATTCGCAACGGACAGGGCTCCTCCAGTCGCCCAGCAGCGAGTGCCAGTACCTCCAACGTTTCGACACTGTCCGCGCCGGCCAACGACAATCGGCCCGGGTCCTCAATGTCTTCTGCCAACGGCAATGGCCTCGGCGTTCCCAGTGGCTCTGTCCCCCCTCACCCTGTCAGTGCTGGCCCGACGCCAGCCCCGTCACAGGGTGGCCCCGCGCAGCCCCGACCGACCAGCCAGCTGAGTCCATTTGAGGATGCACAAGGTCGTCTACCCGCTGGCTGGGAGCGGCGCGAAGATAATCTTGGCCGGACATATTATGTCGACCACAATACGAGAACTACAAGCTGGAACCGACCTACTGCAAGTGGTACCGGGGAGAGCCGTAATGAGACCACCCAGGCCGAGCGAGCCCGACATCAGAACAGAACACTACCTGAGGATCGCACCGGCACCAGCTCGCCTACTATGCAACCCAGCTCGCCCAGCAGCAGCCCCCCTCCTCAAGCCAATACTGCCGCTGCCGCTAGCAATGCCGCCGCTATGATGCATACCGGTGCTACGAGTCCTGGAAGTGGCGAGCTGCCACCACTCTGGGAGCAGCGATGGACTCCAGAGGGTCGTCCATACTTTGTCGACCACAATACCCGCACCACGACTTGGGTCGACCCACGTCGTCAGCAATACATCCGACTGTACGGAGGCCAGAATAACGCAAACGGCCAGATCCAACAGCAGCCGGTGTCTCAACTAGGCCCTCTTCCTAGCGGATGGGAGATGCGACTTACCAATACAGCTAGAGTATACTTTGTTGACCACAACACCAAGACCACCACCTGGGACGATCCTCGTCTCCCGTCATCGCTTGACCAGAATGTGCCCCAATATAAGCGGGATTTCAGACGCAAACTCATCTACTTCCGTTCGCAGCCTGCTATGCGCAGTCTCAGCGGGCAGTGCCATGTCAAAGTTAGACGATCTCACATCTTCGAAGACTCCTTTGCCGAAATTACCCGCCAATCTGCGACGGATCTAAAGAAGCGTCTCATGATCAAATTCGACGGCGAAGAGGGTCTCGATTACGGCGGTGTTTCGCGAGAGTTCTTTTTCCTCCTCTCCCACGAAATGTTCAACCCCTTCTACTGCCTCTTTGAGTATTCAGCCCACGACAATTATACTCTGCAGATCAACCCCCACTCCGGCATTAACCCGGAGCATCTCAACTACTTCAAATTTATTGGCAGAGTGGTTGGTTTGGCCATCTTCCACAGGCGTTTCCTCGACGCGTTCTTCATCGGCGCTCTGTACAAGATGGTTCTTGGCAAAGCTGTAGCTTTGGCTGATATGGAGGGTGTCGACGCCGATTTCCATCGTTCACTGCAGTGGATGCTCGATAACGATATTTCGGGCGGAATCCTGGAGCAAACATTTTCTACCGAGGATGAGCGTTTTGGCGTCTTGACCACTGAAGACCTCATTCCTGGTGGTCGGGATATTGAAGTTACCAATGAGAACAAGAAGCAGTACGTCGACCTCATGGTTAAGTGGCGTATTGAGAAGCGCATTGCAGAGCAATTCCAGGCCTTCAAAGAAGGGTTCCACGAGCTTATCCCTCAGGACCTGATCAACGTTTTCGACGAACGTGAGCTGGAGTTGCTCATTGGCGGTATTGCAGAGATTGATGTCGATGACTGGAAGAAGCACACCGACTACCGTGGATACACCGAATCCGACGAGGTCATTCAGAACTTCTGGAAGACTGTCCGGTCCTGGGACGGCGAACAAAAGTCACGTCTGCTGCAATTCACGACTGGTACCTCCAGAATTCCCGTCAATGGTTTTAAGGACCTGCAAGGTAGCGATGGTCCTCGCCGTTTCACCATCGAGAAGGCTGGGGAGCTTGCCAACTTGCCCAAGGCACATACCTGGTATGTTACATTTATCAGCATGTTGTTGAGCGCCGCGAAGAGAATCCAACTAACGCGAACTAGTTTCAACCGTATTGATCTGCCCCCATACAAGGATATGGAGACGCTACAGCAGAAATTGACCATTGCTGTCGAAGAGACTATGGGCTTTGGCCAAGAATAAAAAACCGTATGGTGGCTCCTGGCAAAGACGGAGTGGCTGGATGTCTCACTGCACAGGGACACATCTTGTTTGGTTTATCACTGTCTACTTCTCTCTTCTCTCCCCTCAGCGATTTGCCTTTCATTAAATCTGTGCTCCAAGCCTTGCAATTGGGTATTTGCTTTCTTGTTCATTTGGTTCATATTTGGGTTGAAACAGTCTTGAGACTACAGGTTACGTGCTTGGCGCCGGCGGTTAATGTTCTAGTATGAAAGCAGCCATAACGCTGCCAACAAAGAGGCGGTGGAAGCAAGAAAAGGGACGGACGGGCGGGCTTGATGGCTGTCTGCCCCCCTTTGTCCCACTGAGATTCCCTCAGGATAACGGAGATTCGGATGTAGGAAAGAGATGTGACTTCAATATGCAGGCGGGTGCATTCTCTAATCGGGATTTCGAACAACGGAGAAGAACTCGGGTTAGCCTTTGTCCGACGCGAGGCATGCTGGGCTAATCTCTGCGTTTCAATACGACCCCTTCTGCATTCCCCGTTAGACAATAGAACGGCGTTTTCTTGCATCCCTTCTACTGCTTTTCGAATTTGTGAGAATTGAGATGGGAGGCACTGGGCAAAATGATGGCGGGCTATCGAGCATTGTCAAAGTTGCAGTTTTGTTGTTTTTGTTACCCTCATACCTGTTGATACATGCCCGTTGGTTCGTTTCCCCATCATGGTTTCGTTGCATTGCTCTACGTATATACATACATTATATATATATACCACTCTCAGTCCTTGCTTGGCGTTTATGTACGGTGCTGCGCAAGTTTACCGGGTAGATGCATGGCGTGACTGTTGACACCTTATAAACATGATTAAGTCTGGGCAAAGCGCGCATCCTTGTTGAAATTGTACATTGAATTTGGCAGGCTATTCTGCCAGATGTTACCAATAGATAGGATAAAAAAAGAGGTTTTCGCGGAAAACAAACACAACCCGAGGGAACCGATCCCCACCACTTGTACAAAAGAAACTGAGAAATCAAATGCAAAGAGGATTTTTTTGTTCAACTCGTGGCCGCTTCTTCCCAGTTCTCGTTGACGCAGGCAACAATTCTAAATACAAAGGTTGCCTCTGCCTGGCAACGTGCAGGAAGATACAAGCAGCACCTTGCAAGTGTGTAGCACACTGATACACACATGGCTCTTCCCAAACATCTCCAATTGCGCCAATTGATTGCGCTCAAGAGCTTTGATAGCAATGTCTCTCCTCTCGCAAGAGTATAACGAGATTGGCGCACACTTCTGCCGCTCTTTTACCTGCGGTACCACATGCGGGTGATCTTGGTGTTGCGCATCTTGCGCTGAAGCTGGAAGATGCCGTACATGAGGGCCTCGGAGGTGGGGGGGCATCCGGGGACGTAGATGTCGACAGGGACGATGCGGTCGCAGCCGCGGACGACGGAGTAGCTGTAGTGGTAGTAGCCGCCGCCGTTGGCGCAGCTGCCCATGGAGACGACCCAGCGAGGGTCGGGCATCTGGTCGTAGACCTGGCGGAGGGCGGGGGCCATCTTGTTGGTGAGGGTGCCGGCGACGATCATGACGTCGGACTGACGGGGGGAGGCGCGGAAAATGATGCCGAGGCGATCCTGATCGTAGCGCGGCGTGGAGAGGTGCATCATCTCGACGGCGCAGCAGGCGAGGCCGAAGGTCATGGGCCAGAGCGAGGACTGGCGAGCCCAGTTGGCGATGACGTCGAGCGAGGTCCTATTTGAGTTGGAGTGCATTGGTTAGTCAAGCGATTGCTCGGAAGCCGCAACGGGAGTGGTGGTCGTGAGGTCGATTAGAGGGTATTGAGTAGGTTCGTTGGAAAGCTTGGCAGATGGGCGCGGTGATGAAGTGGCGAAAACATACAGAGCGTATTGAATGACACCCTTGGTGCCCTCTTCACTGCCGAGAGGAACTTCTTTGCGGATTTTGGCGAGGCCGCTGACACCGCATGGCGGTGTCAGCGAGGTGGCGTCTCGTTTCGAGCTGGTGGAAAGCGCGGCGGCGGCACGGAAGGGAACCATGGCGGTTGTGGGCTTGGCTGCATTTCGAATCAATTGACGTTAGCGAACCCAATCCTCAGAAGAAGAAACAAATTCGGCGCGGAGGAAGTATCGGTGGAAACGTACCTCGCAGGGCCATGGCGGCCGCTGAGCGGGTAGAGGCGAGCATTGTGGCGGGAACGAGCGAAAATAGCAGGATGCCCCGAGGGGGAGGGCGACGAGGTGGCGACAGGAGCCTCGACTCGGGTCGAGAGAGTAATTGCCCTTGTGAAATCGTCTTCCAAGCAATTGAATGCCGAATCGACGATATGGGAGGTGACGGAGGCGGGAGGACGAGGCCGACACTGAAGGTGGAAGGAAGCTGGAGAGAGAGAGCTTGGCCTGGTTGTGCGGACTGAGGCCAAAAGATGCGCTCTGGGACTTGCAATGGGGACTCGTGGTTTGGTATTGGCGGCGCTGTGATTGGCTGGGCTGGGTTGACCCATGCGAGGTTTAGCCGGGTGAGGTAAGCCAGCAATTCACCAGGCCAATTTCATCTTGATGCCACAATCGAATTTATTGCACAGGCTTCTGCTTGGGCTGAAGGCTTATGTTGATGATTTAGATGCGATGAAAACGGATACACGAGACCTGTGACGATGATATCCTGCTCCCTAGCGGCGAAGGCTGCACCGCAGCAGTGAACCGAGGTAGTTTTTCTTCGGAAATTCCGAAAAGGTGAACTCCTGCTCTGCTTTATTAGTGGAAATATTGTGATTTTCTTTTGCATTTTTTGAGTCGATTTCTAGTCGAAGAAGAAACGCCGCGTTGGTGGTTTTACTTTCAACGTGCTCGGTTGGGTCAGCCTGATGCCCGCGACGGCAGCCGGCACCCGCCGGCCGTTCCTGTTTCCCTCGCTGACGGAAAAGAATTCTAAGCTAAATTAACTTATATAGCGGAGCCCTGAAAGCACCACAATTTGAACAGGTAAGTATGCTTTGTTCGGTTGAAAGTCTGAATGAACCAAGGTAGTGGACTACCTTGAGCCGATGAAAGCTAGGACATTTGCGTTATTATACTGCAAATATATAAATTCTTCGTCCATACTTCGAATGCTTGCAATGATGCAGGATGTCTAGTTTTATTTAGGTGGTGATGGGGAGAAATCATCTTATCAGATTGATTAAAGGCGCAATTTCCACTTCACCAATAAACAGGTCCACTGACAGTGGAGTGAGAGCAGGCCAGTTCATTGAAAATCTCCGAGGCTTCAGCTGCGACATCGGTTTCGCTCGGCCACATGCGGCCCTTTCCAAGTAGACTAGATTCTTCACGCCGAAACTGGCGAGGCTTCGGATCACTTCATCAACCACTTCCTACAACTCCTCGCAACCATGACGACAGAGGTGACCGCGAGTAGGCAGGGCTACCTGCAAAACTCGACCGAGTATATCGCGCGGACGGAAAGAGGCGAATTCCTCGTGCAGGTCGCTTGGCCTCTGAGCTGGAGCCAAGATCGCGTGCGGCCAGAAAACGACTCTCGCCCGGTTTCTGCCGTGTAAGCTGCTACACTTCCTCTTGTGCAATCGTCACATTGCGTCTAATTGGAACCGGTCGCTGCTACAGATATCTCGTCGACGGCAATGTCTTCTTCGGCACGACCGTGGACATTTCGCGTCGCCTTGAATTCACCGACGACGTGAGAAACGTGGTCGTGGCCGTCGGCTATCCCAGGTCCAACTACGTCTACGACTTCCGGAGGGGACCGGACCTCACACCGCCCACCCCCGATGGCCAGTACGAGATGCCCCTTGGCCAGGACGGAAAGCCCAGGACGGACTTGAAGTTTGGCGATGCCGACAAGTTTCTGGACTTTATCCAGAACCACGTCATGGTCAACGTGCAAGAGACGCTCTTTCCACACGTGCAGCTGACGCGCAAGGCCTTGTTCGGTCACTCGTACGGCGGCGTATTTTCTCTACACACGCTATTTACAAGGCCGTGCTTGTTCGACTTTTACATTGCCGCGAGCCCGACGATATGGTGGAGCAACTACGCGCTCGTCAAGAATCAGGAGCGTGAGCTTCATCGCCGTACGGAGCCCGCGGACCCAGCGCCGTCGCTGCTCATTACGTGGGGAACGTCAGCGGATGAGTTGGAAAAGAGACCGGGCGAGTCTGATGATGCTTTCAAGAAGAGGATAGATATTGCAGAAGGAAAAGAGATGGGAGAGAGCGCGACTTCGCTGGTAGGCCGCTTGCGGGAGTGCCCAAGCATCAAGGATGTGTGGACGTGCCACTTCCCGGGAGAGGATCACGGAAGTGCAGCGGTCGTGGGACTTCAGCGAGGGATTATGAATTTTCTTATTGAGATGACTAACTAGCTGTCTAAATCAAATTTTCTACTTTTTCTACTTTTATGGTTGGGTGGTTGCCCAATTTGCTCGTGACTAGTTGCTCGCTTGGACTTACAGCACATTGCCCTTGGTTTGGCTCATGTTCTTTACGTTGATGTTCTTGATCATGCCCACCCAAATGAAGCCCAGGGCCATGAACGCGGTACCGGCAGCCAGCATCCTAGGCTGGGCATAGCTATACGACTTGATGATGGCGTCGCGCGTCGGGCTGCCCCACGGATAGGCGATCTGGGCGGTGTACATGGAGTAGATGGTCATGAGGTTGGGCAGCTCCTCCGCCGGCAGGTTCCGCACGAGCTGCGGGTAGAACGTGTTGGTCCAGATGGCGCCCGAGATGGCGCTGCCGAGGGCGCCGCCGATGCCGCCCATGGAGAAGAGCAGCGAGAAGGCGGACGCGACGTGCTGGTGGTCGACGACGGACAGGACGGCGAGCTGGCAGCAGAGGATGAAGACGCTGCCGGCGGCGGAGAAGAAGACCTCGCACATGACGATGTAGCCGATGTGGCCGCCGGGCTGGCGGAAGTGGATCATGAGCCCGAGGCCGAAGATGTAGAGCGGCACGCAGATCCAGAGAATCCACTTGAAGCGGCCGGTCAGGCGGACGAGCCAGCCGGTGAGGAAGAGGAAAAGGAAGGCGCAGGCGCTGAAGGTGTTGGCGACGTAGCCGGCGGTGGGCAGGTCGACGTTGTAGACGACCATCAGGAAGGGCTGGAGGTAGCTGGCGTAGCAGTAGTAGGAGATCTGGTAGGTCATGTTGAGGAGACAGGCGCCAAGGATGGTGCGGTCGGCGAGAAACTTGCTGCTCATGAAGGGAACCGGCGCGAGGAGGCACTCCCAGAGCGTGAAGAGCACCAGGACGACGAAGCCGACGACGATCATGGCGATGATGTACGGCGTGGACCAGCCCTGAGGAGCTGTGCGCGCCAAGGTGAAGGGTAGGAGGAAGACGACAAGGCCGCCGGCAAAGAGAAAGACACCCAGTACTGCATAGGCATGATGTGTTAGAAGAGGACTGCTTATAGAAATAGCTCGGGTTGAGGCTGCGAACTTACAATCAAACTCGGTGACGAACCATTTCACGTTTTCGAGGCTCATCTTTCGACTGACCGCCGCCTTCTCTACAATGATGCCGTCCTTCTTGGCCTTGCGCAGGTTCCACGCCAGCAAGAGATAGATGGGCAGAGCAAACACCGGCACCACCACCGCCCAGCAGCCGTAGCCCCAGCGCCAGTTCACACTTTCTATAAATCCCGCCGCGATGTTCGGCCCCGCAAACGCGGAGATGAGCGCCGGCGACGAGGTGAAGGCGAAGGCGAGCCCTCGGTTGCGCAGGCTCGTGACGTCGGCGGCGAGCACGTCCCAGCTGTAGGCGAGGCCGTTGAAGCCGACGGCGTAGAAGACGTAGCCGGCGCAGTAGGCGGGCAGGGAGTGGGAGGAGGCGACGACGACGATGCCGAGGACGGCGAGGCCGGCCATGAGCAGGAAGCCCTCGGCGCGGCCCCAGAGGTCGAGCGCCTTGGCCATGGGGATGTAGACGGCGCTGCCCATGCTGCCGGCGACGACCTGGATGACGGTGAGGAGCGAGGAGGCGGCGAAGGAGCTGGTGGCGAAGGGGGTGAGGGCGTTGATGGTGACGCTCTTGAGGTTGTTGGCGAGGGTGAGGAACCAGATGCTGGGAAGAGGTCAGTAAGTCGGACTGAAGACACAAGGAAGAGGCGGCGTCAGAGCATCGATGATGAGAACATACAGAACCAGGACCAAGTAGAGTGAGCTTCGGCTCCAGGCTAGAGTCACGGCCTCAATCTTCTCGACGCCATTTTGGGCGTCCTCGTCCGGTCTCTCCTCGTCCTTGGTGATGGCCTCGCTGGCGGTGTGTGCTGCGTCCTTCTCCGCCGTCGAGTTGTCGATATTTGTCTGCTCGGTCTCAACATCCGCCTTTGTTCCAACAAGGTTCCGGAACCTGCGTACAAGTTCCATGGTAGCGAAAAAAAGAAACCTGTATATAGAACGATATGATGCAAGCGAGGTACTTTGTCAATAACTCAACCGCCAAAGACCCGGTGCTATTATGTATGTAGGATTCCCTTCTATAGAACACGTGGGGGCGACAAACAAGAAAATACGACAATACTTTTTTCTTTTTTTTTTCTCTTTTTTCTCTTTAAAAAAAAGACCCTGGCAATAACCTAAATATTCGGTGGCGGAAGTCATACGGAAGGCAAAGCATTTTCTCAACCAGGGTTCGGCCTCCGCGCTAAATCCGCAAAATGTTGCCAGCGGCGATGCCAAAAAGAGGTTTCTCCGGGTCGGCAGTTCTGCTCATACGATTGATTTTGCTCTGGATCGGAACCAGAGCCTGAATGCAGGTAGTAGATGGAGTTGGGGTATCCATTGAGGCGTCTTGTCGTTGTGTCTAGCAGGATCAGATAAGCTCACTATAAGCGACATCGGCACTCCACGTTTTTGGAGACTAATTTCCGTGAGTCCACTAGGAGGCAAAAGTCTCCGGACAGTAGCGTTTTGTAGCAAAGGCCAAGCCAATGAACCAGCGGAGGCTGTTGGGAACGAAACTGTGCCAAGATGTGCGGTTACCCACGGTTGTGAGGCTGGGCGCGCCAAACTCTGCAGCCAACGGGAAGCTATTTTCATTGAGATGCTATTGTGAAAAAAGAAAAAGCACAGATATTGCTCTCACAAAATTCTTGATTTGGAAAAACGCAAGACAAGAGGAGCTTCGACGTCGTACCTGCCTCAGTACGACCGAGTTAGCTGGTCTATAAAGATGTGAAAAGCATCACAGCCAGGGCAGCGGTCAGGTTAAGTAGCAACAGGGCCGTCGTCGTTCCTCTTGATGATTATATCCTGCGCTCAATGGAAGTAGTGTATTAGTAACGACCATACCTTAGATATGTAGTTGCGCTCGGACGCGTTCAAACAGGTAGAGTCAAAACTTGTGGCTTGCAGCTGGACAACGCCACCACCACTGTAAATTGTCAGAGGATCAGATAACCATGACCGGCAATAAGCAATTGTTTTCTCGGGGGAGGCGGCATGGGCCGAAAGATGATGGGCACCCTCTCATTCCTCTGTAACTGGTACCTTATTCCACCATAAGTAGACAAAAGATATGGTGGTTTAATTTCTTTACTTAAACCCGCTGTTAGCTAGACCTCCTTTCTCCTCTGTGCTTGTGTAACAAAGAGTCCCCTTTCTTGCACAGTGCGATTTCGTTGCCATACATACCGACGTACATACTTATCCGTAACGAATACGCAACTCTACGCGTCTGCTGCTCCACCTGATGATGACGTTATTGACGGATTATCAGTGAAGATATTACAGGCGGGCTTCCTTTTATTTGCAAGTAGCACCAATACCACCGATACTTGGCTCAGCCTTGCCGAGAACTTCCCAGACCTTGACCAGTTTCAGCACTTGCACGGCGTTTTGCTGCCAAGAAAAAAGACTCCGAACTACTTCTCACGCTAATTCACTCGGCGTTTGAAGCTCGTATCCATCGACAAAAAGCTGTTTGCTCCTCGTTTCTGAGCCTTTACAGACTGTATTGCTGAGTTATAGGGATAATTTTATTATTGTTATTATTATTATTATTATTATTATTGCACCTGTCAAGGCAAAAAGGCAACCAAAATTGCCGCAACTGTCAGGGTTCAGGGTTGTTGCGAGAGGGATCAATAAGCCCAATAAATCCCCCTGTGCCGAGATGTGCCCCTCCAAGCCTAACTAGTAGCCCTCACCCCCTGATCGCTGTACATCTTTCGCCAGTGTGAAATACAAGCAGAATCTCCGTGTTTCTGTGGTTTCTCCAATGGTCGGCGAATTAAGTTCAATGCACTATGTTTCAAACCCAATCTACCCAGTATCCGTTCCTCCATTCTCGACGACGTAACTACTGGAGTCTGGTCTGCCGCAACCCCTAAAACTTAATCTGCTTATGTACGCACGTTCCTCGCTCCAGTTAGTGGCTCTTCATCGCTATTCTGCCTCTAATGGGCGCACCGTTGTTCATCTAAAGTTACCCCCTGCTGGTGGCGCTTTTTTCCTCCTTTCGTTCCTCCGCATTCCTTCATTCCTTAGTTACGAATTACCAGTAGTTCAACTTCAATCTACCAAGCTCAGAGGGCCCCTGCTCGCCAACATACCAGCAACCAACTTGAACAGGAGGCTCGACTGAAGGGACCTATCCATCACATCGTCTTGGCTTGCCCTGCCCCTTCCTGCTGCCATGGCCAACTTGGCGCAGCTCCTCAACCCCAAGGCCTTCCCTGCCCGGCTGCGCCTTCGCATCGTCGCCGTCTTCTTCGCGCTGGCCGTCTGCTACGCCGGGTTCACGCTATGGCGCGACGACGTGTGGATGTGGCAGAGGACGGCTGCGCGCACACAACTGCCCATCGCCTACGACCCGATGCACCCCATCAAGAAGCTCATGATTGACGCCCGCGACGAGCACCAGCGCGTCCTCGAGACGAAACGCTCCTACGACCTGCCCACGACCGCCGCGCGCTATCGTGAGCGTCGCGGCCGACACCCGCCGCCCGGCTTCGACAAATGGGTCGAGGCCGCCATCGCCGCCGACGCCGTCATCGTCGAGGACTACTTTGACCGTATCTACAAGGACCTCGCGCCGTTCTGGGCCCTCGACGCCGCGACCCTGGCCTCCCGCGCCGCCGCCGGCGAGTTCGTCGTCAAGGTCCGCGACGGCAACATCACCATGCAGGGCCTCAAGGAGGACCGCGTGCCCTGGCTGCAGAACTGGTCCAAGCTGGTCGGCGAGTTCGCCGAGCATTTGCCCGACGTCGACATGCCCATCAACATGATGGACGAGCCGCGTATCGTCGTCCCGCACGAGAACATCAGCGCCCTCGTCCACGCCGAGCTCCAGGCGCGCAGCATCGTGCCCGTCGCCGACGTTACCACCAGCTTCACCGGCCTAAAACACATCGACGAGTCCAACCCGGAGCCCTACGAGCCCGAGTGGTCCGGCGCTGACAACGCCTATTGGGACCTGGCCGTCAAGGCGTGCCCGCCCGGCACCCCCGCGCACGGCGTCCCCTCGGTCGGGGACTTTGCGCCGCCCGCCGCCGTCCCCGCCGACTGGCGCCCGCCGTACGCCTTCCGCGGCTACGTCCGCAACTGGACCGCCGCGCTGGACCCCTGCGCGCAGCCGCACCTGCGCCAGCTGCACGGCTCTTTCGTCGAGCCCATCAGCATCTCCACCACCGCCGAGCTCGTCCCGCTCTTCGGCGGCTGCAAGCTGTCCCTCAACAACGAGATCCTCATCCCCGGCGCCATGTACCTCACCGACGAGGAGCGCTACTCGGGCGGCGCCGGCCACGGGCCGGACTGGGAGGCGAAGCGCGACGCGCTCGTCTGGCGCGGCGTCGACTCGGGCGGCCGCGCCCACGAGCACACCTGGTACCACCTGCAGCGCCACCGCCTCGTCGAGATGCTCAACGCCACTACCGTCGCCCGCGTCGAGCGCACCGGCGAGCGCGCCCTCGCCTTCGACCTCCCCCCCCTCGACCTCTACCCCAGCCGGCGCCGCACCTCCAACACCTCCTCCGCCTCCTCGGCGCCGCTCGGCACCTGGCTCGCGCGATTCGCCGACGTCGGCTTCACCTCGCTGTGCCACCCGGACGGCTGCGACTTTCTGCGGCCCTTCCTGCGCACCGCGCCGACCGTGCCGATGAGCCGCCAGTACGAGGCCAAGTTCCTGCCCGACGTCGACGGCAACTCGTACAGCGCGCGCTTCCGCGGCTTCCTCCTCTCCACCAGCCTGCCACTCAAGGCCAGCGTCTACGCCGAGTGGCACGACGACCGCCTCGCCCCCTGGGTCCACTTCGTGCCCCTCGACAACACCCTGCAGGACCTCTACCCGGTCCTCGAGTTCTTCGCGGACGGCAAGGGCGGGCCGGGCGACGCGGCCGCGCGGCACGTCGCGGAGGAGGGCAAGCGCTGGGCGGAGAGGGTGCTCCGCAGAGAGGACATGCGTCTGTACGTCTGGCGGTTGCTGCTCGAGTGGGCGCGCGTGTGCGACGAGAAGCGCCACGCGCTCGGGTTCGTCGCCGACTTGACGGGCTGAACAGCGCAGGGCCCTTACTGGCGGCTACCACGAGCTTGGCGCGGAGGAAGAAAAGAGGAGGGAGAGAAAATGAGTGGGTGACGGCAAGGGAAGAAGGGGAGAAAATGTGAAGCCGAGGTTTCATTCGGCAGAGGGGGAGGAAAGGATCGCATATGCGGCGTTTTGATGTGTTTTGTACTAGTTATGCATAGTTGTTTAGAGATATCCCTGCACGCGCACGATGGAAGCGCGATGCAGATGCTGTATTATTATCAAGGTTGGAATATTTGGGAGGATGGTTTTGGAAAATATTTTTGTCCTACTTAGCGATTCTTGGAAATTCAAAATTAATCTCATCCTACACCATTCAACTGCTAAGATCTAGGAGGATTGTGCATTGTTCCATATGCGCCTCTTACCACTTGCTCGTTTCCAAAGTTACGGATAATTTCAATGTGTATATATGCATTATGTCTGATACTTTGTCTGCTCCCAACCCCTTGCCGCTCGTGAAATATCATTCCCCTCATGCAAAATTTTATCCATGGTTTGAAAGCCATTGCCGCTTTGTATTATACCGACGTAGATCACCTTCATATTGTTGCTTCATCATTGAGATGGCATCGCTTTAAAGCTGTAGATCTGACAGAAGTGGTTTGGTTGGCCCGCCCTTAAGATGCGCCGCCGACCCCTTGTACAGGCTCTGCCAGATAAAGGCCTCACTGAGGAGCAGTTCAATGTCCTTTTCCGTCCAGTTCTTAGTGGGAAGGCTCTGGAGGAACATCATAATCTCCTGGAAGTCCATCTTCACGAGCTTGTCGGACCACTTGACCAAAAGTGCAGCACACACATAGAGATGGAACTCGGAGAAGCCCTGTTCTTCCGCCTAGCGATACTTGTTAGCCAAACAACACGAGGTTTAAGGCGTGATGGCCCTGTAAGAAAGAGCAGTAACGTACTAAATATGTGTCCCACATGCGAATCGTGTTTTTCACACTGATCTCTCGCATCAGAAGGCAGTTCATCCATCTGAAACTAAATTGAATGAACTCAACGCCTTCCTTTTCGAGGTGTTTCGACAACGTCGAATCTATTCTGGCAGTGAGGTCGCGCAGCGCTGTCACTTGGCGCTGGATACCTGGTTGTGCGACAATATAGTGATCCTGGATACCATCCAGGAGCTTCGCCAGGCACCAATACGAGTCTGCCTCCACGGCGTCCAGTACCGGCCGCGGCAGTTGTCCGGGGTCCATACCAGAATTGACATCGGGGTCGGCAATGTAAAGACCAAGGAAGGTCTGCCAGAACGGCGTTACCAAGTCATTGATGCCCTGGACGTATCCGCTTGCAGGATGTCGCACGGCCCAGACGTATAATATTCGCTCTAAAGAACGCTGCGTCGCTTCATAGCTGTACAGCTCGATATGGGGGTTGGTACGGGGCACATCGATGCTGATTTGGTGCCATATGGCCTCATCCAAACCACGCGATTTCCCCGTTGTGGTGTTTGACCCAACTCTCTCAAAAGCCTGCTTCACTCCGTCCAGGTACTCCTTTCGCTTCCGTTCAAGTGTTGCGACTCGACGCTCGCTATTTGTCGGCAGGTAGCTAAGCAAGAGCTGCCACGTCATAGCGCGTACTTCTTCAGGGACTCCTGACCAAGCTAACGCCCTCAAATCCGGTAGCGATAGCGAAGTTGCCTGGAGCTGTCGTTTGAACTTGTTTATTCGAGTGATGCGAGAGTTGATCATATCGGCCTCTTTTGCCGTAGCGTTGCTAGGTACAGAGGGGTAATTTATTAGGTGTAATGCGTTGGCAGGGTCTGATGCTGTTGGTTAGTGTCAAGAATCTGGAAGCAGGATGGAGCACGAACCTTTGAGAATGTCTTTATATTGTGGTCGGAGAATCTTTCCTTCACTCTTACGTGGCATAGGATAAGAAGAGACAGGCCGTTCAACAGCAATGTCTGCACTGTCAGACGGATGTCTTCCATAGCTTCCAAACGAATTGCTGAAGCTCGTCGGCGGTAGTGTACTGCTGCTTTGTTGGGCCGCCATTTTCCGACTTCTTCGCTTCATATTGGAGAGACTGGGCAATCCAAAGTCATCGCCGTCATCATCGTCGTATCCCATTTCATCTTCTTCGGTGTTCCAGTCGTCGTTTGTGTTGGAGAGGAAGTTGATGTAGCTCTTGAACGGTGGCGATTTGCGGCCAGCATTGTTCCTCTGGGAAGGGGAGGCATCTGCAGGGCGCGACTTGGACGCCGATGTCGACGGAGGTGTTTTGGGTCGTGACGACGGGCTCGAGGCATTCCTGTATTGGCTGTTAACGATTGGCGACGTGGGACAGGCGATCTTGCTCCAGGGTTGTAGAGCACGTACAGAGCATCAAGTTTCAGCATGTCGGCGTGGGAATACGCCGCTCCTATGACAGCATTGGGATCGCGGGTGGCTGGGGCCGTGACACTTCGTCTAGAGGTATTCCGTTCGAGCTGTGGTCGCCAGAATGGCGAGGATGAGCTATCAGCAGGTCAGCCGAGCAGTTCAAGAAACAGGCAATGAGCGGGGCGGTAGAGCATACTCTGATCGCTCTGCGTGAATGACAGCGCTTCGGTTAGCAACTATTCAATCGCTACGATATGTCTATAGCAGACTCGGGACAATCGATAGCTTTGATGGCAGACGTACCGACTTGGACCATCTCCTGCGACAGCGGGGTTGTCAGCGGCGTGAAGAAACGAGCTTCTGGGCGCGGGGAATGGGCAAAGAACGGTGACCTACTGAATTCGCGGGCTTCTTGCCGCTTCCTGAAGATGACCACATATTTCAAGAATGCGATTCCAGGTGACTCGGCCGGCGCCTCATCCTGTGAATCAGTCGACAGCTGAAGTGAGGGACCGTGCTCGCTGAAGTGTATGGTGAGGGTACTGATGCAGAGTGCCAGGTCATTCCGTTGAGGTTGGCGCAGCGAGTGTCGCAGTGGCGCTCTAGCGGCCCGGCCGCTGCAGGGCCGCTCTTTCAGGGCCGCTCCAGCTGCTGAATATGGTGCTGCACCAAGGCTGCTGCTGCCCGCCACAGAGTCGCCTGCCAAGCTGATGGCCGTACCACAAATGCAGCTTAGTCATCCACGCCCCACCATGAACAGCCCGCCTTTGTAGTTTGTCGCTTCCTCTCCTCTCCAAAGGCCTCCCAGTTTTCACTCTTCATTGATCCTTCACAATAAGACTATCTGCCATCGAGATTGAAACCTGATTTAGCTGCATCTTTCCGATAGGCAATACAGCGCTGAAATTCTAACCTGGTCGCCTTGATTCGGTGCTGGATTCACGCGATTATACGCAAGCTCCGGTATCATTCCTCAACAGTAACATGGCTGAAGCAGAGAACTTTGAGGAGGATCTCTTTGCGGACCTGTATGTCGATTTTGAGGTGTCGCTATTTGCGATATTGAATCCGGCTACCTCACAATAACTAATTCTATTTCACTGCAGCTATGAGGACGGTGACGGCCCCAAGGGCGCATCTGGCCCTCAACCCCCCAAACCCGCAGAACCTGCTGCCCCCAGCGTACCAGCAGCGCAGCCTGTCGCGGCCGAATCAGCTGATTATCATGCAAGCAACGCCATGGACGAAGGCGGCGATGACGATGACGATGTCGACTTCAACCTAGGCGGTAGTACTGCGCCTGCGTCAAACAGCTATGCTCCTCCCGAGCCGCAAGGGGAACCTGAACCGTCGGCGCCTCCTCTTGGTACAGTGCACAAGGCCAGCGCCAAAGATGATGGGTAAGTTTTCCACTTCCGGTGTAAACCCTAACGTTCAATGTTTCGTTTGTGTGAAAGCGCCCCGCTCTTCCCTTCCCCTTCCCCAAGCCGTGGTCGTCGGTCGCAAAGCGTGGTGGTCCGGGTTGCTTCTTATACCATTCATCTTCAAATCTTGGTTGGCATGCCATGATGTGGTCTAAGAGGGCAGTGCATTCGAATTGGGCTTTGTTGCACTATGTTGAGCTTGGTATAGCCAACCTATACATACAGATGGTTGCCCTGAGCAGCACTGCATTCGCGCCCGACTGTGAACAGAATCAAGGCCGCTATGCTTCGAAGCGAAGCCTGTACTTCGTGGAAGATGCAAAGACTGCCTTTCCGGCCATTTCGGCATAGACAGCATAGGACACTCGTGTCTTTCATAGCTCTCAGACACATACATCTGATAGAGTCCGAGGAGAATAGCCTGCAGCTCACAAGAGACTGTAACCAGACTACGGCGAGTAGCGCTCCAAATTCATATGAGCCTAGAAAAAGACAGACAAGCAGACAGTCAACGATAGCAGAAGACGAAAAAGCAGTTCAGAACCAGTCAAGAAAAGAAAAGGATTTTTCGACAATATCTGATCTGCGGCCTTTTTGCTTCACTTTGTTTGATGGTCGTGTTACGAGCTATCTAGCTCTCATGTCCCCTACTCGTCTATATCGTCCTCGCCGGTCAAAGTCAGCACATACAAACATATCGACCTTCCGTTGCAGACCTGCGGATGAAACAGGCCGCAACGAACCACGATGCCTTGCATAAGCACCCCTCCAAACCGCGACGCCAAGATTGCTGTCTGAGATGCTACTCTCCAGTATCATCTCGCGCGATGCATCACTTTGCCTTGGATTATACATGCCAGACACCAGCACTTGAATACCCACTTCCACACAGCACATTTACGTGCCCACACCTCGGGCTTTTGACTTACGGCTTCCATGGATTGTTTTACATTGCGAATACATCACCAGTCAGCGTTATCATCACAAAATGCTGTATGCTAACCTCTGTAATGTAGCAAAATGTTCATCGGCGGGCTGAACTGGGAAACAACAGACCGTAAGTCATGATGTCTTTTCACAAGCAAACGCAAGTCGCCGCTAATCAGCATGGTTCAGAATCGCTGCGAGATTATTTCAGTCAGTTCGGCGAAGTCGTCGAATGCACCGTTATGCGTGACAGCAATTCAGGAAGATCCAGAGGATTTGGCTTTCTGACATTCAAGGATGCCAAGACTGTCAACTCTGTTATGATTAAGGAGCACTTCCTTGACGGTAAAATTGTGAGCATGACTGCAACCTACAAAATCACGTTAATGTCTAATGAGTGGTATAGATCGACCCCAAGCGTGCCATTCCTCGCGATGAGCAAGAGAAAACGAGCAAAATCTTTGTCGGTGGTGTCAGCCAAGACACCACTGACCCGGAATTCAGAGAATTCTTCGCCCAGTTCGGCCGTGTCATCGATGCCACGCTGATGATGGACAAAGACACCGGAAGGCCCCGAGGGTTCGGGTTCGTCACATTTGAAAGCGAAGCTGGCGTCGATGCTTGCATCAATATCCCTCTGGAGATTCACGGCAAACCCATCGAAGTTAAGCGCGCGCAGCCCCGCGGCAATTTGCGTGAAGAAGAAGAGGCGGCTAAGCGCGGAAAATTCAAGAAGGGAGATGATCAAGGGCAGGGCATGCAGCACACTGGTAACAGCGGCATGACACCCCAAGTGATGGCGCAGTACTTCTCGCGTATGCAGCAGTACTTTGCTATGATGCAGTCGCAGATGGCCATGAACCGCGGCATGAACATGAACCCCGCCATGTGGCAGAACATGATGCAGATGCAACAAATGCAGCAGATGATGGGCCGTGGTGGTGGTGGACAGGGCGGCTCCAACATGATGGCCAACATGAACCCGCAGATGATGCAGCAGATGCAGCAGCAAATGATGCAGCAGCAGCAGCAGATGCAGCAGCAGCAACAGCAGCCCGGCGGTGCTAGTCCCAACAGCCAGGGCAATGGAAGCGGCGGTTCCCAAAGCGGGTTCGAAGGAAGCAATTTCGACCAATTCCAGCAGCAGCCTCCGCAGGGCCCTGCAGGTGCTCGTCGCGGTGGCCGCGGCGGTTTTGGCGGCCAAGGAGGCTACAGCGGCATGGGCGGCGGCCAGCAGCACGGCGGCAACGCGACCTCTTGGGAGGGGATGTATGATGAACCACAACCCGGTGGCTACGGCCGTGGCGGACACGATGCCCCTCCGGCCAACGCCCCCACGGGCCCGAAGAACCCGGGTCGTGGCGGAGGCGGCGGCAACTATCGCGGCGGTGGCCGTGGAGGCAACAGAGGTTTCCACCCGTACGCGAGGTAATGGGGCTGGATTTCAGTCCGCTTTTTATTTTCTACTGTCTTTTTTTTCTTCTTTGTCTTTTCGGAGTGGGCGGTTTGTGCTTGCTATTATTATTATACTATCTCTTTTCTATTTTATCTATAATAGCTGCAGCTTCTGGGTTAACTGGGGCTGCCGGACAATGTCAATCACGGCGGTGGCACTCTGCGATGAAAATTCTGTCTAATTCTTTAATTTTGTGAAATATACTCTGCAGTTACGCGATGCGGCACCAAAAAAAATCTAAAAATGTAGCATCGTGGTTCTATAAAGTAGTGATATTGTACATTGCCCGGCGGCATACGGCTTCTGCACCGGCCCAGCATAGCACTGCTGCCTACGCAGGGAACAGAGCCGAGACGAAGGCATACGCGATCCCGGCGCGGACCAAGAATTCCGCAACGGCCATAATCTCCAAGCTACCCAGGAAGAATCGGTCCGCCAGGAACTCGCGAGTCACTGCGGACCGATACTCGCTCTTGAGCGCGTCGCCGCCGTGCTCGAGCACGTATGCGTCCATGGGGGAGATGCGAAAGCCGCGAATGTCCACCGGCTTTCGCGACGAGGGGGCGCCCGCCTCCGCTGACGTTTTGGGCCGACGGATCGGCTCAGGCGTGCGGCGGAGGGTCTGGATCAGCTTGAACGCGACGTACTCGCCGATGCCCGACGAGTGCAGCGGCGACGGCGGCAGGCCCGCCTTGAGAAAGATGCGCGGTAGCACATCGGGCCGGTCGACGGCCACGGTGCAGCTCTCGGCCAGCTCGTTGAAGAGACCCTCGAGGTCGTGCGCGTAGTGGACGAAGCGAGCGTAGAAGACGGGCGTCAGCACGCGGATCTCGGCGTCGCAGGCGGACGACGACGCTGTCGATGCCGTCTTTGACGCGAAGACCAAGTCTTCGGTGGCGGTAGTGGCGGTCGAGATGCCGCTGGGGACGTAGCGGACGCGGATAGCCTCGGGTGACGACTCGACGCGGTGGCGCAGGTAGTTGCGGAAGACGGTCTCGAGACGGTGCTCCGTGGCGGTGGCGTGTCGGCCGAGGCTCGCCGGGAGCGGCTCGGGGCGGTACCAGACGTGCAGGCGGCGGCGGAAGAAGAGCACGGCGGCCTCCTTGACGATACGGGGGAAGGTTGCGAAGCCGATCCAGAACCAGCGGCACAAGAAGAGAACTTTGCGCAGCCCGGTCATGCCGGCCACGTCGATGGCGTCGTGCTGGTTGACAAGGCGCGCGACGAGCTTGGGGTGCCCCTTGGAGGACGTCAAGTTGATGGTGACGTCCAGGCCGCGAAAGGTAGCCATGCCGGGGCCGAGGGGGTCCTTGGCGAGCACGGAGTACGCACCCTTGCGGGAGTTGAACGGCGACACGTGAAAGTCCTTTTTGAACGATGCGGAGATTCTGGCAGCAGGTGCTTCGTCGGTCGCCGATGTGGGAGGGTCCTGCGACTGGATGCGCTTCGCCTCCTGGTCAAAGTCGCGGAAGACGAGGTATGGCCGTCGCTCGTCAAACGTGTTGTTCACCTCAAGAATCATGGCGGACAGGACCTTGTCAGGCGAGTAGAGGTACCAAAACGACACCGGGTTGAAGCTGTATTCAAGGAACCTGGGGGCCGTGACCAAGAATGCGTGCGGGTAGTCGCGGGGGTCTACCCCCTGGCTCGCGAGGAACTCGTCGAGCTTGCCGCGCAGGCCGACCCGGCCCGGTCCCCCTCGGGCCAGGTAGTCGGCAGCGTGGACCGCGTAGGGCGGCGACGTCAGCAACCGCGCCCACCACCTACGGGCCGAAGCGGGCGGCGGGTCGACGGCGAGAATGCCGTTAACGTTGGCGGCGCGCAGGCCAATGGGAGCCCCGATGGTCAGGTAAGAGTAAGCAAATGCGTGCTTCTGGGGGAAGAAGCGGGTGTGGGTGGTGCGGCTGGGGATGAAGACGCTGCCGGCAGAGTCTGTCCACTGTGCCGCTGAGTTGTCAGCAGAAAAGAGGTGGGGAGCCGCGATAGTCGCGAGACGCAGCACGACGACACCACACACTGCCAGCAGGGCGGAACCAAGGATTAAATATACATGGCGGGTGAGCAGCGGCCAGAATGTTTCGGTCGAGGTCAGACACGCGACGGCGGCGATAATGGCGACGTCGCTCTGGCTTCCAAAGATCGAGTAGTACAAGGCACAGCCCGCGACAACGGGTAGATATCCGGCCTGTCCGTTTTGGAAGAGCTGGTCAGCGTAGTCGGCGAGGCGAACAACGGCCAGCGACAGCGGTGAGTCGTCGATACTGTCCATTGAGGGCTCGGCTTGCGCAGCGCCGTCACTTGGCTAGAGGGTTGGCTTCAGGAGTTTCTTCCTGTGCTGTCCATCAAGGCATTGAGCGTGATATCATGGCGTTGTGTGATTCTTAAAGAAGAATGAGGTGAACCGGCACACTGAGGACCGCAAGAAAGGCTGCAAACACGCATGTCGTCTCAGGCCGCGCAGGAGTCGAGGCTGGGGCCATACCGTCATAGCGGGTGTTTGGCGTCTGTCTTCGCCCAGATTAGGTCAGCCTGTAACTACTAAAGTTAGTGCGCTCAAGCCAACTCAAATCAGTCTGCCAAAAATATAATAGCGTGCGTGATAGCGTATGGAATGTGCTAGATTTCGAGCGAGCCGCTGGAACAAACGGCCCAAACCGACAGAGGCAAAAAAACAAAGCACCCACCACCCGGTGGCGCTGCTCGTCTTACCGCCGCCGGTTGACTCAAAGGCCAACTTGACTTGCGGTTTTCCCCACCGATCCCATCAACCCTTTGGGATTATATATTACGAAAGGACCAGTGACTCGTCCCCATCTTTATCTCGTCCAGCTTCCCATTCACACCTGCATCTTTTTCAGTAACAAAAAACCCTCTCTTCACCGCGCGCTCAACGCCCACTCGATTCCCTCGACCGATACCGCCCCCCCCCACCAAATCACTTTCAACCCCGCCAACAACACCACACCCATCACAATGTCTGAGGACTGGGATACTCAAACCAAGATCGGCAGCCGCGTCCGTGGCCCCGGTGCTGGCCCTCGCGAGACGGTCGTCCGCGGCAAGTCCGCCCTCAACGCCGCGCAGCGATCCGGCGCCGCCATCAGCACTGAGAAGAAGTACTCTTCCGCCAACTCGGTATGTCCGAAATCTGCCTCATCGCCCCCAGCGAGGCGAGAGACAGCAGAAACCCCCCGCCACCCATCCCGCGCGTGACCTCCATTGCTACACTCTGGACAAACGCCTATTGCCGATAGTTTGTCTGGCCGCAGGAGTCTGCGTAATCGACAGACCGACGCTTCCCTTCCCGTCAATCCGTGCCCTTCTGCCCTCCAGCATTCTCAACTAACTCGTTTTCCCTCAGACCGGCTCCGGCGAAGGCCAGCGCCTCACCAAGGTCGACCGCTCCGACGACATCGTCAAGCCCAACACCATCGGCAAGACCGTCGGCGACGTCATCTCCCAGGCCCGCCAGAAGATGGAGCCCAAGATGACCCAGAAGGACCTCGCCACCAAGTGCAACACCACCCAGACCATCGTCGCCGACTTTGAGCGCGGCACCGCCGCCCCCGACCAAAAGGTCCTTGCCAACATGGAGCGCATCCTCAACGTCAAGCTGCGCGGCAGCGACATTGGCGCTCCCAAGTTTGCTAAGAAGAAATAGGCGACACGTCTGACATGGGGAGATGATGTTTCTATATGGGAATGCACGGGCAATGTAAGCGACTGAAATTGAACAAAAAACAAACAAGGGACAAGAAAGGGACGCAAAAGTTGGGGATATCCAAAGTGATGGACTGACTGTGCGCCCTGAGCCATCAGAAATGCTTGGGAGTTCAAAATCAAATCCGGTTCAATAGAGAGGAACTTATAGATATTTTTACTAGCATGTTAGCAAAACGGAGAAATAGTTATGGCTCGTTTATACCCCAATGGACTATGCCTGCTCGCGGATGCCCGCTTGCTCAGATGTCGCTCACCTTACAGTGAATGGACTCATCCGCACGAGATGGCATGGAAAGCTTCTTTCTTTTCGCCGCACATCCCATCACTCCCTTTCTCTCTCTCAGTACCAGAGAAAGAGAAACCCACTCACGAAATGGAGCTTGACCCCGAAGTGTCTGGCGACCGCGCCCCAAGCTCCGTGACCAGCTCCCCCAACAGCATCGTCGACCGCAAGCGCGAACTCAAGGCCATCCCCGGCAGCTTCTCCTACAACCTCGGCCGTCGCAGTGGCGCCACCGTCGGCCTCGCCTCCGGCTCCAGCCACCACAGCCCGAACCGCAGCGTCCGTTCCATCGTCGCCTGGATCGAGTCCTCCTCAGCCGGCCACGTCAGCCAGCGGTCCTCCGGGCTGTCCACCAGCGACGACGGCTCCGCCACCACGATCCGGTCGACCGCCTCGTCCTACAAGCTACACGGCGGTCTTCTCGCGGCTCAATCGTCCCCGCCGCCGCCGCCGCCGCCACCGCGCCCGCACGACCTGGGCGTCGACAACGACTGCCCCACGTTCCTCGACTATCAGCGGTACTTTGCGCGAGGGAGCAGCTTGACGCGGTGTCTGGATGAGCAGCCGCCGGTGTCCGGTGCGGAAATGGACAAGGAGCGGCGCGAAGCGGCGTTGCGCCACCACGAGCAAGAACGGCGGGGAAGTAGAAGGGGAAGGCTGTTTACGGGAGGCGAGCGTGAGAAGAGATCGCCTGCTGAAGTCGCGGCGCTTTGGAATAGCGTCAGGCAACAGCTTTGGATACCGGATGAGGAGCTCGAAAGCGATACATCGGATTCTAGCTTTGCTCTTGCCGATGAAGGTTCTGTTCCAATGATTTAGCCTACACCGGAAGGACCTCACTTGCAGGACAAGATGCCATTTGTGTTGCTTCTTATATATTATGACAGTTAATAGAGTAGTTGGCGGGCGGCACATGTAGCCAGACCATTCTCTACCTAATACGCTGTGCGTCGTCAAGACGGTCGTCCTTCTTTCCCCCGTTTTATAAATCATCGCTTTCCGTTTATTCTATTTATGCTGCAACCTTGGCAGAGTATTTAGACGCCGCCGCATCAAACGCGGCGCTCTTTTCTTCCAAGTCCACGAGCAGTTGGTGGTTGGGCGCAACCTTTTTCAAGTTGCTATACGGGGCACAGTTAGCCAAGTCCATACACGCATCCGGCCCGCAAGAGTGCAAAGGTATATAGCTTACGCTGTCAGTTCGTCCGTGTCGGCGCCAGACACGGCCTTGAGCACCAGGAGGTTGGCGATCGCGTCGGTCGACTCGGGGGCCTTCTTGATGACCTGGTCCAGCGCGGCCTGGGCCTCTTCGGTGCGGCCCAGATGCAGCTCGCAAACGGCCTGCGATACGAGGCTGCTAATCGACGATGTAGCGGGTGCTTGAGCGAGCTCCTCGAAGACGTAAAACGCTTGCTGGTATTTCTCACCGCCCTGAGCTTCGGGGTTAGCGGCTTGCTTTACATTTGTCGTCCCGGGGCTTGGATTCCGCTTCTTACCACCCGCAGGCCGACCCAAGACTCGGCAAGGTTGACAAGTAGACTATCTTGGGCCCATCGTCTGGCGGCTGTGACTTCCTTGATGGCAAGGTCCGTTCGGTTCTGCTGGAGGTGGATCTGGGCGATCAGGGCGACGGCGTCAACTGTGCAAGCTCTGTTAACAATCGGGCCAGGTGCGAATATTCGTGGATAGGGGGGTCTCGCTGCTTACGGCTTCCTTGGTGTTGTGATAGCAGAGCCAGCGCATCCTCCGACTTGCCCGCCGCCTGCAGGACGGTGCCGCCAATGACCTGCACGGCGACGTTGTCGGCGTGCGAGGCGGCGAGCTTCTCGACCGTGGCGACGGCCGCATCCGTCTTGCCGAGCGCCTGCTGGGCCAGGGCGCCTGCAGCCTGGAGCTCGGGCTCCGATGCGCCCTTGACGTCGGCGAGGACCTCTTGCGCCTGGCCGAGCGCGATGCGGGAGCGCAGGGCCAGGAGGCGGACTGGCAGCTTGTTCTCGGGCGAAAAGGACGATGTGTCAAAGTCGACGACCTCCTGGTACTGGCCCTGGTGGAAGTGGTTGTGGATGTTGATCAGTTCGCCTTCGGCAGAGTAGGGATCCATGGTTGCGGCTGTGTGTATGATGTTGGAGAAGCTATCAGCATGTCGTTGGCATCTCGATACGTGGGGTCTCCCGCCAGAGGACAACCACGCAAATCGCAGGAGCTTGCTGGCCAAAGGCTCCACGTGATTGTAACTGCTACCCTGAATTTGATGACGGAACTTGAGAACACGCAGCAGGGCTTCAATTGCGCCTTTATCTGGCCTTTTCGAGTTTTTTAATTCCATGCTTGCCTCCTATCAATTCTGGGAAATTTGGTCCTTTTGTAGCAATTGCTCATCTTAAGCATTGTAGTTCGATGATTCGGACGCTACACCTGTCTCCAACGCTGGAAACAACCAGACTCCTTTGAATCCCTGAACAACAGCAGACGCAACATCATACGAGAATCAAATAAACTCTTTGTCGCATATCGAATTGATGTACATAAAGTTTACGATTACTATTTATTTTCGGATTCGTGAGCCAACCAGTCAGCCATGCTGTTCGAGCAGCTCTTGACGTGGGAGCGAGGAGAATTCGTGCTCTGACCGACTTTCTGCACGAGATCACGTTAATATCGTTTTACTCTCATTGCCTCAACGACAATTGTTAATCCAACGCCTCCAAACACAGCACTACATGTTAACGGCATCGCCAGATTCAACAGGCTCGGAGAAAGGCCCGCCCCACTACCGTCTCATGCGCCACAATAGATCACGTGCGACAGCGGGGCATAGTCTTTGGCGAGAAGACTGCGGCGCACGTTTGCCGCACTAGCCACACGCTTAATCAGGCATGGCGTCGACCCTAGTTTCCCACAAACCGAGAAATCACCAAAACCTCTTAATTTCGCCCCGTCCTTGGGAACTTTGCATCACCAAACAACGGTAACGACATCCACACAGCGTCGTCAAGATGGTACGTGCCTACGACCCTCGATAGCGCTCGTGGTATGCGATGCAGAGCTTGACGACACATAATGATCTACCGACTGGACGGCCCGCGCACGCACAAGTACACGTTTTTCCTCTCGAATGCCGACGACGACGACGACGCCAATCAAGACAGATGGACTTGTGACAACTTCATATCGCTGTGCGCTAACCTGGACGACCAATTAATCGATCTTCTCGCTATTCACCAGCCGAAAAAAACCCAGAAATATGTCTGAATTGACCGAGGCAATACGCATCGAAGAAACGCCCGAGGAAACACGACGTCTCGTGCGAGCCGGACAACGACCGATCGACATCTGAACCGTCAAACTCTGCATCCTATACCCGAGATGCGCGCGACCGCTCCGCCTACCCACGCTCCACGAAATACTGACTCGATTTGGACACAGGTCAACATTCCCAAGACTCGCAACACGTACTGCAAGGGCAAGGAGTGCCGCAAGCACACCCAGCACAAGGTCACCCAGTACAAGGCCGGCAAGGCCTCGCTTTTCGCCCAGGGAAAGCGTCGTTATGACCGCAAGCAGTCCGGTTACGGTGGTCAGACCAAGCCCGTCTTCCACAAGAAGGCCAAGACCACCAAGAAGGTTGTCTTGAGACTGGAGTGCGTCAAGTGCAAGACCAAGTGCCAGCTGGCCCTGAAGCGCTGCAAGCACTTTGAGCTGGGGTACGTCTTCTTTCCTTTAATGCATGGCAGGAATGATGTGCTAACCGGGATGTTTTGTACAGTGGTGACAAGAAGACCAAGGGTGCTGCTCTTGTTTTCTAAATGTCGAGACCGAAACGAAAAACTTTATACTGGGGTTTCTCACGCTTTGTTCGTGCTTTCCTTGACTTGCATTTGGGCATATGGAACAATCTGGCGAAGGGGAGGGTTCATGTCCTCGATTGAGGGATGGTTCATAGGGAACGCATTATAAAACAAAAAGGAATGAAATTCTCTATGTCATTAAAATAGCAGCTTCACGCGGAGTGAATCTACAAATTCAAAAAAATCACCAAAAGCCACATCAAAAGTGCACCACGGATGGATCAAGTTGTGATATGTGGCTCTTCTATTGTCCCCGGCTCTATAGTCTACTCTGCTTACCAGGATGTGCTATCTATATGTTTCTAGGTGCTTTCCGAGGGGCTGGCTGGCCGCCGCTAGAAGCCTTCCCCGACCTGAATGGTCCTTCCACCGCCATACCACAGCGTCCCGCTGCGCGCGTCCAGCCCGCGCTCCTGCCCGACGATCCACTCTCCCGTGAAATCGGCACCCGGCTTGTCCCAGACCTCCTCCTCGAGCCAGCGGTTCACCGCGTCGACGGCCTCGACCCAGCGGCGGCGCTTCGCAGGCGTGTCGTGGTCGGCGGCGCCGAGGTAGCGGCCGAGCGTGATGTGCGCGCTGGGGACTTGGTACCTCGAGGCGACCTCGACGCCCGCGGCGCGCACCTTGTCGAAGACGTCCCGGCGGAGGTGGTGGTAGGTGTAGCCGTCGCCGACGTCCTCGGCGGGCGGGAGGTCGTCGATGCCGGACGGCGCCGGCGAGAGCGGCGGCTCGCCGGAGGCGGGCAGGAAGGAGAGGGCAAAGGCGGACAGGTCGTAGGAGAGGAAGGGCTTGACGAGGCGGGCGCGGTGGCGGTGCGTGTGGGACACGATGGAGGGCAGCGCGGGCCGGAGGACGGCGGTGAGGGCGGCGATCTCGGCGGGCGTCTTGGAGAAGGCGACCTCGAGGGTCGTCAGGTGCATCCTGTGCAGCGGCATGAGCCAGATGTCTGATCAGAGGAAGAGGCCGGTTAGTCGTCGTCACTCGTCCGCTAGCAATTTCGGGTTTTGGGGCCGGTTGAAAATACCAGGGGCTGTATGCTGGAGCATCTGCTGCACCTTGGCGGCGAGCAGGAGGACGTGCTCGGGCGGCCGGGCCCAGAAGACGAGGCAGTTGCGCTCGTCGCGGAAGCCGGGCTGCACCGACGGGTCGTTCAGGCGCAGCAGGTACTGGTCGATGACGAGTTCCTTGAAGTCCGCGGTGAGGAACTTTTCCCGTTGTTGGGCGTTGCGCTTTACACGATGAGTCTCGTAGAGGGCCTGAATCTCGGTCTGGTAGAATTGTAAGGACTATGCTAGCCTTGGCGAGTGCGGGCTGAAGACTTCCTTAGGAAGAAAGTCTATACTGATATGTGGTGATGTAAAATGAGAGCACGTACATGGTTGTCGTTGCAGGCCTTGATAAAGACCTCGTACGGGTTCTCGCCGGGCTGGATGACGATGCCGGACAAGTCTTCCAGCTTGTTGCGCGCGTCCACGGAGACCAGGTCAGGGGCCATGATGGCTTTTTAGAACTATGAAAAGTATGAGATTTGAGTGAAATTTGTCGAGTCAACTCTCGTGAGAACTCTGTACAGAAGTCGAACGAGAAGAGGGTTCCAATGTCGTGGCGGAGTTCCAAGGAGTAGTTACGGCAGGGAGATAGATGACTAATCGGTTACGAGGCTATCGTGAATTGGCCAAGAATGGAATCCAAGTGATTGTAGCGTGTTTTTATTTATAGTAATTTTACTTTAATAAGTGACTCTATGTACGTGAATAATGCTTTTGAGGGGTAACCCGGGTTGGTCAGTATGCAAATGCTGCATTGCTCGGATGTTGCCGAGACACACATGCATACATATATATACAGCCGACATCGTCATTTGCTAAAAAAGGTACCATTTTCTTTACAGCTTCTCCATCGTCGGTAAATTTGAAACCGGAATCTGCACCCTGAGCTGGGGCTCCGGCCGCCCCTCGGCCTCAAACTCGAGCAGCTGGCAGTCCTCGTCAGCCACGCCGCTCGCAAACTGCGACACCACAAAGTCCAGCGTCGTGCCCGGCGCGCCGAGCACCACCATTGGCGCGTGCCACGTCCCCGCCCCGTACGTCACCGCCTGCGCGCGCGTGCCCACGAACGCGCGGAGCTCCTTCAAGTTCGGCAGGCCGCGGCCGGGCGTGGCCCCGGGCGGCGCCGCGACGGCCATCTCCTCGGTGCCGTCCCCCACGGCCGGGGGCAGGCTCGGCGCGACGATGACGAGGTACAGCGAGGCCGAGGAGGCGAGCGGGGAAAAGGTCTGGGCGGTGAAGGGGTGGCGCTCGAGGTGGCGGACGACAAACTCGGCCGTTTGCCTGGTCCTGCTGCTGTGGAGAGGCCGGGCGGCGCACACGAACAGGCTGGTGACGGGCTCGCCGGGGTGGCGGCTGGGCGCGGGCGAGGAGGCGTAGAGGTTGGCGACGCGGCTGACGCGGCGGTACTGGATGGCGAAGCCCTGGTTGGCGGAGACGGCGTTGGCGGGAAGCGGCGCGGAGGCGGCGCGTCGGGAGGAGGCGGTGGCGGAGGGGAGAACGTCGGGCCGCGGGTTGCAGACGACGTCGCCGAAGGGCGCGAAGGCGGCTGGGGTGAGGGGCTCGGCGGTGACGCGGACGTCGAGGTGGCCGACTTGGATCTTGCGTGCGGCCATGAGTGTGTGTGTTGCTGTGATGGTGGTGAGAAGGAGGAAGAAGTGGGAGAGGGGATGAATTTGTAGATGGGATGATGGAGAGAGATTATGGGGTGGCTGGTCTGCAGCTGCAGGTTCCGATGAATTATCTTGTGCAAGGTAGAATGTGAAAAAAAAAAAAAAAACGAAAGAGAAGAAAAGTACAGGAAAGTGCGCAATGAGTGATACGAGACTGGATTGATTTGTTGAGCTGCGGCGGCGCGTGGATGAGATGCTGCACACTGCTGTAGTGCAACCACCGGAGAGCTCCGAGCGCTGACGGCCTAGGCGAGGCTGCCCCCTCCGGTTCCGGGGGCGGCCGGGTTCAGGTACCCGGCGGACGGCGGCGCGAGTCGGCGCAGACGGGCGGCTGTACTACGCAGAGCAGACGCACGAAGTAAATGAGATTTCGGCGAGATGAAAAATATCCCTCGGGCGTGTTGTCGCCGCTCCTCGGGTCTGGCGTGAGTTGGGCAGGCAGTCTAGGCTCGCCCGCCGCTCCGGTATCGCGATGGCGTCACTGCAACGCAATCGAGGCTCTTCCTACAATTTTCCTCCTCGCTGGGTTGTTCAGTTTTTCCTGATGACTAGTATTGTCTGCTTAATATGATGTATATTAAGCCCCCATCCCCATGCACACCCAGCCAAGAACATGCCCACCACCCAGAAGAGACGCCCGCTCATCCTAGGATGAGTAAATCTGACATTCGACAGGCTCTTGATTCGCGAGGCCCGAGCGAGCAACTGCAGGACCGTTGTTGCATCGCCCTGCAGCCTGCCTGTAGTGGCGCTGCTACTAACTAACTTGAATAGTGGCGGATTCGGTATTCCGACGCCACGCCCGAGGAATGGCATTTCCGTCCGTTTGCACGGGCATTTTCACCAAGGACGTGACAAGATATGAAAATTTTCTGATAGACGTCATGTCCTTTTTGTTATAGAATCTAGATGGTTTATCCGTGCATAATTCCATAACCCTCTAAAATGCACTCGTAACCTTCGATGCCCAAGAATTCAGACTCTACGAATTGCCTCCACCATCCATCCATCTGCCGGCCCCGGCACCGATGCTGGTAAACCTGCCTAGTTCATGTCTCCAAAATTCGCAACGACAAAGCTAAATCTTTCCTCCTTCCTCAACATGCATAACACACTTTTTGTTTTCTGTAAAGATCACCACCGTATAATGCGGTACGCGAAGTCATCTTCGCCATGAGAAACAGCTCTGACCGCCGCCAAACGCCACGACCCTCGCTCGACGACCCGGATGGCGTGCTCCCGCCCGTCCTCACCGGCGGTGGCGATGCTGCTGCTGCCTCCGAGCCGGCAGCCTCCAAGGAGGATGCCAGCAACAAGCCCGTCGGGTGGAAGGACTTGCCGCAGAAGCGGCAGCTGGCCATCCTGACGCTGTCGCGGCTGAGCGAGCCTCTGGTGCAGACCTCGTTGCAGGTAAGCAGATGCGCGCGCTACTGACCGTTGGTTGACTTCAACGGCCAGGACTACCAACAACGCTCAAGATGACTCCCAGGCATATGCACTAACCCTCACAAAACCAACAGGCCTACATGTACTACCAGCTCAAGTGGTTCGACCCCTCCCTCCCCGCCTCCACCATCGCCACCCAGGCCGGCATCATGCACGCCAGCTTCATGGCCGCCCAGTTCATCACCGCCCTGCTCTGGGGCCGCGTCGCCGACTCCCCGCGCGCCGGCCGCAAGACCGTCCTCCTCATCGGCCTCGTCGGCACCAGCCTGTCCTGCCTCGGCTTCGGCTTCTCCACCACCTTCTGGCAGGCCCTGCTCTTCCGGACCCTCGGCGGCGCCACCAACGGCAACATTGGCGTGATGCGGACCATGTGCGTGCCCCCGTATTGTGATTGAGAAGAAGAACCAAGCTCACCCGAACGTGCCTTGCAGGATCAGCGAAATCGTCCGGGAGAAAAAGTTTCAGCCCCGCGCCTTCATGCTCCTCCCAATGACCTTCAACGTCGGCGTCATCATCGGCCCCATCCTCGGCGGCCTCCTGTCCGACCCTGCCGGCAGCTACCCGGCGCTGTTCGGCCGCGTGCGCCTGCTCCGCGACTACCCCTACGCGCTACCCAATGTCGTCAGCGCCGCATTCCTGGCGGCGGCGGCGGCGGCCGTCTGGCTAGGCATCCACGAGACCCTCGACGCCCTGCGCGACGACCCGCCCGACCTTGGCCTGCGGCTCGGCGCCCGCCTCGTCGCGCTCACCCGACGGTGCTGCGGCAGCCGGAAAGGCGGCGACGCTGATGAGCGTGGCGAGTACGCCGCGCTCGCCACCCACGACGTCGAGCTCGCCGGCGCCGGCGCCTCTGACACCGAGGCCGGTCGGTCATCCACCGCCTCCTCCGTACGCGGCGGCGCGAAAGCACCACACCGTCGTCGCAGGGGGGCGCGCTACACCCAGCGCCTCCCCTTTCACCAAATCTTCACCCGCAACGTCGCCCTCACCTTCTTCGCCCAGTTCTTCCTGACCTTTCACATCGGCACCTTCAACGCGCTGTGGTTCGTCTTCCTCTCCACCCCCGTCTACGACCCCTCCTCCTCCCCACCCCCACCACCGCGACACCTCCCGTTCCGCTTCACCGGCGGCCTCGGGATGCCGCCGCAGCGCGTCGGCGCCGCCATGGCGATCCTCGGCGTCATCGGCATCCTGATGCAGCTGTTCCTGTACCCGAACCTGTCCGCGCGCCTCGGCACCGTGCGCTCCTGGCGGCTGTCGCTGCTGTGCTTCCCGCTCGCCTACTTCGTCGTGCCATACCTGTCGGTGGTGCCGAGCACCGCGGAGGCGCCGGCGGCCAAGGCTGGGCTGGCCGTGTGGCTGGCCATCTGCGGCGTGCTGCTGCTGCAGGTGGTCGGGAGAACGTTTGCGCTGCCGAGCATGGCGATACTGATCAATAACGGGTCGCCGCACCCGAGCGTGCTGGGAACGGTTCACGGGCTGGGACAGAGCGTGAGTAGCGCGGCCCGGACCATCGGCCCGGTAATCGGTGGTCCCGTGTACGGCTTCGGCCTGAACAGGGGTTATGTTGGCCTGGTGTGGTGGGCGCTCAGCGGTGTCTCGGTCGGCGCGTGCCTGGCGAGCTTGCTGGTCAAGGAGGGGGATGGCCACGAGATCTGGCTAGACGGTGACGAAGAAGATGATTAAATGATATAGACATGAGATGCTGCAATAATTGACCACATAGATGACTTGCATTACCAAGAAATTTCGGGTCTAGAAAAATATTGGGATAAATATCGCCCGCGGGCGAATATGAGCACTGCAAATACCTGACTTAATATGAAAGGAACTGCTTGAAGAAACTGCTGCATAGAAAGAAACTGCTGCATATGGTTGAAATGAAGAAACGAGACCCAAGAAATGACAGCACGTTGACATGTGTTCTGCCAGTCCCATCAGCACCAGAACGCCCAACTTTCAATAAAAAGAAACCAAAAAATATGTTACACCTAAAAAAAAACAGTTTCGTTTATGAAAACGGCTTGTTTGTCCTGGTACCCAGTTCGTGGCCCTCTTCTTCAGAAGACAGGCGGCCGCTGCCGCTCTTCCACGGCGACGGCGAGCCGGGGGCTTTCTTGACGCTGGGATTGGGAAGAGGATCGTGATCGTGATCGCCGCGTGTGGTAGTGCCAGGCTCATTGTCTGTCCATCGGTCGTCGCCGTAGGACGCGGCCTGGGCGGCACCGAAAGCGGCGGCGATGCGGCGCTTCTTGGCGGCGCGGACCTGGCGAATGCTAAAGAACAGGGCGGCGAGGCAGAGCACCATGACGGTGATGCAAAGGCCGAGAGCAGCGGAGTAGTTCATGGCAAAGAAGTAACCACTGATGTGCTGGTCAGAAACGTAGGTGACTTGAAAAGGCAGGGAACCAAGACTTACTATAGCATGTTGAAGACGGCGAGGAGGAGAACGCCGTTGCCGAGCCAAACGTGAATTCTGCCGTATTTTGTCGGAGCGCGCGTCTGTCGATACTCGAGGTGGTGCATGACGCCGAGGGTGAACTGGCCGAGCAGGAAAGCGATGACGAGGAAGCCGACGATTTGATGCGCCGAGTTGAAGCTCTTGGACTGCAGGGTAGTGATTTTGGGTTAGCAACCGTTCCTTTGCGTAAGCTTTCTTGTTTGACGGCGTCTTGACTACGTACGCGATTGTAATGGAAGCTGGTAGCGATGCCCATGCCGAAGCCGGCGAGGACGATGATGAGGGCGACGGCCTGGTTGACCCCGTGCCAGCTCGCCCACCGACCGACGCGCAGCAGGACGATGCCGAGCGGGAAGAGCACGAGGACGGCCAGGGTCATGAGCGCGGCGTGCATGGCCGAGTTGACGTCAAAGAGCCCCGTGGCGTGCTCGACCTGGGTGATGCCGTCGTCGACCGACTTGTCGGTGAGCACGGGTGCGTCGGCGGCGCCCTTGGTACGGGCCATGTCGATGCTGAAGACGCCGTGGGACTCGTGGAAGCGCAGCGGCGCGCGCTGGTCGTCGGAGCGCATCTTCTGGCGGGGGCCCAGCGCCCAGATGGACTTTTGGCTGTTGGAGTTGAGATCGAGGTAGCCCTTGCCCGAGTCGGCGCCGGGCCAGTTCTGGCACTCGACGCAGCGGAACGAGAGCGTGGCGTAGCCGTCCTGGACGCGCGTGCCGGGGAGGTACGCCCAGCGCATGGTGTCGTAGAAGCGCGGCTCGTAGTGGCCGTAGGCGAGGCGCGGGGAGAAGGTGACGTTGTCGCCCTTGTCGTTGAGGTACATGACGAAGTAGAGCGCGCCGGCCATGTCGTGGCTGCCGAGGCCGATGGCGCCCCAGGAGCGCGTCGTCCGGAGGCGCATGGTGACGAAGTAGTCGTTGACATCCTCGTCACCGATTGTGAAGGCGAAGCCGAGATCTTTGTCTGGGGAGATGAAGGTGGACTGGCCGGTCGGGTTGTCTGCGTTGTCGGCGGTGGCGAAGGAGGGTACGAGGGCTGGTGAGAGCAGTTTTGTTAGCTTTTCGAGGGTAGATTGGTATCGGCTGGAGGAGTGCGCTTTGTGGCCCTGTGATTGGGGAAATGTCGCCTGGGAGGGGTGATGATTCTAGTCCAGGGGGAGGAGGGGATCGCGATTACCAGCAACGGCGGCGGCGCAGCGCCAAAACAAAGATGAACGCATGGCTGCGGATATGGATTAAATCATGAGCGAGCGGGCGATTGATTTGATAAATAGCAGGTTTTTATATAGATATAAAAGAGAGGCAAAGAGGGCTTAAAAAAGAATGGAAGATGGCGTAGGCAAGGAGACAAGGAGGAAATTGTGGTTGTGGAATCGAGGAGGGGAGCGCGCGCAGGGGTGGCGCAGAGCGTAGAGAGAGCACAGTGTGGCTTTGGTATGTGAGGCGCGGTAGGAGGTGATTTAGTCTCCGATCTACTGCTTTTATTAACTGGTTGTAGTTTAGTAGTTACTCGTATTAGCAGATCTTGGCTGGTCTTTCTTTTTCGTGTCTTTTCAATTCTAGTCTGGCCTTGACATGGGATGATGCTGTGAGAGGACACTTGCGTTCCCCAATTTGTCACTAATTATAAAAATTTTGACCCCGTCACCCGCGTTTCATCCCATCATTCTTGTTTGATATTACCTTGACGTTTCCTGTTCTTATTCATGCATTCATCATTCATCCTGTACCTGAGCAGTGCATTGTTCCTGTGGAGCCATCTGTGCCATCCAACTGACATCCAGGGGATCCTTCTGTGGAGCTCGCATTGCAATTCAGCCCCTTTTTAGTGGCTATCCTTCGCGTGGCTGCCTTTTTGGTGGCTTGTCTTTTGAGTGGCTTGTCTTTTGAGTGGCTTGCCCTTTGAGTGGCTTGATCCTCTCGCCTCCCCCTTCTGCAAGCTGCCAGCAAATATACAGCTTCATCTCACAGCTTTCCCTTGACCACAGCTTTCTCGCGATTGCATGCCTGCTTCACAGCCCAGTTCATCATGTCATCGAGGAACCGCGCAATCTCGTCTGGCGTGTTGAACGAATGCAGCATGCAGCGGACGGGCTCTGCGTCTGTGGCACGACCGGAAATAGAGCGGTATGCGTGTTGAAACCGGCTTCTTCAAGCTCTTTATTGAGCGATGTTGACAGCCCAGCGGCCATCATCAACGGGATGACAGGAATGTGTTTCTGAAGCGGATTCGATGAGCAGAGAGTTGGTAGCCTCAGCACGCCGGCTCCTCGCATAGAGTCCCAGTCCGCGTGTTGCGATGCGAGGTTGTGGAAGAGCCTTATCCGGTCTCGAGGTTGGTATCTGGGCTGCAAACAGCCGTGAGGACTGCTGCGTCTGGGGGATAGTAGATTTGGACGGTGGCTTGCCGTGTCGCCCTCCTGGCTGCGGAGCGTCTCGACAGAGGCCCGGATGGTGGCGACGGTTGGAAACTAAGGGCCGGTCGAGAAAATGAAACTTCTAGCGTAGTTGGTCAAATATTCCTTGACCTTCCTATGGCAAAGAACTACTGCTGATGACAAGAATCAGCGTCGGGCACATGACTGACGCCCTGGTATCATCGCATTACGACACACCTCCGCTGGCACCAGCCCTTTGGAATTCGCCTGCACCTGGATCAGGTACTCGTTTTCGGGTCCCAAGGGACGAGTGTATCCAGAACCATGAGGCCCCATGAGGCACATGAGGCCTGTTGAATGGGCTCCGTCTATGACGAGCGTGTAGTTGTCAAGCATCCCCTTGACCGTGTCTACCATGCCATTGGCCAGTGACATGAGACCGCTCATGCTATAGAGGGACTCTATAAGACGGTCTTCTTCCCCTCTCTAATCTGAGACGAAGACCGGAAAATATCATGCAGATTCTCCGTCAGGGATGCGACGCCATTGTGTCCAAAGGCGAAAGCTTCAGACGCACGGCTGCTCTTGATCCCATCGTGGATGCTCGCAATGGATCTCCTGGTCGTTGAGGATCACGTCGCCCGGTCGTGGGAGCGTCTCCAGCGGGCAAAGTTGGCCTCGTAGCCCGAGTTGAAGAGGAGAGCCTCGTCAGCCGCGTGAAAGTCGGCGAGGTAGCGCTCCAGCTCTGTCACCTCGCGGTGCGACCCGTCGAGGCTTCGGCTGCCCCCCCCGGCGCCGAGAAAGAAGTCGGGCCGAGAAGCCAGCAGCTCCAGGAACAGCCGTCGCGCATATCTGTTGGTGCGTAGGCCCAGAATGTCGTTGGGACCAAAGTCGGAGAGTCCCGGCTGATGCGCCGGAGGCAGTAGATGGTAGCTTTTCCCTGCCGCCGGCGATGTTCCAAGCCTGCCTCAAGGGAACTCAGAAGTGACGAGGCGATGCCAGCTTCTGCCGTAGAGGGGTGGTTGTTCGGCATTTTGGATGTGATTGCGGCCGATATGGAGAGCAGCAAAAGGAAGAGGTTGCCCTTGTAATATGGTTGTCGCGCTGGATACCCCCAGCACAGTGGACAACCGCTCGACTTTTGTATCTTGCCCTTCTACAGCAATTTTTCCATACTTGCACTGCTGTCTTAGTGTCACCCCCTTGAGATCCGGATTGTCCCTTGGCACTGCTTTGATCGCGAGTCGAGACCCTCTCCTCTCTGCAAGAGCTTTTCAGCTGCATGTATCCATGTACCATCCGCCAGCTGCCACCTGTCTGGAACCTGACGTTGGATATCATTTGCAGCGCCAAGAAATGACAGCACTTTGGCAGAAGCAATGTGTCAGCATGGGCAGACGATATGGATGAGTTCACGGCAGAAGTGCCTCACGACAACCGCCAGAGACACGCTTTCCGTCGGCCTAGACACGCATCGTGCGCTATGTACATCGCAACTTACACCTTCCGCAAACCTTTATGGCTTCCACTATTTCCATATTACTTTTACGTAGTCGTAACATGCCGGGTATCGATTATCCCGCATTCCGTCACAATGTTTCGCGGGCTAACAACGCCCTATTGCTGGCGCGTCGAAAGCCCAGAGCCTTCCATGTAGTCAGTTCTGAAGTGTGAAGCAGCCCAAATCTCGCATTCAGGCCGATTGCAGCCTTCCATACATACATGAGCCCTGGTGTGGCCGAGAACTTTCAAGTATCTGCGATCTCGGCTACGGGCCTGGCGTCTGACATGCCGCAAGCCCAGGAGGCAGCAGACTACCTACCATCTCGGATGAGGAGGGAAAGCAGGTCACTCTCGAATATATAGAAGGCTGTAAAAGAGCATCTCAAACATTTATTTCAAGTAAACCTCGCCCTTTCACACTTGAGTTCAACAGTCGTTAGCCTCGTCGGTTCCTTCGTCACTCAAACGGCCTTTGGCCTTCCTCCACAGCGATCTTCCTGTCACTCCATCCTGATGCTGAATTTTTAAACGCCCACCCCTTCTGGACCACTTTTTCTGCTCAATGGAACGGATACTTCGGCAAGATGCCCGTGAGAATCCCCACGCTGAGGCGATAGTCGAGGATTCTCGCTCCTTGACCTACTCTGGCCTCATCTCTGCCGCAGAGGGCCTCGCGAGCCGTCTTCTGTCTCAAGGTCTTCTCGATGCAGAAGAGCCAGTCGCCATCTTGCTGCGACGCGGCCTGGATCAGGTCGTCTCACAGGTTGCCGTGCGTCTCGCAGGCGCTACTTGCGTACCGCTAGACGCCTCCGTCCCAACTTAGAGAGATGGGGAGATAAAAAGAGAGGAGAAAGTCAAAAATAAAAGAAAAAATATAAAAAGAAAAAAAACATACAACAGCCGGTGTTCGCTGGTCGTCACCGACCCAACTACTAATCTGCCGATTAACAGCTTGTCTATGGGGGAGCAGACGAGACCCCGAATTCTCTGTTATCTATGGTCGTATGTATCAGCAGTTGACCAAATCTGGTATATATGCTCATCCGGCAGATGATGCGGCGCGGACTTCCCTGCGCCGTCCATCGGCTCGGCTTCGCCATCGGCGACAGCAGGACGGGCACCGGCAACCCCAACGACTTCGTTTCCCGGATGCTCGTCGGCTTCATCCGAATGGGCTCCATGCCGCTGCTGCGGGACCAGTGCTTCGAGTTTGTGACCCTAGACCACGTCCTCGACGCGGTGACGCACACCGCCGCGTCCAAGGAGAACCTCAGCCGCTGCTTCAACATCGTGTCCCCGGACGAGAGCCGGCCCATCACAATCGAGGAGATCGGGCCGCTGCTGCGCGGCGCGGGGTACCCGGTGCGCGTGCTTGGCTACGACGCCTGGCTCGAAGAAGTACTTGGGATGCAGCTGCCGGACGGCGCGCTGGCCTGCATGCTCCCGGTGCTCCAGGAGCGCGTCATGGGCCGGCTGACCCGGGTGGGAGGTCGCTCAGTGGACGCCCCGGGTAGACGCGACCAACACGGCCCGGGCGACGGCGGACCGTCCCGATATTCAGTTTATCAAGTTCACCCCGGACATTCTTCTCCGGTACATCGAGTTCTGGAACCGCAAAAAGGTCTTCAGCATCCCCTTGCCAGGAGAGCCGTGTGCATAGCTGTTGATGGTGTTGTTGTAGTAACTGATACTTTTACAATGTGCCTATATCGAATCAAGGTAGTCGACTAATTCAGATCATCATGTAAATCTTTTAGGTTCAGATCGCCATAAAGCCTCTATGCCTTGCCCTTGCGCTCCAGCTCGGCCTGCTCCTCTTGCTGAATCTTCGCGTCAATCTTGGCGCCCCTCGAGGGCTCGTTGCCGTGCTCCCTCGCCTGCCGTCGAGTTAGGTGAAGAGATTCTAGAGCAATTGCTAAGAGATTATATAGATGATACTCACCGGCGCGGTAGGGTCCTCCTTCATCCTCGCCGTCTCGGGGACGTCGCCCTCTTCGCTGGCTCGCTGGGACGGTGTGAGTGATTGATCTGTGATTGTTTTACAGTGCCGGCAATGCATACCGTTTCCGCGGCTAGTCTGTTGGCAATGGAGCGCTGATCCTCTGCACAAGATGTCAAGTTAGTCTCTGCTGGACGTGTAGAAACTCCCGGCTTGGCTGTGAGAACACGCACTGGGATCAGTCTGGCTGTGGGAGTTTTCCTTGCCCTCCTCAAAGGGTTCGTTGTGTTCGGTGGACGGCATTTTGATAAGGAATGACCTTGAAAGAAGTGACGGACTCAATTAGGGAAATATTCACTTTGTTGAAAAACTTGTGTGTTGAGAATGGTGAGCCACAGTACCGCTCTATCGTTATAAGTACTCCCAGCTTTAGCTTGTATTACATCATGACTCCGTCACCACCAAACCACACTAAACAAACAATCCACAGTTTTATCTTGCAAGACTAAGATTCAGACTGACAGTCAAGCAACCAAATGGGCTCTCGGTCCAATTGTGTGGCTTTATGGATTGATTGTGGAAAGTTTTGTTCTCGAGGTTACAATGTGCCACAATGTGGCTTGCACTCGGAGCGGCTACCGTACATACCGAGGCATCTCCCGATCAACACAGCAAGCATCGCTAGTAGAGAAAAGTAGAGAAAGGATCGACGGAACATTCGGCGACATGTCATTTTAAAGAGCCCAGGAGGCTATTCTCCCAGCTCAAGAAGGACTGGTCTTGCAGAAGGATTCATCCTGCAGCATGGCGGCACGGCCTGCTTCTGATATACCACTTCGGGCGAATCATGCAGGCGGTGGAGGGGCTTCCGCCGGGAGCTGAATCAGTTCTCGCTTCATTACTACCTTTCTTGCAGCCAGATTCGGGTCTCTATACACTACGATCGAGCCGAGTCTCAGACTGGACCCTTTGATGTGCATATGGGACTCAGTCTGCGGGCCTGCAGTGTCACTTATATCTAACTGGCGCATGTATGCTATTCAATGCCTTGCTATTCGTCGCCCTTTGATGCAGAAACTTGCAACATACCGTAGTACCTATTACCACCTACATGGCTATAAATCTCGTCCACTTTCCACAGTTGCTGCTGTCTAAGCTAGCCATCCACTGGTTCTCACCATTGTCTTGGACTTTGTACTCGTAAACTCGAATTTTTTTTTTCAGAGCTTCTTGCGACACCATGACCGATTCATATTCATACTGGGACGAAAATATTGGTTCGGCCCCTCAACGCCGAGCCGTCCGAGACCTGATCAGCCACCCTCTTGGGTCAGACGAGCTGCCTCCGCACTTCGACAGCAGCTTATACAACGACGAATTTACACGCAGCGTCTTTGCACTGGACCGTACGAAAAACGAAGACGACTTTAACCTCTGCACATCGTCAGCGGATGCCTTCAAAATGCCCTTGCGGGAGACGTTTGGCCGGTGCGCGAACAAAGCCGGCGCTCTCGGCCTGCCGGCCTGCCGGGCCGCTCGCGGTGTGCCCTGCGGAGCCGTGTACGCCGTCGCCATAGGCATGCGGCAGTGGTCGCCCTCTGCAATCATCGCCTGGGTGGTCCAGTTGATGGAGAGCGGCAACGCCCGCGCGCGGGAGCTGGCACGCCTGGGTCCGGAGGCTGGGGAGCGCCGTGTCCTCGCCGGAGGACCACCACCTCGCCAAGTCCGCCGGCGCCGCGCGGGCCGCCAAGGGGAACCTCGACGTGGTCGAGTGGATGCAGACGCTCACGCCGTCGTACAGCCTTGGAAGATCCGCAGCGAGCATGATGGTCTGGGGCGAGATCATGGGCGGGGCCTACGCCCTCTGGTCGGGCAACCTGTACTATGCGTGCGTGTGCGTCGAGTACGGCAAGGACGCGTGGGCCGCGCTGGACCCGTTCGCCATCACCGTCGAGGCAATAGAGCACCTCCCGCGGCGCGGAATTGGCCGCGACGTCCTCTCGGGCATGGTCACCGGCGACGTGGCCGGCTGCGCCGTCGGCGCCGCGCTGGACAGGCGTTGCGTCGAGGACCGCATCGACCCAGCCGGCCTGCTCAGGCTGCTGTCCCTCAACGAGGCCCTCAACTACCGTGCCTGGACTATTACCGGGCACGGCTGGGGCCGCACGCTCGACCTGCTCCTCGCCGGGGGCGGCGAGCTCGACTGCCCGGGACACGTCGCGACATGGGGCCACCTCGCGGCCTTGAGCGACATCTGCGACAGGCTCAAGGACCGGACGGACACGCACGACAACATCGTGAATGCGTTCCCCGAGGTTGACTGGCCGGCGGCCATCCACGACAACTTCAACAAGGCCACCGACTGCGGCTGCCTGCCCCTGGTGTACAACACCGTCCTCTGGTGGTGCGTCATGGCCGTGTCGCACGCTCCGTACAGGCCGAGGGAGGAGGTCCTCGCCGTGCTGCGCAACTTCGACGGTGACCTGCGCAATCAGGGCCATGCGTGGCGAAAGGCTACAAGGTTGGCCAGGTTCTCTGGGCAGGCGCTGGCTGACATTGGATGCATGCAGACCTGGGACTGCAAGCCCGTCTTGGAGCTCGCCAACGGCATCAGGCTGAACTGGTGCTCAGATTGCTACATGTACGACTCGCCGCTCGGGCCGTGCTCCTGCGCTGACCAGAGCGACTACTTGTCGCCTGAAGCGCGGGAAGCCTCCACGGCGGCACTGCGGAAGCTGCTGCAGGAGTGAATGAGAACTGTCTGTTGGGCGGACACTTCTGTATGCGCTCCAGGGCAAGGGTAAACCACAAAGACTTTTTGACAATCAAAATCGAAAACGATGAAGGAGGGGGGAGCATCAAAGGCTTAATGAATATACAACAAACATCCAAAGATATATATAACAACAAACATCCAAAGAAAATTCCAAAAAGAATTATCCAAAACAAGATACGTACAACTAGAGTTACGCCTTGTACAGCAGGTCAAGGAATCCCGTCGCCAGGTCCACGACGACGCTCTTGTTGGGCAGCGAGCCGGCCACGCCGTACAGCGCCGCCGAGTCGCCGACCGCCTTGCCCTTCGCGCCCTTGCCCTCCACCACTCGCACGCGCTCCTTCTCGCGCTCCTCCTCCACCGCCGCCTCCAAGTCGCTGATCAGCTTCGCCCAGACCTTTGTGATCGGCAGCGTGACCGCCACGTGGATCGCCGGCGGGTTCTGCAGCGCATTGAGGTGCCAGCCCCTCGCCGACATGGCGTCCGCAATGTCGTAAATGTCCAGCGTCTGCGCCGTAAAGGCCACGACGGAGACGAGCGGCCGGCCGACAATCTCGAGCTCGCCGGCGAGCGCCGGCGACTCGCGGATCGCATCGGCGATCTTGCGCGCCGCGCCCACAATCTTGCCGCACGCGTCCACGTAGCCCGCCTCGCCGACGGAGACGAGGCTCGCCCAGCAGCCCGCGATGAGCGCCCCGGGGCGCGACCCCGCGAGCCCCGGCGACGCGTACACGCCGCCGGACCAGTCCGGGCACACGTAGTACTGGTAGGTGCGCAGCGCGGCGGTGCGGTACAGCACCGTCGAGTTGCCCTTGGGCGCGAAGCCGTACTTGTGCGTGTCGACGCTGATGCTCGACACGCCCTTGACGCGGAAGTCGAACGGCTCCGACTCGAAGCCGGCCTTTTCGAGGCACGCGATGACGAAGGAGCCCAGGCAGCAGTCGACGTGCAGCCACAGCTTGGAGCGCACGGCGAGGCGCGCGAGCCCGGAGATGTCGTCGATGATGCCGTGCGGGAAGTTGGGCGCGGAGCCGACGAGCATGACGGTGTTGCGGTTGATGAGGCGCGAGACGCCGCGCAGGTCGACCTGGTAGTTGGGCGCGGGGCAGTCGACAAAGTGCACCTTGATCTTGAAGTAGTCGCCGGCCTTGCGGAAGGCTGTGTGTGCGGTGATGGGGAGGATCCTGCGTGCTGTTGCGTTAGTGACAATTGGCTCGGACAGAAAGATTATGCAGCCCCGCGGTGTCCGTTCACTCACATCTCAGGCTCCGTCACGCCGCGCTCGACGTAGGCCTTCTGGCGGGCGGCCAGGCAGGCAAGCAGGATGCTCTCGGTGCCGCCGCTGGTGGACGCGCCGGCGGCGCCCTGGGGCGCGTGGAACATGTTGAGCACCATGCTGACGACCTCGGCCTCCATCTTGCGGACGCCCGGGAAGACGTCCGGGTGGATCGGGTTGGACACGGTGAAGAGGCCGTAGGCGTCGGTCTGGAGGCGGATGAGGTCGGCCTCGCCGTGGTAGACGGCGCCCGAGACGCGGCCGTCCTCCCAGCGCGTGTGGTCCATGCCGGCCAGCGCGTCCAGCTCTGCGCGCACATCCGCCTCGGGCATCCCCTCCTTGGGCAGCGTCAGGTACCGCGTCTGCGCCGGCGGCACCAGCTTGGCCGCCATCTTGTCCAGCGACTCCTTGACCTTGGCCCGCACCTGCGTCCGCACCCCGGGCGCCTGCAGAAACCAGCCGTACAGCACGCGCCGCACGTCGCGGTAGAGCTCGAGTATGGCGCCAATGACGCCCCGGCCCCGGAGCTTCCAGTAGAGGCGTCGCGTCCAGCGGGAGACGAAGTAGAAGAAGATGATGTTGCGGAGCCTGTTGAGGGGGGAAGCGCGTTGTCCCGAGGTTAGCGAGTGCGGTCTGGTCGGCAATTGAAGGAGGGAGGGGTCTATTACAGGTCGAGGTTCAGCAGGCCCAGATATAGAGCCGACGAGCTGCCGGGCTTGAGGGCGCCGGAGCCGCGAAGGCTGATGGGCATGCGCGAGGAGCCGGGCATGACGGCGGGCGGCCTCGGCTATATATGAGGTATTCGGGATCGCGGGAGCGACGGGCGGCGACGACGGCGGAAAGCGATGATTCTAATGCGGAGGACCAATAGGAGAGAGGGTTAGAGCAATGGGACCCCTCGGATGGGCATGTCGAACATGGGACGAGGAGGAGAAAGGAGGGAAGAGAGAAAGCTACGAGGGAGGGGAGGATTAAAAAGTTATGGCGTGTCTTGGTGACGTCGAATATTGGTGGCACTATGGGAGGGCTGTACCTGGTACCTCGGTCGTGGTGGGTAAATACGTGCCGAGAAGGGTACTGAGTTACCTAGGTTGAACGTGCGTGGAGTTCGGCCGAGTTAAGATTACAAGACCAGCTAGGTTAGCATCGCTCCGAACTCACTGCCAGTCGCTGCAAATGAAGTTCAAATTCTTTGAACTCGCTGTAAGTCTCTTCACATGGCCGCAAACCCTCGCAGAGGTCAATCGAGTCGGCCGGCCAGGGCTGGTCAGACGGGAGGCGGGCGACAGCCTGTACTTGGACATTTTTATTGTGGGGCCGGCCGACTCGGGTGCCGGCAACTCCCCTTACCACGTTGCAGCAGTGCAAAAGCAAGCAGGCCAAGTTTGCGCCTCAGGTCCAACTTGCTAAACCGCTTTCAGGCTTAGCAGCGATATGAGAACGAATGGAGGGCGAAATCCATGATATAGTCCCTCCCCGAATTGCCCCTATAGCTCGTTTGGCAGCGCGGCGCCCAACGCCAGCGGCTCGGTTTGCCCCACATGGAAATGGCGTCGCACCAATCACATGTGCTCGTGGAGTTCGGCTTTTCCCATAACGGCAGCTCCATCAAATAGCTGCTCTGCTGGGGCCTGACATGTGCCCTGAGAGGAGTCCTCTGACCAGCACCAACAAGAACCAGAGGAAAAGGACCCCTACCCATGCGTTCGTATGGTCTGTCCTTTTATAAATGACTTGCATCATGTTAAAGCGGAGCGCGGCTAATTTACCTTTTTTTTGCTCTCTGATCTTTTCTGTAGTTCTTTTCTTCCTTTGGCTTCCTTTCGGCCCAGACACGACTCCCACTACAAGCCCAGACACCGGAGCATCCCGTTTGGGCAAGCCAGTCCCTGCAACGTTTGGAGGGCTACAGTGAGGGCATCGATCTCATCACCCAAACTTGGGCATTGGATGCGGAGAATTCCTCGCTGTGCCTTGATGGATGACCCGTGATTCGTTTGTGCATCCTCTGTTGTCATGTTCTTCTAGTGCACCCTCGTTGGTGCAACTACGGAGTAACCTCTATATCGCAACTCACACGACAGCCGAACTGTATGTAGATGCTACCTTGTTGTCAATATACATACATATACATGCCTCTGTTACTCACCGCGCAAGAACCCAACGAGGTGTACCGGGTCCAGAATTATCGACGAAAACCTAAATAAATACAGATGTTATATGAGCACCTCTAATCCAGAAAGTGCAACGTTGAAGAGGCTATTCAGGATAACAACACGACGCCCAACGAGAAGCACTTACATTCGCCCTGGAGCCTAGTATGCGCCATTGCCGGCAATTTTACCTCGATACTAATAAATTTCATCTTTCTTATGCATACATTCTACCTTTCGTACCTTTCTAAAAAAAAAAAAACAATTCACATACATTTTCTGTCTTCTATGGCCTCCACATCTTCCGTCTTTTCCGTCTACTGGATCTTCTTGTCTTGTATATCTTTTACATCCTCTGTATATTTTTCATCTCCTGGACGTATGTCCTTTTGCAAGGTGTGCTTCTAGAATCGCCGTAGTTACGATATTTGCAAGGGAAGCCTGCAAGCTGTATTCCGTATTCCGACTTTGATGAATGCATGTTTCCGCACTGGCGGAAAGTGTGCGCGAGCCATCTCTATCCGCAGTGGCAACGCAGCGGACAAGAAATGCTGGATCTGCGAGCTAGGATTCCAGTGATAAAGTGACTGATCTTGAGATTTTCATTATGCAATGCAAACACGTTAATAATAAATAATGCACGTCACACTCGGAACAGCGCATCGCCGCCTTGCGATTTCAGCTACGGCCATGACTGACGACTGTCAGATAGACAACCAGCTCTTGGCTACACCACCAAGACTGGACAGGTTGGAGAAGAAACCAAGGAAGGGCCTTGACTGAAAAATCTGTCTGTTTTCAGAAACGCTCACGGGGTTGCTGAATCTGGCGGTGACAGGCCCTGCGCATGGTTTTTGGCTGCAGCCAGGCACCGACCTAGCGCCTGGCCTGCTATCGCAGAACGAATGATAATGGGTGACTGTAACATAAAAAAGTTGAAAAATTCGCGCTCTTAGTCTGCCTTGGGGTAATCAGGTCGCGATGATGGGTGAGGGTGATGCCCAGGACGTCATCAGGCTGCTGCGGCTTGTGACGAAACAAGTCGGTCTGTGACCAAAAAGTCTCAGCGACGGCCTGCTTGCTTGGCAGCCCCGGATTCAGCACCCCCCTGACTGGATTGAAGAACCGTTCGAGTTCACAGTTCTGTAATGGGTAAAAATTGCAGATATGAAGAAGCACAGTTTGCAGGTGGCCGATAGATTGAAAGATTCGTCTCCCAAGTGGCTGGCGGTGGCGGCAATATGTTGTGGTGCATGAGCTTCTTTGTCACAGTAATTACAAATGCACTTTTCTTACATTGTTTACCAGTGTCACCGCATAGAAGGGTCTGACGGACTATGAGCTGTCGACTTTTGCTTGGTGGGGGGGGGGGGGGGGGGGGGCCCCAGCCACTACAATGGACACGTCAACCAGGAAGCAGATGCAAGAGGACGTAGATGGCTGAATGGTCGGTGAAAAAAGCAAAAAGCCCAGCTACATAGAAAATCTACCTCTAGGTCTTGTGTGTCTCACCACCCTCTTGTTTTGACCAGAAGAGTGCCTGCCAAATATCGGGGGTGGCAAGTAGGATGAAGAATGGGGGGGGGGGGGGAGGGGGAGGATTGCTGGCGGTTGATGAGGGCCAGTGACGATGCCCATGCCCAGTGGCAAGTTCAAGTAGGCGCCCAGGCTGATGTTGAATGAAACTAGAACTGTCAAGAAGGCGAAGAATGAAAATGGATGGCTTCGCCTTGGAGCTAATGCAGGTCGTATCATTACTCCGTAGATGTCCTGATGGTCTGGGTAACTATGGGGTGGCGGCGGCTCAGCCCATCCACCGGTCCAGGTTGACTATGAAGTACGTATACGCATCTGTGAGGGAGTATCTTGTTGATGGATGCAGGTAGTTCCCGCGATGAAGAAGGCTGGATATACCTGGGGCGCTATATCATGTACTGACTGGTACGTCCAGGGTCGCCTTTCTGGGCACAAATGGGTGGTGGGTGGAGGGCAATGCCAAATGGACGGGGCAGGGCAGGAGGCTGTTCCGAACAGCTCATTCATTCGTCCAGACAAAGGCGGTAATGGAAACGCCTCAGTACGGGCGGTTGCCTAACGTCCTATTGGATGGGAGGGATGGGAGGGATGGGAAGGAGAAAGGCAAAAAAGTGAAGTCACCTGGGAAGAAAAGGCAGCCGGAAGGATGCTGTGCTGTATCCGACTAGCTACAAGACAGAAGACAACCATCGATTCTTTGTGCATGACGTTCTGGCTGAGCAGCCATCCATTATGCGAAACTTAAGGCACCGATGCAAGTCTGAAGTCGAGTTGTGCCGATGATGCATGCAATAGAAGCATAAAGTATCATGGCCTTCTTCACCGACTAATCCTGGAGGGTGACGAGTTCCATAAAATTATGCAGTCCGGGGTGGGAGGATAAGAGCATCAAGATGCACAAATGTGAAGGGGGTGTAGGATGGGCGGCATCTCTGTACCAATTGTGTAGGGAGATACAGATGCAGGAAGAAAAAAAGCCACCGTCATAACCCAAAGCAACCAACCATCTTCAATCATCATCGCCAAACCGCTAGGCAGCACTTGTGTGTGTGGCTGCGGCTGTCAGCTTCTTTCTTTCCGCCTCACTTTCCTCACTTGTCTTGTCTTGTCTTGTCTCGTGAGATGATGGGGGAAGGGGACAAGACAAGACAAGACAGGACAGGACAGGACAAGCCAAGTCACTGTGCCAACGGAGGTGCAGCGCCGGCGAAGCTCTCTGGGAAGGCTACGAATAGCATGCTCTCTTCTACACCACTCACACGAACCCCCCCCCCCCCCCATACACCAAGCTCGGGCGTCCCAAAGAGATCAAGCCCGCGGCCGGCGTTTCGATACCGAGGTGCTGGTCTGGCACCGTGGTCTGGGACTAGGTCACCCGGCTCTCTTCCGACCGGCTCGCGCCGCCTTTCCTTCAGTCACTTGTTACTTATTCCCTCCTCCCTCCCCTCCCTCTACTTACAACATGTCGTGCGTCCTAGCAAGGCGACCGGGCGTGGACACGTGGGCCACCACCACCACAACCACCACCACCACAACCACCACCACCACCTCACTCAGAGAAGTCGTTGTGTAGACATACGGACGGGTGTGGCCGATGAGAGTGAGTGTGCCAGTCGGGCTGGGACAAGGACAGGGGCGGTGTCAGAACAAAGGGGACCAAGACTGACAGACAGGTGGCTGCGCATGTATGTGTCTGCGTGTCTGCGTGTCTGCGTGTAAGAGTATGAGTGTGTGTGTGTGTGAGTATTGTATGCTATGACGGGTCTGGGCTTGAGTGCCTTGCTTGCCCATGCTTGGTTGCTCCTACTTCACCACGTACAGTCACGTCAAGATATAATACCGACCTGCACCCTGCCGTCTCGAAAGTCTATCCTCCTCTCTTGTCTTATACACGCTACAACATCAATGATTGGAATGTCAAGACACGCTCTTCTGCCTCAGCTCTTCTTTGATCACATCAAGTAGCCCCAGCTTTACCACCTTTCCCTCTTCTCCAATTCCCCATACATGAACCACAACCATGGCCCCCGGTCTCGTCTATCCCCAGACCCATGACGAACGGCAGCACTTCCCATCCTATGATGAACGGGTGATTGCAGCAACGCCGCCGTCTAGTCACGCGTCCCCAGTGCTACGGGCTGTCGCGTTGGATGCCCGGCCGTTCGCACCGAGCACCGGCGAGCAGCAGCAGCTGATGGAGGGCGCCGCCGAGGTGGACCTGCTCGTCGAGAACTTCAACAAGGCGGTTGAGATTCAAAACGAGCAGGCCCGCCGACTGCACGACCTGATGCATGGTGAGTGACCCGATCCAGCGGCGGCGACCCCCATATCGTCTACTGCGTGAGCAAGCATGGCTAATCTTCTTGACCTCCCAAACAACAGCATATCCACGCCTCTCCAGAGCCTACTCAGAGGGCTCGCTTCCTGCGCCGACTTCCACCGACGCCTCTGCCGGCAGCGCCCCCCCTCATACACCGCCTGAAGGAGCCGCCACCATCAAGAGCGCGGCTCGATATCAGGCCACCGTGGAGGACTGCACAGAGTCCGAGGCCGAAGAGGACTGCCCGACTCCGGCCTCAAGTGACGACCGCCTCACACCGCCCCCCCCCGGAAAGAAGGACTCCAAGTCGTCGGACCAGGACAGGCCGCCAGCGAGACGGCACACCATCTCTGCCTCAGCGCCCACATCGCCCTCAGCAGCCCACGCCGTAGTGGTGGGAGCCTCGTCGCCGCCTACCATCGTCAAGGAGGTGCGGTTCTCGGACCGGCCGCCGTCTGTGCTACAGCGCAGCGCCTCAGCGCGCCACTCTGGTAGTGGCGGCGTGTCCTCGCAGCAGCAGACAAGGTCGTACCAGCCGCAGCCGCGTGAGAGAGCTGTGCAGTCTCTGCAAGATGACCGATGGGGGACCCTGTTCACACCCCAGGGCAAGGCAACCTCTAAGATGAGAGACGCACTGCGCGGTCTGGCCATGCACCTGGTGAGTTGCAGCGTCTTATACACACTCTAGAAGTCACAAACGCCTGCTAACAAAACATCAAGATTGAGGTGTATAAGCCAACTCACTCGCTGGTCGTCACGCCGGAGAAGCTGCACAAGTTCTACTCCAGGTACGGACTAGACAGGGAGGACATCAACCTCGTCAGTAAGTTCTTCAGCCAGCTCTGGAGCCTCCATGGCTTGCAGGCAACACCATGCTTACCTTTCCGTGCAGGGATGTTTAGCCTGACTTCCCGGGATGCCATGGAAAACCTGGAGAGGGTGTTCCTTTCCCTGAACTGCGAGTTTCACGTCGTTCAGGATACCTACAGCGCCGGAGGTCGCCCCCGCCGGCCGTACATCCCCGCCCTTACCCCCGAGGGCTTCGTACAGTGGTCCATCACGCTCATCCGCGCGTGCCCGGACCAGGAGGCCGTTCGCCTCGCCCGCGTCTTTGCGGACATTGACCTCGAGGCCCGCCCCGAGGACCCGTCGCTGGTGGAAGGCGACGATGCTCAGCGCGGCCGGCGGAGGCTTCCGCGACAGATCTCGCGGTACCTGTTCCCCGCGGAGGCGAACGCAAGTGAGCTGCGTCTGCTCACCGACACCATGCGTCAGTGGCGGTACGCCACCGAAGCCGCCTCTGCCTCTCGCAGCCCGGACCGGCCGGCGGCGCAGTCGTCCTCGGTGCAGAACAAGCCGCTGATCCACTCGGACGCGCGCAGCCGGCAGGAGCACCTCCATCGCCCCAGGAAGGACTACGACCACGACTACGAGCGCGATGCCGCGGCGGTGATGGTGCCCCAGGGAGGCGGACGCAAGGACCGCGAGTACCGGTTGTCGGGAGGATCCTCGCGCTACGCGTCCAAGTCGCACGCTCGGGGCGAGAGCCCGCGACGGAGCTCCTCCAAGCGGTACGACAGACGGGAGCGGGACGGCAAGGAGTCGGAGAGGGACCGCCGTCGCGGGGAGCGCAGATGGAGCGCGGACAGCTACGATGAGCCGCGACACAGGCGTCGCGATGCCCGGGGATCTCGGGCGTAGACGCGACGGCAACTGTATTACCTTGCCTGTATGATGATAGTATACTAGTTTTAGCTTGGACCGATTCACGAGTGCGCAATGAATGAACGGCCTAATTTAGTCTCGATACTGCCGAGATGTGTGTGCTTGTAGTTTGCATGAATGAGGGTGCTGAGGGAACATTTGGACGGACAAGGCAGGCAGCGCATCGCATCGTCAGGCATTCGCTCCGTTAGGCCGCCGTAGTAAAGACTCTGAGTCACGTCCAATGACCGCTCCATCTGCACGAGAAGATGTAACAAGCAAGCCGGCAGGCTTCACGGCATGAAGCCTGCCCACTGATGGCGGGACGCGTGCATGCATACTGGTGGTGCCTGAGGCTCGCACATTGGCAGGGGAACGAAGCCTCCGAGACAAACATCCGTGACAGAAAGGCGTGCGGCTGCAAGAGCCCGTGTCCATCAGTCATCAATATTCTCGTGCAGCCGGTCTGGCAGCCATCTGCCTGCCAACGCGCACCTTGGGAACGATGCGACGGGGAGGTCTAGGCCACGCAGGGGGAGCAAAGTGGCGACGCAGGACGGCCCGTCCTGAGGAGATGGGCAGTAGTGAGGGAACGAACTGATGCAGCAGGCATGGCATGCAGTGTGTGAGTGTGTGCGGAAAGTAGCTGAGGCTGATTCGTGAGAGTGAGCGTACGTACATGTCTTGGAGCCGGGTGCACCTACATGCATCAGGCACGACGAGCTGTCCTTCATGCAAGAGCTGGAGGCGAACAAGCATGCAAGGCCGGAGGGCGAGTAAACAAGTATCCCGGGAGGCGAACAAGCAACTCATGTCAATCATCGGCGATCATCGGCTGCGACTTGACAGGCAGATCAGGCTGGACAGCCCGCGTCTCGTATCTGTTAGTCGTGACGATCTTGAGGCGGGATGAGATGAGAAGCTCGACGTACTCTGCCGCGCAGCCCTGCACAGAAAATGGTTTCAAAAAGCTTGTCCAGTAGACGCATTAGCTGTTCAACACTCCGTAGCCGAGCCCTTGCCCTGGGCGGCCGGCCGGGCACGGCGACCGGGGCCGGGGCGAACGGCTTTCCCCACGGGAACGCTCAGCGGATGGCAAGAACCGTGATCAAAAGCTCACCAATAATCATAAACTAGGGACGTCTCAGGATTGGCATGTGGTGAACACGAACCAATCATTCTTGTGCTTCCCGAGCACGTTCACGTTGCCTCCCCGGAGTCCTGAATCGCCTTGTACCCCAGCTCTCCCGCCCCTTTCTTTCCGCCTTGCCTTGGCCTTTTCCCCATCCGACGCCCCGCCAAGAAACGTTCCGATGGAAGAAATGTCCCCAATCTCGCAAGACCTTGACAGATTAGGATAGGGTCAGATCCATCACGATGTACTTAGTCTAATAGATTCCCGGGTTATAGGGCTGGGCGCGCGAGGACGAAGCGTCGGTACGCGCGTCGCCTATCCACCCTGTACGGGGGGGCTGGACTGGGCAGAGCGACCATCGTAGGGCTGTGCTGCTTGGCTGGTAGTAGGCGACGGGGGAAAAGTAGAAAAAAGAGGCGGTGGTGATTTAAGCGATGTTATAGTATTACAGGGTTTTACAGGGTATGTTGGCTTTGGTTACGACCGGTGGTGCCCTTGACTCGGGTCCGCGGTATAAGTAGAGTAGGTGTTTGGTCCAAGTCAGTCTCGTCGTCCAAGTCGACGACTTCACAAGCACACTTTCTCTATAACAGTTTTTTACCCGATTCTTCCCTCTGCCCATCATGGCCTTTCTTCGCCAGCTCACGGCCCTCATGTGGAAGAACCTCCTCGTCACCGTCCTCCGCCACCCCGTCGGCTTCCTCCTCCAGTTCTACGCCGTGCCCCTCGTCGTCTTCGCCGTCCTCGCCCGCCTCCCCGTCTGGCTCAGCCCGACCGAGCACACCTTCAGCACCGAGCTCCCCGCCGCCATACCCTCCTCTCCCGCTATCACCGGAACCATCGCCGTCGTCGCGCCGCCCAACGCCGGCGCCGACATCCGCGCCGTCATCGACCGGCTCGCCGCCGCGCCGGACCGGCCGCCGCTACTACGCCTCGACCGCGAGACGGACCTGATATCTCGGTGCGGCGCGGACGACTGCCACGCCGCGGTAGTCTTCCGCGACTCGCCGGGGACGACGACCGCCGGCTCCTGGAACTACACCATCCGGGCGGACGCGTCGATGACCGGCGCGCACGGCGGCGGCCTGGAGACGGTCTACATGCCACTGCAGCGCGCCGTCAACGCCGCCATCACCAACGCCACCACCACCTCCTCCCCAGTGGAGGCTTTTGCGTTTGGCCCGACGTGGTCCCAAGACGCAGACGAGGTCCGCCGCGGCACGCTCAGCACCGTCACCGAAGTCTACGCCTTCGTCCTCTTCGGCTGCCACCTCGTCGCCGTGTACGCCATCGCCGGCTGGGTCAGCTCCGACCGCGACGCCGGCGTCTCCGCGCTCCTCGACAGCATGGGGGGCCGCGGCCGACGCTGGACGCTGCCGCTCGCCCGCACGCTGAGCTGGGTCGCCGTGCTCGACGGCGCCTGCCTGCCGCTCTTCGTCACCTTTGGCGCGCTCTACCAGCGGCTGCTGTTCCCGGCCTCGGGGGTGGGCGCGCTGATCGGCTGGCAGGTGCTGCTGGGCACGGCGCTGAACAGCTCGGCCGTGTTCGCCGCGGCCTTCTTCTCCCGGGCGCGCGTGTCGGCCATCGTCGTCGGCGTCTTCGCGCTGGCGCTCGCTGTGGCGTTCCAGTTCCACGCGTCGCGGCCGCTGCCGCTGCCGGCGCCGGGCACGGTGCTGGGCCTGTCGGCCGTCTTCCCGAGCTGCAACTACATGCTGTACCTGCTGGATATGGCGAGGTGGGAGGTGACGGGGCGCGCGGCGCATATCTCCAGCCTCCCGCCGGCCCGCGACAGCGCCGGCCAGACGCCGGACCTGTACCACGTCACCCAGTCCACGCTGCTTGGGATCCTCGCCGTGCAGGCCGTCGTGTATCTCGGCTTGGCCGTGCTGGTCGAGTGTCTCATGCATGGCATCCACTTCAAAGGCAGGCACTTCAAAGGCACTGATAGCTGCAGCAGCCCTGCGGCGGCGGCCGTCTCGGCCACCAACCTCCAAAAGACGTTCCGCCCCGGCTTCTGGACGCGCATATTTTCCTGCGGCAGCGACCGGAAGCGGACCAACCGCGCCGTCGACGACGTCAGCATCGACGCCCACCGCGGCCAGATCATGTGCCTCGTCGGCCCCAACGGCTCCGGCAAGACGACCACGCTGCAGATGCTCGGCGGCTTCCTCGGCATGGACGGCGGAACCGGCCGGGTCTCCTTCGACGCCGCTCCCTCCCGCGTCGGCATCTGCCCGCAGCACAACGTCCTGTGGGAGGAGCTCACCGTGCGCGAGCACCTCGTCCTGTGGTCTGGCATCAAGGGCAACCCGGCGACCTCGGAGCGGATCGACGCGCTCATCGCCGACTGCGACCTCGCGCGCAAGAGCGGCTGCCCGGCGCGGCATCTGAGCGGCGGCCAGCGGCGCAAGCTGCAGCTCGCGTGCATGTTGGTGGGCGACCCGGCCGTCTGCCTCGTCGACGAGTGCACCTCCGGGCTCGACCCGCTCTCCCGCCAGGCCATCTGGGACCTGCTCCTGCGCAGCCGCGCCGCCGGCCGGAGCCTCGTCCTGACCACGCACTTCCTCGACGAGGTCGACGTGCTGGCCGACCACATCGTCGTCCTGCAGGGGGGTCGGATCAGGGCGCAGGGCTCGCCCGCGGAGCTCAGCGCCACCCACGGCGGCGGCCACAGGGTCATGGTCGAGCGCACGCCCGAAAGCCTCGCCGTGGACGAGGAGTTGCAGGAGGAGAAGGGCGTGGCCTGCCAGGACCGGCTCGTCTACAGAACCAAAGACTCCGCCGCCGCCGCCAAGCTCGCCCGCTCCTTTGCAGCCGCCGGCGTCCACGACGTCGCCGTCGCTGGGCCGCAGTTCGACAACATCTTCCTCAACCTCGCCGGCGACCGGGGCGACTCGGCGCTCCCCAAGCCGATGACGACAACTCCCGAGTCCGACGAACAACGCAATCACCACCCGATGGAGCCGGGACGCGAGACGAGCTTCGCCACGCAGGTCCGCGTGCTCTTCCGCAAGCGCTTCCAGGTGCTCCCGCGCGTCTGGTGGGCTCAGCTCCTCGCCGCCGCCATCGTCGTCGCCGCCACCTGCGGCCTGCTGACCTCGACCCGGGACGTCGTCGCCCCGGACTGCGGCGAGTACGCGCCGCGCCTGGTCCCGGGCCAGACCGCCCGCCTGCAGTACGACGAGGCCTGCGCGCGCGGCGAGCGGATGAGCGGGTGCGACACTCTCACCGTCGGCCCGGCGAGCGCCAACGCCACCGTCTTCGAGGCGCTGCGGCGCGGCTACCCTGACTTTGACGGCGTCGTGGCGGCGTCCGGGTTCGTCAACGCGCTCGCTGGCAGGGGGAGTTGGCTGGAGTACATGCAGAAGCAGACGGGCTACTTCGAGAAGGGCATCTACTTTGGCAGCGGCGGCGCCGAAGACCCCGTCGTCATTGCGTACCAGTATCAGGCGTTCATTTCGGAGCCCACCGCCGCAAAGCTTCTCAATATCTGGAGCCAGGCCACCGCCAACATTGAGATCGCCACCACGTACGGCTCCCTGCCGAGGATACCAAAGGTACGTCACATACCTTACCGGCAAGGCGGTAAATACTAACAAGTAGGCAGGACACACAAGACGGGGCCTGGATATTCGTCCTCTTCATCGCCCTCGTGCAGGCTGCGTACCCGGCCTTCTTCGTCGTGTACCCGGCCATCGAGCGGCGCAGTAACGTGAGCTCGCTGCAATACGCCAACGGCGTGCGCAGGACACCCCAGATGGTCGCCTACATGCTCTTCGACCTCCTCTGGATCGTCGTCCTGTCCGTGGTGAGCACCATCGCCATCGTCCCCATCCTCGGGTGGACCGGCTCGCCGTTGCTCATGATCCTCATCTTCGCCTTGCATGCCGTCTGCGGCAACTTCGTCGCCCAAATCGCCAGTCACGTTTCCAACGGGCCTTTGAAAGCGTTCCTCACGGCCTTAACCGTCAATCTCATCTGCTTTGCCATTGGCTTCGGCACCGTTTTCGTAAGCGTCCATCGACCAGCTTCCAAACCTACCTCCAACTTTGCTGACCGCATAAAACCTCCAGGGAAGCTTGTCACAACCCGATAAAGTCATTGACGGGGTCGCCTGGGGTCTCGGGTTCTTCCTCCCCATGGCGAACCTTGTCCGGGCCTTGCTCGTCGGCTTCAACGCCGGCGGCCTGGGCTGCACCGACGGCGTCGCCAAGATGATGGGCGCCATGGACGCCTACGGTGGTCCCATCCTCTACCTCGTCCTCCAGGTCGTCTGGCTCGGCATCCTCTCCGTCTGGGTCGACGGCGGCCTGCCCAACATTTCGCTCCCGGGCATCCTGACGCGCAGCAAGCCCGCCGCCGCGTCCCCGTCTAGCACGGAGCTGCAAGACCTAGCGGCCGCTGGTCAGCAGGGCGACCATGACGATGACGTCCGCGCCGAGACTACCCGCGCGCTCCGCACCGACACGGACCCGCTGCGCGTGCTCAACGTCACCAAGCGGTTCGGCGCCAACCTCGCCGTCGACGACGTCACCTTTGGTCTGGGCCCCGGCGAGGTTCTCGCGCTCCTCGGCCCCAACGGCGCCGGCAAGTCGACGCTCGTCAACATGATCCAGTCTGAGCTGCGCCCCACGCACGGCACCATCCTCCTCGGCGGCGGCGGAGCGCAGGCCGGCCGACAACTCGGCGTGTGCCCGCAGCACGACGGCCTGGACCTGCTCAGCACCCAGCAGCACCTGACGCTGTACGCGCGCATCAAGGGCGTCCGGCTGATGGACCGGCTGGGCCTCGCGCCGCACGCGCGCACGCCCGCCGCGCGGTTGTCCGGCGGCAACAAGCGCAAACTGAGCCTGGCCATCGCGCTGCTGGGCGCGCCGCCGGTGCTGGTGCTCGACGAGCCCACCACGGCCATGGACGCGCTGTCCAAGCGCGCGTTCTGGCGGCTCGTCGAGGAGTTCGCCGGCGGGCACTCGGTGCTGCTGACCACGCACAGCATGGAGGAGGCGGACCGGCTGGCGGGTCGCACCGCCATCATGGCCGCGGGCCGCCTGCTCGCGGTCGGCTCCACGGCGCGGCTGCAGCGGCGTCACGGGGGTGGCCACAGCGTAGGCTTGGCGCTCCGCTCGGCGCCGGACTCGTCCCAAGAGGAGATGGCGGCGGTGTGGGCGTGGGTACGGGAGCGCGCGGCTGCGGAGGGCTCTGAGGCGAAGCTTGAGCGCGACATGCTCCGTGGCCAGATCCGCTTCACGCTGTCACCGGCGGCGGCTGATGAGAAGGAGGAGGGGGAGGACGGAGGGGCGAAGGGGCGGAGGTTGCCGCCGGCAATTGCTCTGTGGACGCTGCTGGAGGAGAACAAGGACGAGCTGGGCATCGCATTTTACTCCATCGGTGGCGCGACGCTGGCGAACGCGTTCATGAACGTGGTCCGCGCGAACAACGTATGCGAGGAGAATAGCGAGGCCAAGAAGAGGTCCATTGGCCAATTGATTCGGGACTTGTTCTGAGGAGAATGTAAGCAATACGAGACAAACGGTGAACAACGACACAAACACGGGGGTTTGAATGTGAGGGCAAATATCCAAAGGTCCATTTTGCCTATTCTCTTTCCAAATACCACATGAAAGTTATAAAATTATGTCATTCGGGTAAAATTATACAGCGCTTGTTTACTGCAGATCATGCTTGCTTCAGTGCGCAGAGAAAGAAAAATAGAAGGATAAAGCACAACGAAATGGTACCAAAATGATGCCGAGAGAAACTGAAGCCAAGAACGACATGTCCAGTCGCAGTAGCAGAACCGTTTTGAAGCAGTCTAATGAATCCTAAACACAACGGCACGGATTATTGCCGCCGAGATGTTTCGCCAAAGTGCTGTCAACATAAGAAAAAAGGAAAACTTTTCTGTCAATATAGTGTACCAATATAAGACGTGGAGAGATCAGAAACGTGAGAACCAAAAAAGCAGTCGTGAGAAAAAGACAGACAAAAAGCAGACAAATACATCGTTTCATCGCTACTCGTGGTATCATGTCGAGACAAAAAAAGAAGGCCAAGTATATGCATGTTAACTCATGTCGTTTCGTGGTGGTGTCGTATACATCTGATAGGAGGTGGAGGGGAGCCGCTTGCTCCCCGGGTTGGGCGTTGTCGGCGCCGAGGTGACGAAGGTTCGGGACGAGGCGACGCTGGCGGCGCGGCTGGCGCGGCTCCGCTTGAGCTGGCGAAAGTCCTCCTTGAAGACGTTGATGCAACGCTGGAGCTCCTCGTCCGGGTTGGGCGGAAGCTGGATCTCGACGGCCTTGAGGCAGATGCGCAGGTGCTGCAGCTCGTCGTCATTCTCGTCGAGCTCCCGCTCCAGGTAGGCCACGCGGTTCTGCAGGAAGACGATGCGCTCCGCCGCTCTTTCGGTGCGCTCAACGAGGAGGAGGTTGATGTGCTGCGCAAAAAAGTGGTTAGCTGAGAGGGCTCGAAATGGAAACGGTGAGCGAAGTCGGGTGCATACTTCCATCTCTTCTTGCCGAGCTTTCAGGTTCTCGGCTACCTGTGAGAGCTCCTCGTTGAGCTTGTTGGCTTCAGCGATCAGCTGCTTGGCCTGCGCTTCTGCGATGCATGTTCGTTCGCGTGACGCACGCTCTTCCTCGGCCAGGCGCTCCTGTTCGCGTTCGCGCTCTCGTTCGCGCATGGACACCAGCGACAAGTCGGAAAACTGCGATCGGATCATGGAGAGCGGGGAGCCGAGCACAGATTCGGTTTCGCTCCGCGGTGGAGGTGACTTGGGCGTCTGCGGATTGGGAGTCTGCGAATTGGACGAGCTGCCGGCTTGACGTTGTTCGTGCTGTGGAAGCTGTCGTCGTCGAGGGTTCGGGGACGACGGCGGGCTGACGGCCTTTTCCATCTGCTCCAGCTGGCTAGCGAACGCTAGCTCGTCAATGTCGTCGTCGCATGCAAGGCGCTGCGCGAGGAGGGTTAAGCGACGCGCGAGCTCATTGCGGCCGCTGCAGGTGTCGCGCGTATTCGCCGCGGCGGCGACCTGGCTCGGAGACGGCGTCGACGAGGTTTGGCGATGGAGAGGACTCCATCCACCAGGGACGGAGGAGTAGTTGAGGCTGGAGACGACACTGGGACTCGACTGGCGGTGGACAAGGTGTGACGGAGGCGACAACGGCGCGTGTAGCTCGTGATAACTCTCGTACGAGCTTCGAAAGCTGTTGGTACTTGGCGCCGGCCCATTGCTGGTGCTGCTCCCGGCTGTGCTGCGGCGATCCAGCGCTACAGGACTGCGAAAGCTGGATCCATGCTGGTGGTGGTGGTTATGGGCTTCTACCGCGTGCATATCGTTGTCGTGGTCCTCCGCTTGCTGCCACTCCTCGCTCAGCCATTCCATATCCAAGGGGAGAAGTCGCTGGCCAAGGAATTTTTTCGATTACTACCAGGAATCCCCTACGCGTTCTATTCGAGTTTCGAGCCCACTTTCCCCGGCGCTTCCCTGCGACCCCTGGGCCGGGGGGAAGGGGAAGGCTGCACGTTGAGGCTGCCCTGTCAGTGCCCAACCTCGTTGATTTTTTTGCGAGACACACCGCCAGTGTGAAGATGCAGCTGGGCTGGTGGGTGAGCCTTCAGGATTATTACAGCAATGCAGGCTGCTGCAGAGCTATGCCACTTCCTTCCAAGTAAGAGGAAGAAAAAAGTGGCCTTTGCGTCTACCGTGGAGTAGAGCGTGGCGCTAATCCTGGCGGGGGTGGCGTGTCAATTGTCTGTCGAGATGGTTTGAAGCTTCTGCAACTGGGAGCTCGTGGCCAGGCAGGGAGATCAAACGGCGCGGTTGCTTGGTGGTGCTGCGGGCGAACGCGTGACTACCAGTAGAGCGGCCGAGTGGTGGGCAGGGGAGTTGAGAGGCCAGACCGTAAGGATTATTGGGGGCATCGACTTCTCCGTGGTCATGTACTGGTAGCAGCGTCGACGTCGATGTAGCGTTGTCCGAACTGCGATGGGCAAACTGGCGGGCAAACTTGAAGCGTCCGAGCAGCGCCGAGATGGCCGAGATTTGCTACGGACGACCGAGATGGAGGCGCTGCAAAGCAAGACAAACAGCACGTGAATGATTGGCCGGGGTCTGGAAAGTGGAGAGGGCAAGGAAGGTGGCACTGTCAATGTGGCAGCGTGTGGCTTGCCATGGGCACCGACGAACTACAAGCGACAGGCTGAGACACACAAGAAGGTTAGTACTACATACCGCATTTTGATTTTGATTGTTAGTTGTTTCTACTATGCACGCAATTGCTTGCAGCTGCGGGCCAGTGGATGGTATACTCTCGGCGTGGCTTGCTGAAGATACCCTGCCAGTCTGTAGTGTACCTTATTAGGTAGCGAGGGCCCGACCTCTAACTACTGGTGCACCAATTTGTAGCCCGGCACTTTCCAGCTTTTGCCGAAGCTGGGGATGAAGTTTTAGATAGTGAGTGACTTGGAAGCAGGGTCTGAAAATTGCCATCAGCAATGGATTGGTAATTTTATACTTTCATTTCAAAAAGAGTTTTACGAGGCTTGGTCACACAGTCAGTTGTACTTATCTCACATGCTACTCTACTGCCTGCTAGATGGACGAGGAATGTGCCTGCTTACTATTGTACAGCTCGATAGGCAAACTAGATTGATTGATAGGCACAGCATCGGCAGTAATCATACAGGATCCGATGCGGCTCTGATAGCCCGTCTAGGTAAACAACTAGACGAGGACAACTGTTGGCGCTACTATATTATGCTTATAACTGTATGCTGGTACGTCTATGCGCAGCATTCCAGCCGCCGTAACATGGCCCTGTCAACACAAGACAGGATGGTTTCGATATAGTCTCATTCCACTTCTATTCAACCTCGATTGAACCCCATCCACCCCCCAGTCCATGCTTCGCATCTCTCACAAGCTGAGACATGGCGCCATCTGCCTCGTCCATCATGATTTTAGGCTATCCCATCTGAATATGCTTCTCCATCCTTGCCAATGCCGGTCTTGGCGAGGGTAGTCAGATTCTCACGCAGGTTACTACCGTCTTACTCAGAGGACTGGAGCAGCGCACTGTCAGTGGACAAGGCGGCCCCCTAGTACGCTGCGAGTACTGCACTAACATGGGCGGCGGCCCCACGAAGCGTGTCCGATTGCCTCCCCTGGCAGGCTAGCAGGATCGCAAGGACGCAGGTCGGGTAATAAGAATGTTGGGAAGAAACAAATTACGCAGGGAATTGTTATTCGTATGCTCAAATCATGAGACGGCGTGCTTGCATGGGGGAGGGGGACCCAAAGCCTGAGGTCCCCTCTTCTCACGTAAAAAAGTAGACTAACACGCTACAGATTGCCTGAATAAAAGAAGGGGATGCCCGTGTGTTTCTCTGATCCTATTGTAATCTTTATATGTCAATCTGTCTGAGTGCTTTTGTCTCTTGTATTTTTCGTCTAAAAAGAAGAGGAACAATAGCGAACCGAGCCCGAATTACCACCTACCATTACGACGACGTCATAGCACTGTGTCTTGTCGAGCTGCAACCTCGGCAGTCGAGTCCCCCTCTATCCGGTCATTGTACGCACGACAGCGCGCCAGCGGCTGCGACACCAGCAGTACAGCACTCAAGACAGTACCGGTACCACCACCACCACAGCCACTACGACCATCACCATTACGCCAAAAACGTACCGCTTCTAGTCTACGCGCCACACCAAAATCGTTCCCCAGCTTCGACGTTGGACATTCTAGTCTTTCTTCATATTGGACTTTTTTTATTGTCGGTACTTGGAGTGCTACCAGTGTTTGCTACAATTTTCTGCGGATTTTTTGGTACCCTCTTTCACACCACTACGGCCCGGTGACGCCCGCTGTCTTTCACCCGTTGTAGGTACCTCCTAGGGTACCAACAGCCACTGTGACTTCCCCCCTCCCGCAAATCTGGGGCCGGTTCGCCGCGCCGCCAGGTCCTCCCTCGACCGCTACCATGCGTCTTCTCCGTCGTCTTCTCTCCGACACCTACTATCGCGCAAAGAGCTACCTACCAACGTCGCAATCGCCCGAGATGTCGTGGAAGGCCTCCGAGAAGTTGATGGACACCATCCGTCACTATGCACAGTTTCCTGCTACCGGTGTCAGTCTGCGCCAGATGGTCCAGTTCGGCGACAAGCCTTCGACAGGTTAGTCACACTTTCCGGCCTACACGCTGGTGGTGATGCTTTGGTGCCGCAACCACCCGCATCACCACTGCCCGCGTGCCTCGACAAGAAAACGGCCGCCCGCGCCAAAACACAGCGCAACACCCACGCATCAGCCCAGTTCTAATTCGCACTCTATAGGAACCCTATTTCGAGCCTCACAATTCCTTTCCGAAGAGCTTCCCATCCGCTTAGCCCACAGAGTCCGCGAATTGGAAGATCTGCCCGATGGCGTAAACGACATGCCCTCGGTTATCAAGGTCAAGGACTGGTACGCCCAATCCTTTGAAGTAAGTCGACCAGTCCCTTGAACTCGATACCTCCAAAATACTCGTCATCCTCTACTCCCTCCTCGGCCTTACCTCCGAATCATTTTCGCTGACTCAAGACTCCCCGAACCCAGGAAATCACACAGCTGCCCCGCCCCGAGCTCGACAAGGAAACACGAGATCGGTTAATGAAGCCGTCACGGCATGCCCTCATGGGCGGCTACCAGCAGCTCTCCGAGGCTACCCCCAACCCCTCCATTGACGAGGATCCCACCGGCTGGGGCCACACAAACGGCAACGGCAACGGCAACGGCAACGGCAAGGCCAAATCCCTCTCCCGACGCTACTATGCCACCGTCGACGACACGGGCGCATGGCCCGCCGAGCTGCACCTCTACAACCAGCGCTTCGCCCAGACTCTGCACAAGATCAAGCGCCGCCACGACGGTGTCGTCACCACCATGGCACAGGGCATCCTCGAATACAAGCGCAAGCGCCAGCGCTTGCAGATTGACAGCACCATCCAGTCCTTCCTCGACCGCTTCTACATGTCCCGCATCGGCATCCGCATGCTCCTCGGCCAGCACATTGCCCTGACCGACCAGAGCCACCACCGCGACCCCACCTACGTCGGTGTCATCTGCACCAAGACCAACGTCCAGGACCTCGCCCAGGAGGCCATCGAGAACGCCCGCTTCGTCTGCGAGGACCATTACGGCCTCTTCGAGGCCCCCAAGGTCCAGCTCGTCTGCAACCCCAACCTCGACTTCATGTACGTCCCCGGCCACCTGTCGCACATGCTCTTCGAGACGCTCAAGAACTCCCTGCGCGCCGTCGTCGAGACGCACGGCATGGATAAGCAGGAGTTCCCCGTCACAAAGGTCATCGTAGCAGAGGGCAAGGAGGACATCACCATCAAGATTAGCGACGAGGGTGGCGGCATTCCCCGCAGCGCCATCCCGCTCGTCTGGACCTACATGTACACCACCGTCGACCGCACGCCCAACCTGGATCCCGACTTTGACAAGAGCGACTTCAAGGCCCCCATGGCCGGCTTCGGCTACGGCCTGCCCATCTCCAGACTGTACGCGCGATACTTTGGAGGCGACCTAAAGCTGATCAGCATGGAGGGGTAAGTTGACGCCACACCACCCGCCCTCTCTATTTTTCCATTCGGTCGCTAACACGAATTTTCCTTGTAGGTACGGCACAGACGTATACCTCCACCTGAACCGCTTGTCGTCGTCTTCCGAGCCGCTCCAATAGCAACTAAACACCGCCGGGGCGTCCACCCCATCACTGATTCTACGCAAACGCCTCAAGGACAAGCAGCGTCGCGAGGTGACGGAGCGAAAGCAAGTGGGCGACGCCGAGGCGGTCGTGAATGCGCTACCGGGCAGCTACAGCCGCAGTGAGGACCAGCAGCTGTAGGATGCAGCTGGTTCACCATGCAAAAAAAAAAAAAAGCTGCTGCAGCACGCAAGTGAGTCGTGGCATAGACGCCATGTGGTCGAGCAGGGTGGGTGACTGGGCATCAAAGAAAGTATACTTTTCTGGCCCTCATTTTTGGCATTTTACTTTTCTTATCTCGTTGAGCGGGCACAACAATCTTTTAGGGGCTTACAACTTGTATTTGTTTGTCAGGAAATGGGGGAATTCCAGGGTTCGGGAAATATCAGCATTGGGGGGTCTTCGTTGTCGGTTGCAACTTTCTCTTTTTTTTTTTTTTCGGGATCTTGGGTTTCATGCACACTGTTGTTTCTCGTTTTGTGCCGTCTCTTTTTTCTTGGCCTACAAGGAAATAAAAATGTATTTTAGTCAGGCGCACGTATATCAAGCAGCGCGGCCCTTGTAACAGGGCGTGCTGTGAAATGGAGCAACATTCTTATTTACTTGCAGATGTTACGTTAAAAGTCATCTCTACGAATAGGAAGGATAAGAAGGATAGGACGGACAAAACATATAATCAAAGTTGGATGCAATAACAACAAATCCAATTAGTAGTTTAGCAATTTGTGTCTAAATTCGGGCGGTAGTGCAGCTCAAGTAGAAAATTAGTCGGAATAATAATCATCATCATCGTAGCCGAGAGGGCGCACAACCCTCTGCTCCTCAATCTCGCGCCGGGTATACCCTTGGTTGGTGATCCCGTGCGCCTCCCGCAGCTCGGCGACGCTCAGCTTGTTCTACAAGTTTCGATTAGCATATGCCCGCGGAGCTTTTCAGAAGGAAGATACATACACCTGCGCCCTTCCCCCAAGGGTTCTTGCGGCCTAGCTTTGCCGGGGGAAGGTCTTTTCCCATGCTGCTCCAGTCCCCGATTACGTTGGGGTCGTTGTCCTCCTTGACCGACGCCGCGTAAGACAACGGCGACACAACAGACGACGGCGACGCGGACCGCAGGACGGAAGCGGCCTCGCGGCGCCGCAGCTGGCCGTCCGGGCCCCAGGCATTGTACCGGCGGCTCGCCATGGACGCGGCGTCTGAGTCCATCTCTCGCATCGTGGTCGCCATGGACATGTCGCCGTTTGTCGACGAGGCGGCGGAGCCGACCTCGCTCGCGGTCCTGTGCTTCGTCCGCAGGTGCGGGGGCAGCGTCGACCGGACGGAGGCAACGGAGGCGACGGAGGCGACGGAGGCGACGGAGGTGGCGGAGGAGTGGGCGGGGTCGCTGCGTTTGGCCCGTGAGACCAACTCCTCTATGGGCGAGACGCCGACGGCTTTGCCGAACGAATCATTGAGTCCGAGAGAGGAGAAGTCCGTAATTGGGGCCTACATCAAAAGCGAGAGCTTATTAGTATTGTTTTATGAAAGGGAAAGCCAAAAGTACGCATACCTGTGGGAAGAGATCGTCTTCATCGTCGTCAGGGAAGAAGTCCTCGCTGGTGAAAAATTGCTGGCGCAGCGACTGCTGTGCCACCTCCTCCGGCGAGATGTGCCCGGTCTCGAGCGGTCCCGGCGTCAGTTCAGGTTCCTGGATCTCCGTCCATGCTATGCAGCGTCGGCATTCCTTTCGGCCTCGTTAGAAACATGCGAACTTCCAACGCTTGTGTGATATGATTTCAGATCGGGGGAGGGGAAAAGGGGGCTCACGGATATTCCATTGCGCCGAGAGCTCTTGCTGAACTCGTCTATCGGCTTGATGAGATTGCATAGGTCGCACTTCATCTCCGTGCGCGAGCCGGCCGCATGTTGCTTGCAGGTCATACCGCAGTGTGCAGGGTCTACTCGTCGGCCGCTGCTCGCCATGTATCGGATGTTCCTTTGCTGCGCGTTTGAGAACTGGTCGATGTCCTTCCACTCGCCGCCGACTTTGCAGCGGAACCTAGGGCAAGAGCCAGTCAGTGTGTGGTTCCTCCTGTTCCATGAGGGTTGATACTCACCGCGTGGGGGTGGCCGGACCGCCTTGATTGATCTGCATGGTGGTTAGTAGTTGAAAAGCTTGAGAATTGGAGGTCGAGGCCGAATGCATGAAAGAGATTAGTGGTGATCAAAAACGAGGGAGTGTACGAGGAGGTAGCGGTTTTTGAAGACCGCCACTAGGTAGGCAGGCACATTCTTGCCAGCTGGCGGCAAGTGCTGCTGTTGCAAGCTCCGTTTGCAGGCTGCGTTTGCACACGTCCTAGTAGTTCCACTACGTTATCAAATTCTTCCTAGGAAAGCGATGAATAGGTATATATAGTCATGATGAGGAAAAACGCTTACACATCGCGTGAACCGCCAAGTCGGGGAGACGAGTCATCGCAGTTCGACAACGTAGAGATGAGCGACCTACACAACAACAGCAGAGCATGAAATTTGAAGAGTAGCCTCATTATAAGTCTAGTTGTGACTGTACTCAATACAATCCCGCAAAACATGGTTTGAGCCGAGCCTCACTTACGGCTGGCGTTGTCACCAGGGAGCATGTAAATTTAAAGCCGTCATAACTCGGCATAACAAAGGACTGAGCGAATGAATACAGAGTATTATCCAGGGATAGTTAACAAATCTTGCTTTCAAAAGTCGTGACTTCCATAGTTCCAAGGATAGGTAAAAAGTACAGTAGAACGAGAGATGTGGGTAGATGCAGATACAGTAAATAGAAAAGACAGTCAAAATAAGAAGAATAAGAAGGATAAAGGAATAAAAGAATTAAAAGGATAAAAAGGATAAAAAGGACGAGAAGGATGAAATTTAGTATTATTAAGATAAATTTATACCGCTAGACATCGCTTTTAAAAGTGACCTCCGTATCATGCAGATGTATCACGGAGATTCCACAATACAATTCGGCCTTGGCCACTTGTTCGGACCTACAATGCCACTAATTATATGCGCCCTCCAGGAATGATCTCCCGCTCCAGCAGCTCCGTCTCGTTATCGTCCCCCGTGCGCCGCCTCTCCATAATCCAGCGCGCCTCGCCGTTGTCCTCCTCCTCCATGATGTACGATACGCTCTCGGTCGAGCTCTGCTGCCGGCGATGCCCCTTGGCCTGCCTCGAGAGCGACGCAGCCCGAGCCGGCGCGTTGGGGACCTCGGGCGACCAGGTCCACTCGCTCGAGTTCCTGCCCGGCGCGGCCGACACCGGCGCGGAAATGCTCTGGCCGTTGTGCGCTCGCGGGGGAGGATACGTAGAGGGCGCGGAGTTGCCGCGAACCGGGTTACCCTGCTGTTGCTGCTGTTGCTGGAATGCAGCGAGAGCGTTGGACTGCGCCTGCAGACCGAGTGCTGCGTTTGCCATGGTCAGTGTCGGGCTGCCGGGCAGACTTCCCAGCTCAGAATCACGACCCTCACTCGAGAGGAGCGAGTTCTGGCGTTTGTGCGTGGGTCCCGGCATGGAGGCGGTGTTGGCGGCCCACGGGGAGCTCGGAAGCTCGCCCCTCTCAGACTTTGGCGATCCTTCACGGCTCGAGGACAGGCTCGCCTGCGAGCCTCCCCACGCCTTGTTGCGGAGACGCAACAATGCGGACAGCGTCATCTCGTCGCCCTCCCCTGACATCATCGCTAGTTGCGCAAGCCCGGGGCTCTGCACGGTGGGTGTGCCGCCGACTATGGGCGGCAAAGCCATGCTCATGATCGAGTTTCGGTTGGAATATTCGGAGCGTTCCGTGATGGGGGTGAGGTTAGGCTCGCGTGAGATGAGGCGGCCACTAGCAGTTCGAGCCAGGTCACTGCGCGGTCCGAAGAAGCCGCCATTTGAATACTGGTATTCCGTGCTGCCGGAGGCGCTGGAGCTGTATGATCCCTGGTGCTGCGTCGTAGGGGCTGCATAAAACCCAAATTCCTGACCATACCAGCCGTCTGAGTCATTTGCTAACGCGCTGGCATTGGCCTCGGCAATGATCGCATCGTCGTCGAGCTCAAAATCGTCCATGTTCTCGTAGCCAAGATCGTCATAGATATCACCCGTAGGCTCATATTCCACGTCGTCTTGAATTTTGACAGTGGACTCTTGCTTCTCGGCATCCTCCAAATCTTCCGTGCTGTACTCTGACTCCTCCTCATCTTCTAGTACAGGTGACGCGCTACGCTGGAATTTACCAGAAGCCGCAGCCTCATGCGCAGCGGCAGCGAGGGCGGCTTGATACGCCGCCATCTTGCGCTGCGATGGTGTTGAGGATGGTCCCATCATTGAAGATACTCTACCTAACGGCGAAATCATGGAGCTGCCCCCGTGCGCCGCATCGGCCATGCCTGCACTATATGAAGTGTGGGCAGTAGATTGCGATTGTCCTGATTGAGCAGAGAAGCGCGAGGTCATGTCGGATTCCCTCTTCTTCAACTGACTGTCAGATTTACGCATCGACTGGGCATGAGCAAATGCACCAGGAACCGGGCGGCCAAACTGATCTGTATCATCATTGTCAAATATGGATTCATCAAATGGCTCGTCGTTAGGATCGATTCCGGCAGCGAGGTCTTCTGCAAATTCGTCCTCGTAGCCAATTATACCATCATCGAAATACAACTCGTCCTCTTGCACTGACCCTAAGACGTTCGTTCGGGCGCCAGGGGTCCTTTCTTCCTCAGTCAGTGGTGTATGCTCATTGACTGCGAGGCCTGAGAGCTGTTGTGAGAAAGCTAAATCCATATCGTCGGGATTTGTCTGAGCCGGCAAGGGGAAAGTCGCTGTCGTCGGTGTGTCTTTGGTAAGTGCTGAGCCGATCGGATGGCCATGTGCGTCTCGCGGAGTGTTCGGCATTTGGCCTGGCAAGGCAGGACTGGCGAGTGCAGATTCAGGATTCGATCTTTGAAAAACGAAACCAGAAAAGTTTTGTTGATCATTGTCGGGGTCATCCTGAGCATCAAATTGGTCCTCTTGTATGTAAGGTGTTTCGTTGAGGTAATCGTCTTCTTCATCAAAATCGGCATTAACACCCGGTATCCTTTCTTCCAGACCGTCATCGTCCATCATGGCGTCATAGTCAAATGCATCTTCATCAAATTCGTCAAATCTTGAGTCTCTTCGTTCCGTGCTCTCTGGTTCGCCCTTTTCTAATTGCCGCTGCCGATGTCTCTCCTCCATAATCTTTTCCTGCTTCGCGGCTCCTATCATATCAAAGCTGAACCGAGAGCTCGTGCTCTTCATGTGTCTTGGCAAAGACGTCATAGTATCCCTGCTTGACATTTCCGATAAGGATATCTTTCGAGAACGTGTAGTTCGTGTTGATGGATTAGCACGTCGGAAAGAATCAGATTCGCGGTGGGCATTGTCCTCGGCAATACTGGAGAGGTTTTCGTGTTGAGTGGTCGACATTGAAGAGCCACTTGAGCTGCGCATTCTGTCTCTGAAAGAGCCATTTCGCATCTCTGGGAAGGGGGCAGGCGGCAGGCTCTTGTTTTTGGAGAGATAATCAGGTGTAGAGGCTTGATTGCTGACGGGTTCCGGCGCCGCCTCTTCATGCGCTGGTGGAGGGACAGGCGTTGGAACAGGAAACGGCGCCGGCGCCGGCGCCGGCACCGACCCCCCTTGATACTCAGAAGGCGAAGGTCTTGTTATTGTTTGTGAGGAATCATTCCGCGGGATGCTCCGTCGCCTCGGGGCACTGAAGTCGTGGACACGTGTGCCCTTGATACGTGGGTCGTACGCTGGCTCGGAATCTTGGCTAGGTAGCGCGGGCGTTGGCAGAGGTTCGGGAGGGTTTTGGTTGGCTTTTCGTCGCATCAAAAGCGTAGACATGGGGTTCTTCAAAAATGGCAGGCCCTTCTTCGCCTTGTGAGGCTCCATGGGCGTGATGGTGACGTAAGAGGAGGGCGTGAAGTCGCCAGCGAGACCCAGGCCTGCAGGGCGGCGACCGGTCGGCTGAAAAGACGCTGCACCGTCCGACGGTGAGATGGAAGAGTGCGACGGCACCTTGGAGAAGCTCTGCGGCGGGATACTTGGCCTCGGTGCAACAACAGACGACGGCGCACCAACGGCGGAGGCGGCGGAGGCGGCGGAGGCGGGGGTTGTTGTCTTGGCGCGCAGCTGCTGGTCGTCGAGCTGCGGCGCGGCATGGTTCTCAGGTGTGACGAACGACCTCTGCGCCCGCAGGCCGCGTCGGTAGTTCTCTAGGGCGACGCCACCGATGAATCCCGAGTCGTTGGTGTAGGGCGAGCGGGCAGGCGGCGGCTGCATCGACCCGCGCTGCTGCTGCTCAATGGTAGGCAGCCCATGGTGATGGCTGGAAGTGGAGGACGGGGAGGAGAAGTCGGGCAGGGGCGTGGACTGGTCCGAGGCGACGCGTGGAATGGGTGGCAGCGTCGGCGGGACGAGCGACGTGGTCGATGTCGGCGGCTGCGTGTCCGGGGACGAGACGGCGTCGGGGGTGAAGGGCGAGTTCGCGTTGCTCAGCGGGGAGGGCTGCTGCTGGTCGCCGGCGGGCGACGCCGGGTTGGACGGCCCGCGCCGGTGGAAGCGTAGATGCGACAGCATTTTCGAGGATCGAACTTTCTCTATAAGATCATTCGCTGGGATCCGGCCAGGCCAGCGTATTGATTGGCTTCGCTGGGGGGCAGGCGACGGGCGCGCGAGGTTACCAAGCGAGGGCTGGCAGACGCCAAAGCTATCATCTCGCCTCGCGCCCTTGTGACGTGGAACAAACTATTGCGCTATCGTCAATCGCATCGTAGAGCAGGCGGCAGTATCTAATTCGAAGCGCTATGGATTTCCTCAAGCAGAAACAGGGGGGAAGGACCAGCAAAGGGGGCGGACGGGCGCGCGATTTGAAGCTTGTGTGTTGGTGTTGCAGAAGATTGGCAGCCTTGTTGTGGTGTGAGTCTGATGTTAGCAAATCATTACTGGTCAAAGTTATGCGACAGGCGACAAGGGGGGGGGCGAAGACAGGGAAACCACATTCAAAGTACGACTACGTAGGCAAACAAGAGCTGTGCAACTGTCAATCACATCTCTTCATTGAATTTTGCTGATTTTTTTCTTAGTATTTTATTTACTATCTGTCTAATTTTTATTCTGTTCATTGCCTTCGGTCAACCCATTCACCCATACTGCTCTGTAGTATCAGGGCTGATTAACTAGCGGGCAGCCTCCACCACAAGCCCATCTTCGTGGCTGCTGTATATTAAAGACCCCGGTTACCCGGAAACGCGATGAAATTCAGACAACAGCGACAGGCTACTGACGTAATGGAAAGTGACAGGGCCTAAAGAAGACTGTGGTTGTTGATACTGAGCCCAAATCGGCTTCTTTCTTCACCCGCTCGTGTGCTTCTTCACCCCCAACGTCTCCGGCTGCGATTCTTCATCCGAGCCCACGGGGTCGTCGCGCATTCTATGATCGAAATCCGGCACTATCAAGCCCTCTTCATCCACCACGGGAAATGGCGTCAAGACATGGCTGATGTCTCCCCACCATGTCTCGCCGAAACGTCGGTACCAGTCGATCGTGATGCGGAGGCCCTCGTCCAGCCTCGTCCGCTGGCTCCAGCCCAGGCCGCGCAGCTTCGATCCGTCCACCGCATAGCGACAGTCGTTAAAGGGCCGGTCGTGCGTGTACTTGACCCAGGTGCGGAAAGCGGGTTCTTGCATGACCGTGGCGGGGTCCTCGCTGCGGCCGTCCACCATACCCATGACGGAGAGCAGCTTGGCGCACAGATCAATGTTGGAAACCTCGTCGGAGGAACCGACATTGTAGATTTGCCCGATCTGGCCCTTGTGCAGAATGGTGTCGAAGGCATCGGCCGCGTCGCCAGCGTAGAGGTAGCGCCGGGTAGGACTGCCGTCTCCGTGAAGGACGACGGGTTGCCTTCTATTTAATAGACAGGCAAATTTTGATATGATCTCTAACGTTTGTTAGGTGCTGCTTATACATCTCCCACATCAACCATCCGGATATACACTCACTTTCTGGGTATTGATGCGGGCCGTAGACATTGTTACTCCGCACAATAATACACGGCAGCTTAAAGCTCGCTTGATACGACTGCACCATCATTTCAGCGGCGGCCTTGCTCGCCGAGTATGGATTCGTCGGCGCCAGTATACTGGTCTCGGGTAAATCGTCCTCGCCGCCTTTCACCTCCCCATACACCTCGTCCGTCGAGACATGGATGAAGCGGCGAATTCCCACCTTTTTCGCACTCTCCAGCAGCACGTGCGTCCCAAAGACGTTGGTCTGCGTGAAGCTGTACGAGTTGCCAAAGCTCAGGTCAACGTGCGATTGGGCCGCAAAATGCATCACCGTGTCGATGTTGTGCTTCTCCATGCAGTCCACCACATCGCGCGGATGGGTTAGGTCACCCACGTAGGTGGTGAAGTTGGGACGATCCGAGAGAACAGCTGTGTTATTGGCGGAGGAGCAGTAGTCCATCTTATCAAAGCATATGATGTTGTAGGCATTTGGATATGCGATGGTGAGATGCCGGACAACCCACGACGCACTTACATTCCGCCTAGTCAATATCGAGGAAAGGTGAAGATAATGAGATAGAATGGGAGATGAACTCACATGAAGCCAGCTCCACCGGTCACCATGATGTTGCACACATCTGATCTTGGCTCAAATTTCGTTGTGCCAATGAGCACAGGTGCCCGCTTCCATACTACCCCTTGCCCGTCACTCACTTCCTGGCTATCCCCATTGACGCCATTCTGATAATGTCCCATGGTGAACAACAGCGAGGTGTCGGTGCGAGTTTTTCCCCGCAATCCAGCGCGGTACAAGCCTCGTAAAGTCTTAATAATGGCCCGTTATGCGCTTTTATGCACCACACGATGACGCAAGCCTCGTTGCGACTACGGCGCGTAGAGAGTATTCAACTTGGTAGCCTTACTTTTTTGACTCACTATCTCAGCAAGTTTGAGGCGTCACGCAGTGGTTTCCGTGACGACAAGTGGCCGTTCCATTCGAGAAAATTCGTATTTCGAGCCAGAAACCGACCCGGCAACTTGAAATTAATCCCAACAGGAGAAAATAGCGAATGCAAAGCATAAAATGCCTATCAGAGCAACAGTGGCTTGTTAATCTGGCACGCGGCGGCCCGCTGATTTCTCGACCAATGTACTATTGAGGCTAGCGCAAAGCCAATCAACTTTAAACACAATGATGAATGGAAAGATGCAACTAGAATAGGGCATCAAATGGAAGAGCGTCGAGAGAATTGTTTAGATTGGCGAAACTATTCTGCTATCTAGTCTATAGGCTGTCTGTACCGATTGTACAATCAATTGTGCTCTGATGGCAAGCTTCCTGTCACTGTAACACATCATCCAACATGATCCATATACAAACACATTTGCTCTCTTGATGAAATGTTGCATTTTTTCGCTATAAAATCACAGATTGAACCGCTTTCTATCCTTCTCCATCTTTGACTTCCACTCCCACTGCGTCGCATCGTCGCCTTCGCTGCCCGCGCGCCCGATGCCCTTGTCGACACGCCTCAGCTTCAGTGTGAACCGCGGGCCGAGTTCCTGCAGGCCGGCACGGATCTCTTCGACACCCTTCATCTTCTCCCCGTCCGCCGTGACGACGCTCTTTTCCGTCACGCGCTTGTCGCGGAACACGTAGCGGTGGCGGCGCACGAAGATGTAGTCGCGCTGGTTGTGCAGGGTAATCACCTGGCGACCCTGGAACTCGGGGGCGGGTGGAAACAGCGTTTGGAAAATCTTGGCCGTAAGCAGACCGAGCGGCGTCTTGAAGTTGTTGAGGAGCAGCTCGGGGTAGTGGTTGGTGGGGTTGCCGTGCCCGGGCAGTTTCTTGCCCTCTACCCAGTTGGAGATGGAGAAGTGAAATGTCGGGCCTGACGGCAGGTGCACAACCGACATTCCCGTCGGTTTCTTGGAATCTTCCTTTAGCAACACGACGGCGGTGTAATCTCTTCCAATGCAAAACTTGCAGATCTCGCGGAGAGAGTACTTGTGGCCGTAGCGATGTGATGAACGAGGAATGTAGTTGCTGTTCGGGAAGAGTGTAGTGAGCAGATGTGCCTCCTGGTGCAGCGTCGAGTTCAATGATGTTGTGACGAGAATTTTGGGTGTGGGTGGTGGAATATCGGTAAACAGCGTAGGGAACTTGAGGGCCAGCGACGAGGGCGTCAGATCCAGGTTGGTACTGGTCGTCGAAGGGGCCACGCTGCTATCTCTGAGGGCGCGCTTGGCGCGGGCTTTCGCTTGAGCCGCTTCTTGCGCCTCATCGTCCTCATCGTCCGTGTCCAGCATACTATCGTTATCCTCATCGTTGTCTTGGTCGAGCGGGGCGTTCAGGGCCGCTTCCTCTTCGGCCTGAGCTTCCTCCATGCGTCTGCGCTTTAGCTTTTCCACGTCTACCACGGCACCCAGGCTGTCATCGTCGACATCATCCCAAACACGCTTCTGGTCCAGTGTCTTGGTGGCATTCTTGGCGAGTCGGGCGGCCTTGAGCTCGGGGTTGCGATCTTCTTCTTTCTTGCGCTGGTGTCGTTCTTCGCGCCGTCCCTTGTCCTTGTCTTTCTTATGCTGCACGTAGAGTTCTTGGCGCTTGAGCTTGTTGGCCGCCTTCATGGCCTGAGTCGGAGCCTTCCGGAAACCCATGTTTCGCACCGCCAAGTTGCAATGGCGTAAAAAGACAATTGATGGAAGACTCTGTGCTGCAAGCAGATTGACAGTCCCAGCTTTTGAAGTTAGCGGCCGACCGCCTAGGATAACAATTTTTTGGCCTGGAGGGACGTGGTATATCCGGCAGAAAATTACAAAATTTTGGCGGTGAGCACCGAAATCGACGCTTAATTGGTCACAGATGCTCTGGTCGACCCACTATACTGGATTGTCGCATTGTTAGCAAAACTCTTTGATACCAGTTCCGCCTCCCAGCACTCTCAGCTGTCTGGTAAACACATAGTTGTTGCTGTGAAAAATGTCGGCGATGGGACCGAAAAAGAGAAAGCTAGCGCAAGTGGCCGCTGAGGCCACAGAGGGCGCGTCGACAGCCGAGAAAGATGCCCAGAAATCTTTTTTCAAGAACGCCGCGAATTGGAACCTGGAGCAAGACTACGAAACGAGGCCACGCAAGGGCAAGAAGAAGGAGCCCAAGGAGAGCAACAAACTACCAATCAAGACGGCCGACGGAAGGCTCGAGATCTTAAATAGCCTTGATGCCGAAGGCGACGATGTTTCGGTCGAGAGCGACACTGAATGGCTCGAGGGTCGCGAGGACGATATCGAATGGGAGCCGGAGGAGGAAGAAGAGAAGGCACCCACAATTCCCGAATCACAACAGATTATCGAAGCGCAGGAAGAAATGGCAAAGCTTGCCATGGCACTCAACGAGAATCCAGAGGACAACATCGTCTCTCTCAAGACGCTGGCCAAGTACGGCGAGTCAGAAATCACAGCCATCCAGATGCTTGCGCTCATGACGCAAATGGCCGTCTACAAGGACATCATCCCCGGATACCGCATAAGACCCCTGATGGAAGAGGAGCAAAAAGAAACAACTTCCAAAGACATCCGCAAATTACGACAGTTTGAGCAGTCGCTCGTTTCCGGCTACCAGCACTATGTCAAGGAGCTAAACCGCGTCGCCCGCCTCGGCGTCAAGGCCCGCCCCGGGACGCAGAGCATCTCCAATGTCGCCTACACCTGTGCCTGCACACTCCTGACGGCCGTCCCGCACTTCAACTTCCGCTCCGAGCTGCTCAAGACAGTCGTGTGGAAGCTGAGCCGGCGGCGCGTCGACGCCGACGGCCACAAGTGCCTGCAGGCGCTCGAGACGCTCTTCCGGCAGGACGACGAGGGCCGGCCGAGCATGGAGGCCGTCTCGCTACTCACCAAGATGATGAAGTCGCGCGAGTACCAGGTCGACCAGCTTGTGCTCAACCTGTTCCTCGCGCTACGCCTACTCTCCGAGTTTCGCGGCACCGCCTCCAAGGACGGCGTCGACAAGGAGGGCGGCGGAGGAGCGGACGGTGAAGACGGGGGAGCCTCCGCCCAACAACAGCACAAGGGGAAGAAGAACAAGCGCGAGTTCCGCACCAAGCGCGAACGCAAGATGCTCAAGGAGCAAAAGTCCATCGCCAAGGAGATGACGCAGGCCGATGCGCTCGTTAGCCACGAGGAGCGTGAGCGCATGCAGTCCGAGACGCTCAAGATGGTGTTCGCGTGCTATTTTCGCATCCTCAAGCTGCGCGAGCCGCACCTCATGGGCGCCGTCCTCGAGGGCCTTGCCAAGTACGCCCGCCTCATCAACCAGGACTTCTTTGGCGACCTGCTCGAGGCCCTTAAGGACCTGATCCGCCACAGCATCGAGGACGCCGACGCCGAGGGCCCCGGCGACGACGACGAGGCCGGCAAGAACGGCGCCGAAGATGACGGCGACGACGATGAAGATGCCGAGCCCTCGCGCAACCTCACCCGCGAGGCGCTCCTGTGCACCGTCACTGCGCACACGCTCCTCGCCGGACAGGACGCCCACGACTCCCGCAACACCCTCCACCTCGACCTCTCCTACTTCACCACGCACCTGTACCGCTCCCTCCTCGACCTCTCCACCAACCCGGACCTGGAGCTCACCAAGCCCTCGAGCTCCGCCGCTGCCGCCGCCGCCGGCCGCTCTTCGCGCATCAACGTGCAGACCACGACCGTGCTGCTCCTCCGCTCCCTTACCGCCATCCTCCTGCCGCCCTGGAACGTCCGCTCCGTCCCTCCGCTGAGGCTCGCGGCGTTTACGAAGCAGCTCATGACCTCGTCATTACAGCTGCCTGAGAAGTCGTGTCAGGGTACGCTGGCCCTGCTTGGCGATGTTGCACACACACATGGGAGAAAAATCAGCAGCTTGTGGAATACTGAGGAACGCAAGGGCGATGGGCGTTTCAATCCTTTCAGTGATAGTGTGGAGGGGAGCAACCCTTTCGCTACCACGGTCTGGGAAGGTGAACTCCTGCGCAAACACTACTCACCAAAAGTTAGAGAAGGGCATGAGTTGTTGGTAAAGCGCATGAATTCAAAATAGATGTATATAAGCTATGTCACGAAATACAACATGAACCTATCCATTTATTGATATTCTCCGCCGTATCTTAAGATCCGCATATTCTAGTCCTTCAAAATCCTGGATCGACAACTAGCTTCTGGGAAGATTTGGGGGTGAAGGGCTCTGCTTCAGCCCGAAGCGCGTGTTGCGGTTTTCTTCCTTCTTTACCTTGACTCTTTTTTAGTTCACTTAGCTCAAACAAGGGGCAAAAGTCTTGGTGGATAAGAATCTGCAAGTTGACAGAGAATCTGTTTGTGCTTGGGGAATTTTCGGTTTCTTTGGACGCAAAACGAGATGCTGCAAGGCCCTTTTGCGGCTTTACAGTTGGGGCGCAGGTGCACTTAACAGGCGTCGGCGTCTGCACTGGTGTCTGCGGCGTCCTCACAGGCTGCTCAATTGCCTGCAACGCAAAACGAGAGGCTGCAAGGCCCTTTTGCGGCTTGGCAGCTGTGTCGCAGGGGTCTTTCACAGGCGTCGGCATCTGCACTGGTGTCTGCGGCGGCCTCAAAGGCTGCTCAATTGCTTGCATCGCTAAACGAGTCTTGTCCTCGTGTTCGGGTGTAGACGGCAGACTCACGGCTATCTTTGAAGTGTTAAATATGCCTGCGAAGTGTTTGTCTGCCTGCGGAGCCACTGGTCTCGTATCTCCATTTTGCTTTGCCAACGCTGGCGACTGGAGGTTCCATTGCTGTAGTTTGTCAACCAAAGGATCAAATTGTGCCATCTCTTTCTCGCGCTGGGACATGAGTGCAAGGTAGTCGTCAAGAACTGTAGTCGCAGGTGCTGGCCTATGTGTGGTGCAAGCTGCAGTTACACTCGCAACAGGCGTGGGCTGACACTGCACGGGATTGGGCAAGTTGCGCGACACCTCGGCCTGAGAGGATACTGCAGGCTGGGCTACTAGAAAAGATAGATCAGTCTCAACGTTTCGAATCGGACCTCAACCTGAGAGCAGTTACCTACCTAAGAGGGCGCTGGCGGGGACGTCCTTGCGGTTCAAAAAGTCAAGTCCTCGGCCGCCGGTGATTGATGATATGCCCTTCTGCCCCTGCCATATAGCTAGCGAAGTCAAATTCTGCCGACGCGAGTAGGGCTGCTGAGGTGTCTGGCGTTGCACAGGTGCCTGTCGTTGCACCGGTGCCAGCCTTCCACTTGTGGCGGTTGCGTTCGAGGCCCCGGGTCCTTGAAAGGTGTGAGGTCAGTTTTGGCATGACGGCAGGTTCCAAACACATACGAATGATGGACTGTGTGAGCTGCTGTCGGGCCGCACTGCGTAGCGGCGCCCCTCGGTCGTACGATTGGACATCACTTCCCGGCTTGCGTTTGGGCTTTGCTGGTTTTGCTCTTGCAAAGCTTCTGGCCAGAGCTATAGCGTCCGCCAGCTTTGCCTTATCGTTGTAATAATTCGACATTGCTGCGATCCGCGAAACCGCCGGCAACGAGCAGTCGTCTGGCGGGGAGAGATGATGCTGGCTCAAAGGTTCAGGGAATGAAGAAGATGTTGAGGCACGAAAGAACAGAGGCAAACCTGAAAGAAATGGGGTTTCTGGCAGCCGGCAGAGAAGGAAGAAGATGTTAAGGAACGAAAGAACAGATGCAGGCCTGAAACAGATGGGGTTTTTGGCAGCTGGCAGCTGGCAAACGGCGACGCAGATGGCGGTGGGCGCTTTCACTTCACCTGCCGTTTGCATCTTATTTCACTGCTGCTACCTTGATTTTCTTAGAGCCGACAGTGGTCTCCACCGATATTATCTGGGATGGACAGTACTGTAGGCTCTGGGCCTCGTTGAGCCATTCACATGCCACTGGCTTGACAGACTTTTTCACCAGATCCCACAGCGCGCTGGAACCTGGAGCGTCACTCTTGATAGCCACAGATGAGACGCGTGCTACACCGAGGCAGCTTCCCAGTCTGTCAGAGCATGGCTTAGAAAATCCTACCAACCGCGTAGCGCAATCTTTCTGAGCGTCACTTGAAGACGCCGCGACCATCTGCGGAAAATGGCTGTTGAATGCAGCAGTTTGGTTGCCTCTGCAGACGAATACCATGGAGTATTTCTGCTTTCCCTTTGATTCATTATCATATTCCATCTCTTTTTCGGTGATCTGAAAGCCCCGCGTGATTGAGTTGAAGCCAACATCCACCTGTGCTGCAATCTCCGGCATGGCCGGCGGGTCAACGACCATTGGAACAGTGTCTTTGACAACGTCTTTCTCCAGACGTCTTCGTTTCTTTTCTGCTCGCTTGCCCTTGGAAGGTTTGATGTGTCTTTGGCGATGCTTGCCTATGGGGCTCAAATACCTAGGCGGTCATAGGTAAGTAATCAATCGTCAGGGGTAAGCTGCCAGGACTGAAGACTTACTCGCAGAGCACTTCAAGTATGGCGTCCTGGTCCTCTTGGGATATTTCCGGCCTACAGTATCATCGATTTTAGCAGAATGAAAGCTACAATAGCAGGCACCATGGAAGCTTTTTACCATAAAGCGGTGGCGAGGGGTGACCCAAGATGGTGAACAATTTTCTTGCGAACAGGCCCGCCAATGGTGGAAGTCATCGTAGTGGTCAAGCGCAGCTGAATTTGCCGCGTGAGGTTCGCTGCTCCAAGCAGATAGCTGATAAATGTTGCAGTTCCCGGTTTGAGCAAAAATTTCCGCGATAGTTAGGGTGCGCAACTTGGTTAGATGAAGAGTTGGTGATTTCTGGTGTAAGAAAAGTCGCGTCGAACACTGGGACTGGCGCGAGATACGACCCGCATTTGACAGTGTCCAGGCTGAGTCGATCACCACAGCGCATCACTTTGTACCTGCAACTTACAGCACCACGCTCTTCTGTGATAACTTCATGTTTTTTACTACTTTTATTCTCGAAAATAGATTGAGCCGGGAAGTCAAGGTGATGTAGGGACCTCTCAGGTAGTATTCAGAACGCCATGGTCTCGACCTCATGCTTTCCAATCACACACTTGCTATTACCAACGCTCCAGAAATGAAGTTAGAAACACCTATGCTAAAGGGCCTCCTTCGTTTTTTAACTCTCAAGCTACGCAAACGAACTTGTCTACTTCGTCCTACTACTTCAAATACGCAGGGTCACACGCCACGAAAGAATTTTCATCATAAATAATACCAAGCTGCCACGATCTAGTTCTCACCCACCATGTATGTACATCTCAGCCCAGTCTCCAGCAGGTAACCAAAGTTGGGCTTTATGGGTGTTGCCTTGATAAGACTATGGTAGGGGAATTTGGTAAAATGTTACTAAGGAGCTGTTTAATAACAAATACCTAGAGAGGCCTGTTAAATCAGCTCCTCGGTAAAAATTACGTGTTCGAATTTCAAAAGGTGCAGAGTTCCGGGTAGGAAGACAGCGTCAAGGTATCTTTGTACTCTCTGGTCATGTGGTTGGCACACTGTCTGTACGTACTGTATGTACTCGTATCCATAGTGCCGCGGTGTATCCGTACCACTACCCAGGTAACTGGCGGCTTTGGCCCTTAGTGACCTGGGCAGGCAGCGTACTAAGGCAGGGCAGGTTGGCTTCGAGCGCGACTGCCACCAAAGGGAGGTGAAGTCACAGATTCGAGCAAATGGAAGAATAGAATATAAACAGCTATGTTATTGGCGGCAGAATGTGTCTGATCTATCCAATATATGCCCCCAAAGTGTCGGTGTCGGGAGTATCGTAGCTGGGGTTCTGTGAGAGGGCGCCAGAATATGACGTCTGTCGAACAAGTTGACCGTTGAACCCGACGTGCCGCCCATGCAACCTGGAAATATAATGATGGCAAGGACACTTGTTTTTTTTCTCCTCGGTGCGCGCACTTGTAACCGTTGCACAAATTACACAGATAACAGATAACAGGTACCGACCTACCTATTGTACATACGGATGCATGTATGTAGGGTAGGTAGTTACATCATCACCGAAGTATAAGCGCCTAGTTACCAGGTATCTTCTCGACCTGTTGCCTTGCGGCACGCCCGATTACCCCACTGCCATCACTACGCTGCCCACACACACACCACCATCTGCACCACACAGGCCACCCACTCTTCTTCGACAGCTTTAAAGCTGCCCCTCGTCAACTCCACCCAAGCACGGCTGGCGGTTGGCGAACGCGATCCATCGATAGTGTACTGATACGTTACGACACGACCTCGTTTTTTCTTCTTCTTTGCCACTGTTAGTCTCTTTCTTACTTCTTTTTCCCATCAACCTTTCTGGCATCCGGCTCTACGCTTCTCGCCCAGCGCCTGGTCGCTCCCCTCCCAATCCTCATTGTCCTGCCAAAGAACCCACATGTTAACGCCTGCCGCCGGCCGCCCCAGACGGCTTTCACGGCTCCGTGACTTTGTTGGAGCCTTGCCCACCAAGACGCCATCTCGATGGACGGATCCGGTGCGTCCGTCGACAGCTGCGACGTCGACCTCCCGACACCGCCCGAGACTACGACCCGACCGAACCCTTTCGAGAATGATGATGCTGCTTCATCTCGCAAACGTCGCCGAACCTCTACATCAGCTTCCATGTCGCCAGCCCCCCAAGAACGCCTTGACGTCGATACCGACACAAACAACCCCAACCATATAGTTCGCCAGCATGATCAAAGTTCAGCGCTACAAGAAGCTATTCCTATACCCGACAGCCAGACCGACAACATCCAGACGCCCTTATTGCCAGACTCTACGACCTCGCTTGACCCTTCGAGCCAGCTCACACTCAGCTTGCGACGAATGGTGGACGACAATCGAAGCGATTTATCTCAGAAAGGAAAACATCTTTTGGCCTTAGAGCTCAATTCACCAGGTTTAGAGCAAAGGGGTACGTCAGACGAGGATCAGGGCACGACGACACGGTCGTATGATGGCACGTCCTCCTCTGATCTAGAAGAAATCGTCACCCCCCCGGAAGCCTTTCCATTTCGACTAGCAAAGGATGATGCACACGATCCCGTAGTAAGATTAGTGCGTTATGTATCTAATGGCAAGTAACTTGAACAAACTACCCCAATCACGCCTTTTACTAATTGGCGGATTTAGAGCGGAACATTGACGTTGTGAACCTCCAGAGACTTTCGAACTGGATGCGACACTCGGCGATCAAGTTCATTGAAACCTCGGACTGGAGCACTGTACAAGTCGCGCTGCGATCGCAAAATAAGTTCTGGTTTTCATTCCCAGCAATCATGAATGCACTAATAACAAGGTATTGTTTCATTTCCATGGTCTCCAGTAGGACGACACCAGGCTTATCTAAATCAGAATTTGCGATGATAGCTCAGACCCCATCAATCGCGCCGTTGAAAATATCCTGTCACTTTATTCGCTTCTCACCGCTGCTCTCGTCAAGTTTGACCACGGGACCCTTCAGCGAGCAGTTTTCCGTGCCAATGAAGATGATGAGTTCATCTTCTACTCTACTGGATTCTTACGTGTTTGGTATGATTTGATGCATAGAGAAGAACAGGAAACGTCCAACACCGATCAACACATGCCTTGGACACGATGCGCAATGTCGAGAATTCTGGTCTCTCCCTTGATCACGACGCAAGACGAAGGAACACAGTGGATAGGCTCTTTCGCCTGTGCTCTCGCCACATTTGCCACTACTCCGAAGTTTCAGCTGCGCGACTTTGCCCTTCTCACCTGCATCATTAATGACTGCGTCACCGCATACTACCACTACCACTGCCCAAGAAGTGACGCAGCTCTTACCGAATCAGCCCCGATTGACTCCACTGATAGCAGCCATCAAACGCGAAAACTGTGGCTGACACTCTCTGACACATTCACTGCAATCACTGAGAAGAACATATCTATTCTGAGCGCTGAGACGGCCCATAGCCTGTTTCGCGCTCTCAGCAACGTCCTGTCTATCATTTGCCAATCGGACAATCGAATAGAGAAAAATCAACCTGACGGCGTTGACGATCTTCTCGAGAAGTTCAGATCAAAACACCCTGAAGCAACACCCGAGGTCGTGCAGAGAGCCGCACCTTGGGAGTGGAGACTCGGGATACTGGCAAAACTCATTCAATCAGGACTGATGCAGCTTCGAGTTATGGCTGTCAAAACGTTGTGTGGCTATTTGTCCGATGTTTGGGCACATCAAGAAGCGACTGTTGAGGGTCGTCACTTTCTACGCTACGTGGGACATATTGTCGATACAGAGTTGATTGGCTACATCGTTGGCCCATCTTGCCATCCCGAGATCATTCTGGCGAGCACCAATATCGTCATGTTTCTAGCTCTATCCGATGCGAGCACAGATCTCCTCATTGATCGACTTTGGCGCTCCATCCGGACAAGTCAGGATCCGCGAGTCGCTGATGCAATCACACGAGTCACCAACAGTGTTCTTGCTGCATTGCCCTACGGTCAGCTGGTGCATCTCTGCGAAAGGTTCAATGAGATTGGCTGGAAGGATTTCTCCCCACTGCTTCGAAACCTTTGGGAAAACCTGATAAGCGAGATGGCGTCTAAAGTGCAGCGTACTGGCCAACCGCTCACGGCGCATCCATTTCTTTCTATTTTGCATGTGTTGAGAGAGATGCCGACTTGCGATAATGGTGCTCATTACGCTCATGCTGATCTTCACGTGGTGGCCACGACACGGATTCGGGAGCTACTGAACAACGGCTTGGAGATCCAAGTTCGAAAACAGCTGTACACAACTTGCGTCGAGCACCTGATATCTCGTTCGCCAACAACGCTCGGCAGTCTTTGGTTTATTTCTATTTGCCTGCGGCCATCTATTGCTACTGAGCTCCAGTATCTCACGGAAACGCATGACATTGTTCGGGTGGTAGTGGAAGAATTAGAGTCCACGGTTAGTACCGCCTCTGACTCTTCCACGACTGTCTTTGCCGGTCTGGCGAATCAAGCTCGCCGAGATTTGATCTCACAAATTCTTCATTTCCAACCCAAGTCAGTTACCGAAGACCTGGGCACCAGGCTCTGGGAAGCTTTGGTAGGCTCCAAGGCTCTCAATACCGCTGACCGGCACGCGGCTTGGCACATGATTTCCATTGTTGGGAAAAATAGCAGGTTTCAAAACCCTTTCTTACAGACGTGTTTTTCTACACACCTCCGCAACTTGCCCGCCGTCTTGTACTGTGATGGAATGCTCAGTTTTGTGAAAGAAAATGTCCTCCGGCTGGTCAACCACGCGGATGAGTTCAATCTTGACCACGAAGAATTCGTTTCCGAGAGCGGAATAGAGCATCTCTGGCGGGTAATACTCTCTGCCTTTGACGAGAGCATTGCCATGTCTGCCATAGTTTTGCTCGCGTCTGGAGTCTACCTGGAGAGCAAGGCAATCGCGAGTTGTACGGAGAATCGGGCCCGAACCTTTCACCTCAAACTTGTTCGCCAATGCTTGAAGCTCATGCGCGAAGCTGGACATGCTGTACAAGCTGCTCCAACAGATGAAGGCGCAGATGACGAATCAATCGTTGTGGTCGAACCTGAGCGCGAGACGGAGCAGAAAGAGCTCGAGTTTTTGCGCGTGTTGAGATTGCTTCATTTTTTCTTGGATGCGCATCGCGAATATCCTCGTTATGCCACCGCCGATTTGCGGTCCTTGATACCAAAGAGCGCTACGGAAGTGAAAGGCGAACCAACCACACTTTGCTATCAGGCGTTCAGTGACGATAACAAAGGCGAGGTCGAACGGCTGCAAATAGGTCGCGAAAATTCCCTCGGATCGCTGCTTGCTACCCTCAGAGACGAGACCGGGTTTAAGAGATATGAAGCGTACTACCGAGGTCGGCACCTAACTCCAAGTGAGATGCAATCCAACAGCTCTTTGCAGGATTTGGACATGTGTGATGGCTTGATTCTTGTGAAGGAAGCTATTGCCGACTCCGAAATGCCTCGCCACGTGAAGCCTGGGTCGTCGGCCATCGAGATTGAGATCATCTCTCAATTTTCGCAGTTCTGGCAGTATTTGATAATGGAGGAGACTATTGCCGCCGAGGTAAGCTTATGGAATATGAGGAAATGTTTGCACCCACTGATTAATGATTTTCAGACATACAACTTTCTTCTACGACTTCCTGCCGATGGCCAACTGATGCTGAGCTTGAGTGCAGATGATGTCAAGTATGAGAATTATTTTGTCCCTGATCAACCCTACAGACTGCTCTACACTATTTTTGCCCTGATGGAATGCGTTAAACATGCACAATCTCGACGAACTATGGTGTCCGCCCGGTCATCACCGACTGTCGCGGCTGAAACCGCAGAGCCCTGCGTCCAAATGGTCAACAGGGCTTTACAGCTACTTGCACGATGTCTGGACGACGTGATGACTACCCAAATATCTGGCAGGGTGAACGTACTGGTGATATCAACCCTGATAGAGCAGTTTCTGTGCCTTCTTGACGGTGCGTCATAGTCCCTAAAATTTGATGGCCAGGTAAACTAACACAAGGCAGTTGCAACAGAGCATACTGCTCCTTACCAAGGACTCCCAATGCCGTCTCCATGTCGAATACTGTCAATACTAGACGACGCTACAAGCTCTTCAGAACAAGAGCTCATTCCACTCAGTGTTAAATGCCTGTCTTTGGTCCTGCGCCTTGGATTGATCGATGAGCAATTCTGGCTGGCGGTCGTTGATGGTCCATTACTAGCAACACATATGCGTCGGATGTGTGTCATGTCCAGCCAAATGCAAGTACGAGAACATTGCATTTCCATGATCGAAGAGATTATTATGAAAGAGAGTGAGATGGCGGTTGGGAATGGCCGTATTGTGAAGTACTCCTGGAATTGGGCGCTAGAGGCGTTGGCGACTATCCCGGATATGGGAGAGAACTGTCGAGAGCTTATGATATTGCTGTGCGGTCTTGTTGTCAAGATGCATTTGGAATACCCCGAAAGCACGGATCTTGCCTCTTTGGTTCAGCAGTTGACCAAGTATCTGGTAGCACATACATGCACTGAGGTAAAGTCAGCCTCTCAAGTCTTGACGTGGCGCCTAACTTTGAAATAGGAAATTTCTCAGGTTGCGCCGTGCGACGTGGTTACCGAGGGACTGGTTACTATCCTGCATCGCTGTATTCAATTCGACGGGGCTCTTGCTCAGTATATTCCAAGGTATGTATGCCTGGTTTCTGCCTCCGGCGAACTCACAATTGACTTTTACATAGCGATTCTATTGCCCTGTTGATGAAAGTGCATCTCTTCCCGCAACAGCAGGACGGAACAAGCGAGACCTTGCCTAGAATCATTCTTAATTCTGCAATCAGAGCTCAGCTGTACGAATGCGTATTCGTCTACATAAGGGCCAACAATGACAGGCTGCTGGAAATGATGCAGTTTCTGGGAGGCTTGGTTCCCTTCAATGCTGCCGGTGGTATGGGTCGGTGTTCTTGCAAAAGCTTAGTGTCCAGGCTGACATCGAGAAAAACAGAACCGTACAAATATGACCTTCCGTTCCAATTCGAACAAGAGAAGGCCCTGCGATCTCCTGCCGGCTACGTTGGCTTGCAAAATCTCTCTAATACTTGCTATCTGAACTCGCTCATCACACAGTTGTACATGAATCCTGGCTTTCGGAGTTACCTGATGTCCTTTGATGTGGAAGAAGGCGACGACTCCAGGGCACTCTTGCGTGAGACTCAGCGACTCTTCTTGCATCTTCAAGAGAGCATTAGTCGATCGGTGGAGCCAGTTCAATTTGTTGGCGCAATCAAAACATATGATCAGGGGCCGATCGACATCAACAGCCAGATGGATGTTGATGAGTTTTACAACCTTCTCTTTGACAGATGGGAGGCACAACTTCCGGATGCCACGGCAAGGACAGGGTTTCGGTCAATTTACGGCGGTCAACTTGTGCAACAGATCAAATCGAAAGAATGTGGCCACATATCGGAGAGACTGGAACCGTTCTCGGCTATTCAGTGCGACATAAAGGGGAAATCGACACTGGAAGATAGCCTGCAAGCATATGTGGGCGGAGAGATCATGGATGGCGGTAAGATTCCTGGAGCATACGCGAGGGAAAGTGCTAACAAATTACAGACAACAAATACAAGTGTTCCTCATGTGACCGGCATGTCGATGCTGTGAAAAGGTGAGTGTTGAAGTCAAACTGGGATAGCAAAAAGATCCTAACAATCTTAGGACTTGTTTGAAGGACACACCGGACAATGTCATCTTCCATCTCAAGCGATTCGATTTCGACCTGCACACGCTGCAACGAAGCAAGATTGATGACTACTTTGCCTTCCCCGATATGATAGACCTGCAACCGTACAAAGTTGAGCACCTCAGTGGACCGGCGCCTGATGACAAGCCAGATATGTTCGAACTGGTTGGTGTACTTGTACATGCAGGCACCGCAGAATCCGGCCACTACTACTCCTACGTGCGTGAACGCTCGGCAAACCAGGAGACAACCGCAAAGTGGATAGAGTTCAACGACGACCAGGTGGGAATATGGGATCACGCATCCATGGAAGCGTCAACCTTTGGAGGCCTGGAGCGGCGTTCAGGGTACGAAGATAACAGCATGCCATTCAACAAGAGCTACAGCGCCTATATGCTTTTTTATCAGCGGATGTGTGCACCAAGACCAGCCGCTGAGACACAGCCGGCATCAGAGGTTGGCATGTGCTCAGACACGACGAAGAGCGAGACTTTGAAAGAGCATATTCACAGTGAAAACGTCCTACTCCTGCAGCGTCACTGCTTGTTCGACCCAAACCATGGCAAGTTTGTTCAAGCCTGTGTCAGCGAATGCCTCCAGCTTCAAGTGACCCCCCAGACCGGGTTGGAGCTGGATGGGCAACCACTAGACGAACCACAGGCACCAAAGGCCTGTCAGCTGGCTGTGAGAACTGCTCTGAACTATCTGGACCAGATATTCAGTCGCAACAAAGATTACGGATTCGCCGTCATATTTTGCGACATGCTGACCGAGGCAGCCCAGAGACAGCAAGGCTGCGCAAGACAAGTGCTCACGTATTTCCAACGTCGTCCAGCTGTGCTGCGCTCCCTCTTGTTACGAAACCCGGAGCGAGGTGTGCGTATCGCTACGGGTCAGCTGTTTGTAAGTTGCTTGGGGACACTTTCCAGGCGCTGCCCGCAGCTATTCTATTCTCGGACCGACGCGGCGATATTGCTCAGTGATGATGAAGACGAAGAGATGGACTTTGAGGACGCGGAAGATGACATGGTCTTGTCGCGCGCCGTTGAGCCACTCAATCAGCTTTGGCAGTACTTCCAGAACCACATTCGAGCATGGGATGAGTACTTCCACACAATTCTTGACGTGGCCAAGCTTGGGAGGCAAGAGTGTGGTGAAATATTGGCTGCTGGATTTTTGGAAAAGTGTTTCAAAATCATCACAGCGGATCGCTCTATGGAGCTTGAGGCGAACTTTGTCAGGATGCTGCACAATCTGTACAGACGGTTCAGCACGCAGCCACCGTCTTACGCGGCTATCCTGGAACTCACAGACTATCTCATGGACCAGCTCGAACCAGAAATCAGCCCTGAGACGATTGTGGAAACGGAGGATGAACGACTGGCGTATACCAGTGAATATCTTCCATGGACATCAAGAGAAATCACCTTCTTCTTGAACCACCCTGATGAAGAGGGCTCTAGCCTGTTTATGGCACGCTTGCTGCAGATCAACCAAGCGCCAGAAGCTACGCAGCGGATCCTAGAGAGAATATTGCGGGCAGGTGAACTACCCACAGGAAAGCTTTTGCACCTGCTCGAGAACACTATTCGAGCTTCGTCGACGGAACCATTAGATGCGTACATCCGAGCTGCCACAGTTGTCGTTGAAAATTGCAGTCGTTTGAGCGCTGCCCAGCGGTTGGTCCAGCACATAAGCAATCAGGCAGCAAGCTTCGAGAGAGGCGAAGGGGAGGCATTTCTTGGACTGATACAGCGGGCAATTGACAGCGACCGGGCGAACGAGGAAGAGCGTTCTCAGATACGGCTCTCAACGCTGCTAACGATGCCGCGGTGGGCGCCAGCTTTGCTCCAATATCCAGATGTTCAGGTACGAAACGGGGCGGAGAATTTCGTGGACATGGCATTGCGGTTGCCACTGGACAGCGGGTCTCAGAGCACTGGGCTTGCGGAACTATCCTCAGACCTTGGGCTGGCAATTGGAAGGAAGTGCCTCCAGTACTTCCAAGACGCTCACGTGAAGCGCAGAGTATCTATTGAAAGAGAACTCGCCGCGGTGCTGATTCGAGTACTGGGAAATTGCAGCCTGGTTGTGTCAGAGAGCGAAACATTGGACGAGGACACCAAAGAAGCTTTTGGTGCGCAGTACCGAGGTGCGTACATTCGTCGTGTCGGGCGTCGCGGGCTCCCAATACTAACTGGTCGTGTAGCAATTCTTGAGGAAATGACTGCACTCGAGGTTGACCGAGTGGCGGAAGACGGATCTGGTAAGCAACGTGGAATAACATATTGGGTAATCAACGGCATCTAACTTGGTGGCTACAGACTGGGAAGGATCGGCGCTTTCATCCGAGCCCATGGAAGATGCCGAAGGGGAAGTGGTAACCACGCTGATGGGAAATGGATACGTATGAAATGAAGATTGACGCATAGCCAGAATGGTTGGAAAACGGGGAAGAGCATGTGCTTTGTTTGTTTTTTCGGGTTGTCTTGTCTTTTTCTTTGACATGGAGTTGAACAGGGCATGACATGAAGATTAGACATTATCGATGAAGTAATGAATTACGCACGGACAAACACTTTCGTAGCTTGGGATAAAGGTTTTATTGGTGGTCCAGTTGCGTGATAGATGGATGTTTCTTCATCACGAGGCTGCGAGGTCTTGGTGTGAGTGAGGTATCTACTCTCCGCCCGGTCTCACTGACACACCGGCATCTAAACGACGGCACAAACAGTTATTCGTTATCAGCAAGGTTTATGAGAAAACTACAATGAGCACAGCGATTAAAAAGGAAATCTCAAAACAGACGCCGCAGGGTGGACTTCTTCTCCTCCTAGGCCACCGCCGCGACGGGCAGCGGCTTGACCTGCAAGCCTCGCACCTTGCTAAGCAGGCCGAGCAAGCTGGCGACCGTCACCGCCTCCTCCTCTTCCGCGGAGTCCGCGGGCAGGAGGAGCACGCCCTGGCCGTCGCACAGCGAGAGCGAGGGCGCGCCTGGCCGACGTGGTGGTAGACGGCGCGGACGGCGCCGCCCTCCCCCGTGCGACGTGGACGTGGTCGTGAGGGTGTACCGCAGCGGCCCGGTCTCCAGGGGCTCGACCCGCCAACTGCAACAGCGTCTTGCCGGAGTCGCCAGCGTAGGCGAAAAAAAAAAAAGGTGTAGAAGGGGTGCTGGCCGGTGCCGGCGGCGGAGACGGTGTCCGGGGACGGGAAAGGAGGACTCGACGCGGATGGTCCGGCCCCGTCACCGAGGACCAGAGAAAAGTCGTCCGTGGCATCGGACAGGTGACTGCCACCTCGTGTTAGCACCACCGGTTGTCACCGAGGGGGGTGGCGGGGCAAAGATGCACGCTCACACTGTGACTTCCCGGTTGTCGCTGGACCGCCGCAGTGTCAGCTTGCCCGCCTCGCTCGGCGGCACCGCGTACAGCACCGTGTCGGCGATGACGCGCCGCAGGGTCTTGGTCATGGCGGCGAGGCGGGCCGCCCATGGGAGCGTCGCCGAGGACGTCGCTGCTGTTGCCGCGGAGCGGGGGTGGTGGAGGGCGTGGGCGTACTCGGCGCTGATGTCCGTGCAGAGGACGGCAGCACTCGGGATCGTCCTGCGGCGGGATGGAGAGGACGAGGGAGAGGTGCGAGGGGCGAGGCCGGTGCCGGCGATGGTGCCGACGGCGCGATCGCGCTGCTGGGAGGCGCTGATGGCCTCGAAGCCTTGGGCGCCTGAGAAGGCGGACATGTTAACTGGGAAGAGGTAAGACTCGAGTGGATGTGTGATGTGGGCGTTGGCGGCGATTATTGCAAGATATGTTGTGTATGGGAAAGCTGGTTTCGCTGGCGAAGAGCGGAGTATCTTATAGGAAGAAGAGGAAGAAAAAGAAGATAAAAAAGAAGCAGAATAAAGGCAAAGATTTACATCGTCCAGCCGGGGGAAATGAGGAGAAGGAGGCGTCATCTGGTCACTGATTTGTTTGCCTTGCCGGGTTCCGCGTCCGCCAAGCCTTGCAATAACGCGGGAACAACTGGTGTGACTACGTAACCTGACCTCAATTATCCAGAAACAAAGCTGATGATCAGTAAAGACAAACCTCGCATTGTTAGGCGGCCAGGTTGGTTGGTTGGTTGGCTCAGGCCACACACAGAAGCCGGGCAACTTCAGATGCACCTCTGTCTGGGGTCGACAATAAGCAGTCATGCGGACACAGGCTACCTTTCGGCTCAATTCACGGTGATTTGCAATTTACGCTCCTGACGCAAAGTCACTTGACGTGATAAAAGGGCACAGGCTCGCTGCCATGACGAGTTGGGTCCCGGTGCGCCCTCAGGAGGCTCACGTATGTACCCTGTTGGTACGCCTCCCTCGGGGTGACTAGAAGCTTGATTCGGTTGCGGGACATGGCCTCCGAGTGCGTCTACTGAGTTAGTATACGACACAAGTTGCAGAAGGGCGACAAAGGCGCATGTTTGCATGAGCCAACCTCTGCGAGGGTGGGCAACGCGTATGCTTTAACGGCGGCCGGGTAGGTGGTGCGGCGCCCGACGGGATGGACAATGATTGTGATGAATCCAGGGCCGTCTTGGGAGATTTTCTTTTACGAGTGAAGAGCAACGAACACACCAGCCAGGGTCGAGGCTGGGGGAAATCGAGTGTCGACAATGTCGCCCGGGAAAATGTAGGTTTGGGGTGTTGGCAGGCCCCTGTTGAGGGCTACCAAAAAAAAAAAAAAAAAAAAAAAAAACCCAGCGAAAAATGGTAGAAACATCATTTGTTAGCCCTTTCTATGAGCCGCCCTCGTTCTTTTTGTGACGTGGTCTGGCTCACATAGCAGGCTGGCAGTTTTTCTGTCTGCCCCTTGCACAGAGAGAGAGAGGGCGGGCTGTGCGCGACATCACATCACGCCCTCATCAGGCAAATCAGAAACAAGGCTGGCAAGTGAATTGAAAGGCGGTTGTTGGTTGTCTTTGCAGGGACAACAATCAGCCTTGCGGAAATTGCACAGAGCCAAAAGGCCGGCATGAAACCTGTGATGTCGTGGCCATGCAGCCAGGTGCAAAGCCTGCATGCATGTCGGCCGGGGATGGGATGGATGCAAGAATTTGACACCACCCCTCTTCTTAATCCTAGCTTATTAGTTAATAAAGTGAATTCCTATTTTTAAAACACGGTCCATCTCTTGCCGAAGCTTTACTCCGGCTGGAGTGGGTAAAGCAGCCGGACGTGAAACTGGATAGTGAGGTGCACGTATTCCGGACAGCCCTAGCTACGTGGATTGACAAGAGAAGGATGTGGGTATTCAAGCCCGTCGAAACATGCTTGCAGTGGCCGTTGATGCCACAGGAGCCCGAGGCACCAGTACTGGTGAGGGCGCCTGATGGAACGTTGACGGGTAGAGAGATGACGTCTGTCCCAATTTTGATTCGGTCGGATCTGGTGCAGCTGAGGGAGCCGTATTTGAGGTGGGAGCGGCCCGCAAGTTATCGATTCGAAAGCCTGCAAGAGAATGACGGCAGCCAGAGGAAGATGGATGCCACGGTACAATAGAGCTGCGAGTCTGTTGATTTGCCATGACCGTCAACAAACACGAATAGACAATTATAAACATGACTAGATAATTCGGCTGAAGGACACTCACTCTATTCGAGTTATGTAGGATTCACTTGCACCCCCAGCTTAGAGGGGGTCGCTAGTTTGGGCTCTGGTTGGCTGAAAGTCGGCGTCGCAGTACTAAGTTAGTTAGGGTAGGGCGTGGAGACGAAGTTTAGAACCCGGCGCTTAATAGAGATGCGTGGCTGGGTGGGAAAAGCCGTTGGCCCATGATTCGAGGCATGGATGCATGTCATCGACAGGGGTCCTTTGGCTTCCGACCTTTGCATGAGAACAGTTGTCAATGGAGGAGCCAACTTTTTCGAGTTGGTTTTGGGCACAGATGCATACAACTACCCCAGCGTGGAATTTCAACATTGGGTTCGGATCTGTAGATCCAAAAAAGCGGGAGGAACAGCCCGTCCGTCCGTGCCCGTAACTAATAATGAACAAGAGCACCACTTTTTTTTCTTCTACGCGCCGGGCTTATATTATTGTTCTTCTTCACCCATTTATTATTTTCCGGGGTTGTTGTTGTTGTTGTTGTTGTTGCTGGTGATGAGGGCTGGGCTTGTCCAACACATCCAGGGTCTCGTTGTTGGGTGACCGGGCAGACTACGAGGCGGAGGATGAAACGACGTGACAAAGGTCATCTTGTCATCTTTTGTTATTGTGTGAAATTTCCGAGCAAAGGCTGACCGAGCTGTCACGGATGATGCCATTGTGAGAGTGTTGCGTGAAACTTGGCCCATGTAAGTTGTGCGCCCACGCAACAGGCAGCGACTGGCCACTCGAGAAATGAACAAGGGGAAAAATTCCAAAGAAAAGTTCACATCATCACCAACTCAATAAAGTTTCAAATGACCCTCCCCACGACCTTGTCTCTCGCCAACGTGACTGCCCTGTCCTGCCCATTTTCGTTTCAGCAACTTGTTGTCGAATTTAGCCGCCCAACCTGCAGCTAAAAGTCCCCTCCCTCCCCGCCATGCCATGCCCATCCGTTAATGTCCAGCTTTAAATTTAAAAATAGCAGCCGGCTTTCCCCTGCCTGCTGACTTCTCTTTTCATTCTTTTTCCCTTTCCCTTTCCCTTTCCCTTGCCCTTTCTGTTTCTCCGCTGTGTTTTTGTTTCGTTTCAGATCTCCAGATGCATGTGGGCAACTTCCGCCGTCCGCCTCGCCTTGTTTCACCACCCAAACTCTGATGCATCCATCCATCTATATGAATACCTCCTCTAACCCAAACACGTCGGCTACTTTTTTCTCCCTCCCCCTTCTCCTCTTCTTTCTCTTCCTCATCAACCGGTCCTGAAGGTCTTTGGTTTCTGAGAATCACACATCTTTTTCCTTAACTTGCGTCTTCTTGCATTTACTTGCGTAGTAGCCGAGTTCGAGATTAAGCAGCCTCAGTACATTGGGCTTGGCTGACAAGATACACCATACACATACATCAGCATCATCAGCATCAGCACTCTCGTTATTCTTTCTTTGCCTTGATTCGTCAACACACTCTGTATTCATACTCCCCCTCCCCCAGCATGTCTCTCAAAGACAAGCTCTCCTCCACATTGCCCCCCTCCAGCATGTCTCTCAAGCACAAAATCTCCTGCTTATTGCCCTCCTCCAAGACGCCCATCACCAAGGAAAAAGTCTCCTCGCCCCTCGCAGCCGATCCCTCGCTCCTCCACGACCACCTCCTCCCGCCGCAGCTCCTCCCGGCCCTCGAGTACACCTCCGCCCGCCTCGCCCGCCAATCCCTCCACCTGACCCTCATCGTCACCCGCCGCGACTATCAGCACTCGCCCCTCGGCTCCCCGGCCCTCGGCTCCCCGGCCACCACGCCGTCTAAGAGCCGCTTCGCCCGGCACTTGCACCTCCCGCGACGGGGTAGCCGGGTACAACTGGGACCGTCCTCGCCTGCGACGCCCGCCTCGTCCATGCCGACGTCTCCCCGATCCGTATACCCTTGCTCCCCGCCCTACACGCCCTTGTCGCTCGACTTTTCGCGCGCCGCGCCGCAGCAGCTGCCGCTCTCGCCGCGGTCGCCGATGTGGCCGCTGACGCCGATGACGCCGCTGTCCCCGCCGCTTCCGAAGACGCCGCTGTCTCCGCCGTGGCCGATGACGCCCTCGACCGACGGGGGGCCGTCCCCCTCTTATCTCGGAATCTCCCCCACACCCCAACACGGCGTGCGGCTCATCTACCGCGGGGACCTAGAACCGGAAGCCGAGCGTGCACTACAAGCGGCCCTCGCCAAAGCCGGCCGCAAGTACGGCGGTGCGGCGCGCCTCGCACCGGCCCTCAGCACGGTCGCCTGCGGCTCCAGCAGCAAAGCCCTCTTCAACAACTCCGTCGGTCAGGGCGACGTGCTCTTCTCATCCTCCGGGCTGACCGTGGTCGCGCCCGACCGCCTGTACAGCCTCAAGGCGGCGCTGTCGAGCTACGCCCGGACGGGCGCGCGGCCGCGCCTCGAGGAGGCTGTCGACGAGCTGCGCCGCTACGTGCTTGCCGACGGTAAGGTGCAAAAGCCGCTGCTGCGGTCCTACGACTGGCTGGGCGTGTCGGACGAGGCGCTCGCGGACCTCGACGGCATGTACCGGTGCGTGTACGGTGGCAGCGGCATGCAGGGCGACATCGACGACATGCCGTACTTCCCACCGGTTCCCGAGGCGGCGCTGGTGTCGGCGTTTTCCGACGACGAGGATGACGATGACAGCGACGGCGACGACGAGGACAAAAGAGAGGAATCGGGATGCGAACGAGACAAAGATGGCGAAACTGAATATCATGATCAGGACAGCGGCGTGTACGTCCAAGAGCGCCCGGATAGCCCGACATTGCACGGCCCCGCAGAGGACATCCCGGACATCACCACCACCACAGCCACTCCAGTGTCTGCGTGCTCTGCATCGCCCAAGATGCCCCTGCTGCGCTTGCAGACGTCCTTTGCCAAGACCCGCGCCCGCCGATCTTCCTCAGCGGACGACGACGACACGGGACGACGGCAACCCGAAGGAGAAGAGGATGGCGCCGCGGTGACGGCGCTGCCCGAAGACGACGAGGCCGGCCAGGAGGCGACCTCGGCCACGAACCACCACCAGCCCCGGCGTTGCACACGATCCACCTCAATCGACCAGCTCATGCTCAGCCCGACGGCGGCAGCGGATCATCTTTTACCGCCGCCCTCGCGGGACCAGGACATCCCCGTGACGCCCAATGGCTACGACGACATCTCGCCCATCACGCGAGGCGAGTGGGGGCTGTTCCTCGTCAATCAAGGGTTTAGGAGTGCCAGGACCGTGGCCGTGACGACGTGCTGACTTTGCACTTGTACCTCTTTTTTTTGCATTTTGTCCTTTTTTATACATTAGCGTTTGGCATATTTGGTATTTTTCTTTCATGATGAAATGAAATAGAAAGAAATTGTGCGGTCTTCTCCTTACTTGAAAGAAAAAAGTGAGATTGGGGTATCATTGTGAAAAACGTACTTGTAGAAGCTGTGCAAAATAGAACCCCCTTCTTCCCTTCTGTTCACCACCCGTACCGGCTCGACGCCTCGCGGCGGTTCGACCGACCCTTGGCGAAGCTGTCCTCAAGCGCGTCCTTTTGTCCCTGCACGTTGGTGACGAGTTGTCGCAGGCTGTGCTTGCCGCCGCCTTGGATCGCGCGCACCGGGTTGTGCGTCGGCTGCAGCTGCCCGCTCGCTCGCAGCGCCTGATTGTGCTGGTATTCGCGGTCCATGTTGAAGTTGACCACGCGGTTCGCCGCTGCCGCCGCCTGCGAGTCGCCGCCGCCACGGCCGAAGAGCTCCCGGCGTGCCGCGGCGGAGAGGTTCATGTCGTCGGCCATGTCGCCGACCGACTCCGCCACGGGCTCAGCGGCGAGGCGGGCGCTCCCGTAGTGGTCGTCGTGGGTGGTGGTGACGGTCTCGGTCTCAAAGAGGGGCTCGTAGACGCTGCTGCTGCCGGGTAGTGACGGGCCTGGTGCCGGTGTTGTGTCCTCGGAGGGAATCGAAAAGAGCGATGGCTTCTTCTTGGGCGGTTCTACGGCGGGGGTGGGAGGAGTTGGCACGCTCTTGGCTTCTGTGGGTATGGGCTTTGCTGCTGCTGCTGCTGCTGTTGTCTTCTTCTTCTTGCCCTGCGCTACGGACAGCGGTCGAAACATGAGCGGCTTGCCCGTCAACTTGACCTCGGAAGCTGGCTTCTGGCCCTCTGGAATCGACGGTTCCGCGACAACCGCGCTCTTTGGCGGTGGCAGGTTCAGTCCCGAGCTCTTCGGCACGGATCTCTCATCTGCAGTATCCCCGCCCGCCGCAACGGCATCCACCGTCGACGAGGAGGACGCGTCCCTGCTGAAGCCCGGCGCCGCGCTCGTCCTCAGACCGGGGCCTTTGGAGCCGCCCGCGGGCGCGGCGTTCTTGGGCGCTGGCAAGAATGAGTTGAAGCCGGCAAACCGCCCGCCGCCCGCCGTGCGCGCTCGCTTGGCCGGCGGCTCGTCGCTGCTCGAGGTGGACGGTGCGGCGGCCGCGTTGCCAGCGAGGTTGACGATGATCTTGCCAGATTTCGACTTGTCGAGGCCGCCAGGCTTCGGCTTTGCGATCGGCTTTGCGGGCGCTTCGGCCTCGGAGCCGGACGATTCGGACTCGGAGTAGTCGACGAGACCCATGGCTTGCGTTGTGTTTGTGTGTGTTCTGGGTGATGAGGAGGACAAGATGCGTCGTTGGCAATCGCGCGGCGAGACTTTTCTTTGGGTCCCCCAGGCAGCACCGACTATTAGTGGGGATAGTGCAACCAGCTGCTCAGCAGACTCTGACCAGACTTCGACCAGACTTGCGCGTTTCTTTTATGTTTAATGTAGCTTTCTCCGTCATCTGCTTGTGCTTTCGAATTTAAACCATATTCTTGCTCCAAGATGTACATCCAAGTGGATGCCATTAAATGACCAGGCAAAAGATGAAGCTCCGTACGGCGGGAGTACTACGTACAGTATGCACCTTAGCCAGATGAACCCTGCGCAAGGAGAAAAACGGCACATAATAGAGAATCAATTTAAGCCTCAAAATTCAATACCCTTTACCCTTCGCTTTCCAGATTCATCACTAAGAACTATTAAAAAATTCATCAGCTTTGCTTAGGCCTGTCGTGTAAGTTGGCCTAGTGGACCAGCTAGTGATGCTATCTTGATGTGGGGGAACGCTTCAGCACTCTCCAGACCCCAATTTCCCCTCTGCATGTAACCATCAGTCTTCACTTGTTGTCCCCCTCTGGCACAAACGTGCTTCAGAGTCTCGTCGCACAATGCGCATCTACACACTTCACCCGAACATCATTTAGCCTTCCACATACCACTTCCCCGGCATCATGTCCGTCATTCAAGTTGAAGAGTACGTCCTGCACAGCCCACCTCTTCTCAGGCCCATCCCATCCGTCGCATGCACAATGGCTAACGAATCGCCAGTCTCGTCTCCTACCAGCTGCGCACCAGCTATCTAAACGACATCGCTGATGGCGTCGGCGAGCGACTTCTCACCGTAAACGAGACCCTCGTCAACACAGCACCGTTCAAAGCCGCAGGATGGCGCCCGACGTCGAGTCACAAGCGGACGCATTCCCCCCCGATTCCCACGGCGATTGCCTCGGAATACTTTCAGGCCCCACGCCAGCTTGGTTTCTCGCTCGAGGATGGCGAGGATGACGGAGGCATGTTGACGCACGGCGGCGCTGACACCGTTGGCCCCGGCATCGCGACTAAGAGGCGCAGGCGCCGAGAGCAGATGGAGGAGGACGACAGCAGCGACCTCAGCGACGAGAGCGAAGAGGAGCAGGAGCAGCGTGACGCGCAGCGAATAAAGTTCGCCAAGATGCCCCTCCGCCATCGCGCGGGGTCGTCGCCGCTGCAGAATACAGCCCTCCGCAATCGCGCTGGCTCTTCGCCTCTGCAGAACACGACCCTCAGGCAGCCGTTTGGCAGCACGTCGCCGAGGGCGGTTCGTCGTGGCTCCCAGTCAGCCCTTGAGACGGTCAAGGAACGCGCGCGGAGAGACACGGTCACTAGCAGCGAGATTTCCTCCGAGAGCGAGTTTGACCTTCCCCAGAGGCACCGCGAGGCTGCACGGGCTGCGGCTCGCACGCTGAAGTTGCAGGACAAGATTAACGAGGAACCTACACCAGGCCTCAACCGAGCCGACACTACGTTACTGCCAGAGGAGGAGGAAGACTCAGATGAAGGGTCTGATATCTCGGAAGACTACGTCGGAAGCATCGACTCAGCATCCATTCTCAACGCAGTTGAAACTGGCTCACCAACAGAACCAGTCGTCGGCACCCCTCCGCGGGAGTTCCGTAGACAATCAAAACGGATATCACAGCTGCCATCTGAGCCTGCAAAGTTGTCCGCTCTACCCCCTCCCCGACCTCTCAGCACCATTCGGCCTCTCAGCATTGTAAAGCCAACAAGTCTGCTCACTCAAGCTCTGAAAGCCAAGGACACCAAGCCATCAATACCATTCCAAAAGTTCGCACACTACAACGGCCAAGGCACGACAGGTTCCATCGCTGTCCGAATATACCCAGCATATGGCAAAACAGCAAGCAGGCCGTTTGAGGTGCCTATCCGACCCCGTGTGAGCGACGGACAGGGTGCCGAACGGGCCGTGACCGTTGCAGACCTGATTGGGTTGAGTTTATATCGATACAATGAGGAGAAGAGGGAGCCTCGTCTGCCACGAGACAAGCTGAATATAAACTGGTGGACGCTGCGAATGGTGGAGGATGGTGGTGAAGTAGACGACGATTTCCCGCCGTTCGAGAGAACAAAGCCTCTTGTTTCCTTCACCACTGTCCACAACGCGGGCTTGAGAGGCGGCGGTCGTATGCGCTCCAACTCGAGAGCCTTTGACGACTTTGCTTTGGTCCTCGCGGATGAGGACGAGTATGAAGCTAATAAGAAGCTCACCCCACAGGAGGACGAACAAGTGGCACCGCAGCCCGTCCCGGTGAGTGACGCGAAGGAAGCCCGCAAAGAGCTTCCACAGCCTGGCGCTGCGACAGCACAGCCGGGAATCGGCCATCCTCGACAGAACCCCATTGTTACGACTACTTATCGTTCCAACACGCCATTTGCGGATGCACCACAGAACCGGAACGTCATGCCCAACACCAACCGCGGCCAGCAAAAACTGCTACGGGTGCACATCATGTCCTCTGATACTGTGCCCGGGCAGATGGTGACGGTTGACGTGACGACGGATACATATCTCGAAGAGGTGCTCGATCTGGTATGCCGTAAAAGGCAGCTTGACAAGGCCAACCATGTCCTCAAGCTGCCAGGCTCTGGCGTCGTGGCCATGGTTGACCGGCCTGTCTCGTCCATTGGCAACGTCTCCGATCTAGAGCTATATCGACGGCGCTTCGGAACGGACGGCCCGCTTGCGATGGCGGGGTCGCCGAGCGGCGCGTCGCCGCGACTCGGGGCGGCGACTTCGCTGCCTGAGAGCCACCTGCTGCGGCGGGCCAACAAGCAGCAGCGCGGGGCGGCTGGCGGGGGCGCGCCGATGATGGGGGTGCACCCGCTCGCGCGCGAGGCGCTCAAGCAGGAGGAGCTGGGCACCGAGGGGTACAAGAAGTATACGGTGTGGCGGAAGCAGCCCATGCGGCTGGTGCTGAGCGAGCGGCTGCTGATGATTGACGGCGAGTACATTCACATCGTGCCGGCGTCGGGCGGCAAGGCGCTGCGCGACAGCACGAGCAAGACGACGACGGTGCATTTTAGCAACGTGATTGGATGCAAGGTGGCACGCAAGCATCCGACCAATATCAAGGTATGCCGATCCTGAACGTTCCTTTGGATCCTTTCGCGAGCAGAGTACTGACGTCACTGCCCTTAGCTGGTGGTATACAAAGCAGCCGAGACGAAGCGCTACGACTTTGAAGCGCGTAATGCTGAGGAGGCGGCGGAAATTGTCAACGAGCTGAAACGAGGTATCGCTCCATATAACCGAGAGTAAGCTGGAATCTACTGCCGGAGAACACTTGGGAAGTTCGAAGAACATCGTCGGCGTTCGTTGGATCACTAACGTCGGTGCGGGGGGATCAGATGTTCATGTACTAGAGATTTAGAGGCAGGCCCTTTTTTTCCCTGGCCCTGAAGGAAGTGAAGCAAGCCTTGGAAATACGCAGCTAGTCAAAGTGCAGTCTAGTGTAGAGTAAGCCGAAGAGAAGAATGAAGAAGAATAACGTCAACTTCTATGACCGTGTGTGGCTATATGATGTGAAGCCAATTGCTGAGCCACATCATGCTCCTTGGGTTCCATCCACCCACCCCAGCTAGAGCCTGGCGTGGTTGACACGCTTCATTGAAGGCGGGAAAAGCCAAGGCAGAGGGGCCGTGATTCGAATAAGGCTGCGGGGAGAGAAAAAGCTTGGCCTTGGTGACGATGCAGAAAAAAAAAAAGCTTGGTATTGCGTCCCACGACATTCCATTGGTATAGGGCGCGGCCGACCAGGCTCGAAGCAACCAAGCGGCGGCGTCCCACACGAACGAGATCCTGGCTGCATAATATATGCATGGGCGGGATCCATCGGTGGCATCACCATACGGTCATTATTACATGTGGCTGTCGTTGTTGTGGTGATGTTTCGTGACATGGTTATTGCAGGCCGCCCATCCTGTCTCGAATTGGGCAGCAAGATTTTGGCTCCTTTTTTGTTTTTTTTTTTTTTGCGCGGCCAAGTTGCTGTCCAGAACTGGAAGAACGGCAACCAACGCTGGGAGGGTGCGCTGCACAGGTAGGCTGTGGCTGAGTCGCCCACCATTTGGTTAAAAATAGGTCGTGGACGTGGGCTTACGTTGATCTTCCCTTTCCTCTGCCCGCCTCTGTAGCAAAGTTTCGGTTTGGGCTTCCACTTTACACGCAGTCAGCCGAGATTGTCTGAGAATCGGGCGCAAGACGCGTGTGCATGTTTCTTCAATAGCCAACTACTGTACGAATTAGAGGCGGTGCAGAGAAAGGTGTGTTTCTATTTTCGGAGGTATAGGTACCTCGCAGGGGAAAGATACTCGTTCGTATGGACAGACACCACCACCACCACCACCACCACCACCACCACCCACCTCTTGTTGCATTGATGCAGCGCAGCATGCAGGATGGGAAAAAAGCTGACCAGGACAAAGCAAACCATGCCACATAAGAACTCCCAACACAGAGTTGAGGCAAAGAGTGAAGCGATGACGCTTACAGGTACTTGTTGGGGGGGGGGGGCACGCTAAAATACCAACGTCTGCCAAGGCACAATGTGACGCCCCCCTCCGTCCCCGGCTCACTGTCGCCGACCAAATCTCGATCTACCAAGACAACGAAGGAGAGACCAGGACCGACGTGGGAAAATACAGGCTAAAATTTCACAAATGGGCTGAACAATGGCGCTATTTGGACAAGAAGATTGTTTACCGTCCCCTTGGCAGCTGTCGCCGAAACTCTGTCGTCCTTCCTGGCCAGGCATTGATCGCCGCAGCCATGATGCAATCCGTCGGGACGAAGCAAGGGGCCAAAAATAATCGCTGATGTCACTCTTCTCTCCGTTGCTGCTGCCGGTCCGTCCAGCGTCCAGCTCCACTGCGCCACGGCAACCACAAACCGCCGTTCCCCGGCGTGTGCATGAGAGCTGACAAGCAAGGCAGAGACAAATGCAACAAGTTGCACATTTATGGGGGCGTGGCTGTAGGAATAAGAAGCCCGCTCGACTGGTTGTGTGATTGACTGAATTGCTGTTCAGGTGGCATGGTTGCAACCTCCAGGCCCCCCCCTCTTGCGGGTATCCCGGCCCCCTTCAATGTCCATCAACAAAAGCAAGGCATGAATTGAACAAGGTACCGGGGAGGGAAGAGGGTGTAGGTATAGCTGCTCTTCCCCGGCGTAACAACCTCGTACGGAATAAAGCTCAAGCATATAAACTCCTGCTCTTCCCTCCACATCCAATTCCCCTCTTCTCCTCATCAACAATTGTTCACTCATACACCAGTCTCCAGTACCACCAACACACTTTCAAGATACCCATCGTCGCGTTCACGCTCATCACATACCCAACACCATCAACATGAAGTTCTCCAACGTTGCCATCCTCGCCATCGCCTCCCTCGTCCAGGTTCGTCCCTCCTCCTCCTCCTCCCCTACTCACCAACAATAGCCACTAACACCCTCCCCCCTCCAGGCTGATCTCGGCGACGACATCAACAGCATCGGCAACAGCATCAAGTCCGAGGCCCAGGGCGTCGTCTCCGCCGTGTCCACCGGCGGCGCCGGTGCCGTCTCCGCCGCCTCCACCGTGGCCACCAACATCATCTCCGGCGCCTCTAGCGTCGCCTCCGACGTGGCCTCCGCCGGCAGCTCCGCCGCCACCCAGGCCTCCTCCGCCGCCTCCTCCCTCTCCTCCAAGGCCGGCGAGCTCAGCTCCTCCGCCAAGAGCGCCTCCGGCACCGCGGCCAGCTCCCTCTCCCAGGCCGCCAGCTCCGCCAGCTCCGCGGCGAGCACCGCGGCGAGCTCCGCCTCGTCGGCTGCCTCGTCGGCTTCTTCCTCCTCCAAGAACGCGGCTCCCGCCCCTACCGCCATGGTCGCCATGGGTGCTCTGTTCGGTGGTGCTGCCGTCATGGCCAACCTGTAAATGTTTTCTTTCATCAACTTGGGAAACAATATAAAAGGGAAAATCAGGGCCCTTTAATACATAATATACTGGAAAAACTGGCCCCTGCACGACTATTGGGCAAAGGAATGGTGGGATGGGGATGTCCATCTTCGACATGGACTTGAGAGTGTAACCATATTGAAAGACTTTACGTCTCGAGCAGTTGTCTAGCGACTTGCTAATAATACCACATATACAATGACAAAACCAAAGCCTAATCTTTCGTGACTATCATTCCGCGTGTCTGTGAATATCAACCTAGCCACTGTATATAATAACACCTTGAAAAGAAGCTGAAAATCCCGGGGTATCAAGTCGATTCCTTATTCCGCATCTCCCCCCATAGTCTATCAATGATTTGGAAAATCGCCGTCACGTCCCTCATCACCTTGTCGTCCACCGCGCCGCCCAGCCGCTGCTGCATCTTGTCCGGGTGCCACCGCACGCGCTCGTCCTTGAGCTTCGTCGCAAACGCCACCTCGCCAATCTCCTCGGCCGCGAGCCCCTGAACAAAGAACGCGCGCACCTCGCCCTCGTCGACTTCCTCCTCGGCGCCGTCTTCCACGATTCCCCAGCCCGCGGCGCGCTTCGCCTTGCCGCCCTCCCACGGCCACGCCACGCGCGCCGGCGTGCCGTGCCGGCCGCGGCGGGCCTCCTCCTCCTTGCGACGGCGGCGCTCCTCGCGGCGCGCGCGCTCCTCCAGCAGCCCGGCGTGCGTCTTCTCCCACATCTTCTGGCGGACGTGCGCCGCGTACTCCTCGTCCGTCATGCGCTCGAGCTCGCCCTGCGGGCCGACCTTGTCCTGCTCGTAGATGTGCACCGGCTGCCCGTACACGCCCTCCCAGTAGGCCGCGCCCTCATCGTCCGCCATCGCGTCGAACAGCGACTCGCGGAAGGCGGCTTCCGGGTCTAGCGGCTCCGGCTCGTGCGGGTTTGGTGGTGTGGGTGAGCGGCTGCGACGTCGATTTCGGTGGCGATGACGACGTCGGTGCGAGGGTTCATCGTGATGGTCGTGATGTTCGGAAGCATCTCGCGAACGGTGGCGGTGTCGACGTGACTCTTCTCGGCCATCGTCTGCATGGGCTCCTCGCGAGCGGTGTCGCCGGCTGCTGCGGTGACTTTGATGGATACGGCTAGACCTGTCGCCTTTGAGCTTTAGCCGGCTGCGCCTCGGTCGTGTCGTGTCGCCATCTTCGGGCTCGTTTGCCTGGCTGTCTACTGATGGCTTTTCTGGTGGCGACCGCGGTGGTGGGGTTGCGCTTCGTGAGCGACGGTTCGTAGCTCGATACCTGGGTGGCGGGTTCGCTGGGTCTTCAGGATTTATGGAAGAAAGAATGTGTCGTCTCTTGGGAGACGTTCTGCCCTCGTTCATGGCGGCGCTGCCATCGCGATGCAAAGTGGAAGCGGTGATGTAGGAGATGAAGTGCGGCGGGCCTGGCCGCTGGATTTCTAGTCAGCCCAAATCCACATTTCTAATGGTGAGCCTCGGGCAGAGCACGACAGCTCTGGCTCTTCTTTAAATTTCATAAAACACTTTAACTCTTAAATGCTTATTTGAATGATTCAATCTCGTGATCTATTCTCCATGTAGTACACACCTTTGTATGCTAGAGTCTAGGGATCCATTCGAAGAGGAGCCCAAGACAAACGTGCGACAGCCTACTTCCCACCTTTTTGGACAACGAGGCGCTTTCGGGCTCCAGCTAGCTTCAGCAATTTTGTTTCATCACGACATCTGCACCGACGTCACAGGAGAAAGGGTCGAACCTTCATTGCGCAAAACGCTTTACTATGCAGACATAGTCTGATACCGAAGGACAACGACTACAACAGCTTACTGTTTACCGACAAGAACCGTAAGCTGCCTGCCAGGGAGCGATCGCAACAATGGCTGGCCTTGCGCTCCTTATCGTGCTATGTGTGAGTCTTCGCTTGATCGCCCGTTCAAATTGCATACCTAGTAGTGCTAATATTCAGCTCCCATAGGTCATAATGGCAGTGGCGTAAGCCTTCCAAGCTCCGCAAACGAAGCCGTCGTCGACCGAAAACACTAAAGTCTTATAGCTCCTTTTTTGCCGGCGCATTGCCGCTGTCGATGAACCTTTCGCAGTCCCAGCTGCGGTTAATATCGAGTATTGGTGTCGGCGTTCTTGTCGGCACATCACTGATTGTCATCATCCCGGAAGGCATCGAGGCCGCGTCCACAGCACCTATCGCCGGGCACGACCCTAAGACCGACCAGCTGCTTCGCAGAGTACCGCGTGCACTCGCCATCGAGGCGCGCAGCATCATGGCGCAAGTTGCGTCGACAGAAATACTCGCAGCGAGCGATTGGCTCAACAAGAAAGCAGTGACGGATGACATTGTCCGCCAGGCGGTCGCACGGGCAAACGAAGAGCAGCAAGACCCGGCGACACCGCCCAAGGAAACGCCCGCCCACTCAGACCCCGGCGCAGACGACCACGGCTCGCACGCGGGCGGCGAGGAGGCGCACAGCGACATCCCGACCCTCGAGATCGGTCTGTCCATGGTCCTCGGCTTCATCCTCATGTTCCTCATCGACCGCCTGCCGCGGCACGCGACCGACAGCCTGCAGTCCGCGCCGACGACGCAGCATATCAGCATGGACAACCTAGGCGGCGACCGCGCCTCCTCCGTGGACGACGAGGAGCGTGGCTTCTTCCTCGGCGGCCTGTCGCTGCGCGAGGCGCCGCGGGTCGCGCGTAGCATGGCCACCACCATCGGGCTGGTGATCCACGCGGCGGCCGACGGCATCGCCATGGGCGCGTCGTCGGCGTCGTCGAGCACCAAGCTCGGCTTCGTCATCTTCCTCGCCATCATGATTCACAAGGCGCCGGCCGCGTTCGGCCTGACCTCAGTGCTGCTGCGGCAGGGCCTGTCGAAGCGCGCGGCCAAGGCGCACCTGCTCGTCTTCAGCCTGGCCGCGCCGGCTGGCGCGCTCGCGACCTACCTGCTCGTCTGGTTGCTGGGCGGCGGCGGCGGGAAGATGGACGAGAGCACGGGACACTGGTGGACGGGCATGTTGCTGCTGTTTTCTGGCGGCACGTTCTTGTATGTTGCCATGCACGCGATGGAGGAGAACGGCGCGAGCGGCCACGGCCACGACCACGGCAGCCAGCAGTCAAACAGCTACATAGAGACAAGTACCAACAACCCGGCCAAGCCTGCCGGGCCGGCTCTGCGGGATACGCTAGCCACGACGGTGGGCATGCTGGTGCCGCTTTTGACGCAGATTGGAGGCCATCACCACTGATTATGCCTCTGGATACGGTTGACGAATAAGGATTATTTAGGATTGGAAGATTTCCAAAAAGATGTATCAAAATGGCACTGGAGTTGCAGTCTGATTCCTCTACGTTTATTATAGAACAATCATTATTTCCTCTCTTTCTAAATATAATTATGATTTGCCATTCCCTACGACACCGATGATGACAGCATGAAAGACAACATGCAGAGGCACGCAAAGCACGCGCCATGCTGAAAATAATCGAGTAAACCAACGCTACCTCTGTTGTCTGGCTCACGCGGGCGGGCGCATTTGCAATTGAGGCTAGGGAGCCGCCAAAGGTCCGATTGTCTTTGCAATGTTGCAGACGAAATGCGAGACCAGATGTGCAAAGACTAGTGCATCTCCAAGACAGCGTGGGTTCTTTGTGCAATGTTTCCCCTTGTTTCTTCGGCCCCAGAGATGCGCAGCACCAGGGCATAAGTTGAAACATAAGCAGAGACATCTTACAAGGTCAATAGGGAGGGAGGGGGGGGGGGGGGG